GTCTTCCAGTCCTAATCTGTGGGTTGATTTGTTAATCCATTCGGCCATGTCCTCTCCTTTAATAAATTCTACCACCTTTGGGTCTTTTTTGTTGCTTTGAAGCATTGTATTAACTAGACCAAGTATGTCAGGTAGATGAGTTGAAGAGTGACTGATAGGTTCATCTTCATGAGTAATTGGAGTATTTGGACGGGGTTCATTTGGCTCGGAATAATTGTTACCAATAGGCAATGTAGAAGCTGTAGTTGCACTAGCACGAAGATTAATTATCTTTTTAATAACACCGAAAGGAAGGCCAATTTCACGTAGTTCAGTTTCAGTAACTGACTCGAGAGTGTCTTGGTCACGTCCTATGTTGACAATCAAATTACGAATCTCGGATTCAAGGAAACCATTTTGTCGATAATTACGAATCCATTGGGGAACATCCACATCTTTTACCTCCTGGACCGATAGGTCATCAATATCAGAGGGTTCAAGTTCTTCACCAATAGCTAAAAGATTGGTGGCAACGACTTCATAGAGTCTTTTCTTAAGGAAAGAATTGGGTGGATGGGTAACACTAAAGTGGTCGAGAAGGGCGATGATTTCCTCAGAAGGAATATCTTTGATGAGAGTAGCCATTTCGAACAATTCTTGAGTTCCAATAGGATCAGATAAGATATGAGTTTCTGATGAGCTTGAGAGTTCAGGTGAACTATTCACTGGGTGTGGTGATGGGTAAGCACGATTACGTGTTTGTACCATAAGCACTGTTAATACACTTAAAAACGATCCTGCCTGGGTCGCCAAGTGAAGGGAAGATTTTGGGGATTGACTGAGTAACTTGGTGTTTCTATTGAAACAGGGAAATTCATTTACCAATAGGTTGAATTTTACTGAGTCTCGCTAGAGTTTCACAATTAATCTACTGATTAATTATCGAACACAGAAGAGCGATTAGTCCTTCACAATCTAATCTTACAAGTACTTTTAGGACCGTAATTAAGCGCACAGATTAATCAATGAAATGGTTTTTTATTAATTGAATTAGAATATGAAACGAACAGTTTCAAAGTAAAACTCTAACTGATTAACACTATGGTTAAATCAATGTATCAATAGATTCTAAATGGGGGAAAGCATTTAGAAAAGAACAAAATTTAAGATAAGAAATGGCGCCTTTAGGCTTACAAAGTAAATCAAAAAGAAACATAAATACGTTAGCTTAATCAAGCTAAACAGAAGATACTTTCCTATAAGGTTAACCAAGATAAGGATTGTTAATAAAGAAAACAATGAGTTATCTTTAGATGATTAAATGATTAAAACAGAAATTTAGAATTAACCCATTATTAAGGTTGATGAGTCTAATTGTCATTTCTTATAAGATTAAAATAAAGAAAAATGATTAAAATCAAAATGATAATAAAAAGAAGAAAAGAAACTAAAGTTAATCCAAAGGTAAATTGTTACCAATCATCGATTACCAATAGGGTTTTAGGAAGTGCGGATTAATACCTAACAATTATTTAAGCTTCCTGATAATCTAAGTCACATCTTATTAATATCTTTATATACCGAATCACTAATCCATCTATATTGTTAGTGGAAATATATTTTTTATCTTCGATAAGCTACAGATCAGATCCAAATTATTCCGACTCTTCATAAGCATGAGTTCAATGAATAAAAAAGCGAAAAAATTATCTGAGTTTCCATTTATGATGTAACAAATTATTGTATTATCTTTTATCCTACATATTTTTCATTAGATTGATTTGATATTAGCTATTCAATTACATCGGATGAGTTATCATGATAATCAACTTTTCATCTTGCACAAAAAACATTACAACCATTTCTTGTATAACTGATACAAACAAGTTTATTAGAATAATGGAAGCATTATTGTTATTAATATGAATATTATCGTGATACATCATGATACTGGTGTTGATTATCATGGAAAGTCCTTATAATGAGCTCATTTGAATTCCTAATTTAACTTTCATAGCAATAACCTTCCTTCACATTTGAATCATTATCGTTATCATCAGCATCATAATGACTACCCAATCAGCTTCAGATTTCAGCAAGACTGATTTTTCAGATTCCATAAATAAATATTATATTCACATATTATGAAAATAGATGTTTATTCAGACGAATGTTGTACTACATATTCATTAAACTGATATTCATCTTGTAGAGCTCGAAAAGGGTGGACAAGAATTTGATAAGAATGATCAACAATCGATAATCAGAAAAAAATAATTTTTTCAATGATGAAGAAAATCATGCAAAAAATTTACCAGATAAGGGATTCGGACTGAATTCTGGGAAGAATGAAAAAATGAAATCTTTTTACTTCCTTGTTCATTGCAGAATCAGAACATTCTCGCTCCAAGTCCATTCTTTATCATCATTATCATTTATATCTTCATCAATACAAGACTGTCTTTGCTATTTGCTCTTCTTTATCTTCTTCTATCATCTAATAATCATCATCTTCCTCCTCCTTCTTTTTGTCTTCCATCTTTCCTCTTTGGTGATCCAATTAATTGAAATATATTATGCGAATCAATTTTTTCATGTGCAAGTTATTAGAAACAAAGTATTGCTTTTGGAGCATTTAAATTTTATTATTTTCCTCGTTCGAGACTCTTTGGATTTTATCCAATAGTACAAAATGATTATCGTGAGAGATAGGAGGAGATGAGTACAGAAAGATGATTATGATGAGAAATCGACAATGAGATTAAGCTGAATGAAATAATGAAAGAATCGATGAATTTATGTTTATGTGTCTGGAAATGAGAATTTATAACTTTTGAAATGACGATACTAGCATTATTACGATGATAAATTCAATATGCCGAATGGAAATATCTTGTATATTTCGATAAGACAAACACGAACACGTAACCAAAGCTATTAAACAGTACATCACATGATGTATATAATATCAGAATGAATCAGTTAATGGATTTGAACAAAGAAACAATCTGAATTTCTTACGAATTTTTTTCGACTTGTTTTTATGAATGGATTTCCAAATGAATATAATATTTTGCTGAAAATGGGCTGAACTTGTTGTGATATACCAATAAATTAAATTATCTTAAAGTTTGGTAACCAAAGACTTAGTTTGAAGATGCTAATAGCAATATACACTGTGTATTTAAACACTTCGATCTCAGCATAAACTTGAAATCTTGATTCTAATAAATGATAATATTATTCATAAATGCGAGTTTGAGCTTTCTGCTCATAGCCTTGTTCCATTTTTTCTTAAATTTTTAAATTCGATAAACAAATATTTATGTCAAAATTTCCCGGTCAGTAATGACAAAAATATAAATAAACGCGGAAAATAGTGATTATATTTGCTATTTGACTTGGTCTAATTCATGCGAAATTGTTATTATTTATTGTCTGTCTGATCTTATCAAACATTACATCCCTGCAGAACGTCAAATCAAACCAAAAAATGGGTAAGATCATAGTTATGATCGCACTGGTGTGGCTTAAGTTAGCGGCAAAGTTGAAACCTAAATTACTGAGCTAATTAATGTAACTAATTAACTAATTGTTTGGCTTGTTCTGTTTTGTTAGATTAGGTTAGGTGAGGTGTCACTCGTAAACGGGTTAATTAATGAAAAAAAGGCCCGGAGGGCCTGAGACAATCAAACCGAATTTTACACTGATCGCCTCTCATTGGCTAATCTAATTTAAGCCACACCAGTGCGATCATAACTAAGATGTTACTAAAACATGTTCTCATTCAAATCTCATTGATATAGAAATTTTCCATTTCTCAGGCAACACGTGTTGAAGAGGTGCTGGAGGTTGTCGAAGAAGAAACAGATGAAATCAAGAATCGAATGTTAAATAGGAAATTGAAAAAATAGGGAAAAATGGCATATCTTCAGAGATTCTTTCCGAATCGAAGATAGAAATGCACCCGTTGAAATTCTCGAAATTACCAATGAACAGGTCGGTTTAGGCGAGCTATTAAAAATGAGAAAAAATAATTATTCATATGATGTAGATACTACTTCCCACTTGGAAAGGTTTTAGAGCAACTTTCCGATCTTTGTGGTGGCGATAAGGTATTAGAACAGGCTTCGAAAAGAGCTAGAATAGTTATTTCCATGAACTTCTCAATTCTTTTGGTAACCAAGTTATCTTGTTGTCAAATATTGGGTTCAACAATTCGTTTTTGGTCGTGAAAGTGTAGAAGATGCTCAAAGACCAGGAGACCCCCAAGAAATGGATATCCAGAGAGCGGAAGCTGATACCATGGCTCTATTCAAAGCTGATCCTGGAATTTGCATCTTGACTATAGCTCGTGAAACTGATATTTCAGTTGGGACAGTATTTGGAATTATCCGAAATGATCTAGGCGTTAAAAAACTGACAGCAAAATAGATATCTCATTCACTATTCGAAGCCAATGAGCAAAGAGAAGTTAAATGTTGTCGCGAAGCTTTATCGGTTTATAACTCGATTAAAAGAGACTTTTTGAAGTGTATTTTATTAATGGATGAAACTTGGCTATTTAGATCTAAAGAAGACGTGAATCGAAGGTCAAGAAATTCACAATTTGGTTCAAAGGTTATGGCTTGTGTTTGGTGGGATTCTTTCGGAATTGTGCTTCTTAAATTCATGGCAACGGGTGCAATAATTGTTTCACCAACCAATTGATCCTAGCTCAAATTGTTGTTTCACCGCCTGAAATCATCTTCAATTGATCTCGGAAGTCTTGATCAAAATTACTTCTTGGTAATTACCACGATCTGCTTTTTTGAAGGACTTTTTTCTTCATTTTTTACATTCGTTGTATTTCTCCTTGGTGGATTACTAGTGAAACTGGAGTTCAACTTTTAAACCATGATTTCACCATTAAAGATGATAAAAATAATTTAGAGTTCTCCGTAATAAATTACCTGCCAAGAAGAAAACAAGATTATGAAAGTCCTTCAGAAAATAATTACCAGTCAAGATCAAATCTTATATATTAACAGTGTGATTATGTTAATGAGACTTTACTCGAGTAAAGTACTCCAGGGCTAAAGGAAAACAAGATAATGAAAGTCCTTCAAAAAATAATTACCAGTCAAGATGAAAACTATAATAATAACAGAGTTGCAGCAACTTTTCATAAATTGACCTGGCCCCCGTCTGCCACAACCGATAACCAACAATCAATGATATTATTAGATAGCTTATTGTTTCACTATTCAACAGTGTTTTCGTTGTATTTCTCCCTGGTGGATTACTAGTGAAACTGGAGTTCAACTTTCAAACCATAATTTCACCATTAAAGATGATAAAAATAATTTATTTACATGCAAAATAAATGGTCGCAGCATTTCTTGAGATCTATATCACTCGAAAATGTATTGATAAGTGTTAAAATATCAATTTGAATTATTGTCTATTAAATTACGATCAACTGTATTGATAATGTTCCAAATTTATTTATTATTGAGAAGAAATGATTCGTAATAGTTGTGTTACAGAAACTTGCTTATTAGCAAAAAAATGATTGTGATTGGCTCTCAACAAATTCTCGTCCCTTAGTTTTCAGTATGAAACCACAATTAGGGAAACATTTAGCATGGAGTGTAAAAGGGTCGTCACCAAACTGCCAGTTATGTATAGCGCCATCACAGTGAAAACAACGAACAATATCATTTATACCAGGATAATAGAAGCCAGCTGCAGCAAGTTGATAGGAAGAAACTACTTTATCAAAAGCCCAGTTGAGGAAAGATTTGATTCTTTCGCTTTGACACGACTTTTCTGGTTTGCAAGGTTCTGATGAGAGTAATTTGTCAATTGGAAAGTAGCCATAGCGAAAAAATCTTGGTAAACATGCTACTCGTTGATCTAAAACTCTCGCAGTTTCTGAAAGTTGACCAAACTTGCGGCGAGAATTGTATGGGAATCCAGATGAAGATACAGTTGGTATTGGTGACGGTGTATCTTTTGGTGGTGGTGTCTCGGGTAGTTGACCAAACTTGAGGCGAGAATTGTATGGGAATCCAGATGAAGATACAGTTGGTATTGGTGACGGTGTATCTTTTGGTGGTGGTGTCTCGGGTAGTTGACCAAACTGTTGTTCGGCGGAATCAAGATAGTTGTCAATACTTTCTTCATAATCATTTTCTGTACCAAACTCTGCTGTTAATGTTGAAACAACATCTTCGGACGACTTAGAAAACTTACTTAAAACATTCATTGTTGAAGTTAAATACACTATTCAAGTGCTTAATGATGTTCACTAGACGAGAGAAAACTATGGAATGAATTGTATTCATAGTCATTTCTGGTTTTATAAGGAATTTTTGATGGGTGTAAACCATCTAAAAGCTGCTCATTCAAGTTTTTCAGGGTTAAATGAAAACGAGTTATTTAGAGTTCTACGTAATTAATTACCAGTCAAGATGAAAACAAGATTATGAAAGTCCTTCAAAAAATAATTACCAGTCAAGATCAAATCTTTAATATTAACAGTGTGATTATGTTAATGAGACTTTACTCGAGTAAAGTACTCCAGGGTTAAATGAAAACGAGTTATTTAGAGTTCTCCGTAATAAATTACCCGCCAAGATGAAAACAAGATTATGAAAGTCCTTCAGAAAATAATTACCAGTCAAGATCAAATCTTATATATTAACAGTGTGATTATGTTAATGAGACTTTACTCGAGTAAAGTACTCCAGGGCTAAAGGAAAACAAGATAATGAAAGTCCTTCAAAAAATAATTACCAGTCAAGATGAAAACTATAATAATAACAGAGTTGCAGCAACTTTTCATAAATTGACCTGGCCCCCGTCTGCCACAACCGATAACCAACAATCAATGATATTATTAGATAGCTTATTGTTTCACTATTCAACAGTGTTTTCGTTGTATTTCTCCCTGGTGGATTACTAGTGAAACTGGAGTTCAACTTTCAAACCATAATTTCACCATTAAAGATGATAAAAATAATTTATTTACATGCAAAATAAATGGTCGCAGCATTTCTTGAGATCTATATCACTCGAAAATGTATTGATAAGTGTTAAAATATCAATTTGAATTATTGTCTATTAAATTACGATCAACTGTATTGATAATGTTCCAAATTTATTTATTATTGAGAAGAAATGATTCGTAATAGTTGTGTTACAGAAACTTGCTTATTAGCAAAAAAATGATTGTGATTGGCTCTCAACAAGTTCTCGTCCCTTAGTTTTCAGTATGAAACCACAATTAGGGAAACATTTAGCATGGAGTGTAAAAGGGTCGTCACCAAACTGCCAGTTATGTATAGCGCCATCACAGTGAAAACAACGAACAATATCATTTATACCAGGATAATAGAAGCCAGCTGCAGCAAGTTGATAGGAAGAAACTACTTTATCAAAAGCCCAGTTGAGGAAAGATTTGATTCTTTCGCTTTGACACGACTTTTCTGGTTTGCAAGGTTCTGATGAGAGTAATTTGTCAATTGGAAAGTAGCCATAGCGAAAAAATCTTGGTAAACATGCTACTCGTTGATCTAAAACTCTCGCAGTTTCTGAAAGTTGACCAAACTTGCGGCGAGAATTGTATGGGAATCCAGATGAAGATACAGTTGGTATTGGTGACGGTGTATCTTTTGGTGGTGGTGTCTCGGGTAGTTGACCAAACTCGAGTCAATTAAAACTAATAATCAAGTCAATAACTAAAATGATATTTTCTATGATACTTTCATCAGATTTCGTTATTATTATCTTAGAGAATCGCTATGGGCTTAACAAACATAATCTGTGATAATTTCATTCGATAATTATATAATGATAATTAACGTTATCCTCGTTAATTACTTCTAATAAAGGATTTTATTTGAGAAATGGAAATCTCAAAGTAAATAAATACATGTATTTAGATTGCTGATCTTAGCAAATTGAATTTTTAAGACATTTCACAAGATGAAATCAAGCCGATTGCATCAACTATTAATGCCTCTCATTTTAATGAACATACATACGTGTAGCTTTATGCACATAATGGTCTTGCTGTAAAAGTGATAATTTTGAAAGGAAATTTTTTCATACGTTAAATGACCAAAAATCAAATTCATATTAATCACTCCCAAGGAATTAATATAAAAATGAAGCTAAAATCAAAATCATTATAAAATAATATAAATCAGTATAATTTATTAACACTGACTACATTTTAATACATCAATATTGGAATAAAACGTGACAAGATTAATAAAAAATTGATGATCATCAAGGATCTTGCAATTATCAGGGTGAAAACTTCAATGAACCATGATAAAGATCTGAAAATAAAATCATCTTTCTGGTAAGAAAGGGAATCGAAATATCAACAGAGCATCAATGTAGAAGCATAAAATAAAATATTCGCTACGTTTACTGATCAAACAGAAAATTCCTATCACTTGGTAAGAACAGTTTTCTTTTTCATCATACTTTTTCATCTAATAGCTGTTCAAATAGTGTAAATAAACGTAATAGAAAAATTAAGAATGGGATTGGACAAGACTTTCTTTGGATTCTTGGATTTGTTTCAATATTTGCATCTATTCACTAATATATCATGTGGTCGAAAAGCAGAGCAATTAATAGATGATGAGTAACTTCATAAGATAAATATAATAACATAAATTTCAATCTAAGTTTGTACATTAACACACAATCGAAAGTATTGATAAGACAAATAATTCGATTTAAGATGAATAAATTGTTTCGAAAACCAATTGAACGATTTTTATCATGGTTCTTGGCTTTATAATATTACTCTTATTACTTTTTGTACATACACTATAAACCTTGAAATGAATCATAGACAAAAGAGTTCTGTTACACGGTGGGTCGATATTTCCATGAAATGTTTGAAGAGCTGGTTTAATTTTTTGAGGATTGTGTTCTGCTGAAAAGTTATCAGTTTAATTTTGAACACAAAGATTATTTTGGAGCTCCTGTTAAATCATCATTCACCACATCTGGATTAGTTTCAATATCATTTACCAGCTTATTGAAACTCAGTTTCAACGATAGCATGATAAAAATCATGGGCGATAATATTTGAATCGTATGGTAACCCTAAACTTTGCATAAAAGGTAATTTTAAATTATATACTATTCACAGTCTATGGATAAATACTCGTTTTATATTATTAAATGACTGGCCTGATAAACATTGTGATTGCTTTTTCCCCTGAATTAATATCATGAAATTATGATTACTGAAAAATTCAGTATGAGATTTTTTTCAGTTTTTATTGGTATCGTTATTTGATAACTCTTTCTTTTGCCAATCTACATTATAAATACGAGTAATTTAATTGAATTTTCAATCTGTTTTTAGATTCATTGTTCTAATGAAATTTTGAAACTGATTGTATAACACGATCTTCTGTTGTTATCAAGTCGAATCTTTCATCTTGTAGGATTTTCATGTTTTCTCACGTTGTATCCTTTAGCGAAGACTCTATTTTCTTAAAAACTAAATTATTTTTCTTTTCGTTGTGATTTTTTCAAAGGGTCTTTAACTAATTATTGAATTTGAAACTAAAACTGTCAATTAATAATCAGCATGAAAATTATTTATTAAGTTCCGGTTATTCAGAATAGGGTAAAACTTTGAAATAAGCAGCGTGATTTCAGGTGAGAAAGGTGGAGATTTGGTCAGAATAAAATAACACAAGATATTATTAATAGGTAATTTGATAGAAAATTTTCGAAATTTTGCCAAATGAAGAAAATTGAAAAAAAAAGTTTAAAATCTCTAAACTGGCTCAGGAAATTGAATCACAAAATCAATCGACAAATATAATTTAATGTAATAAAGTAACTAGGGAAAAACTAATATTCTGATCTTGTTTCCAGAATGTTTGATGCTTATGAGAATCTTTTTAACTTTCAACTGATTCAGTTAAAATATTATTATTGCTCTACCATCATGATTGTTATCATGATCACAATCGTTGGATTTACTTCGTATTTGGAGATATTTTCATTATCTTACCTAATGCTGGACACTATTTCAAATCATCAATTGATTCAACCAATTGATCCCTTGGACTCTATTAGTGATTGCAGATGAGAATTAATAATACCTGGATAATGAAATGATAATAAAATGATCCGATACTCTGACACTTGAGAATTAGAAACCTTTGAATAAAATAATATAAGGGATTCGGTTATTTCCAACTAATCAAGGTGATCAGATAATGAGATCATTAATTTGAGAATCAGAAACAATCAAATGGACCGACATCTAAATGAAATAATACAATCATTTGAAACTTTTTATCATTTTCTATCGAAGATACAGCCATGATTACGTTGATTATGATAATTGTTATCATCTCAGGAGATATTTGATCATTTAATTTCATTGAGAGGTGAGCCTGAATGTTAATCAATCGCTTGGCAATATTTGTATTTTTGTGATTTAATTTGATCTAAATCAATACCTTAATCAATCGAGGCTAAAAGCTATTAAGTTGCTAGACAATCAATTGAATGACGATTGAATATCACACTATATTCCAAGGTATTTCTTTCTTTGATAACTGATATTTTCAAAAAAAATACAATTTATATTATATTTGTGATTTAATATTGAAGCTTTATCATCTACTGAAATAACAATAACTTGAACATGATACAATGATGAAATATCTCATGATAATTATGTTCTAATATTTCATCGGTGTAATTTCAACTCAACTGAAACAGAACTAAACCAAAAAAAAAGATCAAACCTTTTTTGCAGTTTATCCTGAATCTATTTTAATGTTATTTTGATTGATCATCATTATTATTGTTTCCATTAAGCTTTAATACAATGATGACCAACATTCTAATCATCCTGATGAAGAGCGAGAATCGCCATTGGTCTCATCAATAAAATCATCAACTGAAAAGCATAACAATCTGATGAAGCAAAATTATCCTCATCATAACTATAAGGCTAATAGTAAATGGTTGCCTCGCTAAATGAGTTATTCGTGGCTTGAATTGTTGATTGTTATCATTGCTATTGTCTTTTTTGTTCAGTTCCCTTGGTATATCAACACCAGAATCATTAGTACATGTATGATGATTCAAAGCTAAATAGTATCTTCAATCTTGCATTACAATACCTTAATCATGACAACAGATCCGAAGCAAAAAGTTGAACCATTTCCATCAATATCTTTTCTTTGAGACTTCAATCAGCGATAAATTTGATATAAGCTATTGGGGTGTGAAATAAATTAGGAATAACCATTATTGTTACTTTATCTTTATTTTCAATAATTTAATAATTGTGATGATTTATAACAATTTGAGACAAAATTGATAGTTTGATTAAGATCAGATTGCCTGAAGATGAAAGTATTTCTCTGAGCTAACTTTTCTCAAAGATTGTTTCCTGGAATCATTTTTATTGATTTACCATGAATTAAGATTGAGTTAATTGCTGTTAACAATGGGAACTTGCGACCAAAACAATTACCATGAAAATCATCTCTGTCAATATCCCAAATCATAATCCCACCGAGATCATGGGTTTTAACATACTGTGATTTCCTTGCCACAGTTAACGGATGATCAAATGAGGCCCATTGATTGTTGTAATAAGTATAAAAAAGTTCAGATTCTGAATCACGTACGAGTTTCCAACCTTTTTTCTGAATTCGATCACAAATCTGAAGATTTTTTTTCAGCAAATGAAAAGAAAAATAATCAAAAAGTCAGCGATTGAGATGAATTAAAGATTAATTCAAAATTAGTGCGAAATCACAGGTTTATTATAAATAGATTAGAATAGTTTGCTGAACATAAAAGAGAAAGTTCGAACTTTGAGTTTTCGATAAAATAACATGCTCATTCCTGTGGACTAATAAGCATTCTAATTCTTAACATGATTGACCATAGACAAGATTGATTGAACTTTAATTTGTGTTATTATCATGGAAATGGGTCAATGGTTAATTTAACCAAAAAGTCAATCAAGATAGTTGAGCTTAACTCCCACTACTTAAATTAAAGACAAGTACTAATGAATTCCAAGTATCTATTGAAGCGACAATTGATGAACAACAGTCTTTTCATCGTTTCTTTTTCCTTTTCCTGTTTTTTTTCTCCGAGAGAAAAATTTCATTTCAATATATTTCAACAGAAAAGATTGGAAAAAGCAATAGATTCTCCTTCAAGTTTTATGTAAAAAAGTTCTGACACTAAGTATTCCTATTCTCATATTGATTCATTTCTGTTCTCGATTCTATCACGATTGTATTAGTCAAATGATTGTTAAATATTATCATGATTATTTTCGTTATTATTGTAATACTTGTGTTAACAATTTGTTCACTTTCAGCTATTATAATGAATTGAACTATTGAAGCTCAGTCTTTTTTTCATTCGAATGGATTAAATTTGTAACTTTTGCCAAAAAAAAGTTCTACCAATAATTTCAACAGTTTTGTAGTTTTTCATTATTTTTCATGAAAAGTTATCTCTATTTTTAATCTTCTTCGAGATACTTATGTTAAATCAGCTTAAGCAATGTTCATACTTTGTTCAATCAGGTTAATCATTTTCAGTTACACAAAGTTTTGCTCTATGTACACAGCGTTGATCAGATGAAAGGCTGTGAAATGAAATTCTGGCCATTTATTTATGTTTATACGAGGAACTTTATGGTTTATTTGTTGATTAGCTACAATTCAATATCAAATAAAAGTTATTACGTTGATATGCTTACCTCATAGAAAGCTAATAGTCCATCAGCTAATGTAAACTCCCCCTTGTCTCCTGGACCCTTAACAGCAGCACCAATCCCATGGTCATTAGGGTCAACTAAAGTGAAACTACGTGCGAAACTTGGTAAACCAAGAATTAACTTGCGACTTGGAATACCCTTCGAAATGTAAAGATGTAGACTTGAATTCTGAATAAAAATAATCAAGAGAGAGAGAGAGAGATTGTAATTATCATCATAACAATAATTGGAATAGTTTTGTGTAACTATTGAATTAATCATGAGTACTCACAGCATTTAGATCAACCGCAAAACCTGGTTGGCTAAATAAAGGTGATTGATGTCCAGTTAATTGATTCCAATGAGCAACATAATCAAAAGTCATCACATTAATATAATCAAGTCGAGATAGAGAAACAAAATCATAGCTTCGTTTAGCAATCATTGGATCACCGGAAACTGTTGCTGTAACAAGTAATCGAGATTCTGACTGATCAAAAGCATCTTTTAGCTCGCGGACAAAAAGTCCAAAGTTCTCCCTATCATCTGAATGAGAATTTTGTTGTCGACAATCTCCATTCCAACAGACTGGATAAAACCAGGCCAAATCGAGTCCGTCGAATCCATGTAAAAGTAGAAAAGTGATTGCATGATCTATGAAAGCCTTTCGATTGAGACGCTCAGAGACCAAGGTTGAAAATTTGTCCGATTGTTCAGACCAACCACCAATCGATAAAAGTATCTTCAAGCCTCGATTCGTTTCTTTCAATGAAATAACTCGCTAAAAGAAGATCGATTGTGAAAGACAAACAATAGAAATCAATTCAATCGTCTTACCTCATAAAACCGATTATCGATTTCAGCCCATTTGTCGCTTGGCTCCATCAACAAGGTTTCACTATTCAAAACCGTATAAGCATAATGAAGATGAGTACATTTGGACGCGTCGATATCCTCAGGCAAGAACATTCCTCGACTTGTCCTGTACCAAGCCTCGACAGCATAATAGTAACAGATCACTTTATATTGTCGATTATTATTTAATCCAATGAATTGTGGCTTCACAATAGTCGATAATCTCAATTGATCATTTTCACTGAAATTGCTGTTAAATTGAAGCACTAAAATCACAGGAAAAGATAGACACTCATTAGTGTGGTTGTTTGATTAATTGTCAATTTCATCTTACCTGTAAATATTGACTCTATTGAAACAATTAATATAAATAATCCTAATGAATTAAGTTGTCTCCTCATGTTGTCAACTATTAATTGTCCTCAACACTTAAACAGATAATATAACATGTAACCGTTAACTGATTGTAAACACCATCATCTTAATTATCATTATCATAAATAAATCAAATTATGCAAATTTAAAAACAGTGAGAATTTTGAATAAGCCTTGATAATGAACACAAATTGACATTGATTGAACTTGATTGTGAAAAAATTAACTTTACAATTTGCATACAATTAATAGTTGATCGTTTCCTCTTCCGTATTTAGATCATCACTTTAAGCCTCATTAAATGATTAATATGATTAAAAGTGATTTAAATACATTACTGTTGACATTAGATTTTGTGTAAGTTTTTTCAAGGTTGATCAAACTATTCATGGAAATTAATTCAGTTCAACCCAATACAATTGTTACTCTAATCTACTAATTATAATCATGACATTTTCCCAATGTAACCTCATTATGGGAGCAATTTATGCAACAATTAATATGACAGGTTAATGTTAATGTTAACAAGACTTGATTACATGTTGTTGTATAAATATTAACAATAAGGAACAATTATTAACAATTTTATATTTTCACGTTCCTAATGAAGTAAATTAAGTTATAATTGCGATTAAATCATTTTAGCTTCTTATTAAATCAAAACGGAAAATTTTCTTTTCATTGTTACAATTGCAAGTATTTTGCTACGTATAAGTGAAAGTGACAACATTTTTGTTGCAAATTGATATTTAATCACAAGTAACGGTTTGTACATTGAGTTTGTTTCGGTTTTCATATAACATACAGCCAAAGACTTTGAGTTTGCAACCACTTTTTAAATCATTCACGAAGTTAATGATAAGCAAATAAAGATAACTTTTGATATCTAATCAGTTGACCATTTTAAGACTACACCACTTGAATTAGTGGACAGACTTATCATCATATCTTTGGGTTAACTTTATCTCTCATTGATTATTTTCAACTACGTGAATGATTTAGAAAGTGTTTGCAAACTCAAAGTCTTTGGCTGTATAATATTGAAAAGAAAAAGATTCGTATCCGATAGTCTTTATTGAAGAAATGGTTTAAGAAGTTCTATACATGGGGATCCAAGGTACTCAGCAATTGGCACAACTACTTTCGATAAGCAAAAGGCCAACGCATCGATTGCTTCAACTCGAACCCTTGAAACGGGATCTCGAAGCATGACCAATAAATAAGGCAAAATTCTGTCCAATATTTATGGAGAGAGAGTAAAGTGTCTACTTTGGATAAGCAAAAGGACAAAAATGAAAAATTCAATTGTTCAGTGATGCATCTTTATGACAACGCAAACCTGTTTGATAGACAACCTTATTGCTCTTAACATGAAATTAATTCTTTGAAGGTTTTCCCCACATGGATGATGAAATTACATTTCAATTATCATAATTTATGCGCACTGTAATGTACAAAAATTAACTCATTTTAAAAGTTGATATTCGACATTGATTTTAACAGGTTTTTAATCAGATCCGGTTCGAAGTTTTCGTAACGCCATCGATTGTATAATCTCATAACAATTTTATATTTTCATGTTCCTAATGAAGTAAATTAAGTTATAATTGCGATTGAATCGTTTTAGCTTCTTATTAAATCAAAACGGAAAATTTTCTTTTCATTGTTACAATTGCAAGTATTTTGCTACGTATAAGTGAAAGTGACAACATTTTGTTGCAAATTGATATTTAATCACAAGTAACGGTTTGTACATTAAGTTTGTTTCAGTTTTCATATATTAGATTTATGTTTCGATTTCGGTTGATTAGCGTTCCATTAACTATTAATATTTTTAGAATATATTATATTGGGTACTGGTCTTCTAGTGACCTTATAATATTGAAAAGAAAAAGAAATAAAGTAAAAATCAAGAGTGAATGCTAAGAGAAAGAGAGGGAGTAGAGCAGAGATGCTAATCAATTATCATTAATATTAATATATTGATACAGTTATTGTATCATGAGCAATAATTACTTGAGTTGACCGATAGAAAGTCAAAAAACATCGAGATAAGATCAATGATAATTTAAGGAAATGTGATAGAAAAAAATTATGGCGGTTTTAAAATGAAAAGTATTGTATACTTGAAGACAATTTCATAATAGAAATTGAAGTGAAAAATGAAATAATTTAAAGATTAATAATGTTGATCATCTCCATACTTTGACACATCCATCAGCACTTGATGAAATCAATGCATTCATTTTGTTCAACCAAAGGAGATCAGTTACTGATGATTTATGAGCTTGTGAAACTGCCGATTGCTCCCAAGTTATTCCACTAGAATTACCTGGACCAATATTGAGAGATGTAGATGAAGATGAGTGAGGGAAACCTGAATCCAATGAGGTGGTTGAAGGTTGACGATAAGTTTTATGTTCTTGAATTACTTCACCGCCTTCGATCAGTTTCACGTCATAATGAACCGTATATTCAGGCGGTGCATTTCTGAATGAGGGGGAATATGGCCAAGGGACACTTCTATTGGAATCAGAGATTAGACCACAATTATTAATGTTAAGACAATCCCAGAAACGAAGCTTGAAGTCAGTCCCTCCAGTAACGACACATTCATTTCCATTTATGTCAAGGGTCACTATTCCGTTCACCGATCGAGCGCATACATCTTTATTCTCAGCTGTTAGAGCTGGAAGGTCACTGGCCCAAAGAGAGCGAATACGTTCCGAAGTGCCACAATTCCACAAAATAACTTCATTGTTTCCTTGAACTGGAAAGAGAAAAAAAACAGGAAATTGAGAAAATTGTTGAAATGTTGACGAAAACAATAGAAAATTATCTAAACAACTTACTTGCTGAGTAGAGAACACCCTTTGAGAAAAGAATTCGCATCACCCTTTTACCATTTTTCTTATTCTTTCCAAAGTTCATTACACTTGCTTCGAGGTAGAATCGGAGATCATAAATTGTTAAAACGCCTCGAGAAGTACCAACACAGAGTATGTGCTCGTTACCATCGAGACAGCTTATCATTCCTTTGACTAGAGGATCTTCAATCTTCCAAGATGGAGATTGATTCAAAGGTTGCCTGAGATCACGGCCAACTATTTGAGAGGCCGTGTTGGATGCGGCAAAAACATTGGGTGAAATGACACAAAGATCAGTTAAAAAGGTATTATCTTCATCGCAACAATACATTTTAACTTTTCGATTTAGTTTCATTTTAGAAGATGAATTGTCCATTTGCAGAATGTAAAGAGTATTACTTTTTGTGAAACTGATTAGGTTATTGGTCCCTGGGGCATAAACCACTGTCTTAAATTCAGTTTCATCTTCAGAAACTCTGAAGCTTTGCTTTGATTTGTTTATCATGCAATTTCTATCTTCCACTTTCGCAGCATCCCAAACTTTCAACGTACAGTCCGAAGAACAGGTAACAAAAACCGTACTTGGTTCAATAAGTGTCATCCTATTGATGCATCCTGAGTGTTCATGAAATTGTCCTAACAAGACACCTCGAGGCGCATGAGAAGTGACACCATATTTACTTGTAACCCGAGGTTCGGTGGTTGAATTGGACATTTCAGACATGTTATAGATGAAGTAATGTTTTTTGCGAGAGATTAAATTGTGCAAATCGTTAACACAAGGTGGACATGTTATGGGTTGTGGTCCACTGTTACTAATAACATTTTCTTTAGCCTCCTGAGCAACTGGAATCACATCAAGATCTGTTGATTTTTCATTAACAGAATTAGCATCTAGAATTTCCTGTGATGTCTCAGCGCTTTCTCGATGTGAGCCAAACATCGATTGCCATTCGTCATTAATGTTTATTCCTGATGCCGTTTGGTAATTCCTTCGGTAAAACATGTCTGATTTGTCAGTTTCATTGAGATTTACAGAATATGTTTTGCGAGGTTTACGAACTGAGATTATGTTTGCAGTTGGGTCAGGCTCAGGACGACCTCGAAAATCTCGATGGATTTTACCCAAAATTTTGGATAAATTAAGAATCTGCTCTTCTTGGTCCTCTGATAATCTGCTCTCTCCTTGATAGTTGAGTGATCGGAGAAGAGGACAAGTATAATCAACAGAATTTTGTTTGCCAGCTCTTGCCTTTGCTCGCAGTTTTTTTCTTTCCTTAAGACAATCAATGAGTGGAATGAAACTATTATCCTTTAGATTCGTATAGCGTGATGGTTGAATAATTATATTCAACACATGTCTTGGTATCGGGCTCTTAAGATTTTCCAGCAGAACATCGATATTTTGTAATGAGAAAATCTCTTTCGTCATGTATGGAGCAATGAGAGGCATAATTTTACAATAAATATCAGCACTGCTCAATTCTTGAGCAAGAACATGGATAAAGTTCACTAAACTGTGTCTCACCCAAATGTTTGGATGGGAAAGTAAACTGATAGCATCACTTAAGATTTCAAATACTATTGGTTTTTGCCATAATTTTGCTTCAGTTAATTTAGATAAGCAGATCAAAGTTCTGTAGATAACAGTTTCTTCCGTATCCGATAGTCCTTGTTGAAGAAATGGTTTAAGAAGTTCTATACATGGGGATCCAAGGTACTCAGCAATTGGCACAACATTGTCAAAAAATGCACTACGAAGATCATGCATTTCCTAAATAAAAACAACAAAACAATCGAGATAAGTATCAATAAAGGTCTTATCGAAGATCAGTTAATTACCGTTCCATTTAAAAATGTGAATATATGAGACAAAATTAGTTCATTTGTTTTTTGGTGACCAAAAAATTTACAAAGTTTCGAAATGTTGTTTGAGAGTAGCCATATTTTCACTTCACTCGATTGATCCGTTAAAAGATTAGCAACCATCGCCTGGAAACCTGAATGTAATACTGCTAATTCAGTGTTATAATGAAGTACATCGCCGGTCGAATTGCTAAGAAACTTGGATGCAATGTCCGCGAGCTCGGCCAAATGTTCAGCTAGGGCTAAGCGAACATGACAAGATGGGTCCTTGGCTAATGGAGTCTAAAAGAAAGTCAAAAAGAAAAATCTTTAGTATCGATTGGAAGAGTAAAACAAAGGAAATATTATAGAAATAGTAATAATAATGAATTACCAAATTTGGAAGAATGTAATCTGGGAAAACGTTATTATCACTTGGGGGTACAGTGTCTACTTTCGATAAGCAAAAGGCCAACGCATCGATTGCTTCAACTCGAACCCTTGAAACGGGATCTCGAAGCATGACCAATAAATAAGGCAAAATTCTGTCCAATATGTATGGAGAGAGAGTAGTTACATCACAGTTTAAAATATCACATAATAGCCTCAGGCCAATAGTTTTTGCATGTAGGTGTTTTAACGATCGGATTACTGAAGTTACCAAAACAATGAGCAAAAGAAAACCTTTAGGATCTTCTTTCTCTATTAAAGGAATGATTGTTTTCAATTTGCTGGAAATTTGAATAACCTTTTCATCTGGTGGAAGTTTGATTATATCTTTGATAAAGATGAAAAGATCACTGAAATAATTGGGAAATAGCGTTGGAGTTAAAGCTTTCAAGTGGTGTGAAGCTGATTTTCTCAGCTTAGGATCCAGTTCGGTGAAATTCAAAACTGTTTGACGTATCAGATCATCGGGAATTGAATCGATTATCTTGTTGTAGCTTTGAATATTACGATCTCCTGCTCGGTAAGAGAGCAATGTAGAAAGATCAAAAAGACCACCGTTTGAAGAAACTTCTGTGAAAAGCTCAGCAAGAACACAGCCAATGCTGAAAAGATCCATGGACGGTTGATGGTCAATTGATGTACTTGATTCTTGAGCCGAGGTGGGAACATATTCAGGAGGAGTGAGATCACCCTGAGAGTGACTCTCATGAGTGAATCTCTCTGGGGCAACATTGCAAGTTCGTCTTCTTGAGGTGTCAAAAAAATAAGAGAAATCAGCTGGATTGTCCTTTAGAAAAAAGAGAACAAAGAAAAAGGAAATGTTAATGTTGAAAGTTTACAAAAAGGAAAAACTTGTTGAGATCTATAGAAAAGAAGCTTTTGTTGGTCAAATAGTTCTTTCCAACTGGACAGTAGAGATAATCATGGTGAATACTATGGATAATTTCAAATTATCATTTTCAAAAAAGTGCGACAATTAGCTTAGATAAAGGAACAGATAAGCTTCACCAAACTAAAGCTTTTCTATTATCTAAATTATGCTGAAGTCAACTGATTTAACCATGGAATCAAACACGTCACAAAGGAGCTTTGAGTAGGAAATAATTTCGAGTTTGTAAACAATAGTATTTACCTCAGGAAGAAATACTGGCTTATATGTAGCAAAATCTGTCATAAGAACCCAAAGGTAACTTGTGATGAGAATGTTTTCCAATTTGATGTCCCCATGACAGATTCCTTTCTCGTGAATCCATTCTGCAGATTTGAGTACTTGGTAAGCGATCCATGTTTTCTCGAAGAATGTTAAAAATGGTCGAGTTGATATTCTATCATACAAATTATATTTGATATACTGTCTAATCAGAACGGCCGCTTTCTCATTGATAACAGCTTTGCTGAAGGCGAGTGCATTTGGATTATCTTTCAGTATTTCTTTAACCCAATCGATCATTTCTTTGTGAGCTTTCAATGGTAAGGTAGGATCATTAATAACAAACACTTTAGCAACACCAAGACTGGGAGCATCAAGTCCAGAATATTGATTAGAAATAGATGATTGCATGTCAGATGCTTGAGGGCGTACTTGGTGTAGCTTAACTCGAGCCACTTTGAAGAATCGTGTTGATCCAAGATTCCCATCGAAAGTAACACACTCGGTCGCAGCGATATCAGATAGATAATATTCCGTTGGGTGAAGCTGTACAGGTACAATTCCGGACAAATGGTTGCCCATTGTACAAAAAAACTAAGAGTCACGAGCACAGAAAATTGAATTGAAAATAAATAGATGAAGACAAAACATAAAATGTTTTTGTTTACAATTTTTTTCCAAAAAAAAACATAACAATTACCTCGCTCACCGAAAGAGGCGCAACAATCACTTTTTCTTTTATTCTAAACCAATAGGTGTCACTACGCACAGGAGAAAAGTTAATTGTAACAATTAACAATTAAAAAGAAAAGAAAATGAATCAAATTTAAAATAGATATTAAACATTAACAACTTGTATTCTAATCTTAAGTGTTTTCATGATAATTGATAAACATATAAACTAGATTATGACGGATAATTTGAGAGGAATCAGTTGATAAAAAGACTTAAATAAAATCGTAATTGTATTAATATTTTGTTAATTGTGAGCGATTTATGCTTTCAAACCTGATGTTTTCTTAGATTTTCATGATAACTGAAATTTTAATCATGTTTATGGCTCAATTGTCTTTTCTCTTATATTTTATTGAAGATTTCTACCCAATAGTTGACATCAAATGGTCACAATTTTTGCCAAGAAATTACGATTGCCGATTACTATTAACATCATTTAAGATTCAATTAAAAGTGAATCAGTGAAAACAATAAGTGAACATAAGACGAAACATTAAGCCCTTAATATAAACCTAATTGGATAGATAATAAAAGTTACTTAAACTGATTCAATGTTTGATTCTTTTTCTTTATTCAATTTCCTTTTATCATGATGATGATAAAGATGAGGATGATGATAGGGTAGTGAAAGAGTGTCAGGCAAAAGAGAGACTATGATCTTGCGTAGAGTAAAATTCAATTGCATTTCTCATGATTCTTGGACTGAATCATCACAAAGAAGATGGAAAAACATTACGAACATGATAAAGTTCATGATCAAGAACTGAAACATCTCGTTATTATCTAAAGTAAGACTGAAATATGAATCAATTTTTTTTCACTTTCAAACTGTTAATGAATTTTGCTCACAACTGATCAATAGTTTCAATCCGTGTCATCATCATGATCTTGCACCTTAATTGTTCATTGTTAACATTTGGTGAAATCTGATATCACAAGAACAACAATTCAAAGTTATTATCTACAAAAATCTAACATTTTGATTAGTCTCCGATGATCAGAACTAATTTTACATGGAAAGTTCATCTTATTGGTTCATCATTAACTATGTTCAAAATTCATTGGCAACTGAAACGGTGACAAGTTAATTCCTTACAATCAACTGATTGTGATCATACTCTAGTAACCTGATTGTGTAAATTAAATTTCTAATTAAATGGCTTTAATTAAAAGATGTTGCTTCCTCTCAGTTCGCAGAGGAAGCTATTTAAGCGCTTTCTACACCTTGGTATGTAATTTAATCTTAATTGTTTTAACGATAATTGGTTATTTTAATCCACAATTAACTGTCTAACTGTCTTGTTAATCTTTGTCTAATGTTGAGTTAATTAAATTAAACCTAAACTACATCGAGATGATTATAACATCACATCATCATTTTGATTAGTTTTAGTCTTCATTTCTCATTTACTATTTACTTTAACTGCATCTTTCCACTAATCCATTAATTGTAGTTAATTATATGCCAACTTGGTCATTGATTTAATTTTCGTTGAGCTCTAATCATTGTCTAATTATTCTTGATTAGCAATTCCTAGAATCTATTTGTAACAAGTAAATCAACTTCAATATCATTACATGTTTCCCACTCAATCTAGTAAACGAAACAATTACAATCAGCTAATGATAATCATTTTCAAATACAATTGTTGTACTAACAGTTGATTAACAGAAAACTAATTTCCACAGGCTTGTTTTGAGTGATTAAATTAACAGTTTACTCAAAATAAATTTAGCCTTAGATTGATTAACAATTGATGAATTGATTTCTTTTAACCAGAATATCAGAAAATTATTACGAAAAACAATTTATTTGAATGTTAATTATCTCAAGAGCTTTTTATTAATATATTATATCTTGGATAGATAATTGAATCGAGTTCACAACAGCATTAAATGTAAAGGTATTCCCAAAGAGTTAATCGCTTGAGAATTGATTTAATTGTATATTTATATTACTAATAACACTAAGAATACTAACAAGAATAAGCCTTAAGAATAGTCTACTAAATTGTTGACATCTCAAAATTTGTATATCAACAAAAGTTACATGATGATCATAACCTTCATTAGAATTCACTCCGTATGAATAATTAATCCGAGTAAATATTAATAACTGAATTAATATATAAGAGAAAATGTTTCTCAACAATTAAATTTCACCAACAATCACTCTGAATGACCGATTGTTTCCTTTTCTTCATTTATCATCTGAAAACATAACAATAATTATGATAATACTTATCAGAACTTCATACTGTTCAGAGTTTAAATCAGATTAGATTGTTGTAATACTTTCACTAATTGCTGATTACTGTTCATGTCTTCAAACTACATCATATTTATATATTCAGTTTATATTCTGGTTATAAGTTAATCAGTTTGATTTGAAATTGACTCATTTGATTTCAGCCTGATGCTCATTAAAAGTTGAAACCAATTTATTTAGATTTAAATTGTTTGCTAACAATAAGTAGCCATGTAAATAGATACAAATTTTATCTTAATGATTAGTTATCGTAATGATTGCATAGGGAAACTAATTTAATATTCATTAACAATGAACTTTCAATATAATCTACTGTTGATCGTTAATTGTGCTCAGAAAATGATTGAATAATCTCATAACAAGATAATTCTTGTAATAGTTAAACTTTTAATTCCCTGATCATGTTTTTATAATCGAGTTAAATTGTTAATCCTTTTCAAGTTTCACTCTTAATTTAATTGATGATTGAAATGCTACTTTTTAATCAAATAATATCACACTAATTAACTTTTTTTTGTATCTCAATTAGGTATTTTACACGATGATTTTCATGGCTGGAACAATTAATATTCACTCCATGCAAAATGATTTCTGTGAGTATGATAATTAACATTCAATCTATTACATGGGCCTAAGTCTAATCATTGGAGTGAAATTAAATTAAACTAAATTAATCTGATTATCGTCGGATATCAAATTACTTTACATATTTAAATTGTCAATTAATTACGATTAAATTGTAAATCTCTCTCTCTCTCTCCTTGTTAACTTTAACAACTAAGTATTAATTTCCTTAATTGAGGACAAAATTAATCATCAATTTTAATTTTCACTTTTTAATACTCAAACTCAATCAGAAAATTGTCCCAAGTTTTCAAAATTAATTATCAAAAGTAATTGGATAATTGTGTTTAGATTTTCACAACTAATAAATTATATTCAATTATCATAGTGATAACACTTTTGATTCTAATAAATTTTGACAATTAAAGTTACCAAAGCTTTTAGTTATTTGTATTATTATCATAGATTCAGAATGAAAATTCATTTTCTTTTCTCAGTAACAATTGAATTTGATCAACTTTGTCAGAACTTTTTATTTATCTAAAGCTATTGTATCATAACTTTTATAACCTTTTATGTTACAGGTATTAAGAGTTTATTCATTGAACTTATTACATGATAAAAAAGATAGAAAGTTGAAAATTTTGAATTGATAGAGATGCTATCAGATTAAACTCATGGTGGACTGAAAAAAGAATCAAGAATGTTGATTTATTAATTCCTCTTTTCTACCTGGAAAATATTAAACCGAGATTGATGTTTATCTGATGACGATAAATAAACCTCATGATGTTACCTTTTCCGGAAGATTTCCGAGCAAATATATAACATTGATGTTACACACCTAAATCTCTGAATATTATACATGTTGTTGTCGATGTCATTCAAAGTCCAGAGGCACTTTTATAGTCAAATGAGTTTTATTCACATCTCGTACTAGATAATAAGATCTGGTGTAAATCAAATTTCTGAATGAAAATCTACTTTTTCTGGCATCTTAAATCAACGTATTGAGTTTATTTTATTCAGAGTGAACTGAGAATTAGCTTATTTAGCCTGAATCAATTATTATCAGATGAAGATTTTTCTATCTGTAAATTAATACATTGAAATATGACAACTTGCAATTTTTATAGTTTTCTCAGTCAACTTCACATGATAATTATAAAATGTTTTAATTATTTAATACCAATTACTTACTATTTCATTGGTTTTCATGATGTTCCTTATTTGCTTGATCCGTTAACATCCAAACGTTTTGTCCAATTGAATATTTATATGTAAATGGCTTTTTTTTTATTTTTGTTTTATTTATTATAGATATTTATTTGATAAGATAATAGTGTTTATTGTTTATCATCATCATCAATAAATGTTTAGAACAATTACAAAAAGTAAATTTAGTAAAATATTTGAGATTAATCAAGTTTGTTTGTCTTTCTAGACAATTCAATAAACAAATTTTGTGGTGTTACTTCTCGTACAGATTGTTGATTTACTATTTTTGCACTTTTAATTTCTTTTGCAGTTTTGAGATAGATATTCAATTTCTGTGGTTCTAATTCTTCATTATCAGTCATATACTTATCAGGGTTACTATTGAATTTAGCTATAAATTTTCCTTTGAATTTGAAAATTTCGTATCTTTCACTTTCATGTTTATTAAGAAATTTTTTAATTTCATCATTTTGTCCTTGGTCAGAATTCATTTGAACACATTAACTATGTAAAGAGTTTTATTATATATTGTTGATATTGAGTTAGGATGATTATTCACACAATAATTGAATTAAGACACAATTGGGTTTTTATTGTTACATATGGTTTGATTATTAACATTACTTCTCAATTGAGAAGCAATTCATGTTAATGTTTTGCGTGTCTGTGTTGCTTCTCAATTGAGAAGCAATTCATGTTAATGTTTTGCGTGTCTGTGTTGCTTCTCAATTGAGAAGCAATAATTGGTAGTAATAAATTTTTCTGAATATATTTTTCCGGTGATGATACAGTTTCGAATTTCAAACTTTATTTGTATTCTATCATTAATAATTTTGCTTTTACAAGATCATATTTGCGTTTTCGGTTAAAATATTTTGATTCTAAAAGAGGTAAGTATTTGAGTTGATCAATAGATAAATGAGTTGATAATAAATGGTTAGTAGTTCGAATAAAACAGGTTAACGTATGGTCAGCTCTCATTAACAAAATTTTTTCATGTTCTTGAATTGTTATAGTATAATCTGAATAAAGGTTAAGAGTCATTGTAAAAGGACTTACAATTAATCTTGCTTCATAACCATTAGCATTCAGATTCTCTAATAGAGTGTTTAACGAGCAATATTTATAACGATTGATTTCTTCTGTTCTTGACCAAATAAAAAAATCTCTATTTTGTTTGAGATTAACCATGTTTTTTATCTCATAAGCAGGAAATTTCAATCGTTTGTTGAGTTTTCTAATTTTTCTTCGGCTTGTAATTTTTGAATTTCTGTTAGATTTGATTTCGTGTCATCAAGAAATTGTTCTCCATAATTATATGGCTCCGTTACCAGTGTATTGCTAAATTTGAGACAAATTAGCTTCAAAATTTCGTCATGATAACTTTCAATTTTATCGTTGGTGATATTAATTATATAATCAGTAGTTAATGTATTAATTAATAAATGAATATCTCGTGTACCCATTTTCCATTGTGGATTCTTTTCATCGATTACTCGAGAAGCAATGGCTTCTTTTTTTAGTTGTTGATCGAATAATCTTTTTTCCATTGAATCATATGCGACGAAGCGATATATGTAACAATTTTTTTTTGACCATAACGATATATTCGACACGAAGCTTGAGAATCATTTGTTGGATTCCACGAGGTATCATATAGTATTAATCGATTAGCACTAGTAAGATTTATTCCAAGACAACCAGCTTTAGTTGATATTAGCAGCAAAACCATTTTGGAACATCTGTTGAACTTATCAATTACTTCAGCCTTTTTGTGATTCAATAATGTACCATCTAATCGTAAATAATTTTCATGTTTTTTCCAATGTTTACTTTTTCCGTGCTTATTGATAAAACTTTCTTTGTTTAAAAATTTTTCTATCACTGATAAAGTTGTTAATGATTGGCTAAATACTAACAACTTCTCATTTCTCTGGGCTGTTTCGTTAACAATTGTTAGTAAAAGAAGCATTTTATTACTGTTAGCTGCTATACCAGGTTTGTAATTTTCTAACACGTCTCTTGTTGACATCAATGATTTTTTTATGATATTTAAATCGACTGAATTAGCTGTTGATTCAATTTCTGGTTCAAGTTTTTGTGAAATGAAACAGTCATAATAAATATCTGGATGGTTCCAAATCTAATTAGTTTCGATAAAATTGAATTAGTTATTGTTCTTATGTCTTTTTTTTTATATAAAAAAACTTACTTTAAGTAACATTGCAGCTAAAGTAACTGGATTATAAAAGTTTCCACAAGTTATCATGACATTTAAAAATTTTTTCATTAATTTCATCTGTATGTCTGTTGATTTCACGGGAATAACATATTCGAATTTATCAGGTAAATCTTTGGTAAGTAAATCATTGTTACGTCTAATGAAAAGAAATTTAAAATTAAGTTAGAAATTCGCTTGTAGTGGATATACAGATGTAGATTAACATTTAGTGAGTAATATTAGCTTATAGTTATAATTACCTTTGAATGAATCCACGAATAAGCTTGTTTAACACATGAGTTTGTTGTTTCATTATATATTTGTCATGTTCGGTGCTATTTATACATTGTCCATTTGTAATTGGTCTTTCGAATTTGTTTATGAATTCCTCTTTTGTACCCAAGAAATGTGGTCGGACGAAATCGACCATACACCAGTATTCGACAAGGTTATTTTGTAAAGGTGTCCCAGTAAGGATAAGTCTTCTTTGAGTTCTAATTCGTTTCAATTGCTTACAAGTTTTACTTTCGTTGTTTTTTATACGATGACCTTCATCACATATTACAAAATCAGGTCCTGGATCTAGTAATGCTTCTCTGAGTGAAGATTCGTTCACCATTTTACAAAAACATTCAAATCCTATTAATAATACACCACCTTTGATTTTCCAATGATCTATAAGTAAAAAAAAAATTAAGTACAAAAAATTTATAATAGTTTTAATTAAATACTCACTTATTATTTGAATCTTCTCTAAGTTAGTTTTTCCAGTATTAGCAATGGAAATTTCGAAAAGTCTTTTGTATTGTTTCGATTTCCTTGGTAACCATATTTCAAATTCTTTGAACCAATTATTTAGAACGTTAACTGGTACAATAATCATTATCGATTTTGATTTGGTACATTTGAAGTAAATATCAACAAAACAAATTACTTGTAGTGTTTTACCTAATCCCATACTGTGTGCCAATATACAACCTAAACCTTTAGCTGAATTAAATTTTTGATAATTTCCGATGAGATTATCGTACATAAATCTAATTCCTCCAATTTGATGTGGTTTTAAGACCTTTGTTAAATGTTCAGCGACATATATTGGTGGTTGGTCATCATGATGTACGTTTATTCGAATATTCCCATTTTCATCAGGTACATTGTCTTTATCATCGTTATGATTTTTTATCGACGAAACAATTTGTTTTTGATTATCTTCATCGTCACTTGAAAGAAATATTTCATCAATATTTGTTTTTAATCTTTTTAACTCTTCGTCTCGAGCATTTTTTGTTTGTTCGCTTTCTGTTTCTTTTATCAATCGAATTCGTTTTCTCTTTATGAAATGATCATCTTCTACTTCTTTTTGTTTTGGAAGTTTGTTTTTTGTTGTTAAATCCATTTTTCTGTAATTTAAAAAAAATTTTAAAGGGTGAAAAAAATTTATCAAAATGATACTTTGAAAAGAAAAGTTTGATTTGCACATAAAAAGTTTGTAATTGGTTTCATTTAGATTGAAAAGTTGTTTGAATAAAAAAGTTTACAAATGAAAATGTATTGATATTGAAAATATGATGAAAAAAGAAAAAAAAAGAAAATATTATCGCTTTTCAATTGAGAAGCAATAATAATTTCGTAGTAATATGAACAACTGCTTTTCGATTGAGAAGCAATAATAATTCTGTAATAATATGAATAACTGCTTCTCGATCGAGAAGCAATAACAAATTTAGATTGTTAGAATACATATGTTTCTTGATTAAGTAACAATAAAAATCTATGTATATTAAAGCAATTGCTTTTCATCAGAGAAGCAATGATAAATTTGTATTGTTGAAATATAATTACTTTTCAATTGAGAAGCAATACCAAATCTGTCGATTAAAGCAATTGTTTCTCAATCAGGAAGTGATATTAAATCTATGCTAATTAAGAAAAGTGCTTCTTAATTAGTATGTGACAGTCAATTATTATTCGACTGAGAAGCAGTGACAAATCTGTTTAGATCAATTTAATTGTTTTTAATTTGAAAAACAATGATACTTAATGTTGATAATGAATATAATTGCTTCTTAACTAAAAAGTAATAATAAATCGAACTAATAAATTGTAATTATTTCTCGATCGAGAAGAGTTAACAAAACTGTATCGATTTCTTCACAACTGAACAGTAATTATAAATATCTATTAATTAAAAAGTTTGCTTCTTAATTTTTCGATGATCAAGAATGATTTTTTATATATTCATTATATATTTATTTTCAATCACAATATTTATAATAGTTTATTTTTGCTTTCATATTGAGTAGTAATTTTTTCAACAAACTGAATAAGTCTTAATTGAGTAGCAATTATTTTAATTGACGATGAAATAAACGGTGATAATTAATTACTGGAATTCAACTGTTTTCAATTAAAAATTAAATCTAAATGTTAAATCTGTGTCGATCTCAAATCAATTGCTTCTTAATCGAGGAGCAATAATAAATTTAAACTAATAAATGACAATTACTATCGAGAAATAGTTAATTGTACCAGTAAAAATAACTTGCTTCTCAACCAAAACTTATTGGTAAATAGATACTGATCAAAATTATTACAAATATAATCTGGTGGTGTATTTACCTGAATGAATTCCAATTGTTGTGTAAGAGAAATTTAATAATAATGTGAACGTCTTTTATGATCGAACATCAACAACAAGTTATCACAATTTTTTAACTGTCACCATCTAAACAACAGTAATTATATCGACATCACAATTGATTAATTAACCAACGATTTATAAATCATATATAGTTTCTCATGGGAATTAATAGTCATTGGTAAATAAACAGTTAACTAATTAACAAAACTGTTGAAAACAACAAGAGATGCGAATTTACACTTAAGACATAAAAGGTATAACAGAATTGATCAAATCGATCGGCTGATTTATGATTAGTTTTTAACAAGTTTGAAGTTAATTTTATTTAGATTGAAAACTTGTAGTTGATTCAAATTAAAATTGTGTTAAAAGAACTTATAATTTATAATGATTGATAAAATTTATCACGATTGAAATTGGTAAGATGAAACAATATGTAGTAGTTAAAGGTTGAATTTGTATTATCAGAATAGTGGAAATTTAGACTAATACACGATAATTGCTACTCAATTGAGAAGCAATAACAAATCCAGATTATTAGAATACATTTGTTTCTTAATTGAGTGACAATGAAAATTTAGTTAAATTAAAGCAATTGCTATTCGTCTGAGAAGCAATGTTAATAAATCTGTATTGTTTGACTATATTAATTTTCAATTGAGAAGCAATATTAATTGTGTAGTGTTAAAACAATTGCTTCTCGATTGAGAAGCAATAACAAATTTAGATTGTTAAGATACATATCTTTCATGATTGAGTAGCAATGAAAATCTATGCAAATTATAACAATTGCTTTTCGGATGAAAAGCAACAATTAATCTGTATTATTGGACTATAATCTATGCTATTAAAAGAAATCGCTTCTCAATTGAGAAGTGATATTAAATCTGTGCTGATTAAAATAATTGCTTCTCAATTGAGATGTAATAATAAATTATTCTCAGCTGGTAACTGGTTTTGTTTTGTATTGTTTCCTCTCTCACTTTAAGATTAATGATTAACAAATCATTTCGTCAAATCAGCTGATGATTTAGGAGATTTTAAATTTTCCTATGGATTAAGTTAATTGTTGTGATTTTTTCTTTATAAATCTGAGAACTATTAAATGTTCATTGAGACATTTTTTTGATAACAATTTTATCTAATTTGATGTTAACTTTTTCCAATATCTCAATAACTTCATCTGGTTAATTTTCTTGGCTTAATAAGAGATAAATTAATCCATCATCAGCAATTACATTGATTATTGTTTCGATAAATTTGTCAATCACTCGACGACCTTTGATTCCTTCAGCCCATGATTTGGTCAATAAATTGTCACTTTCAATCTAAAAAAGAAATGAACAAAAACAATTAGAATATCGTAAGAAATAATTTTCAATTAATTAAGCTTAATTGTTTCTCACCTCACAATCATTTGTAGGCACACAAGGTTGATTGAAGACAATTAAATCAATATTAGATTCTAATCGATGTTCCAATGAATCAATTAAATTGGTTAACACAATTTCAGGTGAATAAATGAGATTATTGAGGTTGATAAAATTTATCACGATTGAAATTGGTAAGATGAAACAATGTGTAGTAGTTAAAGGTTGAATTTTCAGAGTAGTGGAAATTTAGACTAATACACGATAATTGCTAGTCAATTGAGAAGCAATAACAAATCCAGATTATTAGAATACATCTGTTTCTTGATTGAGTGATAATGGAAATTTAGTTAAATTAAAGCAATTGCTATTCGTCTGAGAAGCAATGTTAATAAATCTGTATTGTTTGACTATATTAATTTTCAATTGAGAAGCAATATTAATTGTGTAGTGTTAAAACAATTGCTTCTCGATTGAGAAGCAATAACAAATTTAGATTGTTAAGATACATATCTTCATGATTGAGTAGCAATGAAAATCTATGCAAATTATAACAATTGCTTTTCGGATGAAAAGCAACAATTGAGAAGTGATATTAATCTGTGCTGATTAAAATAATTGCTTCTCAATTGAGATGTAATAATAAATTATTTTCGATTGAGAAGCAGTGATAAATCTGTATAGATCAAATTAATCGTTCTGATGCTGATTAATGTTTCTTAATCGAGAAGTTATAATAAATTTAAACAAATAAATTGTAATTACTTATCGAGAGTTCGTAATTTGTCATAATACTTTTATTTTATCATTTTCGTCAATTTTTTTTATACAAAATATGCAAAACTAAGTTTACAATTAATTTGTCAAGTGTTTTTCCTTGAAATGACGACCAATATTTGCATATTTAGCAACAATTTTCGGAGGTTGACAATAGCAGCAAATTGCAACATATTTACTGCTTGAAATATGTTGAATAACATTATTAATTCTATTTTTTCCGTCGTAATTACAATTTGGATGATATCCGCATTTATCACTTTTACATGTTTCAGTTTCTTGGTTGATTATTACAAAGTTTTTTGCCTGTTGTCTTATTTGTTTTAAGTTAATTTTTTCGTTAGTATCTTTATCGGTACAATAATATTTAAATAGACGACTTTTTTGTGGGTCAGAACATTTGTTTTTATATGTTTCGACGAAACCATCATCATCAATAATTTCCGTTGGTAATGGTGGTCTCAAATCATTTGAAACAATAAACGTAATGTTTCTGTCCATTAAGTTGAGTTGCTGAAGGATATTTTCCGAAGTTTCTTTGTTTATTATAATTTGGTTGTTGAAACTCGACGAAGAAGGTTCTGAAATTTCAAATGTAGATTGAATTTGATCATTAGCTTGAAATTCAATCAAACTGTTATTTGTTGCTATCAAAAAATCCACAACTGGATTAGTTTCATTTGGATTCTGTATATATTCGATTGGTGGATTTGGGACAACAACTCCTTGATTGGCAATTTCAGTTTCAAAATTTTGAACTAATTGAGTTGGAAGATTTGGCACATCTTCCTCCATTGATATAAATTCTTCAACAATATTAGTTTCAAAATTTTGTAACAATTCAGTTGGTGAATTTGATGTATTATTGTCCATTTGAACAACAGCTTCTTGATTGATAATTCCAGTTTCCAAATTTTGGACCAATTGTGTTGGAGGATCTGACACATCTTCTTCCATTGATATACATTCTTCAACAATTTCAGTCTCAAAATTTTGTAACAATTCAGTTGGTGGATTTGATGTATTATTGTCCATTTGAACAACAGCTTCTTGGTTGATAATCCTAGTTTCCAAATTTTGGACTAATTGAGTTGTAGGATTTGGCACATCTTCTTCTATTGATATAAATTCTTCAACAATTTTAGTCTCAAAATTTTGTAACAATTCGTTTGGTGAATTCGTTATATCTTCCGTTGGGACAACAACTCCTTCAGTTGGAGGATTTGATATATCTTCTCCCATCGAAATAAATTTTTCAACAACTTCAGTCGTCAAATTTTGAATTAATTTGGTTGAAGGATTTGTCATATCTTCTTCTATTGGAGCGATTTCATGGTCAATAGTTGTTGAAATTGTTGAACTTTCTTTTTCTTTGTTTTGAGATGATGACGTTGGTAGAGTACACAAAATATCATCACCGATATCTGGTAAGATATCAGGCATCAATTGGTTGTCGAAATCTTTAAAACTATTAGTTGAGTGATCTTCGACAAGTTCAATGTTCTGAGAAAATTCTAAATACGAATCTAGAATGTGTTCATCGTGAATTTTGCAATAATCACGGAATACGAATACTTGATCAGCATTTTGTTTTTTCGATTCTTTGTCGTTATATCCAAATCTCGGGATGGTCTTTTCTTTTAGTATATTTATAGTTGGGTCGAGTTTTGCGGTATAACATGAGTCCAAATATACTAGTATCTGTATTAATTCTATATAATTATAACCAGCGAATTGGTAATTGACATTGTGTTTAGCTTCTTTCAATTTTTTGAATAAAGCCAACCGATATTGTGATCTCAGTGGCTTTTTTGGCAAATTTAAAGCGGTGAAAATTTCTGCCTAAAATGTAAACAAAAGAAAAAATTAATCATCGGTAAATAAATGTGGTTTAAGTTTAGAAGCTACTTACAATTTTTTTTGGACTAAATGATGTAAATGATTTGGAGCCAATATTCTCCATGGTAATTTTTCAATTAATTTCTTTAATCACACAATTTATAATTTTATCACATTTTATCACAAAATTATCAGATTAATCATAAAAATTTAATTATAATTGTTGATGTAAATAATTGAATTTGCGAAGCAATGAATTTTAATTTTAAAAAGCTTTAATTTCAAATTATTCTATTCTAAATACAAAACCGCGTTTTTTGAATTTTGTTTTATTTTTTTCATAATCGCGCCACTTTTATTTTCTTTTTTACATGGTTTATATTATCTTTCTGGGTCAGTTCCCATTTTGCGTCAGCAAAATTTGTTAATGTCTAGTTCTATCTGTAAATTAATACATTGAAATATGACAACTTGCAATTTTTATAGTTTTCTCAGTCAACTTCACATGATAATAGCTCAATAGGCTGATACTCATATAAATGTATTTTCTGTAAATTATGGGAATATAATTTATATTTCATAAGGTAAAGAATCTTAAATTCACTATATTTTCAAATAAAACTTTATCTAATTGCCATGGATCTTGTTCAGAACTCACAATGCTCATAAAGAGAGAGATAAAAACACCTTCATGTCAACCAGAGCACTTTGAATAACCATTTATCTGAATCGTTTCCACGTTTGAACTTTAAAACTTTTCAATAAAATGAATCTAGTTTGAAGTTAGTTATTCTTGTTCAATTCATTACTTATATTACATTGAAATTCAGGATAATATTGTAAATCTCTTTCTAGGGAATAAGATAAATTCATTAAAATAAAATTTTACTGGCGTGTTGAAGCTCATCAAAATGGGATGATAATTAATCAGAATAAAAGATTTTATCCAAATATTTCGAGCCAATTGACCTGCAACTCACAAATATGAAAATGAGTTCGATAAAATTGAGTCCTTAGTGTTTTATTATCTCAGGGTATCCATTATTTCATACTTATGATGCTGAATTTTTTATATTCTGGACTCTTTGAAATCCCCTGGGCATTAACAGGGCTACAGATGATGCAAAGTTATTCAAATATTGAGCCTCAATTATTGTTGACCAGTTGAAAATTATTAATAATTTTTGACTGATTGGCAACAAATTGAATGCAAAGGTTTCCAATTCTCGAGTCAAGAAGGAATCTCGATAATGTTGAGAGAAAAATGAATTATGTGAAGAAACAGAAGCGAAAAGTAAAGGAAATGATAAAAGAAGAGAAAAGAAAAAGTTCTGAAGAGAATGAGCAATTTCCCCACACCTAATGGATTCTTCGACTATTATCTCAGCCTTTTCATCTTCACCATCCAGTGAATTTTTAGATAGTCAAAAAAGATAAAAAAATCATGGAAAAAGAAAAGACGATGAAGATAATGATGGAAGCAATTTGTTCATCGAAGAAAAAAAATTGATTACTGAAAACTGAATTTCTAGTTCACACTTTTTGAACTCTATTCACAATTTAAGATAATCACATAATCATCGGATGGACATTCAATTGTCCGAATATTTTCTGGATGATGTTTTTTGTCTTTTTCCTTTTTTCTTTCTTCTCCAATGCGATGGAGACCGTTTATCATAATTTTATCTTCTCATATCATCAACATGATGTAAGTTCCATAAGCATTATCATCCTACTTATCATCTTTATCGAATTCTGGTTTTTAGTGGAAGCTGAAATGAGGATAAAAATATTCTATTTCCTAATAAACATGAGGTCTTGATGACCAACATCATTGTTATAATGTTCATGATTTTATGAAATAGAATATTTTTTTAGAGCCATGATACGAAACGTGAATATAATCACAATCCGAGTCTTAAGAAGTTTTTTCTATAATAGAGAATTCGAGTTCTTTAGTCTTTCATCTTTATCCGTGGACATTGAGAGGCCAACTTCAGGAACTTCATGATAATCATATTCAGAAATATCAGTTTTTGTGAGTCAACTTTGAATTTTGAATGACAGGCTTAATGTGGTTAACATGTATTCATATTCACTTGAGAGGAAATATAATTAAATATTGAATTCTGTGTATGAATCATAAGTTATTTATCATAAAAATCATGATGATCCACAACTGTGACGATTTAATTTAATCACAACCATTTATTCATCTTCAGCTATCTTATCACATTGAACTTATGGTACACAAATGACAGTAAGATATTAAAAACCTTGAATAACTCTTGATAATATCCGAGAAAAAAGTCTAAATTTAAAAGATATTAAACTTTGGAACAAAAAAATGTCTTAATTAATAAAAATAATTCAATTTTCAATGGAATTCAATTTCATGATCGAAGTTAAGAATCTGATTTGAGCTCCATAATATAAATCGGATCTCATTAGTTTCGCAGTTATTGAATTCACCGGAAAATAGAAAAAATCTTTCATATTGCTGACTAAAGATTAGTTCGAATTTCATAAAATTCGAAAATCGATCTCAATATTTAATCTGATATTATTTATATCATGAGCTTTACTTCACATTTCATTTCAGATGTTTTTGTTATTGGACTGTGCTTGATGATCATGTCGGCATTGACGATAATCACATCAATCATCATGATCCTTGGAATAACTGGGGTAAGTTAATAAGATAATTTAGTTGAACGATTAATGAATAACCTGTTGATTGTTCAAATTAACTGATTCTCACAGGAAAATGTCAGCCTTTTGTTACCTTGGATAGCGACTATTTTTATCTTAACAATTCTTGAAGGAATCATAACTGTATTCATGATAACAAGATCTGTAAGTACAAAGGTAAGACAATTAATCCATCAATCAGTTCAACATTTAGTTTAATCGTGATTAACAGTTTTCTTACTATTAGATTAGTTTGACTTTCACCAAATATTAGTTTCTAGTGCAAATATAATCAATTAGCTTGATCAATGATTAGATTATGTTTTGTAGACTTGATTGTGATTATGCTTTAACTGATTTGTTATTTTAATTGAAATTGTAACAGTTTGATTTGCAATTCAGCAGCTAATTAGTTAATTTACTTCTAGAAATTTAGCTTGTGTGATATTATGAGTATTTTAATCAAGCAGAATGAATTTAATTACTCAAATTGAAGTTCAGTATAATTTTGATGAGCACTAGATGATTATTGAATTATAAGCTTGTTAATTACGTCGCAAATAAATATCACATTAATAGACAATACAAATGTAGTCAAATTATTTGAATCAATCAATAACTATTTTAATGATCCACTTGATTGTTTTCATGATAATCAAATGGTTGGAAACAATCAATTAAATTGTTAATGTAATCTTTGTAATCACTAAAATGATTGTCAAAAGTTTTTCTATCTCATCAGATTTCCTGTTTATCTTTGTTGTCAGATTAAAGGAGAATTGGAATCATGATTTAATTAATTGTTTACTCAGTAATTGTTTGATTTAGAAAGACTGATTTAAAACAATCACAAGCGATTAATGAGTAAACAAACTTTTAACTGATCCAAAAGTTGACCATCTAAAATAATGTCCAACTTAAGACCTTTAAAAGGAAAAGGATTAATCGATATCATGCCGGAAATCAGGTTGTAATGAAAACTAAAATAATCGATTTGTAATCGGACGACAATCATGGATGTGATTGCGATGATTAAAAAACAATTAGTTGATGATGATCGTATTATTTACCAAAACACTGTAACTTATTGTCAGATAAAATAAGAGATCTGGTAATGTACTAGTTGTAAATTGTAGATCGTGATGGAGAAAATGGTTGATTGCTGGAAATATTATGATAACATTTGATCAACATGATAATTTGATGGATGAGTTAACATTTACTGATCTCACATCAGAACTTTATCCAATTGGGGTTAACATGTTTCCTCTGTAAATTTGAACTATTTCTGTGAGATACTTTAATCGAATTAAGTCAAATTTATTCTTTATAAACATTAATCAATCAGAACTCATGCAAACAATCAATTGTTTCAAACTTTTAGTGATACAATTAATCAAGTTCAATCAGGTTTATCAGATTCTACCATCGATCGGTAGTTAATTAATCTAAAGTGCTCATAACTCAATAATTTATGCTACAAGTTCTGGATTAAATTGTTGAATTGATTTTTGTACTGATTCCGTTTCCTGTATTGGAGTGAGTTATTTTCATACTTATTAATATTAATTTTAATATCTCTTTTATTATTAGTCTATCGATCCATTTATGATTTGTATGGTTACAGTTGATTTAATTATCTGCTCGGCAAATGTAAGTATTCACTGATTATTTAAAGTTCATCATTCATAGATAATAATTGACAGAGTTTATGGCAGAATATCAGTTGTTGAGTAAGTAGATAAATTATCTAACCACGAAACTAGATCATGATGAAAATACATCCAAGGAAACAATCGAATTCTTGATTTAAACTTTTGTGTTGATATTTGACAATAAACAACATGTAATTTGTCTGATGTTTACAGCAAAATCTTTAATCTGAGCTTATGCATCTTGATCTTGCTGATTCTGGTCAACTGATGTTGTTCACTTGTAGATACAAACTTTCAATCTGATTGTAAAGAATCGCAAGTCTGAATAAGAATGATTTTGTAACTTTATCAAGCTTATCAGTCAGAAACTATTGCTTATTCTCACCTAAAGATGCGGAATACATGCAACAGATAAGAATGATTGGAATGAGCTTACATGGGTTTATAATCGAGTTGTGATAGAATCGTAACAACAGTAAACATTCAGTCAACATGTAATCCTTTTCTTTTTTTTCCTAACAATAAATAAATCTACAGCTTAAATTACCATAAAATGTTTACACAAGTTCTGATTCATTCAGGAAATTCAATTACTCGATGAGTAGAAGAAGGAAATTCTTGAGATAGTATTAAGAATCTAAGGTAACTCAAAGTCACAGGTTAATCAGAACTTTAAGTCTGTTCACGTTGTTACTTGAAAACAACCAGAATTTAAATAATCAATATAATAAGTAAACAAGTAAACAAAATTTCAAAGTTCATCAATTTTCTCGGCGTTGATAATAATAACCAAGAGAAATATCCTAATAATCCGATTGAAAACTTATCTCAAAATCTAACAGTTGGCTATGCAATAATTGTGTACGATTGCCTTTGAAGACTCCAAGTTTGAATTGTCTGAAAAGTTAGAACAGTTCATTGAAATTCAACCACCATGTCCCAGAATATTTCATCGATTTTTTATTCTTTTTATCGAAAAACAAAACTTAAGCTTCAAATAAGATGAATGAAAAATTTTCTCGACTTATTGGACTATAAAGTTACTAATGAAACTGATTACACTTCAGTAATGATGATTTGATTCAGAACTTTTTTTAAATGATTGAATATTCTGAATTGACTAAGAAAAACTCACTCGCTTGAGGATTTGTTGGTTTATGAAAAAATTCATTATCTTTTACATCTTCAGGTAACATTAACAGCTACATCAATTACTGGGTGGAAGAAAGTTTTATTATATTCATGGTGATTTCTTCCACTATAAAGAATCATCATAAAAAAAACAGAAAGACAAAAAACCTAAATTATACAAATGAGTGTTTTTGATAATAATCTCGAAGAAAAAAATGAATTGAAGCTCATGGTGGGATTCATGAGGCATCATGATAATGATCATACTGATTGTTACAAATTTTGTTTATCATTGCAATTATGTTGATGATTAATGGTGAACTTTATGATTGTTACATCAACTATTATTTCTGGTGAGAATGCAGCGAAAAAAAAATGCCACAGAAAAGGAACCATTAATATTATTATTGTGCTCATGATTCAACGTGATAAGATAACTGATGCTATTCAATTGAAGTTAAGAATACAAGGATGAGAAGGTTATTTCAACGGTCATCATGTAGGCGAAAAAGTTTATGATAAATAGACAAAGAGCTAAAATCCAATGTTTTTATTACCTGAAACCTTATCTGGTTTTATCTTTATTTTTGTTTGCTGATTCTTGCGGTTTTCCATTCATGATAATATGATTTCTATAAAGATTAACCTTGAACAGGTGAATGGTGTTCTTCATGGTTCTTGTTGATAATGATAAATCTCCAACTGAATGTATACGATCAATCATGATCTTCATTGACATTTATCATTCGATTAGCCAGGATACTATTCATTATATTACAATATGTTCTAACACTGGAATAGTTTCCTCATGTTTCTATGAATTTATCTTTTATTGTGTCCATGAAATTGAAACAAGCTGATTAATATAAATTTAAATTGATTACCACCAATTGGGCTTTGTTTCATGATTGATAACATACGAGCGCGAATATCATGATAATTTACCTTTTTTCTTGCTGAACAATTTCAGTCAAATAAAAAGCAAGAAAACTTATTCTTGTTTCCTACGTAATAATAAATATCGTTACATGAAATTAGTTTCACGTTGTATTATCAATATTCTCATTGTTAAAACTATCCTTTTTCTTTTTCTTGTCTCATCATACAAATGAGAATATCTTTATGGTGTGATTCATGCTGATACCATCGATATGTTATCATGATTATCATGATTAGGTACAGAATGAAACATATAAGAGTTGATGATATTTGGTTAGTTTCAAGTTTATTTGTATCAATATCGTATTTTGTTTCACTTTTCTGACTGAAATTCATATGAGTTTCATTCTGGTTCTCATGGCAAACGCTTCTAATTCAGAATAATCTTTAGGGCTAATGCATGAGCTAAATGACTAGAAAACAAGGAAGGTCAGTTTAATGCTAGAATTGTAATTAGCTTAACGATCTGAATGTGATCATTAACCACAACTTCATGATACTCAGAATACTTTTCAATTAACTTCTGTAACTTAAATCTCCGGTCAGTTATTACTTTTTTTTTGACAGAAAATTCTGGTGAAAAAAATTACCAGGTTATCTTAATGGTTATTTCCTGATTCTTATTGCTCATGGTTCTTCTTCTAGTAAATACAAAAGGTTCATTTTCGATAAATTGTCATCCAAAGTACAATTAATATCTTATCATGATTTAAAATCTTTGATTACGGATCAGAATGAATTGTTTATTGATTCAAAATCAGCTTGAGTTAAACTAAAACTTTCTCTGTGTATTCTGTTAATCTGATTAAAAGATAATTGAAACTTTTTAAGTTCATCTTTGGAAATCTAATCATTATTTAAGATTAAAACTTAAACAGAAACCATCAGACATGATTATCGTTGAGTTCAGTTCCAAGAAGCAGCTTCATCATGTCAACTTTTATTGTCATCAAAGTATTATCTTTGTCTTTCTTTTATTTGCTCAGAGAAGATACTTTTTCCTTTAATCATGTCAACATGATAATTCAGTAGAAACTTTTTATTTGCAATCATCGGAAGATCTTGATTCTAATACAACATCCAGATTATCGTGAGGTTCATTATAAATCGGATTTTCACTTATTTTTTTCATATCTTTAGCTGTGTTTACATGTCATAGACTCTGAAAGATTCAACTGAAAGTGTCACTTATTATTTTGCCCACAGGAAGTAAGTTCATTAAGGGCTTACAACTTGTAGTGCAAAAAATTCTGTGAATGAATTCCTCAATTCAGTTTATACAGCAACATGTACGAATGTACCTCTCAAATGTTTACCTTCATTTGTAAATCACTAAAGGAATAGTCATAATGTTGTCTATTTATGAACATTTTTAGACGAAAATCGCGATTTTCAGCTCTTTTCAAGCCTAATTATGAACAAAATTCTGACTGACAATACCATGGAAAGCAAAAGACTAAATCCTTTGTCAGTCTTTTCTTTTCATTTATTAAGAAATCCGAATCAAATGAGATCAATTGTAATATTACATCGATACTATTGAAAACCAATCTATCATGATAATAACCCTGAATTGGTTAAGATAGCATGAAATTGATAGTACTGATGGTAACATATTACCTGGATACTCAGATTGAAAGTATAGAAATATTATGAAAATCAATCATCTTTTTTATCGTTATATTATAAGTCAGAGCTCCATCTTATTAGCTTAACAGCTAATCCTTCCTGGAAATTATTATTAATAAACTCATGACTACCTGAAATTACCTGATTATTTCTCAATTCATTGTATTAATATTTCTTGGACAAATTATATGAAGAACAACAATTTTGCTGACCTACTAGCAATAAACTGTCAATACCTTGAAGCACCAAAACTATCAAAATAAACAAACGTCTACACTGCACATCGATATAACTTGTACAATCCTAAGCTTTGGCACTCGGTTAATGATTGAATATGAATAATTCATCATCATGATAATCAATATGTTATTACAATAGTAAATTAACTCGGCTTTTGTGACTCGCCATTATATAAACTGTTATTCGTGTTATTAATATTTCATACAGAATCGATAACCAGAATTTACTAAGAGTGAAAAAATGAAGTTTACTTAGTGATCATTATAATCATGATAGTTTATGATCATATTGAGATACAATTAATATAAATATAACTTAAGTTTACTGAAGCTCCAACGAAATGTCCATAGCGTCATTTTCACATAAATCTTTTGATATTTTATAAGTTGATTAGTTTTTATAATCAAGATCATTCCCTCTGTGATAAGTCATCAGCATCTGATTATTCATGAATGAATAAGCCCTTCTTAAAATGTCAAACATCATGGTCTCAACTCAGGTAACCATTGAAGTGGTAAAAAATAAATCACTTGAAAGCTAACATGATTAGGTTGAAATTAGGCTGAATAGTCTAAGTAAATACATGAATATTATCAAAGACATTCAATGTCAATAAAATAAGTTGACAACTTGAATGGATATTAAGTGATACAAATTTTCATTGGAATAGAGCAAGAATCAGAGTTGAGAAAATTTTATTCTTTACAAAAAAGCTATTCAAAGCCAAATATGATCATGAAACTGGACTCATGATACTCTGAATACATTTGAAATGAGAATAAGGAAAAAATCAAAATTCTGAAATTGAAACATGTTCGAGTATCAATACTGTTATCGAGAAATTTGTTAGATTGAAATTCATTGATTTACAATAAACCTTTAGAATTGAATAAATTATCCAGATAAAAATAGTACATCCGAAGTAACAATAATTCATGGGAAAAGAAGAATCAAATCAATTTCTTTGTTAATTTCGAGGCTTCGTATTGAAATTGAGATCTGAAGAACTCAGAATAAGCTCAAATTTGAAGGCGAAGGATGAAATTTATTCAGAGTCATGCTGATGCTGATGATTAAATTGCGATAAACAATTCAAATTAAAATCTTAGCTGCTGAGTCTAATAAAGTAACTTCTTATATCTGAATAGATTTCGTTTAAATTGTTTAGTTATACCAAATGATGCATTTTTCTTAAGCATTCAATTTCCCTTTACTTTCATTGTTGGTGTTAATCAGAGTACATTCATTGTTATTTAAACTGTTCTAGAATTTAATTGCATGTAATTAGCCCTTGATATTTGGAGCTAAGCTAATCAGTATGCAATGGAAATGTCACAATCGGACCCAATTCATACTCAACCAATAAGAAAAAGAGTTAATCATCTCAAGCAATTTACTCTCTTCGCGCTTTTGCTTTGTTTCCCCAGAAAACTTTTCTTCATCTTTTAAATGGATTAGCCTCTTTTTAGCTTAGCCCCACATAAACGCTCACGCGAGTTGAAAATGTTATGATAATATTAATAACATGATGATTATGGATGAATTTCGGATTTTGAATTGTCTCATCATAACTTGTCAAACAAATGCTGTAACGGAATGATTTCAAAATGATAATATTTCGAATATAATGTAACTTGTCATCAATCCGAATACCCTAAGTTCTGAATAGATGACAAGGAGACAGTAACATCACCTTGAGGATCAATATCAGAAGTCTTTTTCAATGGAACGTTATCAATTGATAAATATTAATACACGTATATATTAAGATTAAAAATCGGTATGAGAACTTTTTTTACTCATGAATATTTATTTTTACTGGTCGTAAACTAGAATGATAATGATTTCTCATGGATTTTATCATAATTTCATCAACCATTTCTTATCCAGAGTTATCTCAATGGTAATATAGTGATTTACATTAGAGAGAAAGAAAAAAATCTTTCAATTCTTTGATTCTTAATATCCTCAGTTGAGTGAATCATTATCATCATCTCCAATAATCATGATACAATGAGCAGTCTAATCAAATGCACCAGAAACTGATTACACTCATTAAAAAAATATCATAAAGAATAATGAATTGTTATCAATTTAATGCTGAATGTAAATATGCTCAGTTCATCGCTGAATAATAACATCGATCAGATAAAGTTCAAAGCAGATTATTTTTTATACTTTGTTATTGTTTTTCTATTCGATATTCACTGTTATTTTTTTCGTACTCATGGGACCCGAAGGATTTTGTTCATGGTAATTACATAACTACAGGGCTATTCAGTATTCATTTTTTTCGATGTTTTTAGCGATTTTCTCAGCCAAGTCCTAAAGACTATATAAAGAAAATCTCATTTGAAAAAAAATTTCCCGCTCGCACCAGATGAGACACAGTCACAGAGACAATCTCTGTGTCTCACTGTGGTGAGACATATGATTAATCGATGATCATGATCTCTCAAAATTACAAATCGGAAAAAACATCGGTAAAATAGCCGAATAGCCCTGTACATTTTTATTAGTATTGCACACGAGTTTTTCAGTGCCTCATGGATTACAATAAGATTTTCCATGAATATTATGAGAGAGCCTGAGGTTATTTAACACTGAAAAACTCAAAAATATCTTCCACCTTCAGGATAATTTAGTAATGATATTTTTACATTCTGTCAATTCCCATGAAATACCACATTTGAATGTGCTATAATCAATTGCGTCTAACTGATCAATACAAATGTAATCTGAAACTTTGCTTATTAATGGCTGAATATTTTTCATCATGATTTTGGTGAAACATAACTTGAATTTCATGGCCATGTGACCTTGTTACATGAAACTCTGAGGTTCCAGCCATGAATGATGAAATTTTCTCAAATCAATCGTCAATCAAATACATATTTTCTAATATTTTCTCTCTTTTATCATTCAGATTTATGGACTTCTCTGTGTAATATCACTTTTCTTTGAAATTCGTAAAAAGAGAAATTCTCAATCTCATGATGAGACCAGATTATATAAGGTAAATCGTCATTCTATCCAATTTCTGTCATTTTAGTCATGTTACATGTTAAATGTTTTCCTGTTTACCGATTGTCACAATTGACCCAAACGCTTGTTCAATACAGTTCGAGACTGTCTCCGGGGGCAATTAATATAAGTTATATAATTTATGATCAAAATTAACTATTGATTATGGTTAGATTGACATAGAAAAGGTTCATATTTAGCTCATCCTTGGGATTGTGAACACTCTGCATGAGGTATTGGTTGCTGTTCATTTTGTTTGAATTGGTTCATTAATAATTAAATATTACTTTTTTGATTTATGATGCTAATTAGATGATTAATTGTTACTGATAAGCTATTATCTTAATAAAACTCGATGGTTGATCCTTCTGGTTTTCCTCATAGTTATTGTTCATCTAAATGATTAAATAGTTGATATAATATCGCCTTATATTAGTTTACCTGGGACATCTCTATTCTTACTCCTTTTTCATCAGATGTCGAGCCAACCGGAAGAGGATGGAGCTCAATTCAGCTTATCTCGAACCTCAAACGCCTGAGCCTTTAAACGGGCCCCAAGCTGCGCGAATCATTCACCAATATTTTTTCCTTTATTTGTCCTGTAATTTTCTTTCTTTGACTTTTTTCTTTTTCTTTTTCTCTTCATCTTCTATCTGTTCACCCCACATTCCGTTTCCATGGTAACGTTCTCCAGAAACAGAAGACTATTTTCACTTTTAATATCTGATATTTGAACTTTTCTACTCCTATTACTTATTATTATATATTAATATTACCAGAGACCTAATCAGATGGAGATACCGTGCAAGGATAACGAGGAAATAAGCAAAGAGTATCTTCTCACCTCATCTCCTCAGCGACTTCCGGTTTGCTCACAGACTGAAGAAGATAACAAGTCAAGTACATCGTTTCTTAGTATGAAATGAATCACCTTAGATGACCACAGAATTTGGAGTTACACATATAAATATTCATTCGTATTCATAACTCAATGAATAACAATTCCAATCTGATAAATGTTAAAATCTTATCTCTTCATCATCAGAATCCCGATGATAAAATGACCCATGTTAATAACAATCTTGATGTTCGTTGTACTTATCCAGTTGTACCAAATGTCGTTACAATCTGGACCATTTACTGGATTAATTTAAATCCATGTTAATCAATGAACAGATGAAGGATCTACAATAAGCTTATATAAGTCAAATACAAAATCATCTGAATATTAATAATGTTATGATAAAAAAAAACACATTTTGATCCTTAATCCATTAAAAAACTAAATTCAAACCTAATCAAAAATATTAATCACCCAAAATTGGATCAGAATATTTAAACCCAAATTAACTAATTTAATTAACGATCAAATATAAAATATGTAACATTCAATTTTTGATAAATTGTACATTTGTCGATATATTATAACTAAATCTACACTTAATTGTTACAATAAATCGTAAAGAATTAAATCTTGGATTGTCATTTTCTTCTCAATCAATTTTTGTGACAAAAATTTGGGTTAATTGTTATGTTATTTATTAGAAATTCTTATCGAAAATTTAATCATAATTAACATTTCATTGCTTATGTTCATTGATTTAGAATCAGTCGTTGTAATTAATGTTTGCATTTTCTCCTTTGCATTGCAAAAATTATTGCATTGAGTTAATTTCTTGATGTGATGAATCTGAATTAAAGTTGATATCCATCTGAAGATACAAGAGTAACAACAATGAAAGTGGATTAGAAATTTACATGATAATTTAATAGATTTTAAACTACGATTGAATTTGAACTGAGCTAATCCTAATTGTTACTGTCATTGCAATAAGTGATAGAATCGTTTTGAAGCTTTTGATTTAATCAATTAAGCTCTCAAATTATTTAGAGACCAATTCCAATCGGTTTAATGAATTATCTTCATTAAACTCTACTAATTGATCTAATTAAAAGTAACTCTCTCATGATTTAAAGTCACATTGATTGAATTTGTTTACCATGTGATGATAACTTTACATGGTTTCAGTTAATGATGAGTGTTATGATTAAAAGTCTTATTGAAATAAATTTGTTTACAATCAACGTGAATCTGATAAAATAAATTGTTGTTTTGAGTTATATTAATTACATGATATAAACATGATGTTGGTCATTCAAGGAAATGAAAAAGAGTCAACAAAACTGACCATTGATTTTGATAATCAACTTGATAGTTGAATAATACAAGTGATTTAGTTGAAAGATGATTATCACGTTGAAATGATGATGATGGCGAATCACGTGAATGTACATCGGGGAAGATTTGTCCGAGTTCGAAGAGTCTCCTCCTTCAAATTCGAATCGAATGGTCAATTGCGTCGAATCAAAAGTTCTAAATGTAATTTGAATGTTGAACTTTTTAGTCTAGTAGTAAATGATTCTAAGACATATTGGTAGATTTTATTTATCTTGTTAACTTATAGAATTGTGATCAGTGATTAATCTAATTGCTTAAAGATGAAAGGACTTTTCTTGGAAAATAAGGATAATCCAATACACGATTTTGCTGCTCCAATTTGGAAAGGGATCGAAGCAGGTAGGTCGAAGCATTTAAATTAGATTTTAATCTGAATTGATTGATAAATCAATTAAATTGACCATTTGAATTGATCGAAAAATCATGAAAAGCATTAGGATCCGATGGATTAACCAGAAAACCGGAAGATGATTCATATCTCTACGATGAAGAACCAAAATCACCAGATAATTTTGATTTCTCAGCGGATTCGTTTCCAAGGAATGATGTAAGTAACCAAATCGTCTCGATCCCTTCTAGCAATTTAGTTAATCATCTTAATCATAGGATGGATTTTGTTTCACTGTTTCTCTTCACGATGCAATAACCTTACATGTCACAAGTCGGATTACGATGATCCTTGGGTATCCCAAAGATATGCTCAAAGGACAATGTATTCTCAATTATTTGTATCCTCGAGATCGACTCACCTTTGCAAGTCATTTGTCTCAAGGATTACAATCCAGATTTGCTGCAAAAGAAACTAAAAGTGAAGAGAAAATTGTTTTTTATGTTCGAATTCGAGAATATAAAACCCTTTCCGGTGGATTCGGTGTCGTTGAACGCAAGGGTAACTATCGGCCCTTCCAGTTGACTTGTATTGTTAAGGATATAATTCTGGGAAAACAGGATAACCCAAAACCCGCTAATGAAGAGATTAGTACAATTTGTCTTGTTGCATCCGCATCACCGATACTTCCTGCTCATAAAGGTTTGTTTCAATTCCACTAATGGTCAACCATTAACACTTTTCCATTTTATCCATAGTTCCGAACGAGAAAAATCCAGCAATGACTCCTTTCTCTTCCCGACACACATCTTCGTGTCACTACTCGCACATTGACACTTGTAGTATTCCCTATTTGGGTTATTTACCGCAAGACATTGTTGGATATTCAGTCTTCGATTTCTATCATCAGGATGATCTACATTTAATTCGAGATATTTATGAACTGGGTGAGTTTTTACTGAAAAGATTGAAAACTTATAACCGCTAATTAAATTCCAATTTATTATCCAGTTATTCGTGAAGAAGGTTCATCATTTCGCTCGAAGCCTTATCGGTTTCGTGTATTCAATGGTGACTATATCACTTTGGAGACTGATTGGTCTTCGTTCATCAATCCATGGTCAAGACGAATGGAATTTGTAATTGGTCATCATCGTATCGTAAACGGTCCAACCAATCCAAATGTTTTTTCTGAATCTGAACAAAAGTTTCCCCTGGAAAATCCAGCGGAGAAACATCACCTTCAGGAAGAAGTTCGTAATATGCTTTCGAAACCAATAAAACACTTTTATGGTAAAATGAAGGCTAATAAACGTAAACGTAATTTAGCTGCTTTTGTCTCCAACATAATCGATGGTATCGAAGTCGCACCGGCCTCAGGTCAAGAATGTTCATGTTCTGATCCAGAATCAGTCGTTATGGGAGCGATTTCACCTCATCAAGATGATTCTGATCTATCGTCTGAAACTCCAGCATCATTTCAACAAATGAGACTACAAGATAATATCGAAAGGTTTTTTGCCTCTCAGCCAAAAACTAATTGTGCTCCATCTTCATCGTCAGGCCATTCAGCGACAACTTCGCAGAACAATTCTCCTTATGGGTCAGGGTCAAATGATGATTCAGTTAATCTCCAGCAAACGTGCAATTCAATGGATTCAGGGATAAATGGTACATCATCAAACTCTTTCGACACAACAAATAATGGTGCAAACTCCAAGACAACGCCTGAAGATAAGGGAAATAATCGCGTTTCAGTGACAACTAGTAAAAGTGGTCAACCAGCATCCAAACAAAAGAAACCAGAGCACGGGAAGAGTTTCCAAGGTTCAGGGGGACCAGTTAATGCGAATTGTGTCTCTCTAACGGAAGAGGTTTTATCGCATCATAACAAGATTACATCCAAACGAATGATCAAATCAACTGGTTCAGGTTGTACGAAAAATCAAAAGAAAATGGAAGCCTCGAAGTTCAAAAGAACAGCATATAACTCGAGTGAATCAATTGTCCACACAAAACCAAAGCAACCGTGTTTTCATACGGAATCGAGGCGTAAATTCAATGTAAATAATCCAACTGGACATCACAAAACCATTCCAACCTCTTTTTCGGGTGTCAATTTATCCTCACATGAAGCGGTCACTTCTACTTGGCCTCTAGGGATCCCCGTTTTGGTCAATCAAGCATTTACACCTACAGAGGTTCATGGGTCCTTCTCGTATACTAAACAGCTTGGTAATCGTCCGCAGATATTGATGGCACCCATAATGTATTTGACCACATCACCAATGACCATTTATTCAGGTTCAACGGGCGAGTCTTCTGGTGTTGGAGGTTCAGGAGGTTCAAGTGCACTTGGTGGATCGGCTTCTGTTCTTGGTCCAAGTCGTTTTGGTACCAATGGTGGAGTCGGTGGTTGTTGTGGAGGTGGTAAATTTTGTCATCATATTATTGCTAAACGAAATGTTAAACTACAAACTGACCTTGATAATCGTTTCAATGCCTCTGGTCAGCCTTCACCCTGCAAGTTGAATATGAAAGAAACGTCGAAGAGCTATAAGCAGTTCGACTCAGTAGAAACCTCACAATCCGCTCAAACCTCAATTGGAACTTTTTCTTTATCTGAAGAGACATCTGACCCTTCTGATTGTTCAAGATCTAATAAAATCAACCATAAGAATCAATTCTGTTCAAAGAAAACTTCCGTTAATGGTAAGGAATCAATAGATTCCTCTTGTGACTCCAATTTCAAATACACTATTCCATTGTCGGGCCTTGAATTTACCCTGAGAAAAGATTACGCTCTTCTCGAGAATATGGAGCAGCCACTAATCGTCAAGAAACAATTAAATGCGCTTGGACAAGAATTAACGAGCATCAATGTAGATGATAATAGTCCTGATTTCGCCAATTCTGAAGACGAATCCAAGAAAATTTTATTTAGCAATAATCTTGATGATTCTGCTCAATACCAGCAATTGATTGGTTACAATATTCTGGAGGATGATGTTAATGAAGTAAGCAGCAGTTTAATTAAAGCATTTTAATCAACTATTGTTCATTTTGTTTCTTTTGCTTTCAGATGTGATTGTCCACTTTGATTTTGGTTCCATTCCTTCAATTAACTGTTTTGATGTTGAAATTGAAGTTTCCAATTACATCCAAATGTAAATGATTGAACGTCAACATTTTCAACGTGACTTCTTATGAAACCATGATGATGAGTGCATGAGATGAATTCAAAGAAATGATGATGATTATCAATGAACTTTGAATTTCAGTCTGATTGTCTGTTCAATTAATGTGTAATCACTTTATTATTTCGATTATTCGAAGTGGACTGGACATTAGATTTTTTTTTCTTGGGAACTGATCGAATAAATTTCTTTCTCTTTTTCTTTATCGCTAATTGTCCACTCAATGGACAAAGCAACGTGCTTAATAATTTCTGTTTTCAATCCTATTTAATAATGAAAATCAATGTAATTTGTTTCATTGAGTAAATTGTCCAATTACAAATTAAAAAATGAAATAAACTTTTTGCAAACTTTTAATTACTGAAATGGGAATCAATGGAATGAGCGCCATCTCATTTCTCTGAAAACAGTTGAGAAAAATAAATTTTGCTGATTTAATTTGAGTTCATTGATGAATTTGAATTTGATTTGTTTTCCTGTTGATTGAATAACTTCACGGGCCACCATTTATCAGGAATCAATAATTTTAACAATTATGAACACATTCGCATAGAAACTTGGCTAATCAGACAAAGTGAAGAAGCAGAAATTTGATTGAGAAAACAAACTGAAGCTCATTTAAGGCTTTGCATCAATAATTTTCTGTTATCATTTTTCTCATTTATCTCTCCACAAACCTGAACACCAAATGAGGTCTGAACACTTTTTCCATGTGAATTATTAAGAAATAAAATTAGTCAATGATGATTCGAATAACGACCGAGTGAATGATACATAATTAGTAGAGTTGATCGACTACCTTTTCGATTAAATGAATTACAATCAATCAAGAAAATAATCTGTGAATGAATCGAAAAAATCGAACTTATTGCACGAAAAAGATCCTGTTTGGAATTGATAGATGATTGAGTATAAAGAGAGGCGAAAATTGGAAATCATCCTTGAGCGAATAACATGATTGAAGAAACAGGTAAACACGATGATTACTGAATAAAATTCTGCTCTCTCTCTCTCTCTCTCTTGATTACCTGAAGGGAAAATTTGTAAACTGAACGTCTTTTGATGATGTTGAGCAAACAGATGAGTTTGATTACTCTCACCAATTCTGATTACTTTTTGATTTGCTGTAATTTCAAATGTGCATCAAGTTCATTTCTTCTCCTCTCGCTCATCATCCAGGTGAATTTTCAATTTAATGATTTTCTCTTCAATCTCATCCACTGAACTTGCAATAAGAAAATCCATCAAAATTAGACATGATGTGTGATAAATGAAATTTGGCATTACAAGTTTGTGATAAGCCAACAAGGTTATGCTAATTGATCAATTCTAATTATCATCACCACCATCATCAAGATATTATCATCTTACAATTAGAGTTTTGTCAATATCATTATCATCATCATCTGCGCCTGTTTCCTCTCTTCAATATCAACTTGATTTGTCTCAATTGTTTTCATGGTTTGTTGACAATCATATCAAGTTGCAATTGTTGATAATCAGTGAAATTTGTTTGTGTCTCTGATCTGAACTTCAATTGATAATGAAAACGGGTAGATTTTTTCACGATTAAGCGCCAATTGGTTTTGAGCTTTTGTCTTTGGTATTTTTTCAATGAAAATCAATTGATCATCATTACTGTCATTTTGTTATGGATCAATTAGCAAATGATTTAAGTTTCGCTATAATTGATGTAGAAGATGTGAAAAATGATCTGACCCCAAGGCTCTTGCCACCGGATGGACGAAGCATCAAACCTTTGGGTAAGGATAAACTGACAACTAATTTTGTTTCATTTACTGATTTTGCAAACAATTTCTATTCAGGTTCTAAAGCGAAACTATCCAAGCCCATTCTGCGATCAGCGTCCATCTTGTTGAGGTCCAAGAAATTGATTCTAAGTGATTCTGAATCAGAAGATGGCGGAGATAAATCGGGAGACCCATTGTGTCTCATTCCCCCTCAAAGTAAAGAGATGAAAGAGATTCCTGGACCTTTTGGTGATTATCCCGCTTCCCTTTCTCGAAAACATCGCATGAAAAAACAAAAGAGGAAAAAAGAATCCAAAGATGAGAGACTTTTCGGTCAATTGTGTGTCGGACAATCAAATTTCAATCAATATTTTGGTAAACGTAAGAGAAGCACAACTGTGAACAACCAGGTAATCTCGAGCTTAGAATTAACTATGAAACTGTTATTTGTAATTGTTTCCATTGATCTATTTTAATTGCCCAGCAATCAACCTCTGGGGGTATAGATGAAACTCATGGGATGAACGATGATCATGGCAACAATGGAGGGAATAGCAATTCTTATCAACTTAATTCGATGGATTGTGAGTCGCAAAGTGATTGTGATTCATCATCATTGTCTGAATCTGTTTGTGACTCAGATCATTTCGCCGAAGCTGATGATGAACAATCAGATTTCCACGAAGTCATGTCCAGATCAAAGAAAGACATTTGTCAACCGAGTTCAAGTAATAACTGTGGACCAATCGGCAACTCGACATCCAAACCAATCTTCCGAACCAAATACAGTCCATCCATACCGATACCTCAGAATCCATTTGCTTCGGTTCCATCCACACCTTCATCGTCTTACAATTCACTAACTGGTGGATCATCGGTGCTCTGGAAAAGACGTCGTCGTAACCATTAAAATCTAAAACAAAGTTTCAATTTAAATCAATTGTTTCGAGGCAGATGAACAATCATGGTGGTTTATCACTCTATTCATGGTACCAAGTAATTAATCACTTGAATGATCTGAAATCTTTGTTCTTTGTTTTGTCCTAGTATTTGAACTTGATAAACTTGATACTTAATCTCATCTAATGTGCAATATTTTAAGATGATTAATTGCAACCAATTTCTCGGCGATTTAGAGAGTCGATTGCATTACCTTAACTTAAGATTAATTTAGCCTCTGGTTTTTAATCGTAAAAAGTGATAATCAAATTGTGAAACAATTACCCTGTCAAAGTGACTCAGATTCACTATTTCTTGATTGACTTACTTATTGCATGTAATTTATATACATTTTTCATTCACATAAAATGTAATCAAGATCATTGATTGGCAGTTTTGTATGAAAATTTATCTAATCACTGAATTTATCAGCATAATGACAATTAGTTGATTCATATTAATGTTCAACGATCACAATAAATTCTGATATGACTTCCTAATCTTTTCTTTGACTTTGTTGACTTCATCAGCTCTTAAATCCTTGGATTAACTTCCATGGGATTAAATTAATCCTTAAACTGCTATAGTTTCATCAAGGTAATTAACTAATTAACTCAACTCTTCACTCCATCCATTCAAGATTGATAGAGAAAAAGAAAATGAAATCTGATCAGTTGACAATTGTCATTCTTGTCAAGTTCACAAAAGGGTAATTTTAATTTAAATATAAAAGAGAAAATTATTGAGCATTGATTGGACTTAAATTAAGGATAAATATCGAAACAATGAGAAAATTATATAAACAAATCAATAGAGAAAAACAATTTATATTGATTAGCCTTCAAACAGAAAATGTTTGAATGAATTGGAAGCAAAGATCAGAGAGAAAAATGATTCGATTGATCATTAATGATAAAGGTTATGAAAAGATTAAGGAATAACAATCAATTAAATTTAGTCAAATAGTCAATGCTAATAGGAAGTGAACCTTTTGCTCCTTGCATAACATTGTTAAATCAATGCGATCTATTAACATTGGGTTGGTGTATATTCAATTCCAGTCAAGATATGAGCTTAGTTTTCATAGGCGGTTAACTAATCTATCAATTAAGTTAATATACATGAATATGAATAATAGTAATTAGGTTGATATGAGTTAACAATCAATCGCTTGAGAGAGAGTGATGTTCTAGTTTGGTAAGCAATGGAAACAGTGTTTCAGTATGAACAAAATGGAGGAAATGAAAGTGATGCGAAATAATAAATCTAAAAAATTAGAAAAGAAATGACTTGATTTTTGATGAATAAACATGACTCGTATTTTTTGATTGATCAATCATCGACTCGGCTTAATTTGTAAGAATTGTTTCTTTTGAGGTAATTCGTTAGATGAATTTGACAATGAGATGAAAAGGTGCTCAGAATAATCGTTTCTTTTCCTTCTTCTTTTCCTTCACCTCGACGGGTCTGTGATAGAAAAACAAAAACAAAGTAAAATATTAGAAATAAGATTCGTTTTCAGTAGGTTAATGTGACATACAGAGCAGCATTCGCTTCTAAGGTGAGTTTCTTCATTTCATCCATGTGGCGAACAATCAACTCGAATGCATCTCTTTCTTTTTCGAAAGCAGATCGTTTCTCATTAAGTTCTTGCAATTCTTTTTCATGAATCTTTCGATTTTGCTCATCAAACCGATTGATCTGGAGAAAAGAGAAAAGAAAATTTTAATAAGATTAATTCTCAACATCGTAATGACGAAAGATTTCAACAAATGTGCGTTATAAATAAATATTTTCTCAATTAAACACCAAAATGTTAATTATATGTAATGATAGTAAAGATTAAGAAGAAAATTTGATATATGATGTTAAACATTAATATTCACTTTTGAATATGAATGTAAATTTGCCTATTGGTTTGGGTATTGTCGTTAAACACTAATATTCACTCTTGAATATTAGTGTAAGTTACCTATTGGTTTAGGTATTGGTGTTAAGCATTAATATTCACTCTTGAATATTAGTGTCATTTGCCTATTGGTTTGGGTATCGGTGTTAAACATTAATATTCGTTCTTGGATATTAATGTAAGTTGCCTATTGGTTTGGGTATCGGTGTTAAACATTAATATTCGTTCTTGAATATTAATGTAAGTTGCCTATTGGTTTGGGTATCGGTGTTAAACATTAATATTCGTTCTTGAATATTAATTTATCAAGAATGAGAGAGAAAAGGAGCCTAAACTTTGGATCTTTCTCTCATAATATTCCAATTAATTGTTTTATAATATTGTGAATCCAAGAAGGAATGGGATATAATTTTGGGTTGCTAACTTAAATTTAATTAATGTTGAATTATCCTTAAGATATAATGACACGTAATGATTGTAAATGAATTAATTGAGTTTTAACTAATAAAGTGTCAACGTTAATTCTTGCTGTGTTTTTGCTGCTGCTACTCAATTCCGCTGGTGATAACATCATAGTTATTACAAGTCGACAGGATAAAGATCATATCTTTTATCCATTCTGTGCTGATTAATCTAATTCTGTGCTGTTTCAATTCAATTCTCTGCTGTTTAAATTAGTTTCTATTTCTAGTAACCTCATTTATTTCTAATTAAGAATAATCATCAAATTCAAATTGACACAATGTTGAGTGGAGATGAACAACCATCTACTTCTCATTCTGAGTTTTATTCTGTTTCCTCTTCACCACAATTCCAACTATCACCGAACAATATCATCGACTCATCTCAACCACTCGCTCATCCACAGGTTCACAAACCAAGACTTCATATTTTTGATGGAGCTAAGAAAAATGTCACCATCGAAAACTGGTGTAAAATGTATGAGTCCGCTGCAAAGCGATATAATTGGTCGGATGAAGATATTGTTGAATTATTAAATGAATATCTAGACGGTGATGCTCTCAATTTTTATCTTTATGAGAAAGATAACTGTGATTGGGTTAATATCAAATCCAAACTAATCAATAGATTTGGTATCAAGGCTATTGAACCACTTGAGGAGTGTGTTAGATTGAAATTGCATCACAAGAAAAACGTAACTGAATATTTTGAGGAAAAACGTCGTCTCGCTAATTTATCGCTATTATCTGAATCTCAGGCTGTAATACTTATGATTGAAGGTCTAAGTGATCAATTTAGAAACTGTTTTCTTGGTCATAGAATTAATACCTATGACCAGTTTTTCGCTATTGCTAAAGCGGCTGAAAATCACTTACCAACTCATTCTCATAATCAAGGTAAGTTAAATAGGAATCAAGGTAATCGATTCCAATATCACACTAACTACAAAGTTAATCATGCTGAAAATAAACAATTTGTCAAACGACCACCAAAATCTGCTTGTTGGATTTGTGCTAATGCTGGGAAACCTAACCAAATGCACTGGAAGGAAGATTGTCCTATTAAAAAAGAGAGACAACAAAATCATCAACAACAATCACATCAACATTATCATCAACCTCATCAACTTCATCAATCTAATCAACAACGAACAATTAACTATGTTGATCAAGCATCAAATTCTGTACTTGACGATCAACAGAACGACTCTCAGGGCGTTCATTTAAACTAAATTGTCGACTTGAAACGAAACCTTCTCACATCATTATCAAAGGGGCTATTGATTCAAATGATGTTTCAATTTTATATGATCCTGGATCCAACATTTCACTTGTTAGTGAATCAATCATACGAAAACTAGGAGTTGAATCAATTAAATTAAAAACACTAAACTTTTCCACTATAATTGAGTGGGTGAAATTTCAAGTCTGACTAAAATTAAGTTAACCATTGGGCTAATTAAATATTATTTATGTTTATATTACTGACTCACTTCCGATTGATATTCTTTAGGTTAGATTCAATTTGGATGTTTAGCCTACAATGTGACTCTCATTATCAAATCACCCAACAATCAACTAATCCTAAACAACCGACAATCATCAATTTAATTCCTCCACCAATTAACCTTCCCGATAATTTTCATATTAACATTAACAGTAAACTCAATGATGAAACCGCTAAGACTATTAACGCTGAAATTATTAAGTTACTTACAAGTTACCAGACTTGTTTCGCTGAGTCCAAATTGATATTGGTTGTATTCCAAATGCTGAATGTGTTGAATTAACTACTAATATTCCCATCAATTCTAAACCTTATCGATCAACAAATTATGAAACCATCAATGCTGAAGTTCAATCTCTTTTGCTGAACAATTTAATTCGTCCATCATATTCACCTTACGCATCTCCGGTCACATTAGCTTTCAAGAAAGAAGATCAAGCAAAGACGAGATTTTGTATAGATTATCGGAAGCTTAATGACAAAGTTTTACCTGACAAATATCCAATGCCAAGGATTGAAGATATCATTGATCGTCTTTATGATAGTAACATTTTCAGTATTTTTGATATCAGGTCAGGATTTTGGCATGTGAAAGTTAGAAAGTGATATTTCTAAACTGCTTTCATTACAAAATGGGCATTATGAGTGGCTGGTTATGCCTTCGGATTGAAAAATGCTCCAGCAATATTTCAAAGAGTAATTCGAAATATTCTTGAGAAATATTCATTAACTAACTTTTGTCATAACTATATGGATGATATCATTGTTTTTTCCCCTAATCCAACTATTCATCTAAATCATTTATCACAATTATTAACTGCTGTTCAAAAGGAGAATATCAAATTGAATTTTGATAAATCACAATTATTCCAATCGACTGTAAATTATTTGGGTTATCGTTTATCTCCTAATCATATTTACCCTTTGAACAATAATATCAATTCAATACTTGAACTTAAATCACCTAAGTGTAAAAGATGTTCGTCGATTTCTGGGAAAAGTTAATTATAACCGCAAATTCATTAACAATATTACTCAAATATTGGAACCAATTCACAATCTGCTGAAAAAGAATCCAAATTCGATTGAGTAGGATTGCCAGTGCTTTTGATCAAATCAAATCATTATTAACTTCTGATCCTGTTCTTAAAATTTATAACCCAAATGCTGATTTAATATTGGAAACTGATGCTAGTAGAATAGGTTTGGGTGCTATTCTCAAGCAACCTGATGAAATGATAAATTACATCCGATCGGCTATTTTCAAAGAAATTAACTGATTATCAAATCAACTACCCTGTAACTCACCTTGAATGTCTGGCTGTTGTAGAATCGATTAAATTCTGCATCATTATCTCTACAATAGAAAATTTACTGTTATCACTGATCATATTGCGCTGAAATCAATTCGTAAAATAAATAAACCAAATTGTAGGTTATTCACATGGGCATTTTTCTTGGGACAATATGATTTCGATATTAAATATCGACCTGGAAAAGAAAACGCTGAAGCTGATTATTTGTCACGAGATCCTGTGGCTGCTGATGAAACTGATTATCCAATTAAGCTGATAAATTTTATTGCTGTTGCTGACCTTAAAGCTGAACAATTGACACTTGCTGATGCTGATAAACTGCTGATCAACTCTGATGGACTTTACTATAAAATGGATAAAATGGAAAAGGAAAATTAATATTACCTGAATCGCTGAGACTGAAACTATTAGAAGCTGCACGTCCAATTTGGTCATATTGGAATAAGGAAAATGATAACAATCATTAGCTGGAAATTTACCTGGTCAAGATTAACGGAGGATGTTATTCAATTTGTAAGCAATTGTAAACCTTGCCAATTAGGAAAAACAAGGAGAATCAAATTAATCGCTGAATTAGGTCAATTTGGACCTGCTGATAAACCTTTTCAAATTGTTGCTGTGGATACTATTTGTGGACTGAACAATTATAAATCTAAGAAACGATATATTCATATTGCTGTTGACCATTTCACTGTTTCGTCTGGGCCATTGCTTCAAAACATCAAACTGCTGCTGAATTCATTTCATTGGTAAATAAAGTTCTAATCTTCGAAAACCTCAAACAATACTAGCTGATAAATTCACTTTGACCTCTGCTGAATTTGCTGATTTGGATAGCCTAAACATAAATATTGACTTCATTCCTAAAGCTGCACTCAATGTAATGGGTTATGTGAACGTGTGGGTAATACTATTGTTGACAAAATTCGGATCAAAATGATCTCAAATAATTATCATTATGGTTGGGTCAAGTATTTACAACGTTCAATTGATGAATATAATCATTCACCTCATGCTGTAACTGGATTCACACCTTATTATTTGTTAAATGGAACAAAACCTGAAAACTGTCTGGACATTGAATTCGCTGAATTGAATGGAGCTAGATTATTAGCTTTTCAAAATTCTGTCAATTATCACAACAAAATGCAATTTTCAATAAGAAATATGCTGATTACGATTTCTCCTGGTGAGAAAGTGTACATGAAGAATCTATCTGGGATAAACAAACGGAAATTGGATCAGAATTATCGGTCCATTCCGCATTTTAAGGAAAATCGCAACTAATATTTATGATGTCGAAATATCGGAATCACCACAACATATTCAACAAGTTCATTCTAAACATTTGATTCCTATTCGCAATTTATATTAGACTGAATCATCATTTGACACTATCCAGTTCCGTCCATTACTCTTAAGGGTGGGGATGTAATGATAGTAAAGATTAAGAAGAAAATTTGATATATGATGTTAAACATTAATATTCACTTTTGAATATGAATGTAAATTTGCCTATTGGTTTGGGTATTGAGTTAAACACAATATTCACTCTTGAATATTAGTGTGTTACCTATTGGTTTAGGTATTGGTGTTAAGCATTAATATTCACTCTTGAATATTAGTGTCATTTGCCTATTGGTTTGGGTATCAAAATTAATATCATTCTCTGGATATTAATGTAAGTTGCCTATTGGTTTGGGTATCGGTGTTAAACATTAATATTCGTTCTTGAATATTAATGTTACCTATTGGTTTGGGTATCGGTGTTAAACATTAATATTCGTTCTTGAATATTAATTTATCAAGAATGAGAAAAGGAGCCTAAACTTTGGATCTTTCTCTCATAATATTCAATTAATTGTTTTATAATATTGTGAATCCAAGAAGGAATGGGATATAATTTTGGGTTGCTAACTTAAATTAATGTTGAATTATCCTTAAGATATAATGACACGTAATGATTGTAAATGAATTAATTGAGTTTTAACTAATAAAGTGTCAACGTTAATTCTTGCTGTGTTTTTGCTGCTGCTACTCAATTCCGCTGGTGATAACATCATAGTTATTACATATAAATAATCTTTGGAAGTGATGTTTTCTTTAGAGAACATGGAAGATAATTAATTCAGTTAAATGAGCCATTCGTTTCCTTTTTCGCCAAATACCAGGCTAGTTATCATATTGGTGTGAAAATGTGAGAGAGAACAGTTAATTTTAATTAACTTACTTCGGCTTCCATTTCTTCAAGTTTCTGTTCTTTGGCCTTGACTTTAGTTTCAAAAACATGATCCATTTCTTGTTCGAGCTTCTTTAATCTCGCTTCTTCTGTTTTTCGCTCTCCTTCCATATGAGCCATTGGATTTCTAAAGTTAAGACCAGAAAAAAAAACGATTGAAATTTCACATTATTGTTTGACTCACAACAGAAAACTAAGTTCAGGTAATTAACCGGATGCTTTCAACCGGATATCAATTTCCGCATGATTATTACTAAACATGGAAAATGATTAGTTCATCAATGGAAAAGTATCTATCATGATGGATCAACTATAAACAGTTAGACTGGTAATTGTTTCCATTAGTTTATAACAAAACGTTCAAATCATAGAATCACATTAAACAATTTTCATTATATTTTCGTATCAGATGATAAATATAATCATATTTAATGGATTTGACTTATGGTTATCATTGATCATCAATATTCATGATAAAGTTACCTTGACAATTGAGTAGATAAATATTATTTAACCAAAAATATGAAATTAATCGTTGAAAGAACTAAAGTTAAAGCTACCAAGTAAATTAAACACAATAAATGTATAAAACTAACTAATCAAGTATTGGTTTCAATAAATTGATCGAGTAAATTTCAAGTGTAACATGAGAAATGAGAAGCTTAAAGTTTCTGGAAATTAGAGTTGAAGACTGAATAGCAAATCAGTGAATGTAATTCGGAATCCTGAGATAACAATAGTTAATTGTTGAGTAATAAACTAATTAAACACAATAGTGATAATGGTAATCACTTACACATTATTTTCCGTGACAGATTTTTCAGAAGAATTGATTCCAGATAATTTTCGGCATCGATAGTTTTCGTAGTGAACATTATTAGTTGTATCCACCAGATCAAGCATGAAGTATTTAATAAGCATCAGTCGCAGCGCAGTAAAGTCGTAATGGTCCAAGTTATCAACTATAAAATTAATAAATAGAAAATATGAGTTAATCATGAAAGTCTAAGAGAACATAATTAAAATTACTTTCAATTGTTCCCCATGGATATTTTCTTGCTCTTTTTCTCTCTCCGCCAACTTCTATCACGTAATTACTTCCACATACTGCAAATGGTACTCGAGATTTTAATTGTTTCAATAATTTAGCGTCATCTTCGTCATCACAGTCTGGAAACTCATAGATTTTTATATTGTGCTGAGCGATTTGGCTTAAGATCTAATAAAGGCGAAAAATTGAGTAGAGAAGCAAAGATTATTTTCTGATCAGAAATTCAGAATGTTAAATTGTGATTGTTACATTTTTCTTCATTTGTTGACATTCATCGACCGTCAAAGTATCGGCTTTGGCAATAATTGGTATAATGTTCACTTTATCTTGTAGATTCTTCATGAATTCCAAGTCAATTGCTCGCAATGTTACACGAGGCAAAATGAAGTATAAACAACAATGAACACGATTATCAGGAATATGAGTTCGATAAAGTTGCGCTTCTGCATTTAAATATTCCTCATATCGATTCTCAATATATTCACTAATTTTCTGCCATGAATTCGTATTGTCAAGTGAATCACCAAATCCAGGAGTGTCAACAATCGTCAAAGATAAATTGACATTTTTCTCCTTTAAATTTACTTTGGTTGCATTAACTTCAACTGTTTTAGCGAGACGCTTAGATGGTCCAGGAAATTCATCGGAATAAATGTCAGTTAAAAACATCGAATTGACCAGAGTTGATTTTCCCAATTCAGATTCTCCTGTTATAATTGATGAAAAAAATTAGTAAAACTAATGCAAAAAATTCTGTTTGAACAAATATGGTAATTTAATTTTCAACTCATCCAATCAAATTACAATTCAATTAGCGAGTTGATTTGACAGAAAATTAGGTGGGCAAAACAATTAGCCAAATCAAACTGTTTTTCTTAATCTCTCTCTCTCTCTCTCATTTTCTCACAAAGGATCTCCTATGAAACTCCTACACCTTTTTACTGAAATGTTTGCAATAGACATAAAAAATGAACGAAATAATATCTTACCAACAACCATGAGCGAAAATTCAAATCCCTTTTTGATGGTTTTCCGGTGAATTTGATTGGGCAAATCACTGAAACCGACATTTTTGTCCAAATCTTTGGGCATTAAAAATTTATCTCCAAGATCGATAGATGAGCCTCTGGAACGAGACAATTCAGTGACAGTAGCCATTGATTAGAGAACAAAAAGTGAAATCAAAATAACATCTAATAGAATAAAATTATTGTGTTCAATAAATATTTCGATAGTCGCAGACTACACCTCCAATTTAATTATGATCGAAGAAGAAGAAAAAACAAAAGAATAGCGAAATCACAAGATTAACATTTCAAAGAGATAGAGAAGCTTAACACAACAATTTAAAAGAGAAAATCTTGTAAAAGAATCACTTAAAAGGAACCAATTTGACAGGAACCATTAGATGAAATAAACAGAAATAACTGATTCCTGAAAACATGAAAATGATTGAAAACCAAGAAAAAAAATCACATAACTGATTTAAAATCATTTGAACAGATAAGTAGGGTAACCATAGTGACGAACTCAATGTGGCGCTTGATTCGATTAATCGATTATCGATATTCTCTCAATGTTGAGTCAATAATATTGACACTTTGCTCTCAAATTGATGAAAATTAAACATCTAATTAATTAATTGTTATCAGTCTTTTACTCATTTTCTCCTTTTAATTGTTGTAATTTTCCAATCTACGAATCGAAGGCGGTTTTTCCTCACCTGTTTCAATTTCTCTGTTGTTTCCTGTAAACGTGAATCAGATTTTTCTTTTTTTTTGTCATCGTGAGAAAAATTTTAATCAAGAATTTAATTAGTGGTTGAAATTTTGATTCGTTTTGGTTTTGCCTTGGATTTCATTCATTTTTCGAAAGGCCTGGTGGTGTCTGATTAGTTGGGTCTATTGTAGAAGACATCGTTTACTTACCAATTGATTTGAAATCCTTTTTTTATTGGTACCATTTATTGGAACCTATTTACCTGTTAATTGTGTTGTTTACCTGTTAAATTAAAGCCAAAATGTCTCTGAGTATTTCCCAAATCAAGACTAATCATTTAGACTTAAATAAGGTTAAATCGATTGAAAAGAATCGGTTGATTGCTTTTATGAATCAATTTATCATTTCATTTCTTCACCAATGCAATGAATTCAATTATACTGTAGATTCAAGGCTGATGGACATCAACAGAAAATTAAATACATGTGAATCAAATTTAATCATTTTGGAATCAAAATTAACATCGGTCTCTGGATTATCTGGTAATTCAAACATCGCATCCACATCTCATGCCAATTCTACTGTAAATGAAACTGATAACATTTCAGCTGATATTCCGGTTGATGAAATTAATAACAGTTCTGATGGAAATTAATTCAAAAAATTCCTTGTTAATTAGAATAGCAATCAAGTTTTTATACTTTTATAATCTTATCAAATGTGATTATTTGTTTCATCGAAAGTCAAGTTTGTACAAAATTGGGCATTAAAGTTATGATTTCCAAAGTTTCAAAAAACCATCTTCACTGTAAGTGGCAATTAAATTTCTGTGAGGATGATGAGACAATCCGATGACAACATTTTTGTGAACATCCAAAGTTTTTTCGAGTTTCCCTGAGGCCATAGAGAAACAGTAAAGAAGATAATCCTCTCCAATAGCGTAAACCCATTCGCCTTTGGGGGAGATTGAAGCCGCTACGAAATCACCGTTTTCGCTTTTATTGGAACTAAAAGTTTTGACAATCTAAAGGAACGATAATTGAAAGTATTAGTTTAAATATCTCGAATTGAGTCAACAAGAAATTCATTCTTGAAGATGAAAGGTCTTGAGACTTACCTTTCCTTGAGAGTTCATCACAACAAGAGTGTTGCTATGAGTGCAAATCAGTAAATTGTCAGGATTTTGAGGGACAATGGCAACACTATTGACGGTGATATCTAAATTGGAGGCTCCTGAAAGCGCTGCCGCTTTGAAGGATGAAATACATTCCGTTGTTTTGAGACTCCAAATTCTGACTGATCCGTCGGACGAAGCTGAGATGAGGTGATGTCCATCATATGAGTAAATTACTTGATTAACAAAAGATGCATGTCCACGAAATTCCTTCAACAATTTTCCTGATTTGATTCCGTGAATTCTTATGGTACAATCATGACTACTTGATAGGACTTGAGATGAATCCTTTGAGAAGTTGACACAGGTCACACTCTTAGTATGAGCATTCTCAAAACGTCTTAAACACTGCCCACTAAGAATCTTCCATACTTTAATTTTACCATCTTTGGAACCAGAAGCGAGCATTTCAGAATCACGACTAAATGCTAAACATAAAACCGCATCTTTCATCATCATAAAATTTTCTTGTGCCTGATATTTCAGATCTTTGCGAATTCGACCGGTTGTGAAGTTCCAAACCTCAATGAATCCATCTGCAGTTCCGGTGATCAGGAATTGACCGTCCGGAGAAAACTGAGCACATTCAACTCGCGGTCCACCAAATTTAATGGACTTCGACAGCTGACTTGGAGGTGCTTCTTCCTCTTGCTCTTTGATCTGAGCTTTTCCTCTGAACAAATCGATAGATGTTCCTGGCGGTAATAGCCCTTGATGCTGTTGCCATTTCAGAGCTTGACCTGAATTGGAAGAAATCAGATTTGTTATTTAGTGTTGATTAAATGATTTTTTGTCAACTCACCAAGTAGAGCTAAAAGTCTGGAAGGAGCGACAACAGAAACTTCTTTGGATAGAGACTGAGCTATGTGATTTCGTCTCTTTTCCTTAGAATTTCCTTCAGGATAAGCTTCTTTGGGATCAAAATAATTTCTAGTGAGTAAATTCTCTAAATTAATGTATCTCTCAGGATTTTCGTGTTTCAATTTGACCATAGTATCTGTTTGTCGTAATAAACTTCGAGCCGCTCCAAGCTCTCTTGCTTCAATAAGCTCAATCACAATTTGCTCAAATAGATCGATTAACTTTTTATCAGGCAATTTGAGACTTTGTACCACTTTTAATACAACATCCCAGTGACCAGATTGGATATCGTTCACGAAACTCTCAGTTGATTCAACGGTATTTAAAGTAATAGAAGTTTCCTCTTGAAGTGCAGTCAAAGTCCGTTGGAGATTATTTTCTTTTAAATATTGTTCAATTAGTCTGATTACATCAGCAGATTCTATTTCTATAGACATAATAGAAAACCTTCTTGTGTCTAAGAATCAATGCAAGTTAAAATAAAAAAAGAAAGAAAATAGAATCAGTGACAATCGAGCCAAAAGAAACAATCAAAATAAAAGATTTTAAGAAACTTACCAAATGAATTCAAAGAAAATTAGTGATTTCACAAAAAGAAACTTGTGTGACAGTACAGATCGATAAACAAGAGATCTAAACAATCAAGATAAAATCAGTGTTACAAACCCTAAAGACCAATTAACCTTATGGGTAATTAAAACGAACCAATTTAATAGAAAATGAAAAATTTAAACTTAAAGAAAAATTTTTTCTAAAAAGTGTAAACAAAGATCAATTTGATCTAAAAAGATATCGATTGGATTCGAAAAAAGATCCGATCCGATTCTCTTTCCCTCTCCTAGCGACATCTATGATCTCAGCTGTTTTCTTAAGTTTGTTGATCAAATATCGAGAAAAATTAATAAACTTTTCTCACTAATAATTGTACAACTTTATCTTTTATCCTCATTTAATAATCTGTCAAGTTCATCTGGTCAATTGAATTGTAGAATTTAAAAAATAGTCTCGATCAGACTATTTCAATTAGAATGTTGTGTTACGACCATTAGCCTTTATTGTCTTCGCTTCATTTTCTTAGCTCATTAGTCTGATTTTCACTTTGTCTTCATCATAACCTGTCAATCCACATTTTCAACGTAAGGAAATAAAATGGTGATGGTGGTGATTTCTCATTGTATTTAATTGGTTCCATTTTCCTTGTGTGATTGTAGGTTCTTCACACAACTAATCTAGCCTACTACTGCTAATTTCGTCTTTCATCTTCATTTTCATCAACTAATAAGTTTGTCTGTGATCTTTGATTAGCTTTTGCTTTTCTCATTGACTTGTGTGAATTTGGATAATTTCAATCAACCATTTGGGGTTATAATTATCAACATTCAATTTTTACTTTTTTGTTGTGTCTTAATTGATTGCTGATTCTTGTTTCATCTTGATACAAATTTTCCTCGATTACTATGCCGGTTACTTTGACTATTAGATATCTAGACAAATACAAATCGATTATCAAAGAGAATCCATTAATTGCTACTGAGATTGAGAATGTCTTGAGATGGGTTAGTTATCTGGTTTCAGGTGAGATTCAATTTTCTTTATGTTGCTTATCTGATTACGAATCAATCAAATCAATTTATTCTTATTTTGACTGTTTGTTTTCATATTCTCTTTTTAGGTCGATTCAATAATTCCAATATAATCTCCGAGTTGGTTTACACATCCTCTTCTTTACTACAAATATGCAATGATATTCTACTTAGAAGAGCATTCAATTGGAAATCAAATTTTGTAAGTGATGTCAACGTTATTCTGTCTTCTTTTACTAATGATTTTCTTTTCTTTTCTTCTCTTCTCAGAGCGATGTGGTGGAAAGATTGAAAATCTTTGTTACTGTCATCGAATACACTCAAGTTTTCTTCGAAATAAGTGCAAAGAAATTAGCTGGTGAAGCTGGAAAATGGATCATAATCTCTGTTATTCAAATTACCAAGTAGGTCTTGATTTTTGTTCCACATTCACTCAAGATATTTATCGATTCTATGAACTTTTAATAATCATCTGACTCTCGATTTCAGGGCTGTGGTCAAGTTGATTCTCTTATTCAAATACAATACTGGACTCCAGCGTCAAATTGCTTTCATGCCTTTGGATAGACAGAGAGATGTTCCAACCAGAGGCCTTAACCCTCCTACAGTTGAAACTGAGCCTTCTCCTGATCAATCAGGTAATCAACCCAATGGACAGTCAATTGTCACCCTACCTCGATCAGGGCGAGTGATTCGCACCTTGGACAATGCTCCTCCGCGTCAGAAAAGGACTTGGCGTCTTCCAACTGAAACAACTTTAATCAATCAAATTCTTGGTAGAGAAGATAAAAACGCTCCACCAACGGTTCTGAATGATATTCAAAAGTTGGCTGAGGTTCTTCATATCCTTCGACCTCTTGTTCATCTTTCAACCATGAAAACTTTCGGACCGAATTCATGGACGCCGAGTGTTGTCTCGTTCGGAATGGATGTCACAAGTTTAAGACTATTGAACCAACCTCGTAATCTCTGGAATGCCAGTGAAAGATTAGAATTAAATCAAAGATCATTCTCACTATTCCTCTACCTGATGAGATCCCCGTTCTATGATAAATACACCAAAGTTAAAATTATCCGAATTTTGACCATTTTATCTGAAAGAATACCTTTATTTGGATCCCTTTTAAAACCTCTCATTCAATATCTACCTGAATGGCAAAGAACTTATTTCTACGTTTGGAATGCCTAATCAAATCAATCTCTTTTGTATTCACCTTAATCCCGTCTTTCGTTCAAAAATCATACCCCTGTTCCCGTTTCGAGACTCAAGAACTCAATTGAAATAATGTCCACAATTGTCCCGAAAGTCTCAGTGATTTTGTCTCCTTGTTCTCAACTCTTTTTTATTATAACTTATTCCAAGTTATCGTAATCATTTAAAATTTATTTCATGGGTAAGGGTTTTCAACAATTTCAATGAAAAAGGTTCTATTTGTATCTCCATCTTCAGATGATTATCTTAATCATCAAGATAATTGTAAATAAATTAACTATGTAATCTACGTTAACGGTTATTATATAAGAAAGAATTATAAAAATTGGTCCACTTGAGTCTGACTAGAGTTTCCTATCGATTTGACAAATTGCAATAAACTAAATTCACTAATCAGTCGCTGTTAATTGTTAATCATTCACCTGAAATTTTCTTTGTCGATTGAAACTTCGATTAATCGATTTATCGATAACCAGAATCAGTTGTGTTTCCATTTGTTTTTAGTCATTTAAACTCCAAAATCGTGGCTGGTGTGTGGTTTTATTAATCTCCCAAATAGTTGATCTTTCCTTTTGATTCTAATTGTTTGTTATCTTTCAATTAATAGATCTTGAACAATTGATCTAAATGTCAGTTAATTTGGTTCCTCGTCTCGGTTTGTCTCTATCAAAACGACTCATCTCATCAACATCATGTCGATTAGATATCTTCACCATTCAAGACGAAAAGGACTTCAAATCCAAAGTGATCAACAATAAGAAACCGGTCATTGTTGATTTCTACGCTACGTAAGTAATCAATTAATTGTTCTCTCATTAGTTCAATTGTTCATTCCATTCTATTTGTTACGTTATGATGAACAGTTTTATATTCTCTCCATTATGACCATGTTTTCTTTTCTTTTCAATTCTTCTTTTCTATGTCATGTTTCCCTTTTCTTTGGTCTTCTTTCTGAAGTTGGTGTAATCCATGTAAACAATTAACTCCACGACTGGAAACTGCAATGGCGAATCAATCGGAGAAGATAGATCTTGCAAAAGTAGATGTTGATAACCATGAGGAACTTGCTGGTCAATACAAAGTAATTCAATCTAATCTTCTTTCATCATATGTTTCAAATCATTTCTTCAATCGTCATTTTATTTGTTGATATTGTTGTTTCATTCTTGAGGATCTCTCGTATCTTTTATTACTCTTACATCTTTAATTTGAGGCAATATTTTCAGACATTGATAATTTTGTACTTTGATCATTCATCTGATTCTACAAGATAATCTTTTATTGCTCTCACCTTTCATCATAACTGTTTGATAATCAATTTCCGTTATCTATGATATTAATCTAATCTTGCGGTTTGTTATTAATAATAACATAAAATGACGATTGTTGTTTGGAATGTTTTGATTAGTTGTTTCCATAGAAATTTACTAACTGATTATTTCTTTCTCGTTTTCTTCAGGTCAGTTCAGTCCCTTCAGTATTTGCAATTAAAGATGGAAAAGTCGTAGATTCATTCGTTGGGAACATCGATGACGATCAACTTCGTGCCTTTGTTCACAAATTGTCCGAATAGTTAAACACTATCACAATGTTGGTTTTCCTTTGCCCCAACTTTGACAGATCATTTTTTTTTCTTCTGTGTGATTTAAGCAATTTCCTCAATTTCGATCTAATTGCGAAGCACAATTCCCAACTACTCCATCTAGATAAATTAAATCGATGGCGAATTACCAAAGAGCAAAAGCCATCACTCACCAATTAATTTAGATTTTTTTGTTTGATAGTTTCCTTTTTTTTGATTTCTCATAATTTCTCATTGTCATCTTCGAAACAACCGATGATAATAGCATATTGTGAATACACGAATTACTGTAAAGATGAATATTCAGTTAACTATTATTATCATGGTCTTAGTAGTCCAACTGATTAAAATCAATATGAAAATAACTGTAAGAAATAAACGTCCTTTATTTAACACTTAATTACAACAGATAAATCGGTTCCATTTCGTTCAAGAAAATTATCAAAAAAATCCAACGAATAACATGATCACAATTACTTTTTACAACTTTTTGTTTTCGAAAAAAAAATGAAAAACAATTAAACCTTCAAATCGCGAGGAATCAAAGCGGGTTCAGAGTGAGTTCTCTTTAAATAGTGATTGAAATGGTGTCCATCATGGTAATCACTGTCTTCCTCCTCGTCTTCATATTCTGATCCATGTTCAGAGTAATCGGTTCTCACTTCAGATCTTGAATGAACAGGGTATTGATTCACTTCATCATCTTCGTCATTATAATAATCATATTCATCATTTGAATCATTTCTGCTCGACCTGTTGATCTCATAAAGTAATTTGAATTCCAATTGTTCATCCGTTTCATCTGATTCTTTATCGAGATTCTCATCTACTTGCGGTTCTTTTAGTTCCTTTTTCGACTTTTTTTCTTGTTCAGCTGATTTTCGTCTTTCATTTTCTTTTATCATTTTCCAACGTTTCTCAATCTGTTCCAATGGCACATTTACCTTGAATCGATTTGGAATCGACGATTTACATCGTTTAAACTTCGGTCTATTAACAGCTGCCTCGACATAAGGCTTCGATTTGATGTCAGAACTTTTCAGGCAAATTCGACGATGACTTCCCCTTAAACTTTTGTATTGTTCGTGTTTAGCTGTTGTTCGTCTTATCTCCTTAATCGTTGACTTTGAAGATGATCCCCTGTTGATAATCTTCTTCATCTTATCACTTTGATCAACTGATTGACCTTTTCCAGATCCTTTTCCGTTTGATTTCGCGTCTTTGGTTACATCCTTGCGATTATTAATCGTCTTGCTAACGTTCGAAGAATTTTCCAAAGAATCGATCACAATTAAAGGATTGGTTTCACTAGGCTTTCGATTATTATATTCAATCCTTCCCATTGATTGATCGCTGGTCGTTGATACATGACTTGACCTGGAATTTGGTTCTTTGATTGATTTTCTCCCACTTGATCCATTGAATTGCTTCAACTCAGAAGCTATTGATTTATTAATACTTTCTTTCACCAGTGACAATTGATTATCTACCTTTTTAATTGTCTTCTCTTCACTTTTAATTGTTGACGATAAATTTTTTAAGTTGATTGTATTGTTGTTGTTACTACTGTTAACATCATTGTTAATGGGCATTAATTTACTAGAACTAATATTAGATCCTCCGTTTTCACTTTTCTTTTTGATCACTTCTTTTTCATTAAGGTGATGAGACTTTTTTGATTGTTGCTGATTGTTGTAATTAAAACTTGAGTGTAGATCTTTTTTTAACTTTGATTGTCCAAATGTTGACATTGCAGAGACACTTTTTTGACCCAAACCAGGATTAGGATGATGTATCCGATTGAGCTGATTATAATTACCATGATAATTACCATGATTTTGGTTATTATTATGGTTATTTTTTCTTGAATAGTTGTCACCAAATTGTGAATTATGATCACTATGAGTCTTCATAAATTGTAGAGCCAAATTTTCATCACTGACAGACTGCAAAGAATCACAAGAAATAATCAGTTGAAACATATCGAATGACAATTAAGAATCACCAAATCAAGGTAAAAGATGACAACAACAATAATAAAGCAATTAAAGTGGAAGATACAATCTAAAATAATTGGTATCAATACAACAATGATAAAGATTATCAACAACCAAGAGAGTAAAAAATGCAAGAATTAAGAAATAGTTACATGATTGTAACTGAATTAACGTTTAAGTGTTTTAATCAAGATTGTAAACTCGTCTTGATTGTTGGACTGGTTTAGCCTGATAGGCAATAATAATAATACTTGATGATAATATTGAAAGTTGAGCCCCAATCAGATTGAAAACACTGTTAACTCTAAATGGTGTTGACCATATCGATCGGTAATAATAATACAACAATAATAATGATAAAGGAAATCAACTTTTGTCTGATCAACAGGTTAAATTGTTGACCACTCCTTGGATTATATTCAAACAAAAAGTGATTATCAATCAGCGTGCTGAAGCCGCCGCCCAATGATGAGGATGAAAAGATGATGATAACATGATTAACTTGTGTTCTCTCCCATTCTCATCATTTTTCATCATTTCTTCATCATCGACATTTATCCTGAGAGACTTGAAACCTTCCATTTAAGATGAAACAGATAATATTATTTTCAGCTGATCATCAACTCGATTTCCTCATCATCTTCTTTCCACTTTTCCCCTTCTTTCCTATTCATCTTCCTCATCTTAATTATGTACTTAAAGTTAATCAATCCGTCGATTTGTTGGTTAAAATACATTACAATCACTATTCTTAGTAATATTAACCCACGTTGAAAAGGTCAATCAATCGTCTATTTTCATGCTTATATTTTTACATCCAATCATTAAAAATAATCAATAAAATGAATAAATTATCGTCATGAAATTTTCATGAGATCTTCAATGCTGATAAACATCAGAGGAAGTGCAAGTAAAAGGATTCATTTAACGATAACCAACGATAATAATAATAATAGTTTCTAATTTAAAGGTCGCTCAACAAGATCACCGATCTGTGTTTTCTGGTCACAATTGATTCTTGCAATCAGTTGATCCGGATTCAGAATCCTGGTTAACAGGATACACTAAACAGAAGCAGTTAATTCACCCTGAGGCCATCTAACTTGATTATCATCATCACCATCATCATTATTATTATTATTTTAACCATTTTAATAATCATCGAAAAAGATTTTCTCATTGATTAATATTCATAATCTAAAATTTCTATTATTAAATTTTTCTTTTTTCGTTCTAATCTTATTTTTCTATTATCATTTTCGAAATGATTAGTAAATAGTTATAGTTATTTTTTCCCATAACTAATCTAGTTTACTATTGTTCTGGTATTTTACCATTATCGTAATGTTTACAATTAACCTATTCTACAGGGTGGTAAGAAAATGTGTTCCATTTAATCACTGAATATTGTTAACGAAGGCTGAATTTTCTCATCACCCTGTACTTACCTTGATTATTGGTAAAACCTTCCCTTGATTAGAAGATGAGAGTTTCCTCAATTGATCTGAAATCGAGATGAAAAATAAATAACAATTGTAATTATCACTAAATGAATTCAGTTTCTTTCATCATCATTACGATTGTTATATAATCATTGTTATCATCACAATTATTAAATTCAATATTGATCAACAGTTTGAAAGAAAACAATCAACTTGCTCAACAATAACACAATGCTAATAGCGAATAACCCTAAAAGGATATTAGGTTAATTCTTGAATATTGATTAGCTATTTGATCAGAGGAATGGCAATGTTGTTAATTACTCAAACTCTCCGTTCATTAGTCTTGTTAATCTAATTAATGATCAATTAATATCTTACCATAAAGAAATCGTTCGTACGATCGATACGAATACGAATCATTGAAATCTAACATTCCAGGAGATTTGACTTCTTTTCTGAACTTTTCAACTAATCTTTTCACCAGAACTGGTTCGTTATTTCGGCCACTTCGAATCTGACATCGCTTTAGATCTTGAAGTTCTTGGAATATTTTCCTCTCCAATTGATACCTTTTAGTGTTTTGATTGATTGGTAACATTTGAATAGAAAACAAAAAGGATTAGATTACGTTTAGTTTATTGTTTGATTAATTTCTTAACAATTGATTGTAATATTATCCTAAATTGTTAATAGTGTTGATGGTTTCAACCATCATATTATATTTTATTTAAGTGATGAGGTCAATTGAAAAGGCAAAAGCCTAAAAGTTAATGATATTATTATTATAATTTAACAATTGTTGTTGTTTTTCATCACGAAATCAATTGATTTTTTCTTTAATCATTTAATCGATTGATCAACAAATTAGACCAGCAAAAGTATCGATTAACATGAAAATCAGGTTATTCTCATTTGTTGATTATGTAAACACTTCAATGTTTTCCAATGTCAATGTCATCATTTAATTTTCCTTTTCCTTTTTCTGTTCATGTTTTTCATAAATAAATCATCATGAACAATTTACTATCATAAATTTACTAATTAACTTGCTTATCATTAATATTATCGATTTACTTACTTTCGTAGACTTCGTTCAACTTTGGCCATCATTTCATTGTTTTCTACTCTAATTTGGTCCTTCGTTGGTTTCGCTTCTGATTGAGGTCGTCGAGCCAAATCTAAGCCTCGAGTATCGACCTTTGCAGTCACATGGGATAGATCAATGGGTCCCGATGTTGGTGCTAGTCGATGGTGGAGATGATGAGAGCACCGAGACTCTGAGTGTAGCTTTAGATCACATTTCGAATCCTCTTTACAATTATCACTCGATTTGCTCGATCTTCTCTCTCCAATCAAATGCTTGTCACTCAAATGAAGACGATTAGATTGGTGGTCATTTTGTCGAGAATCCTTTTCCTCATTAGATTGAGAGAGATCGTCATTTTTAACATGATAACTTTCATTTTCCACGGAGTCTTGAGTGTTTGGTGGGTTATTTTGATCGTCGATTAAGTTATCAGCTGACGAATCATCAGAACCAATTATTGGTATTTCATGACTCACAATAGAAGCGATTGAAGCCAATGAACCAGTTGCTGATTCAGTCGTATCTTGGTTATGATCAACAAAAGAATCTTCAGAATATTCAGTTTCAGATGAATTTCCATGAATCTCTTTATTATTTCCATCAAAATCTTCATTATGGTTGTTGATACTTTCATCTGATTCATTTTCCTCTCCGAGTTTATCCTTGACATTATTAGTTCCAATTATTTTCTCACCGTTATAATTATCTTCATCTCCATTAATAACTTGTTCTGTCACCACAACTGATAAATCAACGTCACTTGCATGCGGATGTTTAACAATAGATTTACCAATTAATGAGCGTTTATTGTTGATCTGCCCTGGTTTCAATGTCCCGCGATCAAGTGACCGACTTGTCAATTGTTCTCGGTCATCAGCACCGTCTCTGCTTCGCGATGAGCTTTTTAATTTACTGCGACTGCGATTTTTTGAGCTTTCCCCACTTTCAATTATCCCTCGTGATTTAATTTTGCTCTGGTTACTGTTACTACTTTTAATTGTGTCACTTAAACTGGTTAATCCTTTTTTCTTAGTTGCTAATTGTGTATCACTTTCTCTATCACTTACAAAACTTTGAGATTGATTATCATTTAACAACGATGATGATTGAGATGAATCGGTTGTGCTTAATTTTGTCCTTCTTTTGACTCGTTTCAGAGGAGCTATTTTGTGTTTCGAAACTGTATTCACATAGACATTTGTTATAATCGATTGTGATTGGAATCCTGAGCTCATTGATCGAGAGGCTGAATATGAATAATCGGGTGACGAGCCGTTGTTACGGTAAATTGCTACTTTTCGTTTGGAAATTGATGTGCGAGTTTTCCCATCATCATGATGAGATTCAATTGTTTCCATGTTTGTTATTTTCTGACCAGACTCAGAATTAGAATTAATGTTTGAGTAACAATTATCTCGAGAAGCTGAATGAGATTTCGAAGAATTAGAATAAACTTTGGGTGAGATATAACCTTTGCCAGGACTTTGAGATGATAAACGCTTTTGATGCAATGACCTGATCAAAGTGAGTAGATTAGAAAGAGAGAGAATAGAAATTAATAGAAACTTGTCATGAACCTTATCATGAACGAATTACCTTGAATTTAAATCTAATCTTGATGCTGGAAGAGCTCCATGAAGTAATAGGAATTTGGCACAACTTCGATAATTTTTTTGTAGAGCGCAATCAAGTGGAGTCATTAAATTCCCTTTTGATTTCATTAATGGATTAATTTCCGAACCACAATCAATTAACACTTTACACATTTCAACATTGTTGTCTGTCGCTGCGATGTGAAGTGGACTCCGTCCAATTGTATTCGTTGTATTCACGGCACTTGGAAGTTGTTGAAGAAGCCATCGAACCAATTCTGAAACGAGAAAAATAAAAACATTTCAATTCGATTTCATTGTTTGATTATTTATTCAGAAAATGGTGTTTACCTTTGCGACCAGATTTGATTGCTTCGTGTAAAGGTAAATCGCCCCTGGCATTTCTGTACCAAAGGTTTGCTCCATGCGAGGCGAGAATCTTGATTGTCTCGAACTGCCCTTTGGCAGCACCACAATGAGCAGCCGTTCGTCCTTTAAGATCTTGTCGATTAGGCTCAGATCCAGACACTAGTAGTAATTGGGTACAATCGGCATGACCCAAGGTCACAGCGTAGTATAAAGGTGAACATCCAATCGAATCAGTTGCATCGATCTGAGCACCACACATATTTATAAGAGCTTCGGCCGATTCGACATGACCTCGACTTGACGCACAATGAAGGGCTAATTAGTAGAAATCAAATCAAGTAGATTTACATCATTAATCAATTTTCACTTTCAGTATAATCTCCTTGATTCAAATGGCGATTTGAGATACAATATCAATCGCAACAATAATCAATGTGATTTATTACCTGTTAATCCATCTTTATCACAAGATGAAACATCGGCACCGGAATTGACCAGCATCATAATCGCTTCGCTTGAACCTTAAGATTAATAGATAATAAAAACGAGTTATCTCAAAGATGATTAAATGATTTACTATAAATTCAATAATCGAGTTAATCTGATTGAATCAGTTTGCAAAAACTCAGTGAGACCAAATTTTACCAGGACAGTAAAACGAATGACGATCAATCTTAAAAGTGACTTTTTCGTGATTACAATTGTTTGGAAAACAAGGAAACGAGACATTGACACATTTAAATTTCTTTAATCATTATAACAGAAAGATAATTGAATCATCACGAAAATGATCAAGAAAAATGATTTAAGGCCTCAATTCAAAGATGAAGTTTAATTGTTTCCCTTGACAATTTGATCATTATGAAAGATTAATGATTGACAAGTAACTCTGGTTGGAAAGTGAATACAAATTATCAATCGATTTTAATTGCTGATCAAGTTATTTGGTGACCACAGTCTATTTTCAGAGCTCATTTGTTATTTGGATCAATAATTGTCAAGAATTTATTTGTATCATTAAAATCTAATTACTGTTTAATCAGAGAGGAACTTAATTTTCAACTCGGAATCAGTTTCATTGGAAACTTTCTCATTACAATAATTATTTGAACTCATTTAATTTTAACTATTAATAGTTAATCATTGACAATCAATCAATTTCAACCAAGACTCGCCCTTTTATTCAATTTAGTTACAACTTATCATTACCTTCCGGGCAATTTAATATTATGGAGATTGAAAAATCTAACAATTTACTAATTATTTGTGGCCAATATCAATCGTGCAACTAATTTGGGTATTTACAAAGTCACGCAACAATTGATCATCTAAACTTAATTATAATCAGGACAATTTAACTGTCTCAAAGCGACACAAAAGTGAAATGATCTAATTTCAAAAGGAAAAGTAAATCATCATTCTGAACAATTATGATAACTCGGACAATCAGAATAAATTGTTACCTGAACTCGCAGCCCAAAGAAGTGGCGTTCGTCCATCTTTATCCCGACAATTTGGATCAACTTTTTGATAAGCTAATATTTTTCGCAACACTTTTAATCCGATTCTTACATCTTTGTTTATACTATTGGACGGAGCGGTCATTTGGGCGGCATAATGAACAGGATGAGCACCATAAATATCCGGAAGGGAAGCTGAGGCACCCGATGAGTATAATATATCGAGACAAGATAGTTCGTTGCAAACGGTAGCCCAATGGAAAGCGGTGTGTCCCTCAGTATCACCCGCGTTCAGGAACTGAGTGAACAATTGGTCAGACGGGATCAGCGATTTTACTGACGATGTTAAATAAGTGACCATTGATGTGTTCCCGTTGATAACAGCTAAATGGAGGATCGTGTAGCCGTCGTTGTCCTGATTGATTATCGAGTGAGGTCGAGATTGAATCAATAATTGAGCGCAAAAGATTCCGGTACATTCCGCACAATAGTGTAGCAATGAGCGACCATTTCGATCACGTCCATTGATCAGATCGAGCAATGATTTCCCTTTAATTAAATCTACTAATCGTGATTGTAATGATTTGTGGCAACAATCAAAAAATTCAATTATTTCTGGATTATCTTGACAATCCTGTCCATTTTTTTTGACACTTTCACTATTAAGTTGATTATTACTATTGGCATGATTGTTAACACCATTAAGTTGATCGCTCATTGTTGATCATTTTAAATTGTAATCCATAAACAAATTGATCAACACGATTGAAATTTTCTCGGTACAAACAATTGAAATCACTTTGCTATTAGGTAGACATTGAGGTCTATTAAATTATGAAGGTAATGCAATGAACTAAACTTCATAGTTCAATGATCATGAATTGTCTTTGTCATGGTAATTCTGGTTAATAAATGTTACACATTAGTCAGAATCATGAATTAAAATGAATTTCGTTTCTAAACAAAACAAAAGTTGAAACAATTAAGGGACGTAAATACAAAGTAAATAAATAAAATTCAAATCGCTGTAAAAATTAAGTTCTAACTCATTAAGAAACAGTTTTATTTAGTTAATTGTAATCAAAATATAATCAAATAAATGTCAACAAAATTAACAATTGAATTGTAGCACCAAGAAAATGAACATTGAGTTTATCGAAGTCCTCATGACCTAGAAACATTTCTGTCGTAATAATCTCCATAGAGATGGAAATTGTCATGAGAATTTTGTCTCCCTCTTTCATCATGCTCTCTCTCTCCTCTTTGATTCTCCTTTGTCTCTTTCTCCCTCTCTCACCTGTACCTTCTATTTTTCATCATTTCTTGTCATCCTTATCATCATCAGTTTTAGAATCTCTCTAGTGGAATAAAAAATATTAACTGAATCTGCTCGATGAAATCAGTTACCTATGAACATACTCACTTTTTCATGATGATAATCAGTTAACTGAATCGTCCTCAATTTTAATAATCAGAGGTTCATCATTATTATAACTTTTATTTTTAATCAATACTAAACTCATTCACTTACTCGTATCGTTAATAAATAAATTCATCATTAATTTTTGGTAATCATTTGATTTCATTTTCATTATTGCTTATAATTATTTTCCATCGATCATAACTTATTTAATCAATGGTTAACTTAATTGCTGACCATTTTTAGTTATCGTGGTATAATTTAAGCAAACAAAAATTGTCCATTAACAGACAAACTAATTGATGGAAATGGTTAATAATATTAACAGTATTTGTAATCGATTAGCAAAATAATTATTTCATCATTCACCAAAGTCACATACAATTCATTCAATCAAATTAAATTATTTCCATCATGAAAATAATAGTAATTTTTAAGAAATTTTTTGAACTTTTTTCGTAAATCATATTACTTTCATTTTTCGAATTGTCCTTAGGCTCATAGTTGATCTTGTTTCATTGCGAGAAGGAATAATATTGAAATGAATTTTCAAAAACTCTGTTAACGATTAGCACCGTCGTCGAGAGTAAATGGTAGAAATAATCACCACCAGATGGAAGTTCTGATTCTACGAAATTGGTAATAGAAAATTTGATAATAAAAGTCCTTCGATTCATTGATCTTCTGTCAGAACTCGATGAAGACCAAGAGATAAAAATTAAATTCTATTCAAATTCGACTCGCTATGCATTTGATTAATGTACATTTCGATTGAAGCTCAAGAATTGAAATAAAATGAATGCAATCTAAATGATTGTTCTTTCACCAGTCCTGCTTATTGTTCAAACGAAGTCACGAACATTTTTTTTGAAGAACTGAATTTGCGCTGACGAATCGAATCTGAATGAAAATATTTTCCCCTTTCCCATTAATTGATTAGGACTCATGATTACTGATAGAGATTTATTAATAGTGATTTTAGAATACTAAAATATAAGTAAGTATATTTTTGTTAGGCAGTTGGAGCTCTCCGAGTGACTGGAGATTATCTCGGCTATCGAATGGATTAAAAGTGCCAACATTTTTTCATGATAAAGTTAACATTCCTTCCATAGCTCAAATTTGTTAAAATTTACTGGCCTTTATTTACTACAATGAGCATTCGTGTGATAAATATTAGAAATATCTGGTCATCTCTCCAAATGGACAATTGACAAAAATTGAATTTCAGAAAATCTCTGTATAAATCTATGGATCAATATGGAATTGGAGTCAATCGTTTGTGTGAAATGAATTGAATCGAATCAAATTTTTGCTGTTATAAAATAAGTTAGAACTTGTTCTTTTTATTGATATTTCGTTTGTCTGAGGTCAACTTAATTGAATGAGGTTTTCGTCAGGTTGCCGTTGATTATAAACTTTGATGATTTTAAATTATTGCTTGAAATTTAAGATCAATTGAAACTCAAGTTGATTTTGAATCTTTTCAAACACTAACCAAAGTTTGGTCAGAAATTTTGTCACTAGATGGTGATGATTGTTTAGATTGAGGTAATGTCAATGATGCAATTGATTGATTGACAATTTGTTTACCATTAATTTCTTGGTTAGTTTGGTTATCTTTATGGTTGTGTTTTCCATTTTTCTTTGACGGATTTATAAATGGCTCTGTTAACCAAAGTGCTGATGCCAAGAACCCGAAGACGCTCAATAAATTGAAAAGTCCATCATATGAACCGAAAGCGGCATCACGATAATAACCAACTAACATTGGACGTACTAAAGTTGTTAATCCACAAAAGAAGGAACTTAATCCAAAGGCTAATGGTGAATTTTCAGTTCCAAGATATTTACAGAATAAAATGTTGAGCATATTTACAATGATTCCTGATTTAAAACCCAATCCTGTCGATATCGCCGTTAAAACGTAATAATTGGTTGTCAATGGAATACATTTGAGTAATACTCCGACAATAAAGATATTAAACATGGCCATATATTTGAGAGGAACCAAACGATTGTCCATGAACCATCCAGATCCTAAACGACCGACCAGATCACCAGCCGAAAAAGTCGTAATCAAATGGACTGCGACATCTCGAGATAAACCTTAGATTGAATGAACGGATAACAATTTAATATCTTGAAAGGTAAATTCAACCAATTACAACTGATAATTGTTTGATTAACTACGAATCATCAATCAATCAGAATTGCACCCAGAAGATTTCATCGACTCACCTTTGTCAACAGCGAGATCAACATTGACCATAGTGTATGTGATGACTCCCCAAAAATAAGCCAAATGAGTCGCACAAATTAATGCGAAACATGGATTGGTTATTATTAAAACAATTCTGTCTAATTGTTGTTTAACTTGAGATCGTTTCGCTGTTTCAGATAGTTTGTGAATCGTTGGAAGAACCATCTTTTCGTTGGTTGAAATCTTTCGCTCCATCGTCAAAGCCATTTGAACAAATTTCGACGACATTAGTTGTAATGTTGATCGATTGTAATTATCGTTGATGTAATAATTTGATTTCTGTAAAATTTTATCTGGTGGAGATTCTGTTGGTGTTTTATTACTCGAATTGTTATCACCAATTACGATGTTACTTTCTGATTGATTTTTGTTTAAATTTTCACCAAAATGAGTCAAGTAAACCGGTGAAATAGAAAATATCTTCTTCAGATTATCCTTTTTTTCTGATGGTGATTTTGATGATAACTTTTTCGATGATGATTTTTGAGGACGAAGAGTTAAACTAACTGGAAGAGTTAAAAGTGTTAATACAGCCAAAGTAAGAAACGATTTATGTAAACCGAGATAACTGAGACTATTTCGAGCCAATGGCGATATGGCGAATGCCCCGAGGGTGCCTCCTGAAAGAGCGATTCCAAGGGCTGACCCTCGATATTTAACAAAATATTCATTGATTATTGCGGGATTTTGAACATAAGTTATGCCGATTCCAAAACCTAATTGTAGTTAAGATGAAAGTACAAATTGTAATTAGAAATAATCAATGGAAACAAAGTCAACCATTTTGTCGACAAGTTTGTTATTTAATTGATATTCGATGAACGAGATTCTGTAACTCTATTAATTCAGCTAATTACAATTGAAAACCTGAAATCGGAAAATTGAATCAATGTAAATAATTTTCAGGGCTGAAAAACATAACCTGTTCATCTAAAGCTGAAAAGATGATACAAAACCTGTAAGAATGAAGCAGCAATTAAATAATCAATTAGGACAGTTCAGTTTGGAGTTAGGGCTCTTTTGTAATATCGAAGTTTATTTAATTGCTAATTATAATTATATTCTAATTTTAGAAAAGTTTTTTAAGAGAGCCTCTTATTAAGAACTCGTTTATTGATAGTAAACTCTAATTGTTACTAAAAAAGGAAAGTGTTGCAAGGATTTTGCCGATTTGATCGATGCGAAAATCCAGAGAAAAACTTTTTCTGTTCTCAGAAAAGTTTCACGAAAGAAACAATTAAAAGTTCGAATTAATTACCTTGAATTATTCCAACAAACAGGACAATATCCAAAACCGATGTAGCAAAATAGCAAAGCGCTGCTCCGATCGTTGAGAAAACACAACCGATAAAAACAATTGTCCTTATATCTAAATGTGAATTTAAAACACCAGAGATTGGACCTGAAATCGAAACGTAAATTGACAAAATTAGTTTCATCAGAGAGATTATGTTAATTATAATAATTACAATGGAAAATAATAAAACCAGGAAACGTCTTTTAATTTACTAATTGCAAGGCTAATGATCAGTGATATTTGCAATACCAATTCATTTCTTAATCTTAGCATTTTGGCTTCTCGAGGTTAACTTTAATTTAATTTAGTTACAGGAACTGTCAGTTTGCCTGATTGTTAGTGTGTTGTAATTACGATCATAATAGTAGTTGAAAAGATTGGAAATTAATCAGAATTGGTCAATATTATTATAAAAAAATCCTTCGGTGCAAAGTAACCTTGATCACCTCTAGAAACTCTGGACTCTATTGTCATGTAAAGATATAATTGTAATGAAATATTTCATCGCAATCAAATCCAATACAATCAATGAGAACCTCGACTAAATGAATTGCTGTATTATTATGATCATGATTAACTATTGTAAACATCATTTAGCTAATCAATACTGGTTTACCTTTATTATTGAGCCTGATTAACCTTCTGGACAGTCCATTCAAAACATGTTATTATTATTTATTATTAGCACTATTTAAATCGAGTAATTTACAGCTAATTGTTATCAGATGATGATCAAAGTGCAGATCTGATTATGATGGTTTCGCTTGAATGAGCAATATTAATGACCTCTATCATAAATGAACTTAGGTCATGAAGTTTTTTGTTCGCAATAACCTCAAGTTCAATGGAAAAGTGGTAAAAAACAAATCGGTAATTAAGACTGATTAACATATTAATCTAATAATAATATCGAACTTACCTGAAAGGTGAATCACGGTCATGCAAAGGCTGAAAGGCCAGGTAGCTTCACTTCGAGATACATGATAAGTTTCGAGAACTTCTGATAAAAATAATGAATAACTTCGGTGGATACCAAACAATATGGCGTTGATGAAGCAACAGGAAAACGGGATAACCCAAGCATAACCTGAGTCGATGTTTTTACCATTTGGCTTTTGGTTAATATTTACAGACATTGAAGGCATAATTAAGAGCACTTGGGATCATCAAATCAACGGAATAATAGAAAAACGATCTGATTCTCGACGACTGGTAAGAGTTTTTGTACTTTCCGTTATTGTTAATAATTAGATGTAAATTTGTTGCTGGTTTTTTGTCGATGGTGATGATTAGATGGACTAATAGTGACCTTAAGCAAATTTTCTGGGTCAAAATAGCCTTAGATTCTCATTGACTTGAGGTCAATCACAAAGTTTAAAAAGTAAAGTAAAACAAATATCATCTAATCATTTCTTGCTCTTTGATTGCAATTGATGTTGATAATGATGATGTTGATTGTTGATCAATTGAATCGATTTGAAACTGAAAGAAATTGAAAATTTGGAAATTAGAACAACCCAAGATCTGATAATTGACCATTGACGAACCAATTTGTTTAACTAATTGTAACGATAGTAACAAAATTCTTATTGATTATATAATAAGATCACTTTTGTTATCGATGTTTATCAATCAAATTTATTGGAGTTAATATTAAGCTCGAAATTAATCAATTCCTTTTATCGTATTCAGTTCACTCTCTCTCGCTCGTCGGAAAGATGATATTTTCTCTGTCTATTTTTGATTCTCTTTCTTTGTATCTTCCCCTTTTTCTCACTCAATTAACTTTTAATATTCCAACAATTAAATTAATTGTCATCATTAAAAACAATTAACTCGACAAAAAAACTTTGGACAAGTTTTTTGTTGAGTTGAAAAAATTTAACAAAAAATTTTTAACCTGTTGATTTAATCGCAATTAACTTGGCCGGGTTGCGTTTATCAATCAATTAAATTAACTTTTGCAATAATTAAACAATTAAATTGCTCGAAGCGTTTAATACAATTATATCAAAGATGTAAACAACAATTTAAATTGATGAAACAAAGTTTACATAATTTGCATCACTGATATGATTTTGTAATGATAATTAAATGTCAACTTGTCAATCAACTAATTGTTGTTGTGATCAATTCCCTATTACATCACTATTTTCACTAATCAAATTAAGGATGATATAGTTAATTGCTGCTAAATCAATTGCACGTGTATCATAAAAGGTTCATTGATATAATTTGAATTTAACCTTGACAATGAAAACGATTATGATTGTTGACAATTGACAACAATTAACAGTTTTTGGTAACATTAAATCGTAACTAGGATAATTTAATTGTGATGCGACATAATTAAAATTGAAGGACAGGTCAGTAAACAAGGGGAATTATAATTTAGAAACAGGTAATAATGTTAATTCAGTTTACTAGCACTTAATTGCTGTTCATCAATGAAGAAAATCATATTCCATGATGATACCTGATGAACCAGAAATTCAAGTTCTATTCATTTTGATTACATTGATTATCTAATAGATTGTCTATAAAAGATACATAGTTAATTTAACCTGACAATTAACTTTAATTGTTCCAGAAATATCTCTAGGAAATATTGTCAATTTTGATTCTTTACAGCTGATTAAATAAAGTTAATTGTTTCTCACTTTTTTGTCAGAATCTCATTTAGATGATAATTAGATGAGAGCAATTAATAAATCAATAAAGAAATCATCATTTCTGGTTAATCAGTTTGGTGTGATTAAATGAGATCATCATTTAATTATCAATTTATTGAACAACTAATCAATTAATTTGGTGTTTAATTTTAATTTTAATCAAAATTTAAATTGCTCTTCTTTGTTATTTAAACTCAATTTGTTGTTATTTTCTCAATTTTTCTTTAAATAATCAATTAATCATTCAATTTATATTTAATTTGATTGGGAAGAAAATTAAATTGCCTGAAAGTTTAAATTGGGTGATCTCAATCAGAATGACAATTAATTCAATTGTCATAATTATTACAAGAAACCTGATTATCTATTAATAAATTTACTATAAAATTTGTGCCTCCAATCGGCTTGTTACAATTAAACTTTAATCAGTTCAATTAAGTCACAATTAATTGTACCATTCACTTGTACAAGTGCAACAATTAACTGATTGGCAAAAAAGAGGCTACTTAATGATTATCAAACCTAAAACGATTTAAATTAAACACGAAATATTTTGATTGATATAAATTATCAAAAAACAACAGTTATTGTGAATTAATGATTCATTAATCAACCGGAAGAAGTGGAAACAATTTAATCTAATCGAAACCAATAATTAAATATTAGATAATTAAATTGATGAAACATTCACAAACTAACCGTTATTTAAATATTAAATTGCTGCACAATCAAGTTATCGGACTTTGTGATTGCTGTTGATCAAATCGTTGACCCAAAAGTATTAACGAAATCAGTTGATAATTGCACGGCTGATGATTAATTAATTGTCACAATGAAACCATTATATTGCTCATGCAGATTGAATTAGATAAACACTGATTAAAGTAATAATAAAACATGGATAACACTTAAGTGTAAAAAGTAAATTGCAACAAAATGACAATTAACTGTTGATAGTTGATTAAATCAAGTTTCGTTGCAACGATAAAAACTCAAAACTCAAAATGAGAAAGTTTAATGTTATTAAGTTTCTTGATTAACTTAAGCTCCTCCTGCAATTAAAATTAATAAGAGTCCATTTAAGAGTAATAGAACTGCCCTTTATGGATTAATATTACCCAATCAACAATCAAATTGATCGCAATTTAATTTAATTACGTTTTCCCCTTTCTTTAGCTTATATCACAAATCTTGTAACAATTAAATTTAATCAATCAATCAGACAGATGAAACGTTGTAATTGTAAGTTAACAATTTGTTAACAATGTTTATTTTTTCACTGCTAAAAATCCTAATTGTGGGGACAGTTAATTGTGCTGATTTAATTTACTTTGACTAATGCAAATCAAATCAATTTGATCAAATTTCATTGCTACAATTAGAGTTCATGATCAAATTCAAAGGTAATATTTGATTAACTATCCAAAAGATCAACAATTTTGATTTATAATTGATTGATTTAATGTGATAATCGGTTCATCTGATTGTTTGATTAAATTTAATCACATGTAACATTATTATATCACCTCAAAAATGATTAATTAATTGATAATTTCAAAATCGATCACCTTGAATACGTGTTAATTTTTAATTGCAATTAAAATGAAACTTTTTTGGTGGATCATAGGACTCAGAGTGACATTTATTGTCTTCGTCTTATTTGGGTTAATTGGATTGAGTGATTAACCTAATCAGTTAGACAATTGTTCAGGTTAATTGTTTATCGTTACCAATTCAAATTCACGTGTTAATAGTTTAAGGGGCAATCAAGCAAAAAAAAAACACAATTAGTGGTAATTGAGTAACAATTAATGAATAATCAGCTGATTAGTCTCATTTTTGAAAACGATAAATGATCAAGAGCAATTGTCACTTGATTGTCCACTACTAAACTTACAATTAACTAGTTTAATTGTTATTTTATGGTCAACAATTCATGGTCAATGTGAAATAGTGTTAAATTGTCATGGTTAAATACTAACCTCGTCTAAATTGTTATAATTCAATTGATTAACATGATGATCAGCTAAAAATGTATAAGAAAAACAATGAACTCGATTGCTATCAGCTAGTAAATTGTTTGTTAATTGTAATTGCGAGAAAAAATTGACCATGAACTTTATTCGTGAAGATGATTAAGATGATATCTGAATTTTCATTTGTTTCATCAACATTAAGATTTACAATCAACTGATTGTGATAATTAAATCAAAGTAACATTAACCTTGCTCAAACCAAGACATTTATTGTTGGGTATGAAGTATTAATCTTAAACATGATCAATTGTTATTAATAATTTACTTTATTATGTCAATGTATTTTTATCAATCATGATTATTTAATTTAACTAAAGTACAATTAAAAGTAAACAATTGACAAACCATTGTTAACACCAATCATTTGATAATAAATTGAATTTAGTTAAAAGTTAAAAATTCAATTGATTGTAAATACTTTTTAATATTAAATAGACTCAAATTGATTAGTTAATAATATGAACAAGCGGGAACAAACTTTCTTACGAAAGTTTGTTAAGATTGTTTGCCAGACCCGTGGTTTATTGAAATGGGAATCGTTTTTTAATCGAAAAATTCAAAACTAAATTCTTTCTCAATTCTATCTATCTTCTTTTGAAATTTGTGAAAAGCTTATCTGCATGCTTACATAAAATCTTTGAGTCAGAATTTCATGAATACTCAGATTTTGTTCGTACTATTTTCCGTTTTGTGATTTTCATTGAATTTTTGATACCTTAACCTCTCATAGAATCCTTGTAGCTTGAGCGTAATCTTTACCCAAAATTTCGACAAATCTTATTCAAGAATGTAGATACACAATCAAACACTTACAGTTTATTGTTAAAACAATCGAGTAGCGATTTGTAAATTATTGTCAAGGTTATTATCTTAATCAACGAATTAAATTGTTCACTTTCAGTAAATTGAATTGTTGTTGTGATGATTAAATTGTTACATAATCTTGATGGCAAAGTGTAAACAATTAGAAAGTGATCAACAATTGCTAACGATCAAGGCTATAATTGATTAGAGTTGATTAATACACTTTAATCACAATGGTTTGCAAAATTTTGCTGATTGTTTGATCAGCTGATGAGCTTATTAATATTATCGTAACTTTAATTGTTACCACAATCCAATTGAATCAGTCTGCTTTTAGGTGATTGTCAATTGCAGAGTCACAGATTATTTAATGATCAGAATGAGGAAATCAAATCACAATTTAATTCTAAATACATTGTATTATATAAGATCAATTAATGAAAACTTAATGAATAGTTAAGTTGATCATTTTTCATTTTTACGATCAAATTTAATGTCAACACTGAATTTTAATTAAAATCAAAGTATCACAATAATATTAATTTAACTGAATCGGATCAACACAAATCAAGTTAACTGTTGAAATGAATGAATTTGAATCAATGAAAGATCAGAATCGAGCTGTGAAACTTTGTCTTCGCACTTGATGACAATTAGTTAAATCATTTGATTAATTTTGGCAATCAGTTAATTAAGAGATTTGATTAACTATTGCCAATTGGATGTTAAATGGGTTTGATTATTTGCCAATTAAGAATCAATTTCGCGATTATGTTAATCACTTTAAAACTTAATCAGATTAATTGGATCGATCGTTGAACCCGGAACGATTTAATAACAGTTAACAGTGAATTAATTCAACTGTGATTTAAGATCACTGATCTTACTAATTTACATTGAGCTAATTGTTGATCAGAAAAAAAGTAAAACAATTATGTCTTATTGCTATTGCGATTGGTTTAATATTAATTTAATTTGATTGTTATTAACTGGGAGTTAACCTCCATCCCATTGCCTAGTTGGTTAATATTAACAACGAAAAGCAAAAAGGTTCAAGGAAAGTGTTTGGTTAATCATGATTAAACTAATAACAACAATCAAGGTGATATGACGTTCGCAGCATCACAATCAGGGTCTAACTAATCAGTCAGACAATTAAATCAAATTATGATTAGACTTGATTTTCAGGGGCATGAGGGCTCTCTCAGTGCTAACAATTGGTTAATCATTTGTCCAATGGCTAATTTAATCACAATTAACTATGGAAAATGTAAATACTTATTGACCAAGGATTGATTTATTGATTTAATATAATTAAGACAAATTGTAAGAGCAATTAACTAAACAGCAAATTAAAAAAAAAGAAACCAAATTAACAAATTAAATCAGTCAGATAGTTAATCAAGGTAACTATTATCACAATTAAATCGCATTTTAATTAATAGAGTCGTTAATAGGATAATGAGATAATCATTTTCGGACCTTTGGGTAACAATTATAAATTCATAGTCGAAATAATTAATAAATCACAGAATTAAAGTTTTATTTACCTTAAATTGTTGTTAATTCGTTGATTTTCTGTTGATTGATATGTTAATTGTTCGTTTAATGTTGTTAATCATATTTCAATTCGGACACTTTGATTAATCAAATTTTTGATTTGACTTGAAATTGATCATATCACAGATTGAATATTAATGTAAATTGTTCAAGTTGTTGTTGATTGTTGGTGTTGATTATGAATGATGATTTTTTGATTGTGTTCATCAATAATCAAATGAAGATGAATTATTTTAATGTTGATATTTCATTCACAAGGTAAAGGGAAACCCATAGTTAATAGTACAAACATTTAATGTTATTCACCAAGGTTGTTGTTGATTATTGATGATTAAAGTAATTCCTGGTTTAACAATTCAAGGATTTGAATGATTTTGGTGTAAATTGTTGGTTAATCATGAATCTCAGTGATGATTTAGATTATAATCAACTGATCAGAACCAGAAGTACATGAGAATATGAACAATTTTATCTGATTGTTTCTCACTTTCCCGATTAGAGCTGATTGAAAACTAATACAATTAGTAAATTGTAGTGGAGCAATTGGAATTGCGTTAGTTTAATTTTTTACTGTTAGTTTTTTCTTTCTGTTAGCAATCAACGTAATCAAAATCGTAATCACAGTCACTAGAACGTAACCAATAATTAACCAGGACAATTAAAGTTGATTGTTGACTTAAGTTATTAAGTTAATGGTGATTATTGTTGATTATTGTGACTTAGTGAAAGTGAAAAAATGATTGTCTTAAATTGGATTTATCTTTGATTATTGGGTTAAATCTCAATACGACAACTTTGTTTGGGTTCAACAATTAACAAATTTTGATAAAATGATCAATCCGATTATAAACAAATTGTTAATTGGTCAATTGATTAAATCGACTCAAGAGTAAAAAGAACCAGTAAAGCATCAGTACTAAACCAGGTGGAGACACAGGATGAAGCAAATTAATGAAAAGGTACAATTAAAACTAATTAATTATCCACCGATGATTCTGATCAATATAATCAGATCACCGAAAATATAGAAATGGTTGATATTAATCAAGATAAATCTGACTCTTTAACTTTACAGAGAAAAACTAATCAAGTTTCATGATAAAAAAACTTTTTCACAAATTATCAAATTAAATAGCAATTGAATTTAATCATCTGAAATGTGAAATTAGTACCAAATTTAAAGGAGTATTGATGTAAAAGGATAACAATCATCAAGATCAAAGAATTCACCTCGGGAATCGTAATTAATTGACAACAAATCGACTCAAATTAAAGGAAGTGGTTCAAATGAATCGACTTAGTTAAATGAAACCAATTGTCTTTATTTGTATTTATCACCATGTTTATCAATACATTAATTTTGTTAATTCATTGTTACCTGGTCAGTGATTAAGTCTTTGGTTTATTAAGTCTATTAACACTGATTGTGATTAAACTATAACATTGTAAATTGTACATTAATATATTAATATAATGCAATTGCCACTTCAACAAGGTTTTCACAATTAAGATGGATATTGTACATTCAGTTAAATTAGGTGATACATTGTATTGTTGATTTAATTAAATTATCAAATTGCTCTTGCAAAATTAAATGTCTATTTAAAATAAACAAGATGATTGTGAAAGACTAATTTTCATTCATTCACAAATTGTCCACATTAATTGTTCCAAGCAAAGTTAATGAAACAAACCGATTTTTGGTCAGACAAGGAATGCAAATTAACTTGAATGAATTCAGTAGATGTTCAATTAATCAGCTGTATGAACTTAAGAGATTAAAAATGAGGAAAGAGAATGAAAGAGAAACGAGCACAGAAAATATCGATTAAAATATCCATGGATAAGCGAAACAATTGAATGATGTTTGGCACCAATTCTTAGATTTTCCCATGAGAATGATAAACAAATTTACTGTTTACTGTTTCTCGATTTGAGATGATGATCTTTGGTTTGATTCTGTGATGGAACTGATGTTTTCCTAGCAACCTCATCTTCATCATCGCTGGTGTAGTTTCGAGAAACTGCCCCTCGGCTACTCGTTGCCTGCATCAATTCCATGTCAGGGACTGAGAGGTTTTCATACATTAGAACATTTAACGTCTCTTCGTATATTCGAGCTTCAGGAAACTCGACCTGTAATGGAAAATAACAACGATTCTTAATACATGTAGATGTAGAATAGGAAGAAAATGGTCAATTTTACCTTAGTATGTTTCCTATCAGGAGCATAGAGAATAGAGTGACAACAAACTTCGGCGACCTTTTTCCCGTGACCGAAAAATGACCAGCAGCAAATTTCACTGGTACCGATTACATCTTTGATGAAAAGAACTCGACCACTGAACCTTAAACACAATTTATCGAATAATTCCAAATTCTTGAGGAAATTGTCATCTGATGTACTTGTGTAGGAATATTTGTTATTGTGACGATTGATCAAAAGTTTAACAACGGGTTTAGTTGAATTATTGATCAACATGGTTTCTTCTTTTGATGATGTTATCAATGGAACTCTACAAATTGGTTCAGTTCGATTGCTCTCTTTCGATCTCGCTAACATGGATTCGCACGAGTCAATCAGCTCCTGAATTAGATAATATTTTGCTTCAGCCAGTAATTCCTGAATATCTCTTCCATTATCGGGTAAAGGAGCAGAACCATCACGGAGAAATTCCAAAATAGTTCCAAAGTGTTTACCACTTCTATCAATGAGTACCCAACCTGTAAGAGAAAATAAATAAATAATATCAAAACCATGACCTTGATCGTAAATGGAGAAAGTGATTTACCTTCTGAATCAGTGTGGACACCCAATCGCCCAGAAAACATGGCCCTCAACATACTATCGGCCTTTGTGAGAGTTCCGATTGTCGTTTGGTACAAAGATCCACCAACATTGAGCTTCACATATTGACTCGGACCTCCTTTCATGAAAATGTTCCCCTGACTTGACATAATCGCTTCTCCGTGTTTACCCAATTCCTGCATATCGAATCAACATAAATAAACCACCTGAATACTAATCACGATAAGCACAAAATTATAGACTTTAAAGATGAGAATTGAAAACGAAGAGAACAAGTTGTCAGAATTTAATTAAAAAGAATTGATTAAAATCCTTTGTAAACAAAAATAAACAAAGAAAAAGAGAAAAAATTCTATGAAAAGTAAGAGAAAAAGCCGATAGATGGAGCTACTATTCTATTAGTTCAATTTTTCTTTTTCTTTTTTTGATTGTTTCAATTTGTTTTCGGCTTTTGTTTACTTGATTAGTTGGAATAATTAAATCATGACTTCTAATTTGTTCAAAATTTTTCAGTCGATTTGTAGATCGGTGCGTGATGAACCAAGACCACAGGGAGACAACAAGCGTAAGTATCTTTTCTCAATTTGTTTCTTATTCTTTATTAATTTTCATTTTTCTTTTCTTCATTTTCCCAATCTTAGTTTCTGATGACTACTTGACACAGTGAGTTACGTTTCAACCTTTTGTTTCTCATCTTTTCTTTGTTATGATGTTCACTTACAACAATTTACATTCTCTTCTTCTTATAGGCTTGTCTATTTGTTTGGCGATGATCTTATTAATGCACTGACTTTGATTGACGACAAGCGCATCTATTTGGTTCGAAGTGATTCCGGTCGACAAGTATTCAAGGTGCTCAGTCAAGATAAACCGATTCATTACATTTGTTACAAGAACGCTTATTATTGTACTTGTCTTGCATTTAAACACAAAGGTTTGTTGCATTTAATTAGCGATCTTATCATTGGTATAAAGTTTCACTTCAAGTTGACAATTAGTTTAACTTCAATTTATTTATTGTCTACTTTTCTCATATTTCCAGTGATCAGCTCGGACTCGATTATGTGCAAACATTTAATCGCTACTAGAATTGCCGATGCGATGGGATTGATTGAAATAGAAAATATCAATGACCAGCAAATGGCAGATTTATTAAAGTAATCAAAAAGACACAATAACTTGGTAAATTAACTGAGGAGATTTAAAGCAGATTAACAAGAGGAAGTAGAGCGTCTCTCTTGTCAAGGTAAAGGTAAACTTTGGAAGGACCAATGACCTTTGAATAGGGAAACGTGGTCAGAAGACGAAGACAGAGTAAAGAAAAGTAAGAGAAGGTGAAGATGAAGATGAAGATGAAGATGAAGATGAAGATGAAGATTAAGTGTTTTAAAGAGACTCTCGGACAAGGAGGAGGAGAAACAGTGTAACGGTATTACAATAAAATGAGAGATTCAACATCAATTAACTCTGTCTGCTTATACAATCTACAAATGTTCCACGCGACCTGAAAGAGAAAAGGTGAGAGAGAATACCAAAGGAGAGGGTGGACAGAGAGCAGAATACGAATATGATGATGAGGGAGAGAGGACGAAGCAAGAAATGATAAGAGTACTAAATATTATGCATTTAGCTCCTTGTGTCTCCGAGGATAGAAACGCGGATCCAGGTTTATGTCGCGTGCCACGAGTTACCTTTGACAATAGATCTTTTCTTTCATTTATCTAGTTTTGTGTTAACTCTCCTCGGGAGTAAAGAGAGTGAGAGAGGTTCGATTGTAAAAACAGGAACCCTCCGAGCTTAAACACCTCTCTCTCTCTCTCTGTCTCTCTGTCTCTCTCTCCCTATCTCTATCTCTTTCTCTTCACTCTCTCCGTTTTACCCTCTTTCTTTTTCTGTCTCTGTTTCGCATTTTCCAGGTGAAAGAGAAAAGTAAGACTTTTCTGCCACGCGTTTGATGTGGAAGCTTTTTATTATCATAATAATTGAATAGCTTTGGATGCAATAAACTGGGGGAATTTAAATACAATCAACTATAAAAACTTTGTATCTAATATTTGATGATTTCGATTATGCTTTCACCTTTTCTCCTCCCTAACATATGACAAACTATTAATTGTAAACTTATGTTCACCCAACAGTCAAAGAGTTAGATTATATAACAACAGTTTAAATAGAATGAAAAAAAAACTCGAACTTGGCCCAGGTGAGTTACCGAAATGATATAAAGAGAATCGAGTAAAAAACAGAAACAAACCTTAGGTAATTCTCACAATTGACTGCAATATTCATTTACGACATTTGTTTGGAAATCACGCAACATCAACAGAGAGACAAAGTTTCTAATGAAATTACAATGTTTTCTTTTTATTATTCAGCTACTTGTAATTTATATGATCAGTACATTGCGAATATTATCATTACCATTGGAATTATCATTATCATTGTACAAACAATAATGATACAAAGTTTCCTATGAGGTTAAGTGAACCGTCAAAGTTTCCAAAAGAAAAGCAAAAAACGATGATTATTATAATGATCAAGTTATAACGGGGAATTGGCAAGTCTTGATTGTTGATGATTCGGTGTTGATGATGCAGCTGAAAACTGATCTCCGGCTACTGAATATCAAGGGAAACGAAACAAAAGTGAAGTGATAATGTTAATCATAGATTATGATGATCATTATAATTACATAGTAACTGTTTCCATCTCAGGTCAGTGTTTGAGCAGACGATTTTTCCAGGAACTGATTGCGTTTTCATTGACTGATTAGCTTATCTTAATTGACAACTTAACCCATTTGCTCTGGTCGTTGACCTCAACCAAGTTCGGCACTAAAAGCGATTAAGATAACAATCAAATCGATGGACAATTTGTACTGATAGTTGCCAAGAATATGATCAAATACTGATAACACTGTTTACGGTTTGTTGATCTTCTAGTGACAATAACCTTAATAGCCTAAAGGTAAATGGACATTTCGTCCTAAGTTGACCTCTCTCTCTCTCTCTCTCTCTCTCAATAGATATCAATGGACACTGATAATCATCATCTGTTTCCTAACAATCGATCACCTTTTTTAAAATTAACTTTCACACAATTTAAATTAATGAACCATAATAATAATCACTATCGATATTTATATCTGTAAATGTATCAGCATTTACAACTAATTGTTACCTGCAAGATTAATAGTATTGCCAAGATTAGAGTAATTATATTAATAAACAATAATTAGATATTATTTTATATTATTGGAATGCTCTGGTTTCAGATCATTTTACGTTCCATTGATTAAGTTCCCATGATGATGATATTAAATTATTTTAGTAAATATCATAATGATGATGATGATAAAATGCAACCATTGATCCTTGTTGATAATTGTTGCTCAAGTCTAATGATGAGAGAGAGAGAGAGAGAGACAAAAATATAATACCTGTAATGTTAATCTATCAAGAGGAAACCTTTTTAATTGCTTGCTAATGATCCATAAATTGAGTGTTATATTTATCTACTATTTGAATCATTATTAATATTTGATATTATTATTGTTTCGTATTAATTGTAAATGTATTTATATTAACACCTTAGATAATTAAGCCTGGAAAATGATAAAACAGATTTGACACAATTTCCATTGTCTAGTAACCTAAAAGTCAATTGAACGACAGTTGATTGTGTGGGAATCACCTTCTATCATTGACAATTTACTAATTCACTTGATACTTCGAGCATCCATTACATTGATTATCATTATGGTTGTTGATTATTACCATCAGAATGATGACCTTGGGTCCATTGACAATTAACTTCTGTTGATCAATTTATCTGTTTTTTATATTCTTATTTACCTTTGTGTTTTTATTTTCTTCTTCTCTGTCAATCTGATTGTTACTTTAATTAGTAAACAATCAGCAGATTAAATAACAACAACAATTAACATCGTAAATCGTTGGCTTTCAAATCTCTCAGCAATTTGTAAATTTCATAGTTTTGCTTTGAATATTTTCTGTCCCTTTGATTGTTTGTAAATTACATTTCATTCATTAATTTGATTTACATATTGTGTCAACAGTAACACTACGACAGTTCAATGTGTGATCATGTGTTTCAATTAATGAAGAGGCTCAATAAATACAATTAAAATTTCAATTATAATTATAATTAGAGTATTAATTATCCTTGGGAACATTTCAATGCCATTGGTGTCATTTGAACATAAGGATTTCAGGATAATGCTGAGGTATCTCATCCATATGGACTTTGATAGTTAGGATGATGATGCTGATTGGGATGGTGATAAAAGAGACATTCAATTATGATTAAGGCTCAGTCAAAAGATGAGGATGGAGATTGTAGATCACGTGACATTTCCGTTCTAAGGTCAAATCGAAAATGTTTTATATTAGAACGTAAAACTTTCAAGGCTCAATTTTTTCTCTCTCTCGTTCATCTCTCTTTTACATCTTTCGATTAAAGTTGAACAGTAAAAAAATGGCCTCAAGTTAAATAGTTTGAGGGAGAAGATGAGGATAAATGTAGAAAGAGGTCGAATTGTCGACAAGGAAACAGATGGTAATTCGAATTGCGACAGAGAAGAAAAAGAAAGAGCATTAAGAAAGAGACAGGATGAAATTGCCACGCGACTTGGACTTTCTTTCGACATTTCGTCATCTTCATCTTCCCTATCATCATTTTTATCATCATCGAACTCGAACTCATCTTCTCTTTCTTTTTCTCTTTCTTCCGGAAACAGATGCTTCATCTCTCGTTCGCCTCTTTTTCTGTGTCGATATCGGGGAATACCTTTGAAAGAAAAGAGGGGAAAAAGAGAAGACGAAGTTGACAAAAAATGAAGACGAAGGGATTTCTCCGTCCGCCCCCGTCGAGGGTTCGACCCTAAGGCCATTTCCTATTTAACTTATTCTCTTCTTTTCTTCTTTTACCTTTACAACCGAGACCCTCTTTCATCTTCTTCTTTTTCCCCTAAGATCATTTTCCTCTTCATCATCACTTCTCTTCCTTCATCTCTCTCGCTCTCTCTCTCTTTCTCCCAGACACTTTCTTACCTTTACCTGGACCTTTCTTAGGTCATTTAAGGAGGTTCTTAAGAGAACTTTAAATTTAAAAAACTTTTCATTCAAGAGAAACGGAAGGTAATAACATCGAGGGAACGGAAGTTAAGAACGGGAATCGTGAAGAAAAGAAACTTTCAGATGTCAAATTGACCTAAAAAAAGTTCGATCTGCAATTGATTCTTTTAAAGTTCTTTTTTAACCAAAAGTTACATTTAATTCTGATTTTTATCTCTTTGCTTCATGCATAACAATTTTTTACGAATCAATTTGATTAGCGACTGTTAATTGTTGTTGATTGTTACAATTAAATTAACTCGTTACCTTTTAACATCGACAAGAGGGACAAACTTGAGGTTAAGTGACAGTTGCCGGAAATTAAATATAATTAATAAACGATATTTGGGTTCGTAACATTGTAACTAAATTAATTGATTATGAAATTTTTTGTTCTTGTGGCCCCAACAATTGTTTTAATTGTTGATCAACAATCAATTGTGATCCTCATAAATTGATTAGTGTAAGGCCTCTTTGATTGGAATCATTATTAATGATTAATTCTGACGGAAGTTAATCAACACTTTGCATCTCGTTTACTATTTAATCACAATCTCTTTTCATGATTATGGTGATGATTAAGGTACGAAACAACTAATTAAATCAAAAGTCTAGAATTAATTTAATTAAGTCAACAGACTTGAGAAATTGTATCAATGAGTAGATGAACAATTATCGAGTTATCCTGATAATCAATTGATGCTCAATGAAACGATATTTTCTCAATATGTTCAGATATCACAATTTACTGTTAAATAACAATCAACGGTAAATTTATGGGCCATTAGCAGGTAATTAAAAGATATCGGTAACAATTACAATCTATGGGAACTTAATCATTGGAACGTAAAATAATCTGAGAATGAAAATCATTCCAATGATTGTAATTACTACAATCTAACTCTAATTGTCACAAATGAGCAATTTATTTATTCCGATGAACCATTAAATTGTTGAGTATAGTAAAAAAAATCCAATTGATTAAAGTTAATCAAGAATATGAGATGAAAACAATAACAAATCAACAAAGTAAATAAGGATACCGATTGTTAATCGGTATCTCAACAATTAGATGATCATGATGACAAGCAAGATGATAATTAAGGATTCGACGTGGGAAAGATAAACAATTAGAGACAAAGTTACAAATTGTCTCATTTAACTTTGATTTGCATTCGTGTATTGAATATAACAATCTAATCAATGTCTTTGTGTCTTCGTAATTACAATCAACAATTTAGTTGGTAATTAAAATAATCTATTGAAAAGCTTGTATACTTGAATGGTCAAGTTCATTTGGAAACATCTTCTCACCATAAGATTTAAGGTCTTTTTTCCCGCTAATCATTTTTTCATATGTTGACACAACAATTATAATCACTTTTTGCCTTCGGCTATTTGCTGTTTCCTTTACAACAATTTAATTGCCAGAATTATGATTAAGATTCAATTGCCTGCAACATGTTACCAAATATTATTGATCAACATTCCCAATGATACTCAAGTACAGTAGCTACTTAAATATTTCAGCTGCTACTTTGTTTTCCCGTTATCGTCCTCATCTTTCATCCTCATCATCATCTCATCATTAACAATCTTACCTTTTCATAGGTGTTATTAATCAGCCTTTTCTTTATTATTTCCCCTGACCAATCAACCGATTATCATGACAAAAACGATTCAATCAAAATCCGTTTTCCATTTTTTGTTCAACTTTTTGATCCATTGGAACCAATTTATTCAATTAACCCTTTTTTCTCATCATTTTCATCTTTATCCTCATCATTTTTTGTCATCATTTCGCATCCGAGTTTTTTCATTAAACTTTCACTTAAATTGTTAAAAGGACTTACGACTTACCTTTATTACCAACCCATCGAACGGAGGATAACCTCGCCTCTTTTCCTCTTCCGTTGGACTCTCTCATTTCTCTCTTTGGTTCGACGAAGATGAAGAGAAGGTAAAGAAGAAGAAGAGAAATTGGCAATATAAAGGTAAAGATGACGAGGAGAGAAGAGATGAGAAGGGGAAGGGGAAGAACAACAAAAGATCGAAAGTCTATTTTCGACATTTCTCCACATATGTGATATTCAAAATGGCGAAAAATTGTTCCCTCTTCTAAATTGGTCCAAGGTTAGAACGAGAGAGAATCAACTAATCATTTATATTCATGATTCTTTTTCATTATTCTCATTATTTCATCAACATGAGACAATCGAATGTTCAACAAGATCATGAATTAATTCAACGATTGAATTAACACTTTAATCAGAAGAGATTAATGTTGTTATCGAGAAAAAAATGTTCTTTTTTTTCTGTCAAGGGTTAAAATGAACATAAGGAGATTATTAAACAGACAAATAAGATTATCGATAAGGATGATATTGTGCTTAAGGAAACGGATTGAAAATGATGATGAGGATAATCCCAAGAATGGACCCTAATTAAAATCGTTTCAATGGTAATCATCATTTCCACTGATTCCTGATGTTTGATGGCTTCTTTGATTAAGACAATTGAATTAACTTTGAGGCCAATAAGATGACCACTAGATCATTTCAAGGTGAGTCTCCAAGTGACAATCAACTGATTGGTCCAGTTTTCAGTTCTATCATTTGACTTACTTTCATTCAACATTTCATTGTAATATGCATTGGTTTGAATTGATTAAATCTCATTGCAATATCGAGAGATGGATTAGTTGATTAACTGAAACACAATTAGTTGAATCTCAATTGTTTTGATTGCAATTAAATTTTCTATTCAATGGTCATGGTAATTGGAATGAGCGAATATGAGAATTGAATGAATAAAAAAGGAATCAAAATTTGATTTGGTTTATGTTCAATTTACAACGAAATTGTGATTAGTTGACTTTTTAATTTAACGTGAATTATTGTAGCTTTAACACACATCGAAATAACGGATTAATATTTAAGGTATAAAAATGGTGTAAAAAGATTAAGAAAAAGATTAGATACTAAACATGAGATTAGCAATTGGCAGTTATTCACTTTATACAGTTGCAATTTAAGAAATTGGATTGTTTTTGTTGTGTTTTCACTTGAACACTTCGTATTTGTTTCTCACTAACACACATTAATAACCTTTTTTACTTTGTTTATAATCAATTTGGCAAAAAGTGAGGTGGGTTTTGTTGGAATGTAAGGAGAGGGAGTAGAGGGAGTAGAGGGATGAGAGAGCAGGGTGATGATTAATCAATGATGAGGACTGATCTGTTCATTTAAAATATCTTCAATTGATTTACGAATCGATAAGAGATCAGAGAAATCTATACTAGTTAATTTACATAATTGTGAAAGAAGTTCTTTGGTTGATGATAAATTGTTCCGTAAACTGGTTAGGCCCAGAATGGCGGTGGCTATACAAGAGGCAGCGATGGAAGATGGAGGTAACATGGAGAATCGAAAATCTGTGAACAATCAAAGAAAAGAAAAGAAAAGATGAGAAACAATCGAAATGACTAAGGAGCTTTTAGCCTAATTGGTAACCCTTTCAATCTGATGGAGAAAATAATTTGTTTTGACGACATGATATGTAATAGGTTTAACCAGTATATCTTTTAATTGTAGACCTGATGACTCTTGAAGGGATGATAATCAGCTTCGGATTAGCTGAGACAAAACCTTAGCAATCTGGATCAAGGCTTAAATCAAATCAAGATTATTGGTCGCACATGTAGATTTCACTCAAATCAATTCTTCAATCAGTCTTTTCATCAATATAAACATGACATTATTTTTGCATTTTTCTTGATCGATTCCAGAGATTACAGTTAATCAACAGTAACAACCTAAATTGTAAATTGTTTTGATTTAATTACTCTAACTCGCAATGTCATGATATTCAATACAATTCATGGTGGGCTATTTCATGGTGACCTTGACAGAAGAAAATCAAATTAACCTGAGGGTCCAATGATCTTCTTCTTTCCCTACTCTCACTAATCAATCACCCTGAATGAAAACAGTTACTAGATTTCAAGATCATCTCATTAATCGTTACACTGATTCAACAAATCATTTCCATCTCCTCTCTCATCAACAGAGAGACAATGGAATCGGGAATCTGATGATGATTGCAAAAAAATTCAGGTAGAAACCCAACACTAGTGAATACCTAAATCGAAGTGGGCCTCAAGCTCTCTCTCAATCTCTCACTGACTCTCTCTTCTTTCGTCTCATTAAAAGAAGGAAAGACGCAAGGATGACCCCGACTCCTCTTTTTCTCATTCGATCATGATATATTCACAGGGGAACACGGATATTGTTTTACGTTTCAATGATCACAACTAATTCTTTAATCTCACCTGTTGCACATAGAGTTATAAAGGTTTGAGCGTGCTTCTTAATCGTCATTAGCTTTTCCTTTCCTTTGCTCCGAGTGTGCAATCGTCGGATTAATAAGTTGAGGAAATCATTGGGAGTAACAGCGGCCAAGTCCCACTTTAATTGGCTTAGGACCAGTAGTTCCCAACCCTGATGGTGATGAGAACGATGGTGACGATGATTAAGAATGATGATGATGATGACGAGTCGAGGGAAGATAAGAGAAAACAAAAAGAAAATAATGGAAAAAGGTTTGTCCAATTAATTATGATTCCACTTCAACCATAAAGATTAAGCAATAAAAAAAACAAAATCTCTTAAAGCTCATATATTAAACTTGCGAGGAAAAAATGATTAAATAAATTAAAGAAAAACTGATGATAGGCTAACCTTTAATTGATCTTCAGTGATAGAGAAATCCGAATAGAGAATTAGTTTGCTGGTGACAATTGATTCCGATTGCTTCAATTTAGAGGCGAGAAATAAACACACGGAGGCGAGAAGTTGAAGTTGACTCTTCTTAATGGTAACAGATGAGAGAAAACGGTCAAGAATATTCATCGCCAAAGGGAAAACATCTTTCTCACATTGTTCTTCTTCACAAATCTTGAGATGGCGAGATGATGGCGAGCAAAGAGAAGAGAATAAAAACAAAAAGAATAAGAAAATGACACAAACTCTAAAGTTGTCAATACCTGTGATCCATCACATACCTCTAGCATCCAATTGGCAACACATTCCCGCATGGAAACACTAAGATCTGGTTGAACACAATGGAAATACGATGATTTGATCACATAACGATTTTGGATTAACAGTAAATTGGTGAGAATCCGTTCATCATCAATTAGAGTTGGATCAATGATGGAACGACATCCATTTGAATTATTAATAACATTACACATTCTAACACTCTGGTTGAAGTCTAACAGAAAACTGAAAAGAGAAACACAGACTTGAGTTTTCGAAACTGAGCCGTGAGAGTCGCCACTGGGCTTCGATACTTTTCTTCTCTTTCTTTTCCCTTTCTTTTCTCTTTCTCTTCTTCTCTTTCTTTTTCTCTTTTTCTCCTTTTCTTCTCCTTCTGTTTTCCTTATGTTTCTTTTTCTGTTTTCCACTAAACGAGGCCACAAGTCGTTAGAACGAAATATTATTTTCGTCGAAACCGGTTAGCCCATTTTAGGGATAAAGATGAAGGAGATGAGGGAGTTGGATGAAGATGATGAGAAATAGACGTTCACTTGAAAGTAAGTCGGTTATTTGAAACTCGATCCAAATTGTGATTAGTTAATTTCCAACATCATGTTAACTTTATTGTTCAATGTTTCAGTTAATGTTTCAATCGTAATCAATTAAGTTCTTCAGTAAACTTTATATAGAATTTAGTTTTCTGATCATTTATCATGTAACATTTTAAAAATTTGAGGCTCATCAAATTCATTTGTTTCAATTGTTTGGATTCTTAATCAACCTAATAACAACTGTGATCTTTAATTGTTACCAATGCCTCGAAGTATAATTGGTTTGCCTTTGGAAAATGAATCAGAAAATCAAATAGTTTTGACTGATGCTAATCAAGCCAATGAGATAATTACTGTAAATGTAATTGGAAATGGAAATGGATGTAACAACGACAATTCAAATTCGTTGAGTGTTTTCAGTGAATCCCAATTAAGAGATATAACTGAAGTTCTTGAAATTCAAAGTCGCAGTTTGATTTGTTCAACAAGTGATCAAATTGATGATGAAAATGATGGAGATGTTGATGAGAATGAGAATGAGAATGAGAATGATGGAGATACCTTGAATTCCGATGGTAACAATAATGATAAGAATGATGATAAAAGTGCAACTAAATCGAATGAAATTACTCAACAATCAATTAATCAATTCGAATCTCGATCAGCTTCTGGATTAGGTGAAAGTTGTTCAAATTCATGTTATTCAACAAGCTCATCATCACTTCCAAGTAACGATAATGGGTCAGATCAAATCACCGAAACTAATCAAGTGATTTCATCTTCATCTCCCTCATCCCCGACATCAGCAACAGTAACAGTTTCAACTTGTCCATCTTGTGGCTCTGAAAATGTTGACCCATGTTTGAAATCATCCTTGTCATCAGCCTCATCTTCATCGACATCATCTCCTCATCACAGGTATTCAAATGAATTATCGTCATCCAAAAAATGGAAATCATATTCGAGACCAGAGATGATTAACTCTAAATCATCATATCGATCATCGCCTTATAAAATTAAATCTCATTGTACGAACTCTTCATTCAAACAATCATCTCGTCATCATGGTCACTCACATCATCACCATCACCATGGGCATCATCACAACCATGGTCACCATCGTCTCAATACTCGGTCATCTTCAAAGAAACACTCGTTATCATCTGAACTTGAAATGATTAGATCAAAATCCAAATCAAAACGAGATCGATATTCGTGTTCAAAGTTATCATCAATCAATGATAGCGGTCGTTGCCATGTTTGTAAGCAGGTTGGACATGATGAATCGCGATTACATTCATTTAATCAACGATCGTCCTCCTCATCAACAATCAAAGGAACTGATTGTCCCTATTCACTGACCAAAAGCAATTACGATGACGATCATCTCATGTCCCATCTTTGTGATATCGATAGTTGGCATCGCCGTCGAAAAAGAGAAACACTAAAGAAAAAAGAACGAGCAATTATCGCCATTCTATCCATTATTGCGATTCTCATCTTCATCGCTATGAGTTATTTTGGAACGATATTATTTTTAAGGATAACAACGATGCCCATTTCATGAGGATTAACAATCGCAATTAACTTAATCGCAGTTGATTGATTGACAACATGCAACAAACTCGCAACTTCATTGGGTCACCATAATTATAAGAGCTTCCAATTTATCTGGTTAATTTCATAATTCAATTGTTTTTCTTTCTTTTGGTTTTTCATTCAGTTAATTGTGTTTACTAATTTTCACAATTTAACCCAACCTTAATTGTTGATCATGTGTAAATATTGTGTTACCTTTTTATTTCAATAAAGTGTTTTAATTGAAACATTTAATTATTTCACTCGAAAACTTTTTTATCACAATTTATGTTCCGGTGACATTGGGTCAATGGCTGAATTGTTGATTACGATCATTCATTTGACCTCAGTTTCACTTTAATTGTTTACCTTTTTTTTTCACTTAATCATTAACAATTTAAATTTATGTATTTTTGGTCACTTGTAAGTTGCCAACTAATAACAAGTGATTATAATGATTATTGTTTTTTTCTTGGCAAAGTTAATTAACTTTAAATCTTTACAATTAACGTTTTTAATTTTAAACATTCATTTGGTTCGGTCATTGGGCTAATTTAAAGGTAAATGATTGTGATTGTGATTGTGATTGGCAACAATCAACAGATAAAAAACAACTGAAACCACTTTCTCAAGGTAAATAGTAACAATTTAAATTAAGGATCAACAGCAATCAAAATAAATTGTGGACGAAATTTCAACCTCAAACATGATTCCAATTGATTAACTTTCTCTCTTGATTATCATTAAACATCAATTTGTTTTGATTTCACTTTAATCGCTATAATTAACAATCAACTCATCATCATCATCATAATCATTTTGGTATCAAAAACATCAATCAACCTTAATTGTTGTAGTAACAACGATTAAAATCAGTAACAATTAACGTCAGCAATTGAGTTTATCTTTCCGGTCAAATGGCAACAATTTATGATTAACTAAATCAAATTCATATTGTCAACAATCAACAAGTTTTATCAAATGTTTTTTTTATCAATTTTTTTGACAATTTAACTTTAATCAAATCAAAAAACCATAATTGAACTGACTCAAAGCGTCACATTTAATTGTGCAATTTAGTTTGACAATTTATCTTCACTCAAATATTGATTGTGATTTGATTATCACGATTTCATTGATTTAAAATGTTTTACAATTGAAATGATCAGTTGACCATCATAACCTAAATAAGAGTAAAAAATTTTGGATTAAATTGTTAATCATGACCAGAACTTAATCTAATCTGATCAAAATTTAGCCTTAGAATTAAACAAATTGGTGTTTTACTTTAAATTGTTGTTGATCAATCGATTATTGTAACAAAATCATATCAATACTGATTTAAGTTTAGGTCAACAATCAACAAGATTAAACTAATTTGTTTGCTCGTTATTAACCTAAATTTAAATTCATTCCGTTGCAAATCAAGAAACTAAATCAACTTCAACAATTCAATCAATTGTTGATAAGTTAAACGTAATTACCACTGAAACTTAATTAATTGCAAACAATCTGTTGACAGAAATGAAATTTAATATTGTCTCGAAACAATTAAACTCAAGTCTGACCAGAAAAAAAACTTTATTGTAACAATCAGTAAATTCATCAACCTGTTAATTCAGTTCCTAATACTAATGATTAAAATGGTGTTAACAACATTTAAATTGTTTCCCTCTCTTCTTACTCGGACTGGCAATTCATTTAATCAGTCTAACTAATAGTGAACAATTAACTTTTACTATTATCAGTTTTCAACATATCAGTATTAATACAAAAGTAGAAAGTGTAACAATACTGATTAACATAAATTGTTGTTGATTATAATCATAATTGTCACAATCAAGAAAAACCTTCAACTGATTAATATTTTCAAAACAATTTTATCGGTATCAGAAACTGTAACTTAGTTAGTTAACTTGATTATTGTTATCACAATTTTAATCAATCATGAATAATTAAAGGTTAATCAATGATAATTGATAATGAGCTTGTATGATAAGACAATTAGTTGATTGTTTCAAATGATCAATCAGTTTCTTTACTAATCAACTTGTCTTTTGTTTCTGGTTAACCCAAAATTTACTCAAATGATGATTACCATTAATAGATTACAATTAAAACTAACTATGATTAAGTAATTAGCTTTCTCTCTTTCGTTAGGTGTTGGTTTTTTAATTAACAATATAATATTTTAATTGTCCATTTGGTGATCGTGAGTCCGTTACAATTAGTTAATCATGATAATAGTAATAAAAGAATGGACCTTAATTGTTTACTATTTAAAGATATTCATTAATAATATTTAACTTTTTCTGTTGTTTTATTTACTAAAATTGAGTAAATCGTAATTAAATTAATTTGCTCTACTGTTATTGATTAAGTAAACTTTTAATTAGTTGCTCAATCAAATCACAGTTATGAGGAAGTGAATTAACTAATTTTTTGTATTCTCAGTAAGTTTTGTTTAAGCCGAATTGATATTTTGAATTAAATTGTCAATGTTGATTGAATAGTCACAATCTTTTTGATTAATATTTCAAAATGAATCACATTCAACTAATTGTCGATTGTTAATTGTTATGATTAAGTTACAATTCAATTTGAAAGTTTTTCTCTCTTTCTTTTTAAATTGATTAAAATGTTTTTGTTTGAACATTTTCAGCTACAAATCAATTGATTTTCACCATTTATCATTTGGTTGATTGTTATTAAAACTTGTTATTATATTAAAACATTAAATTGTTAACAGTTAACTGATTGTGTAAGTGGATTACCAAACAACATCTTCATTATTATTATGGTTAACTTAATTGTTACCCATTGAAGACGGTCTGTTTAACCCTGAATGTAAGTGATTCAGTTAATCAAATGAAACAGATATGAGATAATCAACAACAATTTCCAGTTGATTAACCAATTGTTTGAAGATGATCATATTTAATATACAATTAACCATCCAATTAATATCATCAACAATTAAATTAACTGTTATGATGTACAAAAAAATTCAATCAATCAGGTTAATCGGAAATATCATTTACCAATTGATCAAAAAAAACAATCAAATTATGATTTACTGATTGTGTTTCATATTATCGTTACTTTAGTTAATAAATACTCAATGGTTGGATAACAATTAGGTTAATATTGATTTTTCCTATTACAACAATCAATTTGAAATGGATACTTAATTAAAACGAAAAAATGAAAACTTTGCTAAATTTGATTCGATTTTAAGTTCTAATTAGATGATTAGTTTTCAATTTTTTCCATCTCATTTCAACGTTTACCTTAATTAGATGAACTTAAGCAAGAAAATATTTTAATTATGATTAGTATATCGTGAGATGCATCGCAAGGTAATTACTTATTCAACTGGATTAGTGGAATTGTTAATTAAAAATGGTTGACTCTCATTATTATTAATTTGATTCTCATTGTTTCTAATATAATTGTTGGTGTCAACTTGTTAATTATAATTGAATTGTCTCTGCGCTAATTTACCGCTTTGTGTTTAATTGTAATGACTTTTGTTGGGCTGATTGTTATCATATTTTAGTAATTATCTAACCCAGAAACTTTTGTTTATTATGTAGATTAGTGCAACTAAATTGTGAGAATCAAACTTAAGAATCAAGAACGAAACAATTACGATTAAGAATCGATAGTAAATCGAAAGTAATTTAGATATGAAGACCGATAAATAGATATTGCAGAGATTAATTTTCTAATATTATTTCAATTATTTTCTTCACTCGAATCTCTTTAAATTGTTGATTTAGTTTAAAACAAAACAATTAAATCAACACAAATTGTTATCTCTAAATCACTCATATCGTTTCGCCATCTGCTGGTATCAAAAGATAATAAAAATCTCAAACTTTCTGAGAGGCAAATATGAATATGCTCTTAATTTAATTCTTTGGTTATAATTACCTGATTAATATTTATTGGTAATATCGATTGATTGATTGTTATAGATAACAAGTTCTCATATTGATCTATCCCTTTCTGAAATTAATTCATTTCTTATGTTTATCGGTTAATTCGGGTAATTAATTGTTGATACAATAAGTGAATTTCTGATTGATTTTTCATTTTTCTCAAGTTTCGATTCCACCGATTATGATTATTTTGATTAAATATTATCGATCTGATATTAGAGAATTGAAATCATCAAAGAAACTCTTTCGTGATATTATGTGATTAAGTTAATCATTTGGAATATAAATGAGCCAAAGAAACTGTAATGACAAAGATTATCAAATTATTATCATTTCTAAATTTACTCTTTGTGCTGTCTAATCAAACTGTTAAAGCAATTCTCTGCTTCTAATCTTTTTGCAATCAAAAAGTTGATCTAATTGTTCAAAATGCTCTCGTTAATGTTCAGTACTTATCAGCGATTATTCAACAAAGATAATAAAATCAAGCAACAATCTGGATTTGAAATTCAATTTGTTGCGATTCTCACATTCACCATGATAATCTTATTCATGCTTAAATTGTTAACAATCAGTGGACATCGAAGTCGAATCCGTAAATCATTTTCTGATTTCAATTTTGATCAATTGCAATTTAGTGAAGATAAAAGTGTCAAAGCTCAAGATTCTAATGATTATGATTATTTAATCAAAGATTTTTTTGATTTCCAACTTGAACGGGATCAAAGTGAATCGAAACCATTGGTTTCAACCACAGAAACAAAATATAATTGAATTCTTGATATAATATTATCAGAGGGATATCATTATTATCATATCTCCACTCTTATATTATCAGATTTGTCATGACACTTGTTCATTGTTGAAACAGCTAATTGTTAATCTGCGATTCAAATTGTACTAAAATTCAATAATAAACCAATGATATGGATAAAAACTGATCAATAACTCATTAATTAACCTTTATAATATCTGAAAAAGTAAATAATAAACTATTCAAATGTGATCTAATTAGTCGAAAAGCAATCGCAATTAATTTAGTTGTGAATATTCATATTGAGTTGAACAAAATCATATTGAGATCAAGCACAGAAAAATCAAATAGCAAACTGATTTACTTCATTAATAAACTTTAATTAGTCGATTTAATCTTTATAATAATGTAGAAATTGTTTTTATCTTTGGAAATCATAAAATATAAGTAAAACAAAGGAAGTTAATTGTTTAGACAGACGTTAATTGTTATTATTTCAGTTCGATTGTTGATCACAATTAACGATAAGAAGCATATTTCTTTTGCAATGTAGTTAATTCTCCTTCAACGGTTGAATCTTCTTCGTCTTTCGGTGTACATTTAACACCAATGTCTAAACACTCAATGGCTTTTTTGTTGTTCTTCATGTTGATGTAACATTTTGCCATCCAGAAGTAATTTGCTCGCCAATCGGGTCTCATCTTATCGGCCTCAACGAATTTATTAACAGCATCTTGATAAGAAGCTTCTGGTGGTTTCGAAAAGAGAGCAGCGGCCAAGTTCCGTTCAACCCACGACAACTTAGCGACTTCCATACACCATCGACCGTAAGTGTAATAAACACCAGCATCGGTTGTTTTCAATTTGATTGCTTCGTCCAAATGATGTTGTATTTCGTGTCCCCTTTGGATCCTTTCCTTTCTTCCTGCAAAATCAGACAATTTACCGGCGATGAACGCAGCCCATGCATGATAATCAGGCTTGGAAGCATCGAGTTCCAATGCTTTCTTAATATAAACTTCCGCTTCCAAAAGAAGCGATTTTTGTTTATCCTTATCGCCCAAAGCTTCAGCAACAGCAGCAGCTTTGTAAGCATTTCGAGCCAATCGCCATGTGATTTCACCATTCGAATCGCCATTGAATAGTTTGGAAAACTCTTTTGTCTTAACTAAAAGAGCGTCTTTATCACAATCAGCGTTTTCTGATTCCATATCGATCTCCTCAATCCACTGTTCGTAAGTTTTGGCCATTGGAACCTCAGTTGAAACTTTGGTATCATTTCCACTTTCAGGAGATGTTGATGTTTGTGTTGGTGCTGAGATTGGGGTTGGAGTTGAGGCTTCGATCGCTAAAGTTGCTTCAGACATTTTGATTAGAATAATATATCAGTTGATTTAGAAAGACACAAAATGATTACTGTTGATACACAAACAAATGAAAAATAAATCACAATTAATATGAAGTCGAGATCAAATGAAACGATGAGTATTTAAAGATTAATTGTTATCAAGCTTTAATTTGCTGATTATCTAGAGAGCTGGTTGACAAACAACTGATTGTAATTCAAGATTGTCGCTGTTTATATTTATATTACAACAGTTGGATAAACAATTAACTCTCACTATCTCACTCTCTGGATTAAAGCTCAACGAAGCTTAAATTGTTACTTCTGGTTGATCACAATTAACAGTTAAACGATAACAGAGAAAACAAAAGTCACAAAAAACAGTTTCTTTTACTGTATTTCTAGTAATGAACAATACGATTACGATTAATTGACAGTTGATTGTTTTTAAGGTCACGAAATGATTGTCTGAGGTTGAAATAAATAACAATTTATCCGCCACAGGAGTTAATTGTTAAACGAAAAGAGTTAAGAACTGAAAAGGAAATCCGTTCAACGCTTTATAACGTTACAACGATTCTCAACAATTCATAAGTTTAAAAAACTTTTTCTTCTTGCTCACTCGTTTCTTTCTCACCTTCGCATTTTTATCATCATCATCATTTCTCTCTCTCTCTCTCATTTATCTTCCTCTCTCTTTCTTTCGTCACCTTTTCCCCTCTTTCCCTTTTCTTCTGGTTGATGTTGTTGTTTATTTGTTGTCGATCCTTGAACAAATCAGATTAACCTTTTTTCTGGTTTAAGATTTTTCTGTTTGAGATATTAATTAATTGTCCTTCTAATTCAGTTAATTCATTGGTATGGACATTTTTCCGCTTATTGGCAATCAGGCCTCAACAATTTGATTTCAATGTTAATTGAAGAACAATTAATGAAACGACAATGACAACGACGACAGGTAACAATTGCTTCACAATCAACTAATAGTTCACCATTTCTAATTTTAATTGTTCTACTATTGTTATAAAGGGTTAGTTTAATTCATTCCAATTTGAATGATCATAATGATAAAAGTCATCAATTTACCTTTGACCTAAGATTGTAAGTCCTTTAATCATCACCTTTGTCAGGTAATCAAATCAACCAAATAGCAATTAATATTCTATTGGTTTCCTTCATGTTTCTCTTCACAATTAAGGTAATTGAATCAAAATCATAAATTTTTCGCTGGTTAATATGCAGATTCGATAGATTAACTGTTACTATTAATAGTGATTAAGCTTATGGTTAATTAAAACCGGTTTTAATTTGCTAAAATAACAAATCAATTAAAAAAAGTCCTTGATTGAGTTTATTTATTAGAAAGACCAAATTAAAAGATTATTGTTGTTTTTATTTACAGAGTAAACAATTTCAATGTTAAATCATCTCCATTAACCAGGTACAATTAAAGTTAATTGTCGTCTTATGGACAATCACCAATTTCTTACGAATGCTCAAAAAACAATTTAACATCTTATTGTTAAGATTGTTAATCACTGAGACACCAATTAGAGTCACTGTATCATAAACTGACCTTTACCTGAAATTAATCAAATCAATTGTTGGTTTGATTAACCATAAATATTAACCTTGGATTCGTTGATTAATCTTCAATCCTAATTAGTGAATCTGATCCTTTTTGAAAGAATGAATTTTTTTTCATTTAATTTAATTAAACTTCGCTAATCAATTGAATCCATCATTGATTTAATCACAATCAGGTCGCTAATCAAAAGTTATCACTGATCACAATCAAGATAATGATTCTTAATTCAATGTCTTCTTTCCGATCGGTTAACAATGACCATCAATTATTGTAACAATTACAAATGGTTACTAATCATTAATCATCATCGAATCACTTTCAGGTCAATTGATTTAACTTTAAACAATTACTTTAATTCCTATTTTATTGAGTAATTTGATTTTCATATCAATTCTCACAATGATTAGAGCAATTATATTTTTCCGTTTCTCTGTTGATGAAAATGAAATAATAATAATCAGCTAATCAATTAGATTTACCTGATTAGTGATCAGCTCGTAACCCTAAAATGTATTAATAATCATTGACTAAATTGTACTCTAACTTCCGGTTACCATGTTGTAATCAAAATTTAACAGTCAATCAATCAAATTACTATTATAATCATTTACTGATGATAATTCAATACATTGACATCATTGTTTAACTTTTTTTCAACAAATCAATTAGTTGATTAACTCACAAAATTTTACTAAATTTCAAATCATTTATTTGATTATCTAATAAAGTTACGTTTGAATGTATTGATCAATTCTTACACTAATCATTGAAAAGTCTCATATATTTGATGACGATAGTTAATCACATTGATTGTAATTTACTTTGTGAAATTAATTTTAATGGCAAGTTGATCGGTAGCTGATTATTGCCTTTCGTCGGGTTTAATTGTTACAAGAATAGATTTACTGATTTGATGAATTTTATCCTTGAATAATTAGTAATTAGTTAACTCTCGGTGATTTCACCCAATCTATTGATTCATTTAATTGTCGACAATTAGGTAACAATAATTTTCTTATGAAACATTTTCACAGAAAAAGCAGAAAGTAGATTTATATACAATCCCTTATGCCTCACATGTTCCAATCGGTGATTTGGTTTTGGTTTTTTGTTTGGGTTAATTGTTTAGCTAAATTGTTGGACTAAATTGGTTTATTAATTTTAACAATGAGATCCACACACAGTTTGTTGACTCATGGCCGTTGGGTGATTCTAGGATCCGGCAAAGGTACAATCAGCCAGAAGTTTGTTCCCAATTGCAGTTTGTCTTATTCCTCTTGTGGTTTACTGAGAAATAAAATTGCCCGAGGAACAGGTTAGTTGATTTACCATTTAATTTAATTGTAATCCACTTAATTTCATCTTATCTTTGGTTTTTGTTTTTGTCAATGAGATGATTAATTGTATTGTGACTCCATCATTATCTTTTTGATTGTTTGTACAGCTCAGTCTTTGCGAGAACGATCAACTCTTAGCAGGAACTATAACCTTAATGTTAAAGAAGATAAAATAATTAATTGTACCAAGAATCGATGGACTCATTCCTCTTCATCTTCAAAGGATAATTCATTTATTAAGATTCTTTTGGCTGGTGCTGGTGCCGTGGTCGTTGGATCAGTGGTCTACTTTTCAACCCAATCCACTGAGAAACCTAAGAAAGAAACAAGCCAACCCAAAGTAGACACAATCCTAATTAAACCCAAAATTGAAAACTTACCCGATTCTATTGATTATCTTATAATCGGCGGAGGAACTGCTGCATTTTCGGCTTTTAGATCTATTCGTGCCAATGATCCCAAGGCTAAAGTTTTAGTAATCACCGAAGAAAAGTACAAGCCTTACATGTCGCCGCCATTGTCCAAGGAATTATGGTTTAGTGAGAAAGAATTATCTGAGAAATTGACCTTTCGCCAATGGAATGGCCGTGAAAGGTCCATTTTCTATGAACACCCTGAATTCTATGCTGATCTAAAAACATTGGCAGAGTCGGAAACTGGTGGAGTGACGGTTGTTAGTGGTTATAGAATCACTCAGCTTTCCCCGTTGGAGAAAAAAGCTTTCATTGACAATGGTCAATCTATTGGGTACAAAAAATGTTTAATTGCCACTGGTGGTCATCCTAAAAATCTGGAGATTTTCGAGAAAGCATCAGATGATGTCAAAGAGAGGATTTTACTTTATAGAAATGTCGATGATTTCTTGAAACTTAAGAAAATAAGTGATTCCAAAAAGTCAATTACTATCATTGGAGGTGGACTTCTTGGTAGTGAATTAGCTTGTGCACTTGGCCGTCGATCGCAAATCCTCAAAAGTCCTTCTGAGGTGAACCAAGCTTTCCCTGAGGCAGGAAATGTTGGAAAATTGTTGCCAGAATATCTTAGTCAATGGACGATGGAAAATATAAAAAAAGAAGGTAAAGTCTTTGATAATCCGTGGGGATTAAGCTTAACCACTAAAACTTAATTTTTTCTTTCAATCAGGTGTCAATATCATTCCAAGCGTTGAAGTTGTGGGAGCTCGTAGACACAATGATAGATTGACCTTACAACTGAATAATGGGACTTCAATAGAGACTGATTATGCTGTGGTGGCCGTTGGGCTACAACCGAATGTGGATTTAGCCGAATCTGCTGGACTTGAAGTGGACAAGGTTCACGGAGGTTATTTGGTCAACTCGGAACTACAGGCAAGAAGTGACATATGGGTCGCTGGTGATGCAAGTTGTTTCTATGACATGAAATTAGGCAGAAGGAGAGTTGAACATCATGACCACGCCGTCATCAGCGGGAGACTCGCGGGCGAGAACATGACTGGAGCAAGTAAACCTTACAAACATCAATCAATGTTCTGGTCTGATCTTGGACCTGATATCGGTTTCGAAGCCATTGGTTTGATAAACTCTTCATTGCCCACAGTTGGAGTGTTTTCTAAACGCGAGAAACCTCTAGAAAAAGAATATGATACTTCGGTAGATGACAAACCTCGTTCTCCTCAACCAGGCGATGAATATGGCAAAGGTTTGATTTTCTACCTGCGAGATAATATTATTGTTGGAATCGTTCTATGGAATGTATTTGAACGAATTTCCATCGCTAGAAGAATCATTTCTGAAGGAAAACCTTATGAAGATTTGGTTGAAGTTGCAAAGCTTTTCAATTTAGAAGGAAAATCAGAGGATAAATTGACAGAGAAGGAAAATGATACTATTAATGAATCAGAACAATCGGAGAAAAATTAATGACACTACCAATCAACTACAATGTATCTCTATTATTATTATGATTGCTAATAATTTAGCAATGAATTTATACTTGATCAGATAAACTGACGATTTATGATCAAAAGTAAAGTAAAGGTTAGTAAACTTGTAAATTAAATTGTTATAATTGTTTCTAAAAAGAAAATAAATGGTTTAGTGATTTAATCTTATATTTAATTGTATTCAATTTATAAAAAAGTTAATTTGAACGATTGATGTTTTGTTAAATTGTCTTATAATCAACATTATTTGATTTGGTGAAAACAAACAATTCGTGGGGCTCATTTCATCCCATTCGACTAGTGAACACAAGAGGATATCAACAGTTTATTTGATGATGAGATTAAATTGATTAGTCCACTTACAATTAAATGATTTCTTTACATTAATGGAAAACTTTAGAGAAAATAATGTTTCATATAATATTTTTACGGAAAAATAGATAATTCTAACAACAGGATCTTTGATAATTCATATCAGGTAACAAAACTTTTTCTTTTTGATTGAGGTTCATTTGAAATTTGCCTTTTACATGCTGATTTGTTATCGATTTCATCGATTGATTGTAGCAATTTGTAAACTAAGGTTGTTAATTGGCTCGTGTCTTTTTCGTTCTTCAAAAGCTCAAACAGCGTTTCGATGGTTTGAAGAACTGATCTATCCCGCTCAAAGATATCGCTAAATGTCCCAAGCCAACCTTGTTTGATACACCGAATTATCTCAAAAAGTGAACAATTGGAAAAATCGATTTTGAAGATTTTATCCCATAGATCATTGTATTCTTTGCGAAGGATTTTCTCTAGAAACTCTTTCAATTTTCGTTCTGTTGAGTATTTTAATGTTAACCAATCACCGAATTGCATAGTATCAGTTGGAGATTCACTTGTTGCGTTTTTCGTTCCTGAAGTGGTCGGTTCTACTTTCGAAATGGTACCAGTTTGAAGTCTCTTAATTGTAGGTCGAAGTCTCTCAACTGTCTTTCCTTTTTTGGCACAACTTGTATTCTCGATTCCGAACTTGTCACAAAAGGCATCCCAATCCATGGACTTCAAGGCTGAGGCAAGAGCTTTATTGCGTAGGTTGAGATCATCAGTGATCAATATCACAGTATTTTCGGTAGGTTCGGATACTTGATTAATTAGTAATGAACTTTTTAATATTCGGTCATCATTGTTTATCTCAATAAGATCGACTTTAGCTGATGCTTCCGCCACAGTTTCGGGCGGATGTTTTTTCAGCCAAACTTTATCACTGCAAATTGAAGCTTCCGCTCGAAGCTGTTCATTGATAAATTTGAAATTCTGAACATATGATTGTTTACTCTTTTTCAAAGTGTCCAATTCTTGAATAACAACGAGAGGAATAATCAATCTACAGCTTTCGACAAGATGATTGTAAGATAGAAAAGTCTTGAGATCAGTTAAATGGTCAATGAGAATGTTCGTATCAAGTACAAGGATGAATTTACCACTTGACCGCTTTGTCACCCGTTTACCACGAATCCTTTTCCTTGGACCGACAACACAATCAACCTGATCACGAGTCCGTTTATTAGTCGAAATCGTTTGACCAGAAGGCAATCGTTTGAAAGCCTTAGAATGATCAAGTTGATCATTATCATCAATCTCCATCATGTCAACATCGTTATCCATGGTACAAATCGCAGAACAGAAACAATAGAGTCAAGTCTTAAAAAAATAACCGCAATTAGAGCCAGATACTTGTAATTAATTAAACAAAATAAAAAAACTGTAAAAAAAAAAGATTAAATCAAAAATTTGTTTACAAAATTGAAAAACATTTTCGTTGTCATGGAAACGCAACATTATGTCAATAAGGAAAAAGCGCTTTTTTCAGTTGAGAGGAAAATCTTAATTATCCAATTGAATTTTAATTTTCCAAAGATGAGACAAAGTGATTAATTACTAGAAAATCTCGCCACTTAAGGATAATTAAATATTTATTAATTATTTGAGGAAAAATTGACTTTAATACGAAACTTGATTAGCTTTTCTTTGTGAAGTTCAATCTTTTTATGCATCAGATTCACTGAGATGGATGATCGATATCAATCATTTCTCAAATTCCCCAATGGATTGATTGTTTTTGGTCAGAATTGTCTTTGTAAATCCATTAAAATGATTCACAAGAAAAGCAATTAAACTTTTAATTGGATTGATTTAAATTCTTCTATTTAGTGTCTCCATCTGGTTAATTCGTTGGAACTAATTTTCTGTTGAGTCTCTTTTTTGCTTTACTCTTTTGCTTTGAGAGACTCAACTTGTTTTCTTCAGTTATCATTATGTCTTCATCAGATCATCGTAATTCATTTTCATCGATTCTCATTTAACACATTCACCATGAAAGAAGGTTCAACAATTAAAGTTTCTCCAGTAATTAACAACTTCTCAGTGTTTGGTAAAAGAAGCAGAGTTGTTGCCAATACCAATTGCATTCTATGTGAACCAGAATCTCAACCAAACTGTAAGTCTTTTCTTTCTGTTCATTTAACCCATTCAGTTGTTTACTTTTTCTCCAAAGGTGAATTCATCTAATTTCTTTTGTTTATTTCTCGTCGCCTTACGAACTGTAATTAATTCCAGTGGTTCGCGATTCCTAACCGTTTATTGTGCATTTGCCTAATTGAGATTCATTTGACTAATATTTTACTGTTCTTATCGAAAAGAGATAAAATTCCCTCTCTAAGGTTTTCTGTCAGTTGATACAAAGAAACAAAAGATTATCTTTATCAGCTGTGTTTACATGTTCTTAACTTGGTTATTACAATGAGAATATTTGCTCAGAATTTGATGGTTTCAATTAATCATCTGCTCGATCTTTTAATTGTTCAGATCGCACGATCATTCCATTGAACTTGGTTGTGGCCGTTCGTCCTTGCTCATGTCGCTCAGTGAAAAAGGTCTACTGTGAATGTATCGAATCATCCGAAGTCCAAAAGACGACCCGTGTTCGTATTTATTATGCTGTGCCGAGCGGTAAATTTGCTTGGAAACTGAACCATTTGATTTTAGACCCAGTTGAACAAACGGAACAACAAATCGATGAATGGATCGGGTCAGTCAATTGCTTTTTGAAAGGTAATTTGTTCAGTACGGTTAATATTTACTCTTCTCACTTTGAGTGTTAATTCAACTATTCAATTCTCACATCGAATCGTCCAACATCATTCAACTTTTATTGTTCTCTCTTGTGGTCAACATTCTACTTTCACTTCGAACTCAAACTAATCACTGATAATATTGTTAACGATTAATTTTGTTTTCATTCTCGTTTATCTGTTCTCAGTAGAAATTGAGGTCAACTTTGTTATCATTTAGTTGTAATTTTTTCTTCTCTCTTTTAATTCAATTCTTGTTTTATCATTGTTGTTACTCGAATGAGAGAACGAAGCAGAAATGAACTTTTTACCCATAAATTCTGACAGCTTATCCTTGAAAAATTAATAATTTGCAAAACCTTCCTTGACATTCAACCCAATTCGCTTCGCAATTACCATTCACATTGAATTTATAATTAAGCGAGTTCATCGACGATTATAACGATTCTGACTCTTCGTTACCTTTCAATGTAAACTTTATGAGTATTAACATTTCACTATTACCAATCTTTGAGAATTAGTTGAATACATTTGAATAGCATTGATTTAAGACGCTGAATTTTCATAACTTTTTCTCTATTTCCTCATAATTATCTCAGTTTCAATAACTGATCTTATTGTTGTGTTATTTCAGATTTTAATAGACCGAAGCGTTTGATGATATTCATTAATCCCTATGGCGGTAAAAAGAAAGGTCCAAAAATTTATCGAGACAAAATAGCTCCGTTATTTGGTCTCGCTGGATGTTCAACTAATGTTGTCACCACTCAACGTGTTAATCACGCGCGTGATGTAATTACCGATCCAACATTTCCAATTAATTCCTATGATGGTTTAATCTGTGTCGGTGGAGATGGTATGTTCTCAGAGCTACTTAACGGCATTTTAACTCGAACACAAACCGATGCAGAAATCGATTTTAATGACCCGAGGTCAACCTTAAACCCTCCAAATGTGATTATCGGTGTAGTACCTGCGGGCTCAACGGATGCCGTGTGTTTCGGTGTCTGTGGCAACAATGACCCAGTGACCGCTGCAATGCACATAATATTGGGGAATCAAGTAAACATCGATGTAAGTGCAATACATTCAGCTCAAGACGAAGGTAAATTACTTCGCTATGGAACAACCATATTGGGCTATGGGTTTTTCGGCGATGTTATGGCCGACAGTGAGAAGAATCGATGGATGGGGCCCAAGAGGTACGATTGGGCTGGTTTTAAGAAGATCTTAGGCCACAAAACATATCAGGGGGAGATAAAACTCCATGTATCAACTCTCGACGGATCACCAAAAGATTCCGATATCTGCACCTCTGAGTGAGTATTAAAATGCATTAATTGATTTCCAAGCACAATAACATCACAAGATAACTCTTGAAAATTATCTTATCGGAATCGATATTATTATGATATTTACTTTAACTTCTTCCTTAATTCATTTGCTGAACAAATTTCACTCGATAAATTTTACCAAATACAAGCTCATGATACTCATGATGTATTCAGAAAAAGGTCACTCAATATATTTGATTGCTTTTTCTTCATCTAATTATGATTATTATTTCGTGTAAACATCAATATTTTCAGTTTCAATAGTTACCTGTAAGCTTTGTAAATGTGATTATTTTCCCATTGATATTTTATCAGGAATGAAATTACCTTGACTTTGTTGTTTCATTTTCTTTCATTGTTAGTAGGATTTTCAATTAAATTGATGATATTGATGATAAATGTTCATTCAAATGATTGGAATGACATTTTCGTTTTGAATCATGATTAGGTGATCATCTTTCCATGATTAATTTGATCGCATCATTTTGATTGGATTTGTTTGCTAAATTGATTCTAGATCATAATCTTACTTACATATTTAATTGATAAACTTTTCTCATGTTGACAATTTATATTATCTAAATTTGAGTAATTGCTAATTGTTGATAAACTTTTTCATTGATTTTTTTATTAATTTAATTGTGAAGGTTATTCTGATTGAACAAGAATTAATAACCACTCAAGCTTGTCAAATGCTTGCTAATTAATATTTAAAACTAAAATAATCATTACCATTTTAATCACAATCCTGTTATTGTAGTTGATGGTGGATAATTGTTTAATTAATAACTAATAATTAACCTTCAATCTAAACAATCAGCTTTTTGGTAACTTTCAGGTGAAAGCATTTATAATTATAATTTAAATTGTTACGATTAAATTGATTTTCTACGAATAATGATCAAGCGACATCACTAAAATCAATTGTGAACATGAGATTATTGATCACAATTAAACTGCAATTTCGATTCTGATAAAGTTTTACCTTAACCTTGGATCAGGATTATAAGATTTTAGGAGTTGAAACTTATTACCTTGATTGTCATTGTGATTATTAAAATTTGAAGAAGCAAATTACAAATAATGATTAAAATTAAATCTAATTATTTGCTAATTGTTTTAATCACAATAAACGATTGTTGGTCAGAGTGAATTTGAAACGAATAATTACAACCAACTTACCTTAACTCTCTTAATTGTTGACATTGAGAAGGTTAAAAGAGAATTAGTTGTTTACCTGTTGCCTTAACTTGTTCTGGGAACTTCAATTTTCTGGTTTATCCGAATCTTTATTTACCATTGGATATTTTCAATCATTTCTCACAAAAGACTTTAACTTGATTCTGTAAATTGGTTGAATCAAGTTTTCCTGTTCTTTCCGAATCTCTTGAAACTCTTTCACCATCATGTTTCTCTTTCTCTATTTACCTTTAAATGTTAATTTTCCTTGAAAAGGCTTCTCTCAAATGGCGTGATTAACTCAATCAAACATCAGGATAGTTGAACATGTTCAGTTGTCGCCATTCATTTTCTGGTTCTTGTTGATCATTAACAGAATCCAGTTTCACTCATTTATGGTCTATCATGAAACATTGTTTTGTATTGAACATGTTACAAGACTTTTCTCAATCATATGTTAATCAAAAGATTAAGAGTTAATCTTATTTATCTTTTTGCTTTTAATGACGATGACCCTTAAATGATAATAAATTCAAAACAATGAAGCTAATCTCCTCTTCCTTAATTGTTTGCTTAACAACAATCAGTTGAAAGTTTCAAATGAAATCTAATATGAAAAAGGTTTTCATGATAATTATGACAATTTTCAAGTCTCAGGTTCTCTTTTTCATTGTTAATCACTAATCATCCACTCGCCATGACATGATTAGTGACTTCACTTTAATTCAGCTATTAAATTAATGGAGTTTAACAAGGGCTTTGATTAATTATTTTAATGATTTTACTTGAAAGTAAATGTTGATTAGTTTCTTATTGGATTGACCAAAAGTGATTCTTGGTATGATTATAAATTTGTTTTAACAATTTCAATTGTGATTATTGTGACAATTAGCGAACTATCATTGAAATTAGTCGCTGCTTCCTCTTATTCAAGACCACAGTCGATCATGATCTTGACGCCTTTGCCACTTCGAGCAAGTTCAAATGCCTCATGAGCTTCTTCTAATTTGAATCGATGGCTTATTACTGGTTTAACGTCAATCTTTCCGCTCGCAATTAGGTTGACTGCCTTGGGATAACTGTTCTTGTATCTGAATACACCTCGAATATCAACTTCTCGACATGCTGCTGATAAAAGAGGAACTTGAACTTCGTCAGCACCCATACCAATGAGTAAAACGACTCCTCCTGATTTACAGACCATAATACTCAATCTTATTGATGCTGTTGCTCCAGAACATTCAAGAACTGCTTCAGGATGATATCCAAGGGTTTTGTGAACAGCAGCAATTGTTTCAGCTTCTGACATATCCTTGGATAGCAAGAAAGTGCTTGTTGCTCCTAATTGTTTTGCCAATTTAAGACGATCCTCATTGATATCTATTCAAAAGATGAAACAATTTTATTAGTCGTTCCCAAGTTAATGGTACCTTCAGATAACGATGATGATAATCTATTATCTAAATGGAGCTTTATTGGTTCTATTGTTCGTCAACTAAATTGAGTTAATAGTCAATTTAATACATTTACTAAGCTTCCCTATTGTTATAAATTGGTGTTTGAGCCTAAATTATACTTGAGCTTACACTGGAAACAGTTTATTCATGATAAATTGTTGTTATTGTCAGATTATTCTGTTCAATAACTTCAGTAGATCAAAAACATCAATTAACTTTTTCTTCTTTATCACTGGAAACATTAACTTACCAGTAATTCCGATATCAGTTGCACCATAAGCTTTAGCTACCAGAACTGACATCAATCCGATCGGACCAGCGCCGAGAACGAGAATTTTTTGACCTCCTGATATTCCGGCTCGATTACAGGCATGAATAGCGACTGACAAGGGCTCCATGAGAGCACCTTCCTCATTAGATACATGATCGGGTAACCTAAGGATTTAAATTAGTCAGTTGATTGTTCTTTAAATTTCTTTGAATTATCATCAACTCACTTGAAACAATAATCGGCCGCATGTTTAAAGTATCTGGTCAAGGTTCCGTTGTCTGGTGGGGTGGCCGAGAAAAAGATGCCCTTGCACAAGTTGTAAGCACCTTCCTTACAATCGACACAGTATCGACAAGGAACACCGGGTTCGATTGCTACTCGATCTCCAGGCTTCAAATGAGTCACTCCTTCACCTACTTCAACGACCTTTGCACTAGTTTCATGACCTAAGATCATCGGTTCCTTACAGATAAAGTGTCCAATGCCTCCTTTCACCCAATAATGTACATCAGATCCACAGATTCCAACCTTTTGTGTTTGCAGCAATACCTCTGGTAACGGAATATGATTCAGTATTTGCTAGTCAAAAGCACCAAAAACACAAAAGTACTCACCATTTTTCCCTGGTTTCGATGGTAAAGGCGTTTGTTCAAGTCTCATGTCACCCGCTTTATGAAGCACAAGAGAAAGATTATCAACATTCGCATCAGAAACTGTTGTGTTCGGAGCCATAGTTAAGTTGGAGATGAAAAGATTTAATTAAGAAATGAAACTCTTGTCTTTAGATTGAGTAGAATTAATCTTGTTGTTGACTCTATGATTCTCCAGAGGTTTAAATATATTCCATTAAGATTGGTTATGAGTGCAAGAGAGAGAGAGAGAGATCGAGAGATGATCACAGGGGCTGCCCCACTGAGATTCGATGATGATGATGACGAAACTCTTATAGAAGATAAAATGATGGAAAAAAAGAGAAAAAATATTAAATAATCTCATCTAAGTTCGCAACAAATGATAGATTATTTAGACTTATCAATGATGATTCTTTCTGTCAATTGGTATTCATGTTCTCTGACATTGTTAATTGATTACAATCAATCAATTGCTACCAATTGGATGGTCAGTGTAGTTGATTGATTACTTTCTGTTGTTAATCATGGCGGTTGTAGTCTACTTAGTCATTTACTCAAAACAATTGAATTAAAACCCTTTAGTTTAAGTGAAAGATTCGATAATCAAAAATCGAGTAATATTAAGTTGAAATGTTGCAGTCTCGGAATTTTTAATCATCTTTTCCAATCGTAAAAGCCCATGTAAACAAGAATGACGCTGATTGACCTTCAATGCTTTCGATCTGATCGGACGTAAGAGATTAACTACTCATTTGTGGTTTTGTGTGTTGGGAATGCTCCCTGAAACTGGCCTTCAATTGATCATGATAACCAGTTTATCACAATTCTGTCAGTTGTAAATTAATATCAATAAATTCAAGTTTGGTTATCAAGCTTGTTTTTTATCTTCAGATTAACTCAGTCTCCAGGCATTGGAACACTTTGAATGAATCTCAATACATGAGCATCTAAGTTGTAATGATCATGTTCATTGGATTTAATTCCACGTGTTTTCATTAATTAGTAATAACTGTTTCGATTATCTAATTTGGTTCTTAATTAGATAAACGTTTTTTTCCTTCTTTAAGCAATTTAATGATATTAAATACTAAATAATAGATACCAGGATGTTCAATTTATTAATAGTTACTCACCTAAAGTTTAGGTAAGGAGGATGGTCCAATTTGGTTTTGAGTTATTGAAACTTTTGTATTCACATATGAAGTCCAAATATTTATTTTCTGATCTGATCAGTTTTCGAGAAATCGGTTCAAGTTAAAACTTCAGGTCACTTTCTCAGCAACGATGAGTTTTAGATCATGAAATTTTATTTATCGACAACTTTTCATGCCCTTACAGAAAATTAATTTGTTTGGTAAAAATATCAAAGTGCTCCGTACAATTCCGTTGTATTTAAATAAATGGACGGCGATGGTCAAGTGTCGAATGATCTGAAACTTATTTTGAGACTATCCTAGTATCTAACATCGTGGATCAGTTCTTTTGATTTGATCAACAGTTTACGGAATGAAAGTGGCCTTTGATCTTAATATCTCGAAACTAATACTTAAATTGTGAATTAAATCATCGTCATTTATCAAAGCTATCAAGCGATAGTTTTTGCCTAAAAGTGATGGTCTATGTACTAAAGTTAATTAAGTTATCTACACTCAAGTTATAAACACCCAAATGTTTTATGTTTGCTCAGATATTATTTCATCAAACATCCAAACTATTGCAAAAGTGACTGTATTTTAAGGCCAAAAACTATCGCTTCTGATAGCTTTGATTAAATGACGATGATTTGACTTATTCAGACAATTCTAAGTATTGTAGTTTCGGAGATATTAGCCCTTGAAGATCAAAGGCCACTTTCTCATTCCGGTAAAACTGTTGATCAAATCAAAAAAGTGCTCGATCCACGATGTTAGCCCATACTAGGATAGTCTCAAAAATAAGTTTCAGATCATTCTCGACATGGGAGATAATCCTGTCATTTATTTAAATACAACGGAATTATGGCGGAGCACTTTGGTTTACCAAAACAAATTTAATTTTCTGTAAGGGCATGAAAAGTTGTCGATAAAATAAAATTTCATGATCTAAAAATCATCGTTGCTGAAAAGCGACTTGAAGTTTTAACTGAACTCGATTTTCTCAACTGATCAGATCAGAAAAAATAAATATATTGGACTTCATATTTGTATTTTGAATAAAGTTTCAACTCTTAACTCAAAACTAAAATTCGGCGACCATCCTCCTAATGTCCACAATTTTCGTTAAATTCAAAAGATTACAATGGTTAATTGTGGTATCGATTGATGATCTGTTTCAGTCTAAGCATCAATCAGTAGTTGTTTACATGTAATTTCATGTCGACTTTTGAATTGATTTCAATCTTGATTCAATTCCATGTTAATCGAGATTAATTTCATTTTCAGTTCTCATTTTATCTAAAAGTCAGTTAATCATTTTGGTTTTTGCTCGATTGGAAAATCAACTGATTACTTTGCTCTTAAAAGAGTATTAATTTCAATTAAGTTTACATTTACTTTAAAGATTCAACGATTTTTCATTCTGGGCTCGAACCATAATCCAGAATCTCAATCGATTCTTTAAAACAAATTATCGAATTGAAAACGTTGATCAATTTGTCTCCTTCGATCATCTTGATTGACGTTTCAATTTTTCGTAAGCTCTTGTTCATGACAAGTTTAACCACTTAATTAATCTGACATGATTAGCATCTACAATTATTCCTGCAACAATCAAATATTACGGCTCGATCATTGTTGCATCTTAATTGTTTCTCACTTACTGTACCTCTTGATGTCAAGCTATTGGTTGAAATCAATTTAATTTTATCACCGACTACACGTTGATTTTGACTATTTAAAGCTACTAACTAACCATTATGGTAACAATCAATGTATTAGTAATACTTGTAATAATCAAGTGATTATCATTTTAATTGTTGTTTACAGACTAGTTTCGATTAATGCAAACTTGTTTTCTTGATTTAAGATAATAGGATCATGTGCTTTTGAGTGAAACATAAATTGAACTTCAAATTTGATAATATCCATTTATTCATGATTTTGTTCATGGTCATCTTCATGTATCTGGTATTGTTCATGATGATTTGTTGTGACTTTCATAATTGAATTGCTAATTGTTATTGTTATTATCATCCCAATAATATATTATCTAAGAGCTGTTTCTATCATCATCATATCTATGACGACACTCATCACGATAGCTGATGATTGATATTAATTGTAACTTGAAAAAACTTCAAATATCATTTTCTTCAAGAAATTGATTCAATATATTGGATGAAGTTTCAAGTTAATTCGTTGAAACTAGTTCCATCCTGTCTCCATGAAGCAATTCAACGTTAAGATATCAAATAGTTAAAGTCTATCTGGTTTCATTTATTGATTTTTGTTCTTGTAGCAGCAATTAAATGCCACAATTTAGCAGTTTTATCGATATGTTATAATGGTTCTCGAACGACCTTCAATGTAGATTTGATTTGTTTCTATTAATATTAGATAAATGCTTTAAATCAATGTGTCTAAAGTTAAATTATATTGATCAATTTTTCATTGTATCCGATTGTCAATTTAATCACAATTTGATATAGTGTTTCAAATATTAATAGATTATTTCTGCCGATCACTTTGACTTTGAACTTTCGATTGCAATTAGATTTGATTTCTTCACTTGAGTAGATCGTTGTACTAACAGTTGATTACAATTTTCACACTTTTGTGTTTTAATCAATGTTGATAATCAAATTTGGAAGAAATAAAATCAATAGACTCTGTGGATTTTAGATTAATGATTTGAAACAATTTCCTTTCTATTTCATGAGTTAATCTGATTGAATTAATTTCCCTTGAAATAATAATAAGCTTATTAAATGAAGTTGAAGGTTATCTCGTTAATTATCATGATTATTGTCATAATAATCATCATTAAATTATTAATTTTATCATTTGCAACCACCATCAACACAATCATTATGTAAGTTATACAATGTACTATGTATAAAGGTCATGTGTTGAGTGATTATAATTAACTTGATTTGCTTTTGCTATGATTTACTTACCTTTTATTAACACAAGATTATGATTATGATGCTGGTGATTCTTTACTCTGAGTTTAATCGAGTTGGGGATTACTGCTTAAATCCGATTCAATCTGATCCAATGAACATTTTCCTTGAAAACTTTAATCTCAAATGAAGTGTAATCAATTTCATTGATTGTGTTACTCCAGAAACTTTCATCTACTATCAGGAAAGTTGAATGTTATTGATATTCACTTGAATTAGAATGAAGTTTCCATTAAATCATTTTCCTGATATTTTGTATTCATATTTTTTTGTATCCATGATAAATCTGATTGATGCCATGAGAAGCTCAATTTTCAGAGGTTTTTATCTTGAGTAAGATAAAATCGAATCAATTTTGTCACCAGAATCTATACATTCATGTATTTGTATCCAACTTGATGATTGAGTTACCATTGTATCTATTAAATAAGCTTGGAGTGATTCATCGCCATTCAGGTTCATATTATTGGAAACTCATCATGAATTTCAATTGTATTCCCATGGATTCGTAACTCACTTAAATTTCAAAGAATATCAGAGTTAGATATCAAATATAAAATCGATCTCATGATTCAACTTCATGAATCAAAGTTAAGGTTAGTTGTTGATCTTAATTCTGTAAACTGATTAAGTTACTCATTTAGTGAAGTTTTAATTGATTTACTTTTCTCTACAAAGTACTTGCCGTATATGTGATTGAAAGTTTTAATCTTTTATCCCCCGACGATTATTAAACTAATTCAGCAATCAAATTGCTGAAGATTCCAAATTTTAATTTGCTTAATCATCGTCACATTTATTATTTACATTGTTCATTCTGATGACACCTAATTATTTGTATCATGATGAAGGTTTTTCCTTGATTCAGTTTCAAGTAAACCTTGAAAATCCCCACAAAGTACAATCAACAACAAGTGACGATAAAATCAGTGAGATTTAAACGATCTTTAAGTTGATTAATATCTCTAATTAGACAATTTATCATATTATTTCCTTATTCTGATCTTTAAATAATGAATATATTCTCATGTTTAATCATGAAATAATATCCAATCTTTGATTGTCTTTCTGGTAGAATGTTAAGTTGACGATCGTACCTGTTGATAGTTTAATTAATTGAATGTTATTGATTATTAATCAATTCGACTTCAGTATTATAATAACGATCAGTTTACACTCTATCAATAGTACAGTAGTAAAATTGTTCATTTATCAACTTTTGTATAATTTAGACACTAATTAAACCTTTAGATGAATTGTTTAAGTAAAATTAACTGAGATTTTGATTTATATTGTACACTCGATCAGTTCAATTCTTTTATATCACTACAGCAATTAAGAAACTATAATTAACTGATTCTTGGATCAATTTATTATCCATTGTAAACTGTTAATTCCTTATCCAGTCAAGTATTATCATCAGTTTTTACTTATTCTTACTATTAAATCCAGTTAGTATTCATGATACACTGATTACTTTTTAACTCTTCTCGGTTGGTTAAATTGTTTACAATTAACGGGTAATGATTTTTGTGGAAAGGTTTAAGGTGGGTAAATCATTCCACTCCAGTAAATACGATATTGGAAACAAAAGATTATATCTAATTATGATTAGCTAATTATTTTATGTAAAACAAATTCAAATTGCAAATGAAAAGTAATTTTGTAAACAATTTATTTGATTTTTTCGTTAATTGTTTACTTAAGTTTATGACTCTGATGGTTGATTGTTACAGTTTTTACTGTTCTGATGGCAGTTATCATATTTTAATCCATAATAATTTGCTAATTGTGTAATGATAAACCTATTCATGTTTCAGTTATTATGGAATTGAGTTGATTATCTTAATTATGATTGTGATCATTACCATTAAAAATGGTGCCAACTAATGATGGTTCGAGATTGAACTGTTTTAGCCTTCGAATCAATTTATTTCTGATATTGAATTTCAAGTGAAATGATTAAAGTTCATTTCACTTTTTGAAATTGAGATTTTCTTTGTTTTCAACAATCAATTAAACTATAAATTTCATTGTTAATTATTTATAATCAACTGACGACAATTGTTTCATTTCCTCAATTGTGTTGAAGTTGAAACAATTGATTATAATCAAATTACACTGGAAATCAAAATGGTACAATTGATATTCTGTTGTTTTGGATTATCGAGAAATTAGAAACATAATTAAAACTGAACAAGGAAATTATCAAGTATTTAATTTCCCTTGTTAAAAGGTCGTCGGTTATTATTAAATTGTTGTAGTTTAAAAGCAAAACCCCAATTAAAAGTTCTAGTAATTGTGTCATAAGCCACTGATTGTCTCTATTTACAGGAAATTGGTTGATTGAAAGCTTAATTGCAGACTACACTTTAGATTTATATAAGTGCTTTATTGTCACTAATCAATCAATGGATCATAAAAATAAGTATTTGTCGCGATTATATTGATAATAGATAATGAATTAGTCGACAAATAATTTCGATCATTATATTGATTTTATATCTACAATTTACTCAGCTATCATATCGAATGATAATTACCACATGATTAGCTGATTACCTTTGATGTTTTGTGATTTTCTTTCAATTTCTTGTGCATCAACATTGCCCAGAGACTCGAATAAAAAAATTTTATTACTAATTAACTTTTCATTTTCATTTTGATTCTCTTTTTATTGTCAATAGTTGCGCTCTTTGTGCCAAATCAGGTCTTCGATCAAGATATGATTCCATTATTGATCCGCATCGCGAAGTTAACGATGGATCTTGCATCGCCATAAGAGGTCGATTTATGGCCATAAATGCCGTCACCATGTCATGTCGATGTGAGAAAGCTAAACGTGGCCTTAGTCCTGCTGCTCATCTAGGAAATGGATGTGCCGATCTCATCATCGTTTCAAAATGTTCAAGACTTGATTATATTCGGTACATGATGAGAACCGGTTACTTAGCCAAAAGTCCAGTAAGGATCGTCATTGGAATAAAACATGGAGGTTAAAGGTTACACTTCCATCTTGTTGGTTTTCCTTCAATCAATATTTGGAAGTTTAAACTAACCACCATTCCCTTATAACCATTTCAATTTGATTCTTAATTTAATTTAATTTTAATTAACAGTTTGATCTTGACTTCGTGGACGTTTATCGAGTTAAAGAATTCGAATTTAATCCAATCATTAGGCCTGAGGGATCTTCAAGCAAATACCAAGTCTCCAATGCATCTGTATGGAACTGCGATGGAGAGATAATTAATGAACCAGCATTACATGTAAAGTGAGTGTTCGATTACTCAATTGATATTTGACGATTTATGCTTCGAATCTTTAGATTCAGAAAAAAAATCAATTTCGACGTCAATTTTCCAACATTTAGCATTCGTACTAAATTCAATATCGAAGGAAAAAATGACACGAATAAATTGTCATGTTTCCATTGAGCTGATCTCTTGTCAACCATTTGTAATATTTATCATGTTTTTCTATTTCTTGTCAACCAGAGTTCACTGTCAACTTTTACCGATCTTTGGAAATGGTCGAGAAAATCGTGATCTCAACGGAAAAGGAGCGTTTACCTGGTCAGCGAATAAAATATTTGACATTCCAAATGCACAATCAATTGGGCCACAACACGATAAATCGAACCGTGTGAACGGGAAAATTATTGATCAATCAACTGATCTGACAAATGACAATGGAAACGACGAGAATTACACTTTGCCATCAACCACAGAAAAATCATCCAATTATCCAACTTCTTCTGATTTGGTTTCTCAAGTTTAATTCAATTCATTCAAGATCCATTCAACAATCTACTCAGGAAACAATTATTCCCAACAATTAAGACAAAATGATTCTACTTCTTCAATTTCCACCAACAATGAACATCAATTTGCTTCATTTCAAATATCCATCTGAATCCGAATCATATTATTGTACAATATTACCAAACAATTATTTCAGATCCACGTTTATCTCTGTCAAACGATTAGATGATTAGTTTACAACAAGAATGAAATTAATTAATTTTAGTTAATCTCAATTCGCTTTTACGATCAATTTTTCTATTTATTATTATGTTCATCTCTTCTTCTTTTCTGTTAATCCAAATCCAAATCGAAATTGTTTTACTTTTCCTTTCCGCTTCCTATTGTTCCCTCTTTTTACTCTATTGGTGGCATCCATCAAATTGAATCACAATTATTTCATTTTTGTTACTTCCACTGTTCCTTAATCAAATTATGTTCCTCTTTATACTTTTGTCAATCAATTGGTTAATTGTATCACTCGAAACTATTGATTAGCTTTTCGGTTTTTTACTCTTGATTCAATTGGGACCTGTTATGGTTACTCAATTATTATCATTTTGATTATCAGCCTTAATTACTTACACAATTAACTTGAGCTGATTGTTTTTGATATACTTTTGATACTCTACTTTAATCATTTTGTTTCTTCGATGTTTTCATTTCCATGATCAATTCAAATGGATTAGTAATACTCAAGCTTTAAATGTACAATTAGCTTGAAGATGTAATGTTTTTAATTGTAATTATGTAACTCGCTTAATCCCAAATGAGATTTTAAAGATCGATGAGTTAACACGATCTGTAATTGTAGAGTTAAAGACTGACAATCAATTGATTATTATTCTTAAATTTCATCAACAATATGGTTATACAAAATCTACGTCGTTGATTAAATTAGCAACAATTTGTTAACTGCTAAATGTAATCAATTCAATAAGTGACAATATAAAAGTTAATATTTCTTATTCCAAAAATCATTTTCCATAATTATCATTATTTCAAAACTTTATCATTTACAAAAATAGTTTCAAAAACTGGATGAAAATTTGAATGAAATCGTAAAAGTTGTAAAGGTCACAATACCTTTGGAATAGCAAATGTTTTTGATGAATGAACCGAAGCCAATCAATGGAAGTGCGAAGTTAGTGAAACAAGTTAATTGTTTAAATTTTACGCCAATTGTTAATCGTGTTAATCAATGTTTTACATCGTTCTTGAATAAAGTACATTAGGCGACAAAAAGAAAGAAAAGAAAGACAAGTTAAAAAAGCTAAGATGATGACGATGATGATGATGATGATGAAGACGAAGAGGAAGGTTAGAGAGAAGGAAAAACAAGGTTAGAAGAAAAGAAAAGGGGAAGTTCAAGTTTCCATTCGAGAAACACATAATAGCGAATAACGGAAATGGTTTTACTTGAAATAGACCTTCACGGGGACGAATTAACCATTTCAAAGTTAATTTTCTTTAGTTTGTTGTTAAATTTGATCACAATTAAGATTTAGGTAGTGACAATTTTCCACTAGTTAGTTGGTAGAACCGCATTTACCATTTGCCTTTCAATCAGCAAGTTTCGTCTCAACGATCAACTTTAACGTTAGTTACTTTAAATTTCTTTGTTACAATTAACAATGATTTCTAATTTGATTAACTCTAAATATGGATTTTGGGCTAAAGTGATTCCAATTGTATTGTGTTCATCATTGTTGCTTGATTACAGAACTTGGATTCAAAATGTGATCAACTGGTACAAAGAAACAATTGAAAAAGGAGGTAAGTCATTTGATCAGCTTTTTAATTTGATTGTTATTTTGATATTCGAAATGTGACTGATTAATTTAATAGATCAACGGGTAAGTGATTGGCCTTTGATGGCATCTCCGTTTCCAACAATTACATTAACTGGATTATATTTGTACTTCGTTAAAATTGCTGGACCTCAATGGATGAAAGATAAACAACCTTATGATCTCAGGATTTTCATGATAATTTACAATTTTTCACTCGTAATTGCCTCTGGAACTATGTTCATAGAGGTGAGTAATTAACTAATTATCATTATTTACTAAATTTATCTGATAATTATAGCTAATCACTTATTCATTGTACAATTTATTCTAAGTTTTCGGTTCTCATCTTACCAAACTTTCATGTGTAACAATTGATTAAGACTATTCACTAACAACTAATTTGATTGCAGCTAATTAACTAATTAACTAACCACAATTACAAATTAGAATTAATTTTCCCTTTCAAATCAAAATTACATCAAAATTCACACTCGGCAATAACGATCACTAATTTCATTTTAACAATCAAAGTTAAATTCGTTGTGTGAATATTTTATTGAGCTAAATATAAACAATTAGAAGCTAAAGTTATTTAATGATCAGAACAAAATGATTAAAATAATTGATCAGAATGAACAGCAATTAGCAAATAAAATTAGTTCTTAGTGAAAAATGAATCTGCATTTGTAATTTCACTATTTGTTAATTGATTACAAAATCTTTTTCAATGAAATCAACTGATTGTTGACATAATTAAAATTCTAACTAATGCTAATTAATTGATCATTTAATTTACAGATGGGACGATTGATTGAATGGGGTAAATACAGTTTCCAGTGTCAATCGGTGGATTATTCAAATGATCCGATTCCAATGAGAATGTGTGTCGTCGGTTGGTATTTCTTGATGTCAAAGTTTGTCGAGTTCATTGATACGGTGAGTTGATTAAAACAATTTAAATATCAACAATCAGTTAATAAGGTTTTCCCGTCGAATAATTAAATTCAAATAGTTGTCAAGGTAAATGTTTTTTACCAATAAAAATGAAAACAACGAAATCGACAAATGTCCTCGGTCTATCCTCGAGTTTCGGCTTAGCTTCGGCTCGATGAACTCTCTTGGTACTTTGTTTGAGTTTCATTCTGTCAACAAGGTTATCCTTTTTCTCTCGTGTTTTTAATTGTTATAGTTAATTCATTGATCATCGTGAACAATTAAGAGCAACAATCAGTTTCCTTTCTGTTTTCTTCCCAACATAATTTGTCTTCCGTGAAGAAAAAAAAGAGATTTTGTCGCTGAATTTGTTATTACGGATGCAGGAAAATCCATCATTCATCTTTAATTGTTTTCGAGTTAGAATATTAAATTGGTTGAACAATAGAAGATCAGAACTCGATTCCAATCTCCCGTTTCGCTCATGAAATTTCTGATGAATTATTAATATTAATAGTTGATTAGGAAAATCATTCGAAGAATTTTTTTCACTGTCAAGTCTTTACCTTAATGGGAAATTTGATTCTTCCCTTTTCAACCTTAATTATGTTTGACAATCGTTTCATTTGGATTTGATTTATGTTGACAATCAATTGATTATTTTTTATTGTAATTGTTTAAAACTCATCGCCATCACAATGATCAATCAAGTTTCGTGAAAATTTTGCCTTTTTTGTCTTGATTTCAATGAGTTGAGCAAAGTTGATTCTCAAGAATAATTCTGATCGTCATAATCAATTTATTGGGAAATTGACTAACATTAAATCAATCGATTGATATTATTAATAATTCGTTGACTTGGTAAAACCAAATCAACAAAAAACCAATTGCGACATAACGAAAATAACATAACTTAGTTGCAATTCTGTCGATCAAAAACTGAATACAAAGTAACAATTGGCGAGAGAAAATTGGATTAATTATCATTTCTAATTGTTGTTATTAATTGTTCCTCATACCAGATAATATTCGTCCTTCGAAAAAAACACAATCAGATTTCGCCTCTTCATGTTTTCCACCATTCAGTGGTTCCACTTACTCTTTGGATCGGAATGAAATACGCACCCGGCGGGAACAACGCTTTTTTCCCGTTCCTTAATTCTGGAGTTCACACAATCATGTATCTTTATTACGGGTTATCCGCTTTTGGCCCTTCGATGCAAAAATATCTTTGGTGGAAAAAGTATTTGACTAAGTTACAGTTAATTCAATTCACTTTGGCGATGGTCCATGGATTAAGAGCATTGGTTCAAGATTGTCAATTCCCTCGATCTTTTCTCATCATGAACATTTTCCATGCGGTTCTCTTTTTCTATCTCTTTTGGTCGTTCTATCGACAATCGTACGAAGCAAGATCCAAATTGTCATCCCAGTCATCGACTTCTCCGTCATCATGTTCATCTAAAGGACTTTCCGTCTCAGCATCTTCAGGCCCTGACGGAGCTTCGACTTGCGCTCGATTTGGTGATGTTACAATAACGGCTTCAGTTACTTACCACACAAACGATTCTAGCGACTGTAACAACAAAATTAAATCCCAATAATCGTGTCATAATCAACTCGAAATTGACTAAGCAACAATAAGTGAATAATCTGTGATCTAAATATGTTATATTGATTTGTTTTATTTTATAATAAAATTGACAATTTTTAATTTAATATGAGCTTACATATTATTGTACGAGAGAGACAGTTTAAGAGTTTTAATCAAATTAATCGATACTAAATTGTTGAACCTTGGCTTTGGTTGATTTTTAGAAAGAGATACAGAGATCCATCAATATCCAGGGACTGGGACAATGGGACTGATTTTCTCAATGATTCCTGAAAAAGGAAGAGTCAGTTAGCCCTCTTTCTTTTTCTCTTTCTAACTATTACGACTGTGACAACGTGGTCACACTAACGACAATCGATTAAGTCATTCACATGAGTTCCATTATTTGGTTGTTCACTGTAAATCTAAAAAACGATTAGTATGCAAAAGGAAACTTTCGTTATAAGTTTTCTATTATACGATTCGAATTGCCTACAAAAAGATAGAAAATAATAAACCATAAACCAATGGATAATTTGATGAAAAAAAAAACAAGAGAAACGACAAAAACGTACTAACTTTGTTAATGACGAAAATACCAAGAGGCCCAAAATTAATTAATGGAATTTCTCGATTTCAACATACAATATGTATTAGAACATCGATTAGAACATTATGAATAAAATGTTCTTATCCTAAATTGACGTAATTACTCATCTTTTTGTAGATAATTGATCACAATCCTTATGAGAAAACTAAAGAAAACAAAAGTTTCCTTATTTGTGTTGATTATTTTGCATTTGAAAATGTTTCCTTTTAACGAATTCATATTAATAACAATCATTAGCATTATCTCAATGATTTCATCTTATCATCAACATTTTGTATGCAATTCTATTTTCCTATCTCTCTCTCTCTCTCTCTCTCTCTCTCTCTCTCTCTCTCTCTCTCTCTCTCTCTGTGTGTCTTTCTTTCAACAATAATATGAAACAGGATTTGAATTATCGTCACAATTAAACCTGAAATTGATTAATCAACAATAGGATAATAATCGGCGATAAACTAATAGGTTAGCAGATAAAAATAGCAATGATTATTTAATCAATTGAAACTTTTCACTTCTCTTGTGATTTTTAAATTCAATGTTTAATTGATTGACGATGATTATTGCTAATCTCATCAGATTTAATGATAATGATGATTATTGCAGAAATCAAATTAATGTAACCAGATTGATTAAATTGAATGTAAACAAAGACTCAGACAACAATCAATTAATGTTGAACTAAAAAAGCATCAAACGTAAAGGTGAATAATCAATTCCTTCCGGGATCACAATTAGATTGGTCAAATAATCAAGCCTCGAGTTAATTGTGATTACAATTGATTGTAATCATAAGCTATTAAATGGAAACAATTAAAACATGAAACGACAAAAGATGAAACCAAAATCAATCGACTTAGAAAGTTGATAAAATTGTTAATTAATTCTCAATTGATTCTATTAACCTTTAATTACTTTTGCTAAAGTTAATCATAATTATTTCTCAATGCTGCTAATAAACAAATTATATTTAATTTAATTAGGCTTGAAACTATCGGAGCAGAAGAAGGTTTTAATTTAGATGACAATATAATGATTACATTAATGACCTCGGTGGTTTGTTAATTTTTTTACTCTCTTTTAATGTATTAAAGGTAAATATATAAAAGTGAATTAAAGTGATCAATTAATTGTAATTGTACTCAAACCGTAATTGAGAATAGGATTATTATCATGATATTATTAATAATCAGGGAAACGCTGAATCATTTTCAATCAAGAACTCGATAGTTGATAAAATTGATAGATTCCGTTGATTCGCATATAATTTACTCTCACCTAGTTAATTTTGACATTCAATGGTAATACTAATTGTTATTAATCATAATCAAATCACTATCATCATTTAGTGTTATTAATATAATTATTATTACAATCAACTCTTTTTGTTTTAAACTTCAACATAAAATCAACTGTGAAACTGTTAATTGTTGATAACAAACCGTCAGTGAAACAATAACAATCAACCAATTGAATCCAGTTATGGAAGTAAATTTAATTGGTATGTTAACTATTTTAATTAACCATTGTAATCAACAATCTAACCATCATTATGACCATTGGTTTTAAATTGCTTTATTATTTATCCCTCTTACTTTATTGAACATCTCACTCAGTGACAATTGTTTCAAGATCTTGATTGTTATCATTTAGTTTAGTTAATTAATCATGGAGAGTAGTAATCGTGATCTATGTTCACATTCATTACCCAACCTTGACTCAACAATTAACTCAGCGACGATGAAACCTTCATCTACAGTAATGGTCACTTATCCGATATCAGAGGAAGACAAAGATAAACGGGTGGGGATCGCTAATCTGGCCTATGAACCAAATGATGATGATTACGAGAACCATAATCATCCGATTTCTCGTCCATCATCATCAATGTTACATCATTCTCATGTAAATCATCACACACATTCACCTCATCCAATATCAAAATCTAAGGCAATATCAGATACCGAGTATCTTTGTCATCCTGGTTCATCTTCATCTTCAACTGGTCATCTTCATCATTCAAATCATCAACTGTCATCTCCAACTGACTCTCATCATCAAGTTTATCCACCATCTTCAAGTCGTAATCACAATGTTAACAATAACACTTCGAACGGTAATTTAATCAATGGAGAAACTAATTTAGGATCTCGACTTTTCTCAACTCAAAGCTGTGATTTTGACGTTGTCCCAGTTTTCACTTTAAATCGCAATCAAGGATTTAATGGTCGACGAATCTCTAGAACCACTCGAATTGTCATATCAACCTCTTTAATATCATTCGGCATCACAATCATGATTGTTGGTATTTTAGTCTACACAGTTCGTGATATTGAAATCGGTTTTAATCCCTACAAGATTAACAGACAAGCAAATGTAACCACACCTTATGAAGCTTATCTCGTGCATCAAACAGTTGATTCAATCATCAATGACGAGAGACGTTACAATGCATCAGTTGGGTCAATGTTCATGTCGTTCGGGGCTCTCGCCGTTATCATCGGTATATCGTTGTTATTGGCACCAGCAATCAAACGGAAACATCAGATCGTCAATCCAATCAGATCATCGACCGCCAATATCAATACGAACAGTAATAAGAACTTATCTTCAATAGTCTATTTCAACAGGGATGATCTCAATCGATCTCAATTGTCGGTTGAAAAAATTGATATCGATCACCATGGGTCAAGGAAGGAGTTTTTCTAATCTCTAATTGCAATTAATACTTACGATTAATTAGATAACATTAAACTATTAGTATTTAATCAACTAAATCTTGTCATTAATAAAAAGTCATATAAGTTCCTGTATTCATCAAATTGATTAGTTTTATTGTCTATATAAAAATTAACTTAATTGTATCTTATCAATGATTAAAGTAATAAGAGATGAAAATGATTTCAATATTTGATTAACTTTATTGTAAAGCCGTTAATTGTTACAATTTGTACAAAAAGGAATCAATAAATTTTTATTTACATTTATATACATATTGTGTGGTTAACTGTTACAACGATCTATCAATTGATTGATTAATTGATAATAATGATAAATGAGTTGATGGATCGATGGGGTAGAAATCAGAGTCAATTAGTACGAAAGGAATTAAAATTGTTTAGTTAATTATCACAAATTGAATTAAATGTAACACTCGACGAGATGAAGAAGGAACTTTTGATTAACATGCTAATCATCATCATCGGAAGATTTTTTTATTCGAAATGCTTTTTGGTTGAATAATTTTAAGCTCTCGCAATCGGGATCAATGATTCGAGGATTTTCCTTGAACTTTAAACACTTTCGAGCGCATTTTTCGCCATTGTAAAGACCACGTTCCCAAACTCGAACACAAAGAGCACAATTGTGAAGACATAAATAGAGCTTATTATTTTCAGCTGAATTGTTAATCACTTCGGAATCCGAATAAACAAAAACCAGGTAAGAATAGAAGATAAATAAACCGATCCACCGGGAATTCATTGTATGATGATGACGATGATTGTTGATTAATCTCATTCAATCAATCTAGAAATGAGATACACAAAATAATAAGGCAATGAGTAAACAGCTGATGCAAATATGATGAGAAATACAACTTTTGAAAAGGTAAAATAATCTCGGGATTAAAACGATTAGTTAATCAACACAATTGACTTACCTTAGTGGTTGCAAAGTTGAAGGAAAGTAAATTAGTCCGAATAGATTGTGATGTGGTCAAGTGAATTGAATTGATTGGTCATCGATTTTGATGCCACTGACACTTTATATTAACATGGTGATAATGGTGATTAGTTGGTGTGTTGATTAAACTGCGGATTTAAATACCCAAGAGTTAATACTTAAGTCATTTAGTAGGAGAAAGGGAGTCACAATCAATTATTAGTGAGATAACCAGAGTTAAAAATAATCCAATCAGTTAATCGAAGCTTAACTTAACTGTAATTATTCAAAACAAACCTCAGGCTAATTAGGTTGTGATTAAAAAGAAAACAAGTTCCTCCAACAATCATGGATTCCCTTTGGTTTCCACAATCTCACTTGATCATCGCCAATCGTGTTTGTAGTTTATTCACCAAATGATTTCATTTGAAACGAAGGTCACAATAATACGAATCGTCTTTGTTTCCACTCTAACGATTAAAAGATTATGAGCGATTGATAGTTACTTGTTTACTCGATTAAGCAAATCAATTATAAGAATTAAAATAGAAAAAGAATTAAAAATAAAATGATTCGCATACACGTGTAAGCGAAAAGGAAAAACAAAGTGACTATTTTAGATTTTCCAGAGATTGTGAAATTTAATGATTAATAAATAATCGCAACTATTTTTAGGATAAATCCGTTAATCTCTTTTCGTTTTATATCCGATGATTAGAATAAAACTCGAAAACAAATCAAATTGATCAATCGAAACAAACTATTAATATTTTTCCACCGAGAAAACTTTTAATCAACATTGAAAAAGATTGAGGAGTGACAACGAGTTTATGATTCGAGTTGATTTCTCTTGGAGTTTAATTAGATTTTGTTTATTTTTTTGCAAAATTTTAATTTTCACCTCTTTTTATTGATTATTCAGTCAAATCGTTTATTGTTCAACCAATTGCGAACTCCAAATATTCAAAGATTCGAAGATTCAAAGTTGGCGCCATAAGCAGAATGTAAACAAAAATGAAATTGTTTCAAGTTTCTTGTTATGATTAAGCTAAATTATTTCTCATTCTTATTTGTTTCTTACTCTATTGTTGTTTAGTGTATTTCTTTCTGTTTTTGAACAATTAATCAACTTCTTATTCGGTATTTCTTTCGACCAATTATCTTTTAACGCGATGAACGCAGAACCAGATGAAATAGTGAATCTAAATGTTGGTGGTAATCGATTCTCAACATCCAAGAGAACTCTAGTCTCTATCCCGGAAACATTTTTCACTTGTCTTTTATCGGATCATCAGCAGTTAATTAAATCACTTAAAGACTCAACGGGCGCTTTTTTCATTGACCGTGATCCCAAAATATTCACAGTTATACTTAATTACTTACGAACTCGACAACTGATTAACTTGGACAACATCCCAATCGACGTACTTCTTCATGAAGCGGAATTCTATGGATTAACACCATTGGTAAAGCGACTTAAGGCTTATCAGGAATTAGTTAACAATGATGTTTGTGGTGGGAATGTGTTTTTCCAAGGGACTTTAAGTAGACCCGCAAGTTTGAGCGGCGATGATTCTGCCAGAGTCATCAAAGTATTAGCTCAACATAATGTTATCGTTGTTTGTTTCAAGAATCTACTTGTTTGTTATTATTTCCGTGATTCGATTGGATTCCAAAAGATCTTTGAGTCTGAAAAGCTTGAAAATGAAATTGATGATATTGCTCTCTATCAGAACTGTTTAGTTTTCCATCCTTCTCCTTCTGGCAAATTAGTAATTGGATTTTGTCAAAATGAATCAAGATGTATTAAACTCTGGAGCATTTCCTTTCAAGAGCATCAAGCCGTTCGAACTGAGATTGGACCTTATTCGCTTAATGATCATCCAGTCGATACCTTGTTCTTCATTGGATCTCAACTGGTTGCCCTCAGTCATCAAAAGGGTTTGGTCGGTGTTTATCATGCTACGAGTCAGTATTGGTTAGTCCAAGGGTTGAAAGAGTACAAAGGACAAACAATTACTGCTTACGACAAGGCAGCTTCTAATTTCTTACTGTTGGGGTCTAAAGTTGGTTCGTTATATCTGATAGATATGCAGAAATTTCCTCTTCGAATGAAAGATGGAGATTTGCTAATAAATGAACTTTATCAAGATCCAGAGAACGAAGAAATAACTGCCATCTCATGTTATCTAACTCAAGATCCTAAGAATGATGGTAATTGGGTAGAAATCGCTTATGGGACCGCTGATGGGACAGTTCGAGTTCTTATCCAACATCCTGAAACAGGAGGTCATGGGCCAGTCTTATTTCTCACATTTAAAGTTCATCTTCATGGTATTTCTAGTATAATGCTGAGTAAAAGTCATCTTATTAGTATGTGTTCAAAAAGACATGTTAGAACCTGGACCATGACTCGATTCAGAGGAAGAATTTCAACTCAACCAGGATCAACTCCCCATGCAAGTTTCAGAGTTTTGTCCATTGATGATTTACACATGGAAGAGGAGTGTTGCCAATCATCATCTTCATCGTCACCATCTACAAGCACGGGAACAAGGGGAATGTCCAAAAGCATCTCCGATCTTTCTTGTAATAAGAGATATTTAGAAATTGGACCTTTTGGTGATCAAGGTGACGGAGATCAACTTGTATTCATAGAAATGTATCGATCTCAAGCCGATACAATCCATGTGATGATGGCATCAGACGGGGAGCGCAAATTGAGCTTACACTCAGTCGATGGCTCTCCGATCACAACTTACTTTGTCCACGAGTGCGATACCATTTCGATGGTAAACCGATCAAAAAGATACATTTTCACTGGACACGAAAATGGAAATGTTCAAATATGGGACTTGAGTTGGGCTCTTGATTCGGCATCTAAAGCATCCAAGGCCATTGAGGTTCCGGAAAAAGAACTTTTAAAACAAGTCTTACTTTAAATTAAATCTTTTCGAGATTATCAAGATTAACTTATTCATTACGATTCGATAAACATTCAAATTATTTGTTGAGACTTTTTGTACTTTCATTTTCTTTCTCATCTCCAACTGACCAATGATGATGAAAGATAAAATTATATTAGATGCACTATTTATCGTTTGGTGAATTAAGAAAAATTATAACTGTAATTGTTTATTATTAATTTGAACAAACTAATTTGTCTTAATCTTAACTATTTAGAAGTTACAATGATCAAGAAGTTCTTGCATCATTTACAGTCTCCGGTACAACTACTTCTAATCCATCGAGTTCTTTTTTTAAATACACTTGGCATCCTAATCGAGATCTGAAATTCGTTGAAAATAAAGAATCGATCAATTTACTGACACAATTATCCACTTAATTGAACAATTAGCCTTCACTTTGATAACTTACGTATTGGTCAAGCCATAAGCTAAATCCAACATGTCCAACTCTTCATCAGTCGCTTTACTATCAAGCAAATCAAAATGCTCTTTAGTAAATATTAGATGGCACGTTGAACAAGCTAAGGTTCCTTCACAAGCACCTGAATTGAAATGAACAATTAGACGAAATAAGTTGATTAATGTTACCACAATTGTCAACTTACCAAAACCATCAATATCCAAATGATTGTTTATCACAACGTCCAATAAATTTTCATTTTTCCTCCCATAAGCAACTAATTTCTGACCACCGGCTTTGATGAATGTCACCTTAATACTTGAATGGAAAAGAGATTAAAGCAATTGAACGTAATCAAGATAATCAAGTTATTAAATTAACTCACTCTGGTTTTGATTGGTCTTTTATGTCATCTGAATTTGTAGCATCAGTTGATAAACAAGAAACTGATGAATTAATAACATTGGATAATTTCATAGTTGTTTGCCTCAATGTTGATTTATTGAAATGTCGTATTGATCGGCTCAGAGTGTGGAACATGTTGGAATTAATTAATTCTAAATAACAAACAGAAGTTAAAGAAAACAAGAAAAAAAGTCAATTAATTAAAAATAAACTAAAATGAAGGTTGAATTGATGATCATTAAGTAATGTTGCCAAGGCGATGATTACGATAAGATTCTGGTTGGATTATTAGATCAGGTTTAGGAGTCCAAGCAGCAATTAAAGTGAAACAATTAACCAATAATTGTGATAATTTAATTGTTGAATCAATTTAATGGTAAAATAAAACATGTGTAACTGATTTAAATCCAACCTGAAGCCAGTCGAGTTCGTTGATGAGAATCGACTTTAGCTTTAGTCGACAACGAATCAACTAATCAGCTAATTAGTCTTTAATGTCTACTGGGTATAGTTACAATTTCCATTTTCTTTATTTCCAATTAATTAGTGAATCGAAAATATTTTTAATTAATCTTTGTCTTGATCGACAAATGTTCGAGTCGATTGAAGATCAATTTTCTTTTTTAAATTTTTCATGGAAATTGAATTAACCTCAAGCCGAATGAGTTGGAATCTCTTTTGATAGATGGCGACAAATTCGTATTGTTGATGTTTACTAATCATTTCAATTTCTCAACACATTTTGTTGATTATTTGATTAATTGTTCTTAATTTTGGTTAATTAATTCGGTCTTGGCTTTTGTTTCATTATTCTCAGTCTGTAATAATTGTGTCTTTAATCTGTTGATTTTTCCTTTTCTTCAGACTTTTGGTTTCTTTTGGTTCGGAGTTGATTTAGTTTCATGTCTCTTTCTATTGACAATTTAATTCCAATCGATGCTGATAAAATTGGTAACACATCGGACCAAATATTATTGACCAGTGATGACTTGACAAACTCATCTTGCCTTTTCAATTCTCTATTGTATCAAACTGTGAAATTGCTCAAGACACAACCAACCATTGATGAAGAAAAGCCAACCAAATTGTTCCTCATTCTATTCAATCAAACTTTTAATGAAATCAGTCGATATCAAATGAAAAGTTTTGGATTAAATCTTAAACCTCTCAAGGACAGTGAGAAGTTGCTTGTTATGGATTTACTGACTGATTTCGAACAAATCAAAACGAATGGTTCAGTCTCTTTTGATTCTGTAATGAGCAACACTTTGCACACAATTAGAGAAAAATTGTCCTCAGACTCTGATCAGAGTAAAGCAATTATCCTGGTTGATGATGCTTCTTGTTTACTATCCTTGGGTCTGCCAATCAATCAAGTTCATCAATATTATCGTCGCCTTAGAAACCTTGTCCATTACTATAAATTTGTTTTGATAATCCAAAGTTATTATGACTACGAAGAAGATGATGCTGAAAACAATAGACTATGTCGATCCCTGATTGATACATCAAATACTTGGATAATTTGTAAGCATTTGGACTCTGGATTTTCAAGTAAAGTCGATGGAAATCTTATCATCAATAACTACCACGAATGGCCAACTAAAATTAACCATTTTCATTTTAAAAGAATGCCAAGGAATATTAGAATCCTACCAATCGGAGCATTTGCCTAACTTACTTGTATAAACTTTTGATATGAGAAAAACTTTGAAAAACTAAAGTTTTCACTTTTTCCAATTCTTATTCCTGTGGTATCATGATGATTCACCATTCTACAAGATTGAGAAAATGAGTGGAAGAGTTCATAACTTTTCTCATGCAGATTCAAATTCGCTCAGATCATAAACGATCTCACCATCCAACTTTGGCAAATTCGACTGAGTCTAGAGTTCCAGAGCTCGACAACTCAGTTCGATTCCCGCTGTTGGGTGGATTCGAAAGAATTAGGTTAGGTTAGGTTGGTTTAGTTTAGGTAAGAATTTTTTTTACTAAATTTGTACAGTTGATGGTAAAGTTAGATCAAGAATATACTCTAGTCAATTACGATAATTGAACAAACAGTCGATTTCGATGATCAGACTGAATGAATAAATTTTATTCCAACAATATAACAAAATGGAATCGATAGAAATGAATTTACAAACATTTACAGAACACAATTAGAAAATTTTACGTTAATTTAGTTTTCTTTTAAGAATAAAACATGGGAAAAGTTATCCCGCTTTTGACTTAGATTGAGTTGATTGATTGTAGTTGACGAAATTAAACTAAACTAGAAGTCGGTGTTGCCATGTTTAACCTCGTTGTTATTGGTTCCCGTCTGAACGGAGGTCGATCGCTCAATTGGCTGATCGACGGAGGTTGTAGATTGATCGGTGGGTCTATTTTCGAGATGAAAGGCTCTCGTGCAAGTTTCGATTCGGGATAAATCGGTCCAGTGTCATTTAATGTTCCCTCTCGAGGTGAAGGTGAATATTTTGATCTAAAACCAGAATCACTGAAAGGTGAATTTCGATAATCGTTGTTGCCCCGAGGGACAACATTACATCGCAGGGATTTCATTAAATCTCCTGAATGATCGACAGCTATTTCTTCAGGTGGACAGTGAGATGACGTTGATTGTGATGCAGCTAATTGTTGAGTTGGTTTACATTTAATTGGCATATTGGTACAATCGGTGTTCAATTCAATTGGTTGGTTCATTTCTCCTTCAATAGTTGACATTTTTGATTCATTTTTCGAGGGTAAATCATATATGTTTTTAACACTTGGACAATTATCACCACTTTCAACTCCATTAGAATTTGAATTTTGATTACAATTCTTTTTTATGTTCACAGAATCTCCGTTATTAGAACTATTATTCGTGTTTCCATCACTCGTATTATTCTGACTCATTTCCACTTGTTCTTCTTCCTCACTGTCTTCTGAACATGAGTGAGTTGCATCGTAATAAACTTCGGCCTGAGTAGTTCCGATACAAACGCCATTGTGGTTCCTTGTGCTGGTTCCTGGTTGATTGTTGTCATTTGTTCCAATGGTTTCGCCTTGGGCTATTGCAAGATGAGTCTCTGACTTTGAACGAATTTGTTTATCCAAAGTAACACCATTTTCACCGATATAATAAGTCGTTAGGGTCGAAATACAATCTTTATTGTAACCTAAACAACTTTTCGGTCTATCGTATAAGTAATTGTTATCATCCACTATTATCGATTGATAATTGACAGCATTATTATTGATTGTACCATTACTTGATCCTTGGTGACCATTTTGATTACTCTGAATTGTCATCAATCCATCGGGATAACTTTTGTTTACATGACGATTAGGATTAGGTTGATATTTACGAGGAATAGGTTTCGGTTGATTTAATCGGCTCTCCAACAAACATTTCATTTGATTTTTAAATTGTTCAACTAATATTTTTAAGATAAAAAGAAATGAGTAAATGAAGATTATTAACTTTTTGTTCAATATTAATGAGCAACGTAATTGAAAAAGTAAAAGACAATACTAATTAAAAGATGAAAAAGAAACACCATAAACCAAATAATATGAATAATCAACAGAATCGTTTATTATGTCAGATAAATTCTCATGATAATCATGGTCATTGGGATGGTCATCAAACGAAAGTAATTCATTTTCATGCCTTAATATGAACACAATTTATATTCATTTATCAAACTGGATATGAAGAAAAATCTAAAATATTGTATTTGAAGATGATAATGAAGATGAAGATGAAAATAAAGATGAGAATGAGAATGAGAATGATGTAAATATTAAGATGAATCCAACGAGTCCGGTTTTGTTATTACCTAACCTTTTATGATCATAAAGGTAAGTTAATCAAATCGGTTTAACTTTAAATGTTGAATTGCAAATTACTTGAATTGAGAAGATGCAAAATTAAGCTGAAAACAAAAGCATCTCATCTTCATTCATCATCTTTTCCTCATTTATCCTTTCACCTCTTCCTCCTCCATCACCACCATCACCTCCTCTTCCTCTTCAAGGAAAAGCCACTCAACGTGTTTGCAAAGTTCAGTTAACTTTATGAAAATTATTCCATCACTGATTCAGTAAATCAGAAACACCAACAATTTGCTTTACTGTATTTCGACATCACTAATTTGTATAATTCATTTATGATCAAGATAATCATGATCAACATGATAAACATCGGGGACCCCGCTGATCCTAATGATCCCGTTTCTGGGAGACAATCAACTGCAAGTTCACACATTCATTTATTTACTTTTCGCAACACACTAGAGGCTCATCTTCATGTGATTCATTCAAATTTTCAATTTAATTGTTGCTCACAAATTTAAGTCTCTAAATCTTTTCTCTGCCGTGACAATTGACAATTAACTCTCGAGTTCTAATTTTATTCTTACTGTGTTTGTGTTTGTTCAATAGATTATCTCATTGATTACAACTGAATTAAATTAACATTTTTTCTCATCGTGTTAATATAAATCCTTATGATTATGAATGGAATAGTAATTATATTGATAATCATGAACTTCAAGTAAGTTAATTAGAATTGAAAGTTGTTAAATTGTGTTAATCGTAAAGTTATTGTTTCTTTTCATGGTGGAAATTAAATTTTCTTCTTACCTTGATGCAATTGACTTCGTTCATAATCCAACTTTTGTTTCAAATTTGTTCGTTGATTCCGTTCAACACACTGAATCCTTTCAGTGGACAATCGGGACTTGACTGTTTCGTTTATCGAAACCATTTGAAAATTGGTTTTCCTTTCAAGACTAGATATTTTATCGTTTAGATCAGTTCGACAATTTTCGATCTCTTCTTTCAATTCTTTCTTTTCCTTTTCTAACTTCTTTTCCACTTTTTCGATCAAAGGGACGCAATAACAATTGTAGACTTTGCCGACTGGACCTTTGCGTATATTTCCCGCTAAATCGATATAATATTGTTCCCCTTTACGAAGAGGTTCAGCAGGCAATGAACTTATTCGAGGTTGAGGAAAATCTTTCGAATCGGGTAGCATTGGACATCCATAAGGACTATGATAAGGTATTTTGTGTTGATCTTTCGAAGATGTTTTTGTCTGATTTGAAGTATACAGAGAGAAATGGAAATTAAACACAATTAAATTTGATTGTTGCTTGTTGATTACATACTTTGTGTCTCTCCTCTCGACTTTGGTGACTCCCTTGGCTTTGTAATGATCCATTTTTTTGCTTATGACGTTTAGATTGTGGCGGATCTTTAACCGGAATCGCAGCAATTATTTCTTGAACTTCTTTGAAATTTTTTCTCAATGCGATGTCCATCGCCGTCTCTCCTTGCTGGAAACATAGAGAAAGTGAAATGAAAGAAAAAGTTCAGTACAAGATTATCATGGAAAAGATTACAATGAATTTACCTTATTCTTAATTGCAGGGTTACATCCAGTCTCCAAAAGTATCCTGGTTAATTTCCTTCTTCCCATGGCTGATGATATATGCAATGCTGTATCTCCATTCTAAAGGATGATTATCATGAGTAAAAGTGTCTAATTATATTCATGAATGATGATTATTATTGTAAAGATGAATTGATTTCTACAAACTTCAATCTCTTCTGAGCTAACTAGCAATCAAATCGCTATTCCAAACCATGTTTACTTATCTGATTTATAACAATAAGCCTTTGATATTATGATTTTGATTGGAAAAAGTTTTTTTAATCTGCGATTAAAAGTTTGTAATCACATAAATGTTTTCAAATCAAACCAATCTAATCTTGATTTAGTTTAATCATCGCACTTATCAGATTTACCTGTGAACAACTCTACGCACTCGGATCACTTGAATTAAACTTTACCTGTAGAATTGTTTTAATACAATCAAAGGATTAACTGAGTCTCATTAAATGTTTAAATCTTAAGATATCAATTTACAAAAAATGTTCAAATAATTTGATCTTATCATTTTTCTTAATTGCGATTCTTAATGATTGATTCGTGGACTATTGTTTTCCTCTCAATGGCTTGAAACGTTTACGTCAATACGAAGAGCTGAATTTTTTGAATGTCTTATCAATCAATTGTCAAATTTAATTACAACTTTTTAATTGACATTTGGAAGACAATTAAAGTATCAGATTGTCTGAAATTTAGCGAAAGATTTCATTATATGAAATATGAAAATGTCGCAGTTTTTTGCTTCTCCATTTCATTGATTACTTCCTATTCTTGAGATTATTTTGATTTCCTGTTGATCTTTACTGATGCTGTTTGTTGTTATTTGTAACCTGTCATCACACGGAACAACATCAACGTCTTTAATCATCAATTTCTCTGGTTATTAATAAGTATAAGTTATTATCCTTTTTTCAGTAATTTTGCTCACGAATTTGATCAGATTCTGTTTTGCTAACATATGATTGATCGCCTCAAGGTAAGATAATGATGAGAATGAGCCGGATTTGGATAGTAATTTTCATCGATTAAATGAGAGAAAATGTAAAAACCATTATTCACTTGATACTATGTTACTTCAATAAGAATCATCCTAATCTCAGTTCCATCATCATTATCATTACTTTGAGAGCAAAAAATGAGTCTTTTCATTTGGAAGTAACTAATTTAAACCCACTCATCGGAAGAACAAGTTTACAATTAACACTAATTATTTTCACACATAGAAAATATTTTGCTTCAAGGAGTTAAATGATTGATTTGATTGGTCAGAATTATTGATCTTTAATTATTTCAGAATCAATTGAGTTTCAGTCGATTCGTTTACCTGGAGTCAAAATATTGTGACGGTTTTTCAATTAAACTGATTTACAATCATCAATCTTGATCATTAATCGAGTAAACAACTTACCTTATTAACTTCATTGACATTGCAAAAAGCGCTGATCAAAATGCGAACCACACCAGCGTGTCCATACCTTGCAGCGGTATGAAGTGGAGTGTCACCATACTAACAATTAGACAATTAAGAGAAGACAACAATTAACAATGATAATTACAGGGGAAAGATTATATTAATAGTAAGTAAGTAATTATTGATGAGAAAATTTTAACTCCATCATTTTAAATGGTATTGCAAAGTTACGGGTGGGATCAGGATAATTTATCTAATTGTTTAAAAATTCATGATCATTTTGACCAACAATTAATGTTAACACTTGATTTAATTTATCATCATTATCGAAATTCTAATCAATGCAAAAGTAATTAAGATTAAGAAAACGATGATAAGTTAATCACAATCAGAAAAAGTTGAGAAATAATTTGTTTTCATTGATCTTTTTCATTACATCTACAATCATCATGACCATTACAGTTTAAATGCCTCAGGGTTAATTTAACATTTACACGATTGAGAAACAGAATAAAAGTTAATCATCACTAAGATTATGTTGATTATGTTTAGATGATGATAATTTAAGATTGAAACAGAAATCAAATGAAATAATATATTAAATCTATTGGGTGGCCTCAATCAGATAACATTTTTCGCTCAAATTAAAGTTAATGCCAAGAAATGGATTGACCTGATTGACCTGCGAAGGTAAAAATGATTATGTTTTGTTCAGTAGCAATTTAAGCTTCATTAAAATGTCAATTATCATCATAATCATAATCATAATCATAATTATCTTTATCTTCAAGATCAACTCACGAGGTTATAAGTACTCATTATGATCATGTTAACCTCCCAGGAAAAACTCACAGCTAAACAAAGTTCATCTGAATTATAAGTTTTATGATTTCATTTCATTTTCATAACAATTACAATCATAAACAACATGAAATATTTTCCAAGACAATATAATTATATGTCTTACTTTTTTTCCCAAAAAGCACATAAATTATAGATGAGAGTGCGAAAGTGAATAAGAGATGATGAGACTTGATATTTGAATCTCAATCAGAATCATCGCTTTTCATCATTTCGAGGAGAAGCTCTTAATTTGGTTCTCTCTTTTAATTGTTGAATCAATTTGTACTATTTGATTGTTATCATTGAATTAGAATTGTAATCATCATGTTAGTTTCAATTGTTCTGATTTCTCAACCTTTCTCTTTGCTCTTTATCCTTTCTAATCTTCCCTGGTGTGACCATTGATTCCGAATCATCAACTTATTAGAGCTTTTTATTGGTAAGAACTGAAACACACGCCCAATGAATCAGTCAATTATTTGCAGAAATCAACAGGCGGTTGATTGTTTACTATTATCATCGCAAATATTTAGTCAACTCCACCCGTTAGACTTTATTACAATTAAAGTGTAACTGCAGCGATTGCGAGTGGAAAACTGTTTCAATTTTGTTCATTTGTTGGTAAATTATCGATAACAATTAAGTCTGATTCTTTCTCATTTTCTGCAATTAAAAATATAAATCAAATTTTCCTGGTGCGAAAAATATTAAATCTCAAATAAATCACAATTCCATTTGCATGTATTAATAAATAGCAAATAAATAAATTGTTAATAAATTAATTTGACACTTTCGTTGTTATTTTAATCACAATCCGTTAACCAAATTGTGATCATTAATTGTTGTAACAATTATCGTTGAGGTGTAATTGTTATTTGTTTGTATTAGTTTATGGCCAAGTCGTAAAATATACTTGAGATTTGGTGGATATAATATTAGAAACAAATTTCTTGTTTGTCTGGATTAAAACTGATCATTTAATTCAACGAGTTCAAGAACTTATCATTGAAATCCTCATGCATCCATCAAAATGAGCCATGAAATAAGTGCTGATAATAGTGGTTTTCATCACGTATCATCATGAAAAGCATCAATCTAACACCTTTAATCAAAATTAAAACCATCAGATAAATCAAATAACTGTTAAAACTTATCTGTTGAATTAACCAAGTCAGAACGAAAAGTTTACAGAAAACTGTTGAATATAATGACAATTAATGATAATTAAAGGATTAGACTGTTAATTATGACGGATTCAGTGAGATTAAGACCAAGAATTAATGTATAAGCTATAATTTAGAATGGAACTGAAATATTATATTAGATTTGACAAGGTTAATATCTTTCCTCTCACAATATGATTATCGTCATGATGATTATCTGAGTGAAAAATTCAACTTGTTTCGTTTAATTGTTCTATTAAGGTGAGACTAACAGAATCCTAATAATAATAATTAGAGAATAGTAATTAACAATTATAGCACAGCGAGATAAAAATTCAATTAGAACCGTTAATATCTTATTGTTTACGCGGACAAATTAACAGAGTAACGGTTGAGATATTTTATCAAAAGTTGGAAGTAATTCTCACAATCAACAAAGCAATACAAGTTTTTTTCTGTCATCATTATCATTGTAATTGCCATTATCATCATCATCATTATCTTCATCATTACCAACGTCAGAGTAACAACAACATCATTGTCAGGGTAGTTAACTCATTGTATTTACAGGGTCAAGTTGCCAAAAAAAAAATCATGTTGCTGAAGCTTGAATAGTTGGATAAACAAGGAAAAGTCTGAATTGTGAGCAAAAGTAAACAGCAAATGTGATATGAGTTTAACTGCCATTGGAAAGTGAATTTGATTACTAATCATTCTGGTTGCAATTACACTTTAAATTGTGATCATGATTCCATGAAATCTGAGTGATGGAAACACGAAAAAAGAGACAAGCAAACAAATGATGGAACAGGTGGAGAATACATAAGACAACAAATTCTAATGACAGAGGAGACACACATTCAATTCTGTCAATTGCTGGTTAGTTAAACGGATCATCAACATTGTCAAAGTCTCCAACGTAAAAGTCAAGCAAAATTTTACCTGGAAAACGAATCAGTGTCCATACTATTAATATCGTTTTTCATTTAGCTAAAATTAATCCTAATGTTTTGGTTCTTAACATTTTGACGTATCGATAACCAATAGGATGAAGATGAGCTTTAGTTTGTTGATTGTTAAGTTTTAAGTGTTGGCAAATTCAAAGATCATCAATAACAATTAAGATTAAGTCTAAAAGTTGCCAATGATTTTTATCAATGGAAAATTATCTTTTATGAAAAAATTGAAATGGTTTTTGGTTCTGATGAAATTATAAGATAATCTTGATAACATAATTAGCGATACTATTAATTAACTTTTAATTAATCTATAAAATGTTGAGATTAGCAAGGAATAAATTAACTGTTGTAAACTGATTGTTATCACTTTGCTACAATTAATCAACTGATCCCAGAAGCCAATATGATTGTTATAGCCTCGAGGATAAGATTATCTTACATCTAAGATTATCTCCTTTTCTTTAAGAGTTAATTGTTACCTTGATCTCCTGATGATCTTAAATGAATCAGATTTTGTGAGCGATGAAGAGCTCAAATTGTATTCCAAGTTCAAGGAAATTAGGAGAACATTTTTATCAAAATTCTATTCATTATTTATCAATGTTTCATTCGCAACGGTCCATGTGTCAAGTACAATGTAATAATTGAACGACTGGCGAATCTTAATTATTAATCAATCAAGAAAAAATTGAATTATTATTATTAGTAAAAAGCTCATTTTGAGAATCAACAGTCAACGCAACTAATTCTCAGAATTACCTTATCAAGTTTCTTGGCCTCTTTCATAAAGTAAACTAATTAACTTGCGAAACTAGAAAATTGTTTACAATTAAAGCAGATTGATAATTAAACTGCAATTTAAATGCAACGTTATTCAATTTGTAAAATATCATCAAGACAAAAGTTTCAATTTTCATTAATTGTTAATCCAAAGGGAAGACACAGAGAAGAAGCAAAATAATCATCATCATCTTTCTTCCTCATCTTCTCATCTTCTCATCTATCATCTGCCTCTTTATCTGCATTCTACATAAGTTTTACCTCTCTAAACATTTTCTACCTTTCGCATCCTTTTCATCTCTCTCTCTCTCTCTCTCTCTCTCATTTTCATCTTCATCTTTTTTATCTCAACTTTTGCCCTCGACTTTTCACTTAAGTTTCAAGTTTTAAGGCAGAAACTCAAAGAAACTTAACATAGAGCATCATCTTCATGTTTCATCATCTTTCTTTATCTTCATCTTTATTTCTCTCTCTTTTTTTCTAAGTATTTATCCACATGAATGAGTCCACATCTTAATGAGATTTAAGTTAAAGATGAACGAGAAAAAAACCGAGCTATTAATTTGATCTAATTCTGTGAATTTTTAGGCAAATTGTTGAGGTTATTGACTTGATTGTAATCCAACGTTCTCATGATGATAATAGTTTAAATTCAATGATGTTTACAATTAACTAATCAGAGTTAGTGTAACCTAATTAAAAGTAAATTCTTAAGAGTCCAAAGTTGTCATGATAAAATAGAAGATGAATTAAATCGATAAGTATTGAAAATAGAAAAAAAAATTACGTTAATGATGAAACGAGAAGACAATTTAAGGCCTTAATTAACTGGTCAATTCATAAAATTATCCACAAAATGCTAATGTTAATGGACAGAAAGCAGAAAGAAGACTAATTAAAGGAACGAATCTTTTTTCTCATTTGACTTTTTGCACGTTTATTATTATTAAGTTTTCTATTATTAAAACTGCGCGGTAATAACGCGAATGCATGTTCATTGATTCGTGCCAACACGTGTCCGCATTCACTTCTGCTTCTTCCTCGTCATCTTCACCATCATAATTATCGTTTACATTTTTCCTTTGAACAGCAAACAAACAAACAAAACTTTATCTTGATTCAATTTTCATTTCTTTTTCTTAATTATCAACTGATGATTATTTTTAACGATTATACAATTATCATTAATCCTCCGGGGTAAATATAACACGATAATGGCTCGAATACACATTTGACCCTTTCAGGTAGTGAGGTGATAAAAAACTCTCTTTTCCCTGCCCTTGGTCAAGAAAACTTTAATTGCTATTAAATAGATGAGACTAATCAGGAAGCGATTGCACTAATGGTGATAACATTTTAATGCCTTTAAAGATGAAGCAAAGTTTAAATTGTTTCTAGAAAAAGGTGAAAGGTGAACAAGAGGAGGAGACAAATGTACTTACATTATTTTTAATATCGGGCTTGGCTCCATAGATGAGTAGATTTCGGCAACTCTGATTGTGACCTTGTTGGCATGATAAGTGCAGGGCTGTGTTACCATTCTGGTCCAATGGGAAGAAGATGAAAGATAATCATTAAATTGTTGATTACCTCAAGTGATCAACATGTTTATGGCCCAGAGTTGAAACTAATTGAAATTTAATTACAATTTACACTTTTCTTCCAACTAAATCGTAGGCAATTTACATTTACAAGTAAATCAAATTAATTGATTCAGTTCCTTTTCTCATGTTCATATTTATTGTCAATTATAATTTGATTACAAACATCTGATTGTTGTAACTGAATTAATTCAAATTGCAATCAGACTTGATATTCGTAATATTATGATATGATATTCATGATAAAATTTATCGATACTCAACATGATATGAAATTAATTTGCTCGATTGAACAAAAATTTAATCATATCACTGAAATCATGACTCGAAATCAGTCAACAATCAACTTATTATTATCAGTATCTTAATTAGTATTTTGAGATAATTTTAAATTTCGGACTTGATTAATATAAAACGGTTTAAATGAGGTCAATTTAAATTATGTTCTGATAATTGTTGCGACTTAATCGGAATAAAATTACAATCATCACTTGATTACAATATTAAAGTATATAAATTATTCAAAAAATTAAGATTAATCTGATTTTCATGTAATCCAATTTGAAAGAAACAAATTGTAACTGATTAACCAATCAGATTATTATTCACTTTGAATCCTTAATGGTAACTGGTCAGTTGAAATAATCCATTGGGACACTTTTCGTTACTTTGGTCTTGACAAACAATCAAATGACGATGATCAATAATCTTACCTTGTTTTTGATGTTCAAATTGACTTTGTGTTTAGCTAATATCTCAATCGTTTGACTATATCCTTTCCAAGCGGCCTCATGAAGAGCAGTGTTTCCAGATAAGTGATTCCATCTCATGACAAAATCATGTTGAAATTTAGCAAGTGAATGGGTCTCACCCGAACCACCAGCAGCCATTTTCCAGCACAAACACTATTAAAAAATATTAATCCAATGAAATGGGTACATGAGTTAATCCGAAATTGAAATCACTTGATAATCCACTCAGATGAAACACCGTAAACAAAAAAGAGGCGATGGATCATGAAAATAAATACACAACACTTAGAGTAGTGATTGTTACTCAAGTTTTGTCAGAAATGAAGTTTAACATGAAAAAGAAAAAAAAGAAAACCCGAAAATCAACTTTTCTCTCCAACGATTTAGTTTCTTTTTCCACCAACAGAATTCGCACCCTTACAGTCTCTACAAATTGTTACTATTTTGAGAGAAAAAAAAGTGAGAATAAAAAAGTTTCTCTCAATAAACTTAATCGTAGTTGAAAATAATCAATTGAAGAAATGATCTAATCCAATTCAGTTAATTTCTTTGTGAGCATTTTCTCAGTTAATCATCATGAATGAATTCATTTCATTTGCGACTTTTTCATTTAAACGATAATGAAAAGATTATCATTATTTTTCTGGAATTTCATTAATAATCTGAAACTGTTTTGTCTTTCGCTCATTTATCCGATTGTAATTGGAAGATAATATTAAAATCACAATTTACTTGGTCCATGTTAATGTAAATATTGAATAAATTACTAACTGTAAATTTAAGAGTATTGTTAATGTTTCGTTTAACAGAACAGTTAATATATCAGTAAACAGTAATTGGTATCAGGATTTTCCAGGTCAGTTAACAAAATATTATGAGAATGAAAAAGAAAAAAATAATTCAACAATCGAATTACAATTTAAAGTTAATTGAATTTGATGATGAGGAAGAAGATGAAAAATAGATGAAATAAAAGTAACATTATGTTAATACGGTGAAACTTTTCTGATTTTCGCGTAGCATCTTCTCTCAACAAGATAATCAGTTTTCACATAAAAAGATATCAAATAAGATTAGAAATACTTTCATCACCTGAAGCATCTTCTTACCAGCGATTTCTCAATGCGACCATGATAATAACCTAATATGTATTTATAACCACCTCAGGGGATAGAAATGAATTTTTGTCATCAAATCAATTGTTGAGAAACTATTTTCGTAATTATTGTAACACCAGTTTTATATATGAATATTTTAAAGCTACATAATAATAAGGTAGAAATTTATCTTATTGTTAGAAATTCAGATTACATGAAGAATATTATTAATAAATTTTGTCTTTTTTTTCGGTGTAAATCGAACATGAGATTAGATCGAAAAGTTCTGAGAACTTGAACAAAGTGAACAGAACTTTATCAAGTAGTTTCATACTTTCATTTTCATCATATTCTATTGTTGTTGTAAATGATAATGAACATGATGATTATGATGAAGGTGCAGCAATGGCATTGAAAGTTTTCATTTTTGGTTTTCATTGATAATGATTATGATTATTGTCATATAATGTTGATGATCATTAACCAGTTCAGTGATAAGGCGACATTTTTAATTCTTTCACATCATTGTTATCGTCATTTTAATCAACATCTTCATCAGAGAAGAAAAAATCTCTTTCTATTCATCTTTTTTTTCATGATCCTCAATCAGGCTTTGAACATTTCCACTAATCTCATTGTAAATCTGCTTCAAGACCTCATCGAGATTCAACTTCATCAAGGTTTATATCATGATCACCAAGAAAATGAAATGTTTCCTCTCCCTCTCATCATTTTTTATATCCAACTTTCTTTACCCACCATGATCATCATCTTGCCACTCTTGTTATCATCATTTTCATCCTCATCACTTTCATGCAATTTTATTATTCATTTCAACATCAGTTATCTTCTCAAACTGAGACTTGCCAGTAACACATAACAACAGAAGAAGAAGAAAAAAAAATCCCATTTTTCCTTCTTCAATCTCATCATTATCATCTTCTTCTTCTCTCAATCATCATCCTCTCCTTTCTCCTCATCATCTTCATTCTCATCATCATTCAAGATGATCTAATATGTTCTATAAAAATCGATCAATCTGTCGACGGAGTAAATATTCCCAGTTATCAATTTATAACCAGAAAATATATGCTTCCAATAATATGATTTCATGTTATTATCATGATTATCATTCATTAGAAAACTTTTCTCTTCCTCTTCATTCATTTCAACATTAGTAATCAAATGAGCAAATATTATTAATATTATCATTACCATGATTATTATTACAATAATATCTCTGTGGCTTTGGGTTAACAGTTAATGATGAGAGAATGAGAGAGATGCGGATGATGAGGATGATAAAAAATATGATAAAGATGATAACCCATTTTATATGTTAAATTAATACTAAATAATGGGTTGATATTATGACAGGATAAGCTGTTAAATAGGATCATAAATAGGATGATCCGGTAATAGTAATAACATTGCCTCCTTATCATCCTCATCCTCCTCTTTCACCTCCTCTTCATCTTCCTCATCCTCTCACAACTTCTTCTGATTCTTTACGATTCTTTGGCTCATTTAATCACAATGAACATTTTACACTGAAAAATATTATTTCTCTTTTTTTCTTCATTTTTATCATGTTACTTTACTATTACGAGATAATAAAAAAGTAACTGTAATTCAGACGATTGAACACATTTCGCTGTGAATACTTTGCGATTAACATTGATACAATTTAGAGTAACATCAACTTGATCAATGGTTATGTCATCATTATGAGCATCATCATTTTCGTCATTTTATTATCATCACTGTGAAACTTTACTTTTCTGTCGCATCATTTTTGTTCATCATCAGCTTCTTATTCATCATCTTTTTCTTAGAAATTCATTTTTCATTGAAAATCTTTTCTTTTTCTTCTTCTTTTCAATGTTACAAATCTTTTCAAAATAAACTTCGTTTTTTATCTTCATCATCTTCATCGTTCTCTCTCTCTCTCTCTCTTACTTTTTCTTCACTCTTTTCCAATCTTGATTTTCTTAAGGAAAAAAGAAATGATGAAAAGATGATGATGTTGATGAGGAATAAGAATAAAAGAGGATGAAGAAGATGAGAAAATCCATCAATTTACTCGAATAGAACAAAGTTACCTTTTCATCTTCATCTTGCCAATTTTACATCAATTCTCTTATAACACTGAGAGAATTTATTTTCCTCATCTTCTTTTTACTTTAGTTTATCATAAACAGTAACATGGATATTCAATGTTTTCATGAAACACTGAATCTTATCATGCTTCTGAACTGAATATGGATTCAATGTATTCTTGTGGTATTTTTTATTTCCTTCAATATATAATTCAGAATAATTCCTTTACTCCGCTTTATTCAGTTTTTCCACCATGCAAACAATGATATTTTCATGATAATATTAATATAATAGTGCAAAGGAAAATAAAAGATTTCCTTTTGTTCAAGTTTCTATTCAGATTTCATCATTTTTTGAATCATGATACCAATGATAATATAAGTTGAGTGATAGTTTATCATTTTTTAGTTTACATCGAGTTGACATTTATCTGAATTTTCATCCTTTGAAAATGGATAAATCATCTTATCTCATATCTTTTTACCTGAACTTACTCAGGATTATCTCTTCACATTCAAATATCGATGCAAAAAAATACTTCACTACATAGTTGATAAATATCTGGAATACTCTCTGATACAGTCTCGCACCATGAGCTGATTAATCAAATCATTTTCCCTCGATCATCATTACGAATCAATTTTGCTTCGGTGAAATGAAATGTCTTGAAAAATATGGAAATGAAAAGAAACATTTTTTGAGTGATTTTTGTTGTTCAACTGATTTGCCCTGAGGAGATTCGGCAGCACATGAATTGGACAAGGAAAATATTTTCAGAATTATGTTTTTCTGTTATTATCGGAAAAGAGAAACAAAAACAATGATGACGACAATCGACATGATGATTATGTTAAGATGAAAATTCGAAAGGTAAATATTCGAGGAAAAAATCAGTATAATAGGAAGATGGTTATTGTGTAACAAGGAGGAGGAGCAGTAGGAAGATGATGATGATGATTGTCTAGGAAGAGTGAGAAAGACAAGTGTAATGCCATTGAAGGACATAAAAAGTTACAATAAGGAAAGAGAGAGAGAGAAAAAGAGAGTCTGAAAGAAAAGGATGATAAACAAGAAGAGGAGGAAATCTACGAGTGTTTATTGAGGATGAGGATGGAGATGGAGATGGAGATGGAGATGGGAGATGATGTCATGCGTGTTCGATGCGATAATATCACAGGGAATGATATTCACTAGTTATCTTCACATTCAGTATTAACGAACATCCCAGTTGATGATGACAATGATTCTCAATGAGTTGTGGTTACATTGTTGACATTCATCTTCTTTTATTTTCTCTTCTGTTTTTTATCCTCTCTATAGGCTTTAATTGTCTATGATTAAAGACGCTTAATTATGAATGATTAATTGATCCATTATTTCATCTTTCTTCCAATTGTGACTCTAATTGTTTCTTGCAAGTTGAATATCAAGTGATTATTACGATTGGAAGCCAAGGAACAATCTCTGGAATAAAATTCTTGTTAATCATTTGGTTCATCGACATTTCATCAGGTAAATTATTCTTGATTTTAATCATGACTTGTTCACAATCTAAGCAACAGAAATTTACTGACAAATGCTAATCAATTACTGAATCAATGTAATTTGTTTGGTTTATGGTCTCATGGCTCATTCTGATTCAAATAGTTCAATTCAAATTCTGATTTCCATCCATGGATTTATGTTGCAATTAATTCACATCGATTTAGATGATTAGTGATGACAGATGGTAATCATTGGTTATTATCATCACTCTCTCATATTTATCTTCATACTCTCAGCATGATCTTAAAAACTATTTAACCATTAATTCAATTGGTGTTATTTTTCCCAAAGGTTCCACTTTATCCTCTCATCCCTTTTATCTTCTTTCGCATCCCTTTCTCATCTCATTCTCTTTCACTTCTGACACTCAATACGATCGCTATTCCTTTCTACAATTAAATGTCACTTCCCTGTTTCCCTCCGAGATTTGATTCTCAATGTTAACAATAATGTTTCTTTTCAATATAATCGCATATCTCTCTCTCTCTCTCTTTATTGACATTATTTGACTTGCTTGATAATTATCACAATAAAATCTATTAGATGATTAACATCTACAAGTGCATTTAAATTATGAACCAATGCTAACATTTAGATATCACTTTGATTTATTGATGAATGAATAATCAGCATAAATAAGCTATCACATCAATTGGCTATTAAATATTATAACAATTTGATTCTATTGTTGATTGATGAAGTAAATCAGTTTAATCTAAATCAATTTCTTGTTGTTGTTTACTGAAAGATTAAGATTAAGATGTTGGCTCATTGAATGAACCAAATGAAGATTTAAAGACAGCGAAAGATTTACTTTCTGCCAATATAATGATAAAAATACTCGAAACCAAATGATATTTACTCTAAATGTGAGAGTGTGTCTGGGAGAGGAATAGAAAGAAAGAGAGAGAGAGAGAGAGAGAGAGAGAGAGGTAAGGATGACGGCGAATGTTGGATGAGGATAAAGATAAGAGAAGATAAAATCTGATGACATTGATAGATTGTGTGACCAATGTTATTTGTATTTGGAGTCACTTTCATCTTCTTTGTCTTCCCCTGAGAGATAAACAAAGTGAGAAAGAGATTGTTACGCTTTCATACAGATTCTCATAGTAAATCCGATAAAATGAAAGAGAGACAAGAAGATGATGATAATGATTGCGAATAGAAACAAGTCTTTAGTCAATTTATATTTAGTAAATGGTGAACATCGTTAAAACCATTAGTTTCTCATTGGATCATCATCTTCATCTCCATCATGATAACCCATCTAACTAAATCTAAATTAAAACTATCAACATCATCAATGTATCATCAACATCTTCCTTTTCTTTCCGTTCATTTGTCTTCTCACTTTTATCCTTTTTATCCTTTTCTTTATCATCCAACTTACTCTCTTTTCTTTTTTTCTTCCAACAACAGTTAATCATTTCTCTCACTCCTTCATCTCTCTTCTTCCTCTTCATCCTTCTCTCCTCCTTTTTTCATCATTATCATCATCATCTTGTTGGTTTGTAACTTGGTGATCATAAAAACTGTTATCATCTTCTCAAGGGTCAAGATGATAATGATGATGAAACTGTTGAAATTGATTGGTTTACAGTAACAATAGTTCAGTTGATTCTGTTACTCCAAGATGATCATGATGATTGTTATAATGATTTCTGGCCTAATCTTGGTCTTTATCATCACTGTAATGTTACAAAAATGTAAACTAAGATGTAACCTTAATGATACTTTTAACATTAACTCTCAATGATTCAATTTGAAATACATCAAAGTCTTATAACTGAATCATCATTATCACCGTAAACATCACCATAAATCAACTCTATCAGTTGTTTCATTGATTAATTGATAACAACCAATTCATTGCTAATCTAATCTAATTATGTCTATTTAACAACAATTGTCCATAATACATTGTAATGATCTTAATTGGAATCAGTTTACAATTTGTTTCATAGAAAAGTTTTTTCATTCAAGTTACTTGAACCATTTGCGATTTAATCAACACACAAATTTAGTGATGAGTTGATTGACAATTTACGAATCAGATTAATAAATTGAGATAATTGGCTTGAGTATAAAATGGAGAGATAAAAAGTGACTTAAACTGATGAAGTAGAATATCAGTCACTTGGATTAAGGTTTATCAAGATTGTTTTCTCTTTAATCCACCAACACCCAAATGTTGATAGAAAAAATAAATCCCACCTCATCTCTCTCTCTCTCCATCCTCATCCTACTCATCATCTTAAAAAGTAGCAAACTATAATAATCCGGTTTCTACAGAAAATAACCCGAGTAGAATCAAATTAATCCTCTTCTCATCAGCAATCCAATGATTTCAACCAAATGTGTCTAGTTACTTTATTCGCATCCTTCTCATCCTTCTCATCATCAATATCATCCTCATCTCCTTATAACTCCCTATGTCAATCGATTGGCAAGATTATTGGTTTATATGTTTACTTGGCAGATTATTATAAATGCTCATTGAGATACATATTTAGTATTATGGTGAAACAAAATAAACGGATTACAGATTAATATTAATACATTTAAAGATGATGATGATGATTATGATTATCACTTCTTCTTATCATCATCTTCATGATTGCCTATTAACACATAAAGAGAAGAAAAATAATTTCCATTTTATTGAACAAACAGATAAGACAAACACCCTGAGGGTAAATGATAATGATAAAGGATAGAAACAAAATCAAATAATCGTAATCACAAATTGTCATGATAATTGTAATAACTATTCAATGATTATAATTCAATCTTTTTCCAATTGTGTTGTTAATTATTTATCAGTTATGATAAATGATAACTGATTAGCATTAATCACCGATAATCAATTCAGATTATGTTCCAATCTTGTAGCTTTTACCATTTACTATTTTAATCAACAACCATGGTCAAGATAATTAATTGATTAATTCCACTCCCAATGGGACATAATCAACTAATTTGAGTAATTAACTTTTTTCACTCTCAAGTAAATCATTGAAATTAATGTTAATTGAATTAAATGAACGACTGATAATCTTGTCATTTGTTTGCTTTCATCTCAATATTTCAAGTTCCATGATAACATCATGTTCGTGTTCAGATATTATGGCTTAAGGTTAACACCTTATCTCGTTTATTTTTATCATCATCTTAAGCATCTTTATCTCCAACCTTCCCATTTATCTCCATCCTCATCATCTCCATGTGATCGACCAGAATTTTCTTTCACAACATCATCTATTTATCTTTTTTTTTTCATTTCGAATCAGACTGACCCTTAAAAGAAGGTTTTCTTTTCTACTCTTTTAACTTTACTGAAAAATCGGATATTTATTTTCTTCTGTGTAGAACATGTAATAATACTTAACCAGAATGAACAAGTTTCTGAATAAAGTTCTGGTTCAGTTGATTCAGAGGAGAATAAGAAGATGACAAAAGAAGATGAAAAAGATTCGATGGAATTTTTTCTCACTTTTTTCTCTTGATCGATTTTGGAGCCTTTCATGATGTTCAGGCTTCTGTTCTCAATTCAACTTATTATGAATATTGTCTTTTCCTCAACATGTTCATTGCAATTTTTTATTCTATTTCTCATCATCGTGATCATGATTCCATGGCGATCACCAACATGTTTGAATTATATTATATTGAGCTTGTTTCAATTCAGTTAATAAAATGTTGCATTATTTTGTTAACTAAATTAACAGAAAGTGACAATTGATGAGTGGTTATGTTGATGTAAGCATATTTATCTTCATGTTGATGTTCAATATGAAGATGATAAAGAATAATAATTCTCATCATCACTTTTCCAATGGTCAGAATTTTTGCTTTTTCTTCTCATGTCAATTCCAATCAAAGATAATCCAAAGTCAATGCTTACAACAGATACTCTTGTTTAGAGAGGAAAAAGATGCAACATCAAGATGAAGATAATGAGGATGAAGATGATGATGTGGGTGATTGTGATGCACATGATGAAGGATCTTGTTTGCTTGTTAACCTAATCTAGTTAACTGTACAGAGATGATGATGGTGATGATGAAGAAGAAAAGAAATAAAAGAAACATAAAAGATTTTACATCTCATTGGCCATGCGTTGCATCTTCGTTGGAGATGAAGATGAAAAAACAGTAGAATCGAAAGCATCTCAAGTGTATCAAAATGCTGAGAAGAAAAAAGCAAACCTCAGGATGAAAAGGCAAGAGAAGAAAAAGAAAAATATTCCATTGATATTCAAATTAAAGGAAGAGAAAGATGCGAGAGATGATGAAGAGAGATGAGGATGAGACAAAAAAGAGAACATAATATCGATTGAATTGGTCATTGGGGGTAGAAGGTTATTCTCTTGTGAATGGAATCAAGATGAGAGATGGTTAGTAGAAAATATGGTTAAGGAAGAGAGAGAAAGAGAGAAGATGGCGTTCGAGTGATGGAAGATAAAAGATGATGAAAATGATGATGGAGATGAGGTTGATACTGTTCTTGTTTAGGGTGACTAGTTGAGTGATTTATTGGAGATGCTTCATGTTACACTCTAGTATATCCACTCATCTCTTTACGCTTCCATGAACTTATTTCCATTTCTAGTAACCATAATGTTCCTTTTATGCCAACATCTCTTTTTTTCCTCATCTTTTCTTCATCATCATCTTTTTTATTCATATTCTTATTTGTTATGGAAGAAAATTTTATCTTCTTTGCATCATTTTTCAAACTGATCCTTTTTTCATTTTTTCCTCTTTTCCTCCTTCCACTTCCTCTTCCCTTGGGTCTCTTTTTTGAGCCTTCGTTTTTATCAAAGATGAAATAAGATGAAGAGAAGATGTTTGATTGACCAGAGAGTTATTATCTTCATCAAACGCTTTTGGTCAATAGGTCTCGATGGAGCAATCATCATCATCATCATCATCATCATCGCCATCATCAGTCTAGTGGCTATCACCATGTTCAATATACTTTTTCTGGTTTCAAGTGATTTCAGGAAGGATCAAAAGAGACAAAAGATAATAGGTTAGGATGAGAAGTAATAACAACAACTTGCATAAAGAAGAGGAACATGATGATGATGAGGATGCGGATAAAGATGTTAAGGGGATGTTCAGTGAAGTGCAATAAAACACAAAGGGTTTTCTACTTGATAGAAACTGTTATTGCACAGAGAGAAGAAGATAATGATGAGGATGCTGAGAAGATGTGGAAAGATACACAATTTATTGTTCATGATGAAACCAGAAAAATGATGATCGAATTGGCTAAATTATATTATCATCGACTAATTTGATGAAGGAGATGAAAACAAAAGAAATACAAAATGTCTAAATCAAGAAAACATCGCAACAGTCAAGATGAAAATCAATCTAAAAGTGAAATGAGTAAAAAAAATTGAATTAATTGTCAGTTTAACCGAAAGAAACTTATTCTGTTGAATTATCTTCGGTGTAATTCATTTGGATATTCTGACACTGTGAAAGATTAATTTGAATCATTAGCATCATTAACATGATGTTTGTCCTATTTTCGATCTATTAATTTAAATTAATTATCTTCTTTTGTCTATTTAATTAAATTTTCTAATCAATTTTTCGATCAGTTTTTGTTTCGTTGAACAAAAAGTATTAATAAAAATATTCGCAAATGTTGTTTACACATAAAGTCAATTAATTAAATATCTAAACAACTCAATCGATTATCATGAGCAATAAATGGAAGTTAATTAAATGTCCAAATGATCATTTTCCCATGTACATTACCAGGAACATAAGAATTACAATGTTTCATTTGATTGTTACACTTTGATTGCAATTTAAGCTTCTAATCAATAATTTTAACGGTTAAATGCGAAAAGTGATCATGTTAGAATTGGTGAAAATGGTGTGCAACTTGTAATGTCCTTTTCTCCTTCCAATTGTCATTGTTTTTATGGTGACAAAATTGAAGTGAATTAAATAATCAAGTAAATGAGGCAAATCTCATATCATCCATTTCCCTTAGTACATTTTGATTCCCGTTAGGATAAACATTAATACAGTAAACAACGAGACTCTACATGGAAGATTAACTCGAGCAAATCCAATAAATTTCTTCATCAATGGTTCCCTTGAGTTGCTTTTCTTTTACAGAATTTCCAGAATACTTATCTTCTTCTTCTTCTTCTTATCATGATTTCTTATTATCATCAACCTTTAATCAGAACTAAGTGATCAGACAAATGGATTCACTTGGTGTTAGTCGCTTTTAAATTAATTTACTCTTATTCTTAATTCTTGTCAGTCTTTTCCATTTCGATCTCAATCCAAAGTGAATAGATTAACAAGCTCCATGTGAAATCTCAAGATCTCTCGTCCTTTTGTTCATCACGTTAATTTATCTCAACAATTAAATTACTATTCAAGATTGATCAACATTTTCAGTTCTTTAATCAGTGTGAGAGAAGAGAAATAAGTAGAAAACATTAGAGACCAGAGAACCTTTGGTGGAATGATGCTCAGTAATTACCACAGAAATGATCAAGATGAGTAAACATACCAATCGAAATTCTTGTGATTCCATTCACTGAATTTCTGTAGAATCTTTTGTTAAACCACATTTCCATTGACAGAATTCATTACTTTTCACTGAGAATACAAAAAGCAACTAACATTATGAGCGATGTTCAGTTAATTGTCTCAAGTCATTCGGTTTTATGAACCACATTAAACAATTAAATTTAATGACTGAATTTATTTCTCTCTTTATGCTTAAACTATTCAGTTGATTTCTTTGTCTTCTATTGATGATAATTTATTTCAATTCTATTTCTATTTTCTTTTACAGATATCAGTTCGAAGGGATCGAAAATGACTGAAGGAAAAAACGGTTCGTCGGATAATCCTGAGAATGTTAAGAATGACCTTACTGGTTGTTGTGTTAAATCGCGATTACCGAAAGATATGAAGATCAAATGTGGTCAATTATTCGGACCATTTGCTGACCCACTTCAGTGGTTGGCGATTAAATGTACAGAACCTTCGATGATCAATAACATGAATAATCTTGATAGAAAATCAGCTGATCTTTTCAATAAAATCGACGTTGCCAGAGATCCAAAAGAACAAAATATGGAGATAATTCTTGTAAATGGCCAATTCTATTTCCGATCAACTGTTTCAATCGATGCTTCATCCTCATCATCCTCGTCTTGTTCCTCTTCATCTTCTTCCAACAATAATTCCAGCAAACTATTGGCCTGGTTCGATGATGATCTCAATTCAAGATTACCTTTGGCATCAATGGCAACTCTCAATGGCTCGAAAAGATATTATTGTAGTTTATGTAATCAAATATCTCTTTATCCGAATCCAGTTATAATCCATATATTGTTTGAATGTCCAAAAAGACATGAGATCTTAGTTCCTTACATGAAAACGAAGCAATCAAATGATCAGCGTGAAATTAAGCGGGAATCGTCATCAACTACTGGATCATCTTCTAGTTCATTAATGTCAACTAAAGCATCTTCATCATCATCAACGACAATGACGAAAACAACACCAACAACAGTTACTGCAACGAAGAAGAGGAGTTTCGATATTGATTCATTGGTTAATGATGATAAATTCACTGATGATGCAGGTAAAAAGAGTCGATTACATTCTGAAATGTTGTCAGAATTCAATGCCAACAATTATCACCATCTTACAGAATCATTCCCTTTACTCAATTCTCTTTCACCTTTAAGCCTGACATCGTCTTCCAATCGATTAATATCACCGCCATCTCCGAATAGTCAACCAAGTGCTTTTCGCAAAGTTGACAAAACGAATCGCCAATCAAGTGGAATCAATCATACACTTAATCATAGTATACCTTCACATCAATCTTCACAATTAACTAATCATCAACCTTCACCTTCACATCAGTTTGATTTTGCTTCATTAACGTCACTTTATAGTAGAGGATTAAATTGTGATCTGACATCATCTCTATTCCCTGGTCATCCGAGTTTTGTGCCAACAGGATTGACTAATCCACTTTTATCTCCAACCCAACCTCCCACTCCATCATCATCATCTTCAGGCTCATCAATTCAAGCTCCAGGTTCCCATTTGTTTGCTGCAGCCGCGGCCGCCGCAGCAGCAGCCGCATCGATAGCGGGACCAATTCCTTCATCCCCATCGCCTTCTCCTTCTGGGAGAGGTGAAAGTGTCACCGGTGGGACAGGAGGACCAGGGGCTGGATCAATAGTCTCTTCAGCTGTCCCAACATCTTCCCCATCACCTTCATCATCAGTAACTGGAAACAATTCGAGCAATTCCAAATCAATGATTCCACCGTCACTGTTACCATTTTTACCTCCATCATTAGCAGCATTGTCTTTCCCTCAGACAAATTGGTGTGCGAAATGTAATGCAACATTTAGAATGACCTCCGACCTTGTTTATCACATGAGAAGTCACCATAAGAAGGAATTTACAACTGACCCATTGAAAAAGAAACGAGAAGAAAAATTAAGATGCAATATTTGTGGTGAATCGTTCAGAGAGAGACATCATTTAACTCGGCATATGACTAGTCATCAATGAGTATTTCATGGAGACAATCAATTCACCAACTCAACTGACATGATGCAAATTAATTAATTGCGACATTTTTACATATTTTCATCTTTTTAGTTCATTGTTTCCATTGATTTGAAAATCGTTCCACTCTTCTAGTCAATTAGAATCAAAATCTGACATTTAATCTTCAATCCTCGGAATAGAAACAAACAATTATCATTTCACCGACAAAATTATGTACAGTTTTTGATTTTTAAAAAAGAATCAATTCCATCTAAACGGCGAATAAATCTTATCGAATTGTCTTATTGCAATGATGAATTAAATTCAAACCAAATATTATGTTCATATTTGTTTTCTCATTACAGTAAAAGTTTTTATCCGAATATTAAATTGTTTTGGTTCGGGTATTTGAAGATTTAAGTGTTCAAATAAAGGAAAAGAATTTTTTTTCAATTCATCAACCAAATGATATTTTCGAGTTTCGACGAATTTTCCCAACCGTATGAGCGAAAATTGTTCGCCCTGAAAAACACGAAACACTGAGAATAATCAACTAGAGCCCGTGAGGTTTGATTATAGACTAGGATACGGAGAAAATTAAATCTTATGATACGATAAATGAACGCTCATATTATTACGAAGCGAAATGGTGCAGTTAATAAGTCAAACTAATTCGGGAATCATATCGATAGTAACTGAATTTGATATGGAAAAATCAAAATTAATTTAACAATTTTAATCAATAAAGAATAAGTTATAGTTGATGATTACTTAATTTCAACATTGGAATAATCATTATTGAGTTTTTAGCTTCTTTTAAATTCCACCAACGACCCAGTCTATGCTCTCTTCCAATGCCAGCGACGAGATAATCGCCATCATTGACGAATTGTAAGCAATTAACAACACCAACCTGATGAATGAAATGAATGAAATCGATTGAATCAATTAATCAATAATCTACGAAGTTCTTAATTGAAACTTACCACAGGAATGGTGAATATAAGTTCAAATTTGGTAAAACCAGGAGCACATTGCCAAACTCTGATGTGTCCATCTTTGGATCCTGATGATTCAGATAAATGAGCTTCATTGAGAGATTTATTGAAATAATTCAGAAGGTTGATTCTTACCTGTGGCGAAAAGGTCAGTATTCACTGCAGTAGCTAACGAAACAATCCAATTAGCTGTAGAACTTTCTTCCCCATGAGCTAATTTACTCGTAAAGATTGCATTTTTTTTCACGTTTCCATAGAGACTGATGATTCTGTAGATGAAAATGATGAAAGAGAGAATTGAGTAAAGTCACTCGAATATGTGAATGAATAAGAATCGTGAAAAACGACATACCCATCATCACCAACTGATATAAAATGATCTTCGTCGATATATTTGACATGATCGATTGATCCTTTGTGTCCATAAAATACTAATTGTGATTCTTCAACAATCTTCCAAATACGAAGCGAAAGGTCAATTCCACCAGAAGTAATTGGCTTTTCTTTTAACCCACAATCGATCGATGTGACTTTGTCTTGGTGACCAAACAGAGTTTCAACATAACAAAGATCATCGACATTCCAAACTTTGACCGTTTTATCCGATGAACAACTGTAAAGAGTATGAGCCGCTCGACGGAAGGCAAGTCCGTTAACTTCCCCACGATGGCCTTTGAATGTATGAACGAATTTCATATCACTAGTATTCCAAATGTTTATAATTTCATTTTTACATCCTGTTGCTAGGAATTTGGAATCACTAGAAATGGCGATAGCGTTGATCACACACGTATGACCAACATGATCTTTATCCCCTTTACGACCTCCGGGAATAGTTTTTAGCTTTTTACAGTTGATGAAATCCCATTTAACTATGGAACCATCTTTGCTTGCAGAGTAAATGAATTTACCATCGGAAGAAACAACCAGACAGGTAACAGATAATTTGTGGCCATTTTTAAGGACTTTAGTATTATCTAAATCGGGTCCAGTTAAAGTATCAGCTACTTTCTTGTGGATTCTGATGATTTTCTCATTATCCTGGTTGGAAAATTCTTGTAAATACTTTTTCGCTAACCTTAACCTCTTTTGGGCTGGAGTCTCATCAATCTCTGCTTCCTCATCTTCCTCGTCTTCATCTTCATCAGAAGAACTGTAATCTTCTAAATCTTCCTGGACAATTTTTTCCTTTTCCAATTGACGTTTTCTAACTGAAACCAAAACAAAACCAACAATAAATTAGAATCAACAATTCACTAAGTCTAAATGTTCGAGTAAAATAGACAAGATATCAGAAGATTTTCATACTTACTCATATTCAGCCACAAGTCAAATTTAAAAAGAGATGAAAAACAAAAAGATACGAAGACGATTAATTAAATTAAATTAAATTAAATTAAATTGCGAAAACATTAACTTCACTTGGAACGTGTTTTTGATTCTAATTCAAAGCTCGGTGACCAAGGCAACCGAACATGTGTCTGTTCAAATTGGAACTTGTAGTTACTTGAGAAAGAACAAGATGGAGCCACAAAGTGAACAATTAATGACTTTTAATGAATTTAGATTATAATTGTTATCGGTACAATAGTTGGTTAATTACATTTAATTAAGTAGATTTTGGTGTTGATAGAAAAATAAGAGGAAAAGGAAGAGAATTGCGAATCGACTGAACTTGAATAGTCGTTCAATCGAAATAATTTTCCAAATCTTCGAGTTTAATTAACTTTTTTCCTGCTTTCGCTAATTCATCTTCGTGTTTCTTGAGTTCGGTCGCATAAAGTTTGTAGACTTCATCGATATCTGATTTACTGTATCCTCGCGATTCACCAACGTCTCTTAAAGTTGGAAATGCACTGGTGTCCAGGAGATAAGGCTCTTTGCACCTTCCACCCATGTATTCAGGTACATTGTCCAAGCCGATTATGTCGTCGATAGAATCTTTGTCGATGAAAATGATCTTGTCTCGTGTTTTCTTTGGTATGATTGGAGATAGTAACTTGAATAACCATCGGAGAGAAACTGGGAACTCATAGAAAGCCACATAAGCATAAAGATCGGGATAATGGATATCACGAAGTTTAATCATCTCTTTGATCAATTCAATGTCAACCATTGAAGTATCGAAGACGAAATCTCGACAATCATTTATGAAGCCAAATCGTCGACCGTATTGAGACACTTTAACGGAAACTCTCTCGGCAAAGTAGATCGCTGTCTCAACGACCAAGGGGCGAAACTTTTTCGGCGGCATTGGAATCGCTCGTGTGTAGATTGTTGGTGTTCCATTTTTATCTCGAACATAAACATGAAAAGCTCGAATATCAGCGATTTCACGAGGAATAGATACTGCGTTTATGCTCATTTGATTGATTCGATTCTCTTTTCGCCATCGAAGTGATTTCCTTAGTGTTTTCAGAGACGCTTCCAAATGTCCATCATGTTGACGAAGAAATCGAAAGATGTAAATATCATTTGACTCGAGACGTTCGACATCCTCCAAAGCGAACGACTTGGGGTCATTTTTGGCTTCAAAGAGCATAATCTCTCGAATGGCCTCTATCTTGATTCGATCATCAGGACCGATTTTGTAAAAGGCCAAATCTTCACGAAACGTTTGGGCGTTAATGTTATTATATTGGCTAGAAAGATGAAAAAAATCTTTGAATTTCATGATAAACAAGTTTGAAGAATTGAAGAAATCACTTGGATCAATTGGACAAAACACTACAATTGATTTCGATTGTTAACTTGATGACATTTATATCTTCATCTTGAAGTATCCCTGTGAGTTAATTCACATAATAAGGTCCACCCCTTTTACCATGTATCACGAACATACAACAATAGAATTGATGTTTGAAGTACAATGAATTGTAATTGAAGGAATAACCATCGTCACAATTAAGGTAAATTTTCATAAAAATCTTATTCTTTATGGTCTCTTCTACCCTAAGGGCTTTCAAACCATCATCACATCGCAAATCAACAATAAATACTCGTGATGATTAACATAATGTCTATGGTTCGATGTTTGTTTTCTATGGGTAATTTGAATTTCTTAACGTTTTTCATTCGGTTCATTGGATCTACACTCACGATCCACTGAAATTCACAATTAAATCAACATCTATTTTCGGAGTCTAACTTTTGCTACAATGAATTTAACTTTCTCTTGATTAACTTTTTCCTAATTGTTATCATCAGTCTTTTATTAATAAATGAGCGGACATGACTGATCAGTCAAATTATAATTAACTTAATCAATTTGATCACTCACTTCAATTGAAGTGAGTGATAATTAATTATCAATGAGTCTTAACTCTGAGAGCTTCTAATTAGTTTAATAAATTATTAAGCATTTGATTACTACCAATTCACTGACGATTAATGAATGGCGATACTTATTGAGCAATTGAATACTTAATAACATCAAATGGCAAACAAATAATTTCCGATTAACCTTGATAATCACTTTTAATTTAACTTTTTTCTCTCGTGATTGACCAACAATCAATTATAATTGTATTGAAAAATTAAAATATGGATACAATTTGATTTGATCGATAGTAAATAAGCTTGACCTCCAGATCTTCAATCAAATTGTTCATATTTTGTTTATTCACTTAACTAACAATAAGTTAATCAAATAGTTAAATTGTCTTAAAATCCTTTTCAATCAACAATCTAGTCTTCACAAACCTTCAAAATCAATCAACAAGTGGACACAAAGATGACCTTAACTAAGAAACAAACAAATTAATTGGAGATTTACTTCCTTATTGTTACTAAAATTAAACCGAAACAAGTAAATTAATCAATTAATTGAATGATGGATTCATTTGAAATTAACAAATAGCCTGAAGCGATTCCACATCTATTAATATTTGAATAATACTAGAGAAAATTTCTCTATGACGACAATTAGATTTACCAACTCTTGTAATTAATCTTTGATTAAATACTTAGATAATAATTGTAATCAAATAGCATGCGAACAATTTGAGATATTTAATTACAATTCTGTTGAAAGATGACATTAAATCGTGAAGAGAACGAGTGATCTATTGTTCATATAATCTCACCAATTCGATTCTTAATTAATTAATCAATTATCTCGAGAAAAAAAAGTTCTGAAGTTTTATCGAAGGTTAAATTTACATGAACCTTTTAATCAACAATTTGTGCATCATCATCAATTACAGTTAACCAAATTAATTTCATCTCCATCATTCCAAGGTTAGGTAAACTCTTGGGAGTGAGTTTTTTATCAACAAGCTCAGAGATTACCAAAGGTAATAATATAACGATCATCTCTACTGTAAATCTTTTACTTTCATCACAATTAAATTAATCAATCATTGTTATCATCATTTAGTATCAACGATCAATGATTATCATCATAACAACAGATAAATTATTATATAAATCACATGAAATAATCTCATGTTGTATAACTCAATATGAGCACAATATTATCTAATATAAATGTTTATCTATGTTTTAGATTTCTCATTGATTATCAAACTGATTAAGGTATTCCAAGTAAACAATTAAAGTTGATTAATTTAGTTTATTATGATACGTTTCTCTCAGAAATCAATTGATTAATGATACACAAAGGAGATTGAGATCTATCAAAAAGAAAATGATAACTTACCTTTTTAAGATGAAAAATCTTTTGATTTTTTCCATAATTCACCTCGTAATTAATAGATTGTTACTATTAGTTAGTAATAGTATTGAAATTAAAGTGTCAAGTGAATAAATTAAATTGTTACTTGTTGATTACTGGGATCGTTTTCTGAATCACTTAAATTATCTGTGATAAATTAAAGAAAAACTTTAGTTAATTAATTGCACAGAATTTGATTGAATGAAAGATGAATTGTAAGTGACACTTTTGATGTTTCAATACACAGAAAAGTAATTAGAACTACTGATCATCGATTAATGAATCACAATTGCAATGATCAAATTATTTAATTGGATTAGTTAGAAATTAACAGAAATGATTTACTTTTGATGTTCGATGAAGTTTTCAGATTAGTTCAATAGTTTCACTCGTTACTTTCTACTAACGAAAAGCTCAATTTACTCAGAGTAATGGAAAATGAGTGTTAATTGTTCTAATATAAACTCGAATGTGATTTTGATTAGAATGATGATCGAGCGAAAATATTATCAGACATGATCAATGAAATCGTTTCTCTCTCTCTTTGTCTCCCTTTCTCTTCATCTTGATTAGTTGTTCGATCAGTTGATGTTCTTGATATTTAATTTCATTGGTGTTTAAGGGAAACCCAATCAGTTGATGATGACAATCTAATTAATTTGAGTAGAACAAGATAATAATTAGACCTGAAGCGAATCGAAAAACTTACAAAACAATGTTACTTAATCTCCATGCAAGTTAATTGATTACATTGGAATTTCTCTGATTCTTGATTAATTGTTTTCATTTCTTTTCCATCAAAATTTCTCATTCTTTTCATTTGATTGTTTCGTAATTAACACTAACCAGTGGAACCTGATTTACGAATCATGCGACAACTTGGACTTTTCGGTGTAATTAATTGAAAAGTTCTTTTAATTTCTTTTTAATTTCTTATTAATTGATCTTTTCGATTTTATTTTATTTGTACTTCGATAACCTTGTTCACTTCATGTGCCAATCCCTTTAAGTCGTTGACAAGGCGGTTGATGAGCGTTTCAATTCTGACAATTAGTTCCTTAACTTGATTGTTCATTTTTCTTTTACAATTATAATTGTCATCTATTTTCATTGACACAATAGTCGCGGTTTCAACAGTTTCAAATTATTCAGTAGAATCCAGTGATTTCTTCATAATTGGACAAAAGTATTACATTGATTAACCAAAGAGTCAAAAACGACAATCGCTTCAGTGATTAATTAAATCATAATGATATTCATGAGTCCATATGGCTTACTCAATAGGGAAATAAAAAGTAATTAAGAACCAAATTATCTTTGTAAATGTCAATATAGAATTTGTAATTGACTCATACAATGTAGCGAAATGATTTCTAATCAATTTTCATCATTGACTTTTTCCCCAAAAGTTAATCCTCAAGGCTTTTAATGGAATCCTCATTGATTGGTTCGGAGCAATTTCGATTCAACGGTTAACATGAACAATTTAATCAGTAATTTATATCATCATTATATCAATTTAATCTCTTAACTAAGAGATGATCGAACAACAATTCATCTCACGAATGTGTCGATTACCAATCAGTCCGATTGTCCTTCTCTCTTTCGGTCGTCGTTTCCCACAAGATATTGGCCCAGAACTAGAATTAGATTGAAGATGAGAAACTTAATACCTTAAGAACAAATTTTATTCATCAAAATAAAAAAATAGTGACAATTAAGGTTAAGCCTATTCATCCAATGATTGGGACTCGATATTTTTGTTTGATACATGAAATTTGGACGAAAAGTTCATTTACTAATCGAACACAGTTTCTTGTACCAATCGGCACTTCCGATGATTGAAGAGAAATTTCATAAAAAATGGAAGAGCAAAATAAGCGCGTCTTTGAAACTCTGAAATTGGTGTTGAGAAACAGTTACTTTGATCGCCACAAGATGGAGACTCATTTTGGTCCAAATTATTGTTAATTGTTATTAATTAATTAATTGATAATCTAATGAGTCAAAAACAGATCCATTAGTTGATTAATATTTTCCTCCCCTGAAAATCAACAATTTAGTGTAAATATTATCTTTCGAAATCCGTTTCCGATCAATTTCATAACATTCACTTATTTTCTTGTTCAATTGTCAAATATGATTAATTTGCTGATCGAATGACAATTAAAACCAATTACCGGCAATGGTTAAAATCCAATTAAACCAATGCGATGATGTTGATAGTCTGAACGATTGCTGTTTTTGGAAATAATAAAGAAACTTAAAAATAGTTTAATCCGAATTGTTGACAACAATGTTTGCAATAAATGAGAATTTGGATTAACAGTCTCTCTCTAATCTGTTGAATCTGTTTAATTACAACAAAGTAAACAAGCAAATTGAATGAAACTGAAAACGAGTTAACAACTTAATTGGTTGTTTTCAAATTCTCATTGAAATTTGTTGATAATTAAGTAATTATTTCTTCCAATTTCTCATTAACAAACTCTAATTGTGAGTAAAAAGAGATACCAAGTTTATCAATTTTTCTTCTCTCTTTTCTCTCTCTTTTCATTTTCTTTCTTCTCTCTCTTTTCTCTTTTCTTCCAATCTCTTTCTTTTCTCTTCTCTCTCTCTCTCTCTTGCCATTCTCCCTCTATTTCCCTTGAAACTAGTTATTAGTGATTAATAACAATCTCTTTCTCTCTCAACTTTAATTTCTCTTCTTTGCTCCCTTAGTCTAATTGTTTATTTTTCTTCTCTTCCTCGGCTTAAGCCTTACCTGTTCCTCTTCTTGTGTCCATCATCATCACCTGAGAGCTTCAAGTGAAACAAAAGTGAACATTTCATGAGATTTTGTGTGAAAACCCGCTACATACCAAGGCCTTAATTCTCAAGTATTTTCTAGTGTTTTTTGTTTTGCTTTTCACTTTTTTATCTCCGCTTGTGAGTCGATTGGAATTTTGTTTTTCTCTTTTGTCTCTTCAAACCAAAAGTCAACAGAATTGTAAACCTCTTGAACCATGAATTCGTTCCTAAGTAAATTAAACCCACGAAGTGGAAAGAAAAAAGGATCAACCTCGCCAATATCAAGCTCTGGACGTGCTTCTGATATCGGTCAGCCTTTTGAAGTCAAACATCATATTCATTGTAATGTGAATCAACAAACTGGTCAAATTGAAGGTTTACCTTTGGCTTGGGTCAAACTACTGGAGGCGAGTAACATAACCAACAGTGAGCAACATGAGAATCCTAAAGTTGTCATCGATGTGCTCAAGTACTACACCCATTCAATTAAGAAGAAGGCGAACCAGGGAAAGTACATCGCCACCCAAGAGACTATTGATGAAGATATAAGGGAGATTGAGAGAGAAGACAGAGAATGGGGACCAACTAAAGAATATCATGGATCATTCAAATCGAGCCAAGAAGATTTGATTCAGGAGAATGAGAATGAGAATGAAAGTGAGAAAGTTGAGACCACCAATGAACTGAACAAACAAGAGGTTTCATATCCCGATATTGTGGTTAATCACGTTGACGACGAGAGTACAAATCTGGTTAAAAAGGACAATCAACAGATAATAAATGACATAACCAAAGATTTGGATAAAGTTATAGTTCAAGCTGAAGGACTTTTATCCAATTTTGAAGCGAAACGGAAAGAAGCTGAGAAAGAGAGAGATGCCAAATTAGATGCAAGTGAGAACGATAAACTTGTACAGCATCAACAACAAGGTCACCATCATCCTAATCAAATTAATCAACACAATCATCAGCCACAACCAATTCAAAAGCCTCCAGTGCCTCAATTGAGGAGGAAACGAGGACCAAAAGTTGAGATGACAGATGAAGAGGTGATGCAAGCTCTTCACGCGATTGTTAATCCTAATGATCCTAAAGAAAGGTATCAATTACTCAAGAAAATTGGATTTGGTGCATCGGGAACAGTTTATACGGCCAACGACAGAGATACAAATACTAAAGTTGCAATAAAAACCATGGATTTGACGAAGCAATCGAAGAAGGAGCTTATCATCACCGAGATCAAAGTTATGAGTGAGAATACGTGAGTATCTGCAATAAAAAACATTCTTTTTGCAACTTAACTAGTGAAGAAAATGATTGACAACAAACCTCGAGACTTTAATTACTCTTTTCTTTTTTTCTGATTACATAGACATCCCAATTTAGTGAATTACTTGGATAGTTATCTAGTTGGTAATGATCTTTGGGTGGTTATGGATTATCTTGAAGGTGGAGCCTTAACTGATGTTGTAACCGAGACCGAAATGTCAGAAGGCCAAATGGCCGCGATTTGTCGTGAAACTCTTCAAGCCGTCGCTTTTCTTCATTCCAAGGTACCGATCGAGATCAATTACGATGACGATGTTCATCTTGATATAAAATTGTAGCTGTTTGAGTGATAGTTTTTACTTTAAATTTCGTAGTACATCATCTTCTTTAGTCAAACAATTAATGACACACAATAGTATCCCAATAGAATTACCATTTAAGGTGTAACTACAGTGTAACTTGGATAAAACATCAACAATTATCTTTTTTAGAGTAGCTTATATAATCATCGATGATAATCAACTCTAACACATCATATTGTGTTCTGATAGGAAATTACTGCTATCTAAACCTTCACATGCACCATTTTTAGTTATTATTTTGATTTGTTTCAACTAATCAGTTAGCTCATCTACTTTCACTGATTAATTGTCCTGTTTTATTTTGATTGTACAGGGGATTATCCATAGAGACATTAAAAGTGATAATGTTCTTCTTGGAATGGATGGATCAATCAAAGTGACAGATTTCGGTTTTTGTGCTCAAGTTTCACCCGACGAGAAACGTCAAACTATGGTCGGTACTCCTTATTGGATGGCCCCTGAAGTCGTGAATCGCAAACAATATGGGAAGAAGATCGATATCTGGAGTTTAGGAATAATGGTCATCGAAATGGTCGAAGGGGAACCTCCTTATATCAATGAGAATCCAATTCGTGCTCTTTATCTGATTGCTGTTCATGGAAAACCTGAGATTAGGAATAAAGAGAAATTGTCTCCACAATTACAAGACTTTTTAGACCGGTTAGTTGATTTGGATACAACAGAAATACTAATTAGTTAACCTTGAACTAATATTTATCAGTTCAAAATAATGATTTCCTTTGTAATTTTTGTTCCATTTTCTCTATTTAGTTGTCTAGAAGTGGATATGGATAAACGAGCTTCCGCTTTGGAACTGTTGAAACATCCTTTTCTGGATAAAGCAGACAACTTGAAAACTTTAGTTCCATTGATCAAAGCGGCGAAAAAGGTTCTTAAAAAGTGAAAGTATCAAAACATACACGATATTTGATAAAGAAAACCATTTGGAAGGAGAAACAATGATAATCAACACGATTAACTTAATGTGTAAATGCCAACTTCTAATTAACTAACTCAAACCAGCGAAATTCACATCAAGTTGATACTCTTCAGATTGGTGATCATCTAAATTAAGAGGATTGTCACCGGTGCTGTTTTTGTTACTAAAAATAATTACATGATGATTATGATGCTCAAATGTTTAGCTAAATGCTGAAAGTAAATCGCCCAAAGATGGATCCATCTAAAAGCAGCCATTTTGCTGGGATAAGACCGCAATTATAAGTTGATCCTTTTATCTTGGTCTTTACCTTCAAATTGAAACAAAACGGAATCAAACTAACAAATGACTTATTTTATTCAAAATCTTAATTGTGTTAATTATTCTTGATACAGACTATAAAAGGGATCGCTCAATGAGAATCGACAGTTTCATCTTCAAAGTGCCCTGCATTTTTTACTTTATCAAAACGTTTTATTATAAATATTTACTTGTAAATCGAAAAGATCATTAGATTCTGTAAGATACAATTTCTTCACTTTCTTCTGTCCAATTCTAATATTTTATTTTCCATTCTCTTCAATAGTTTCGTTGAGTGTTTTTATGAACAAGAAAAAAGGAAAACTTGAAATACTATCAAATAGTTGAGTCTTGAAAAATTTTCTATCTCCACTTTGCAATTCATTATATTGAGAAAAACTATAATTACATCATATCAACAATTGGTCAACTTTTTGTTAATTTGAATTTATCACAATTGATGGAAAATTAAAGCAAAATTTATCAAAATAAGTTTGACTGCAACGTGTAAATGGTTAATTGTTAGAATAAAGTTAATGAGAACGTATTTAGAATAAAATTTGAGGATAAACTGAAAACGTTCAATGAACTTTTTGTTTCTAAACTTCGATCTCTTCAAATTGTTTATAAAAAGATATCGTTTCATAGGTAGTTCGTGGTTTGACTACTTGAAAAGCTCTGTGAAAATGTTTCATTTGAACTTTTTCAATGTCGATGTTTTCCGTTAAAGCAGCAAGAGCGGCTTCTTGACAGAGAGCAACAATTTCAGCACCAGAATAACGATTAGTTTTACGGCAAGATAATCGATTTCATCAATTACTTCAGAAGAAACCGCCATCTTCCCTGTTCTTATCTTTAAAATATCTCTTCGAGTTTCTTCATCAGGTAAAGGAACATAAATGAGTACATCAAGTCGCCCAGGTCGACGTAAGGCCATATCGATTTTATCCGGTCTATTTGTGGCAGCGACAATTGTAACACCATCGAGTTCTTCGATTCCATCAATTTCAGTTAATAGTTGAGCTAAGACACGATCTCCAACCGTACAAGCTGAAGATCCATTGGTACCACCGCCTCTTTCTGATGCTAAGGCATCTAATTCATCGAAAAATAAAATTGACGGTGACGCTTGTTTGGCTTTTCTGAATATCTCACGAACTGCCTTTTCCGATTCGCCGACATATTTGTCGAAAAGTTCTGGTCCCTTGATAGCTATGAAGTTGAGCTGACTTTCTGTCGCTAATGCTTTACCAATCATTGTCTTAGAACACCCTGGAGGTCCATACATTAAAATACCTTTTGATTGTTTATAACCAATTCGAGCGAAGGCTTCGGCGTGTTTCAAAGGCCAAACGACGGCTTTCATTAGTCTCTGCTTAACGTCGTTCATTCCACCGACATCAGACCAATAAACCTTTGGTATTTCTAAGGTAATTTCTTTCATTGCACTTGGTCTGACCCGACGAACAGCCTTTTTGAGATCATCTTCATTGATTGTATCTGATCCTCTGGTGAGACATCGATACAAAGATTCACGATAAACACGAGACAAATCCGCTCCTGTGTAGCTGTAGGTGTTTTCACCGATCGAAGTTAAAGTTTCTGAAGGAATTGAATGTTTAGTCTTGGCGAATATGTTGTTCATGATGTCAACTCGATCTTTTGATGATGGAACTGGAAATTCAATCTCTTCTTCAAGACGACCTGGTCTTCTTAATCCAGGATTCACTGAATCCAATTGATTTGTAGCAGCAATTAACACGATTCTTTTAGACCTACGATTGTCATCGAAAAAACTTATCAGATTTCTAAAGAAGTTTATCTCTTTTCCGTTTGCGTTTTCTTACTAGAACAAAACAAATGAATATCATCGATAAAAATAACACTAGGGTAACAATCAAGAGCTCTTTTAAACAGCCGATCCAATTTGGATTTATATGAAACCTCAGTAACACCTTTGGTACCTTTTTCAGGGGCTTCTTTAGCTTCTTTAGTTGGATTATCGGATAACATGTCCCCATAAATATTGAGAAAATTAACTCGAGGTGTTAAGGCTTCGGTCAAAGCTTTCATAGTCATCGTTTTGCCAGTACCTGGAGGTCCATATAAAAGTATCCCATTTGAAAGCTCCTGTGCTTGGGGATGAGCATCATCACGAAGTGGAAACTCAATTAAATTTTTAATCTTCTCAATTTGAGCTGTTAAACCTCCAATGTCTTCGAGACTGATATTTGGAGTCTTTTTGTTATTTCGTCTTGTCACTAAAGAGTAAAGAAAATGAACATCAGTTACAAACATTCATTGAAAATAATTAGTTGATACTTACTATTCGATGGAACCAATTAGAATTAAAAAGAAACCATTTAATTGTTTAAAGTTTGTTTACAATCGACCACATGACAAGTGACACATGTTATTGAGCTTCGATTATCGAGCGGTTTTATTTCCCGAACATCGAAATTCGCTTTCGGAGCGAATAACCGATTCCGGGTCGATAATCGAGACTCTGTTTTGTTTTTGTTTTGTTTCTTAATCTTCATTTAGTTTTCGGAATAATAGTTCCTTTTTTTCATGTAGATTTTAATTTCATTTGACTTGTGAATTTGTAAATTGTTTTATTGAAGAACTACCGTAAATCCAATCGATTGATAATATTCCAGAATGGCTGCTAATCCACAATGGTCCACGTGCATTACATTGGACTCTTTGGTCGCCGATATCGAAGTTGAACAAGATAATATTGACATTCAAAAGGAAGAAGAGGAGAGAATCAATGTTCAGATGCAACACAAAATTCGCCAGCGAATGCTACTAATGAGTTTGGACCAATTACGAGCCAAGGACAACAAAAGGAAAATCGCTCAACCTCCACAATCAACAATAAACATCAACGGTGAACATGGTTGGCTCAGTCCATTATTAACTAACTTAGATCGAGCTCATCGATATGTCAAGAGTAGAGCCCAGAAAACTGAACAATGGAGTAAACTGTTTCCTTCTGCATCTCAAAGCTTCGAGAGTAGATGTTCAGAGCTGCGACAAGATCTGCTGAGACTTGAACTCAATATTGACCGATTCAAGAATATATTAACTAAACAATTGGATTCAACTGAAATGAAAATGAAGTCTTTCGTTGCCGATTTTCATCTTGAATCTTTCACTCAGGGAATAAGTGATGAAGATGAAGAGACCAGAGAATCAAATCCTGTCGATGTTGACTACGAGAACGAAACGGCCATCGATTGTCGTGATATGGAGCCAGTTCGTGAGATCCGCGATATCAACGATGATTCTCCCATACCAGTCGATGACATTACAGGTGATATAAACTTCGAGGACGAAGATGTTTGTCCAGCATCGCCCATACCGACAATCAAACCAACCGTTACAATCAAACAAGTTAAAATGTCTCGATCTAAACAGAAGAGTCGATGATAGATGAATGAATCTTTTAAGTAATCGTTTTATTACTTGATAGTTTTTTAATTATCGGCTGAGGAAGTGAAGATTTGGTTAATCATCATCCAAGCGAAAGCAAAAGAGTAATAAAAATAAAGCATCAAGCAATTTCGACCTGTAATGATCGAGGTAATCAGTACAATTTATTTATCTATTAAACTTTTTGGCTTCTTTCTCACCAAACATTCATTTAAATGATTAATCTGATCCTTTCTTAATTCAGTTCTCACCTTGTGTTTATCACAGAAACAAATTCAAAATAAACAAATACTTTTTGGCTCCGTGATTAATTAATTGTCTCTGATTAAAAGAGTCATTGACAAGTTTTATTCGTATCATTGTAAGTTCAACTTTTTCTCGTGCATCGAATAATTTAAAACAATCAAATTCATCAATTGCTTTTCTATCAGTTAACCAAAATGTGAAATTAAAACTCGTTGAGTATATTTGCCATTGGAAATATTCAAACTTGAGATTGAAACAAATCTACTGGACAAACTCTTGTATTTAAACAAAGAAAAGTTAAACAGAGATTAAGACATTTAAACAAATCAACAAGTCGATTGGACTCAACTGGAAGGACAAATGTCCAGTATTCTTGAATCAATGTCTCTGTCAAATATTTGTAATCTCTGAATTGAGCGGTTAGTTGAGGCCTCGTGGTCTCCATGGAGTCAATGTAAACCATTAGCCTGTTGGTGTTGCAATAAATCATCTGTTTAGTTATTTCTCAATCAAGTTTGTCAACTTGGATCTTAAATGTTGTTTCATTCTCAACATGATTAAGTTACTCATTTCATGTGATTAGTTATTTAAATGAGGAAATGAACCATGAGTGCAACTCGAGAATGTTTTCCCATCAATGACTTGGAAGGTTTGATCACATGGAACTCAGATGATTGTGGAATCGACGCAAATTTGATAAGTGACCTAAAGAATCATCACTTTTTTGATGGTCCGAAAGTTATTCTGTGCCATGATATGAAGGGAGGATATTTAGAGGACCGGTGAGTTGGTTTGGTCCATCGAATCAATTTACCTGAACAGAGATTTTAATTTGTCCATTTTCTTTGTTGATAAGGTTTATAGATGGCGATGACAATTACCAAGCGTATCGATTTTTTCACTGGTTTTTAATTGACACTTTCATTTATTTCTCTCATCACTTGATCACAATTCCACCCTTGACATGGATCAATGCTGCTCATACGAATGGAGTTTCAATCTTGGGAACCATAATCACTGAAAGCAAAAGAGGCTCGGAAATTTGTGACGATTTATTGGAATCAGATGAAAAAATTGTTCTTATTTGTCAAAAGTTGGTTGATATCGCTCTTTATTTCAAGTTCGAAGGCTGGTTCGTGAACATTGAGAACGCAATTTCCAAGACCAATGTACCGAAACTCCTTCAGTTCATTGAGACTCTAAAAAGTTTTGTTAAAAAAGCGATTCCAAAGGGTCAAGTTGTTTGGTATGACTCGGTGACAATTAATGGAGTTCTGGATTGGCAGAATTGTCTCAATCACAAGAATGTCGCATTCTTTCAATGCTGTGACGCTATTTTCCTCAATTACACTTGGACTGATCATAATTTGAGAGACTCGTCCGGTTTCGCTGCTTCTCTCGGCCGATTAAATGATGTCTTCGTTGGTATCGATGTATTCGGACGAGGGATGGTCGGTGGCGGAGGCTTCAAGACTAATGTTGCTGTGGACAAGATTCGTCAACATTTATTACCAATCGCCATCTTCGCCCCTGGATGGGTCTTGGAGGTACTTGGACCAGAAAAGTTCACTGAGAACCAAATCAAATTTTGGGAAAAATTGTCGTTGAATATCAGACATTTACCCAAAGATATTCCCTTTTACACCAACTTTTGCCAAGGTTTCGGTCTGAGTAAATATAAGAATGGCGAGAGAATCAGTGATTCGACTTGGTACAATTTATCACTAGTGGAACCATCCACACGAAATTATGTCGATGGTGAAATATTTCTCGAAGATGCTTATGAAGGAGGACAATCGATTCGCTTAATTAATTGGAATGAGCCATTAATTAAATGTTATTTCAGTTTGCGAACTGGATTAGAAGTACAATTGATTTTCAAAACTATTCCCAAATTTCCAGAATTTCCGATCATCCAAATTAAAGTGCAATATCAAAACCCTGGATCAACTGATATCTTATTACTACATAAAGAAGATTTCGTTAGCGAAGAAACGTGAGAATACAGATTTTATGTTATTTTTTTCAAGCAAATGATTAATTTTCAATTCCGTTTTCGTAGATTATCTTGTTTGGAACCACCAATCGCTTATGATAACTCAAGTTGGAATTCTGTGCGATTCAATGTGAGTCCAAACAGCAACGCGGTACTTACATCAATCAGTATCGAGAAAGTTGATCTAACTACGGAATCGAGTTTCTTACTTGGTGCTTTGAGAGTCGATCATCCAACGGAAAGAAAAATTGTTCAGAAATTAAGTTTGCTTGAAATTCATTAAAGTTCAGACATTTTAATACAAACCATTCGTTTTCTGGTTGACATTTCTAAGACTTTAAACAACCTGATAAACCATTCAAATCGCTTAAAGATCGTTTCACTGATCATACGATTATCACAATTTACGATTTTTGATGCGAGCATTTGAGAAGATCCAGAGAAAGCTATTAATGCAAAGATATCGAAAGTGATCCTTTATATTAATAGTGAATAAATTAATAATTGAATTCGAAATAAAAAAATGATTGGAAACTATTATTAATATAATAATTCATCTTCAGACTTTCCGCCAAGGCATAAGTGTGTAAGTGTAAGTTTAACTATTAGTTACTATTATTAACCAAGTTATCAATTGATAATCACTAGGTAATTATCACCTTTCCATTTGGATCTCACTGGGCCTCAGTTGATATTTTTTGCTTCGTTCAATTAAATTTTCACTTATCTTATTTCATTTAAAGAAAATCAATTTAACTTCTTGTGCCAAGAAATTTAATCATGAGTTGTTCAAAGCCCGTTGATTCACCGATAGATAAGTTGACGATTATTGATAAAAAAAATAATCAATCTTTTAAAGTACCAAAGGATATTGCTTGTTCTAAAAGCAATTATTTTCAAGGAGCGTGTGAGAATACTAAATCTGATGATTTGGAAATACTATTAGATATCGATGCAGTTGCTTTTCAAGTTGTGATGGATTATTTGGTTAGAGATCGAGTGTCAATCGACTTTCATTCCGTTTTGCCAACAACGGTAGCTGCTGATTATCTGCAGATAGATGATCTTTTGAACAAGTGTCGTGATTTTTTCTTGAAAAATTTCACAATCAATCAGTTACCCATTGTTATTGATTCTCTTCATGTTACAGTGCCTTTGATTTTTATAAACAAACAGAAAGTTGATTGTTTCATCAAACGACACTTTCTTAAAATTGCAAATACGCCATCTTTTCTCCTCTTTCCACTCAAGACTATTGAATATATTTTGGAACTGGATGTTATTGTTGATTCAGAATTTCGCATATTCGAAGCGATTCTACGATGGATTGAACACGATAATGAACGAAAAACGTATTTGTCGGATTTGTCCAAGTTTATTCGCTGGTCACATTTGAGTGAATTGGAGAGGAACATGATAAAAGCTAATTCTTTGGTTATGGAAATGTCCGCTGAGTTCGAAGTATCAATGAATGCGGTATTGGAGAAAAAAAATAATTACAGGATTAGTTCAAAGTCAATTGTCGAAATTTATGAGATGAATGATAAAATTAAAGTTTTTTTCCACCTAAATGAGGGAAATGTACCTTTAGCTGAATTTGATCTATGCAATGAGATCTCTGACAATGTTTTCACCAATGAGTATACTACCGATATTATTTTCGATTCGGGAAGAAAAGGAATTCGATTGGATTGTGAAAATAAAAAATACAAGTATCTTAATATGTTCGGTAAAATGGATTCTTATTATGGTCAAGTAGCGAACTACATAATGGACTATCCTACTAACGGCAAAAGGTATGATAACAGCCTATTAATACTAAATGCAAGCTTTTTCACTAAAATTAATACTTTTAATTTTTATTTAAAATTTTTATTTATTTATATTTTTACATTCAGTGATGTTTATACCAAGCATATAAGCGAAAAGTTATTGAATAATGAACGAATCCAGTTTTGAATTTCAAACCAATTATCATTCAACTCAATGTATCATCGACTTTGGAAGTTATTTCCATGCTGTTACCTTCACCTTGGATGATGGTGTTTTGAGCAGTGTTGCTTACGAAATCGTTAAAAACAAAAAAGTATTCAATGATCAAGTCAATCCTTCAGAATACCATGTTTGTGTAATCCAGGATATAGTTTATCTACTCAACAAGTCGTTTACTATGTTCCAATTCAATCTGAATGATAAAACCTGGAAAGAAATCAAATTTATTGATGAAGAAGGTTTGGACTTCAAACGCTTGGAACTTCTCAATTACAATGATAAACTCTGCGTTTGTGATAAATCCTCTAAGAAAGTTTATGAATATCAAACTTTCGGGGAAAATTGGTGCTGTGTAAAGAAAATTGGGTTGGAAGATGGCAGTAATTTAATAGCAATTGTATCAGTCACTCTACCAGGAACATAAACTCCGATTGAATTATAAATGCTCATGTACTAAAAGTCTTAGAGAAAGCTTCAATGAATAATAAATAATATTTGCTGCTAACTCATCGATTTATTGCAAATGTTGTCTAGTTTCAACTCTTTGTTTAGTGTTAAGTTTTTTGACCACTACACTATAATGTAAACTTATTAGTGATTCGGATAATAATTGGAATTTTTTATCATCAAAAGATTTTGTTTATTGTTATTATTACAATGTTAATGTGATCATCAACAAATGACACGATTCGCATCAATGAAATGAAGTCTTCGTTGCCGATTTTCATCTTGAATCAATCACCACGGAATAAGTGATGATGAAGAGACCAGAGAATCAAACTTGCTCGATGTTGATTACAGAACGAAACGGCCATCGATTGTCGTGATATGGAGCCAATTGTGATCCGCGATATCAACGATGATTCTCCCCACCAGTCGATGACATTACAGGTGATATAAACTTGAGGACGAAGATGTTTGTCCAGCATCGCCCATACTGACAATCAAACCAACCGTTACAATCAAACAGCAAAATGTCTGATCTAAACAGAAGAGTCGATGATAGATGAATGAATTTTAAGTAATCGTTTTATTACTTGATAGTTTTTTAATTATCGGCTGAGAAGTGAAGATTTGTTAATCATCCAAGGAAAGCAAAAGAGTAATAAAAAGCATCAAGCAATTTCGACCTGTAATGATCGAGGTAATCAGTAATTTATTTATCTATTAAACTTTTGGATTTCTTCACCAAACATTCATTTAAATGATTAATCTGATCCTTTCTTAATTCAGCTCTCACCTTGTGTTTTTATGTCGATGGTGAAATATTTCTCGAAGATGCTTATGAAGGAGGACAATCGATTCGCTTAATCAATTGGAACGAGCCATTAATTAAATGTTATTTCAGTTTGCGAACTGGATTAGAAGTACAATTGATTTTCAAAATTATTCCCAAATTCCAGAATTTCGATCATCCAAATTAAAGTATATCAAAACCCTGGATCAACTGATATCTTATTACTACATAAGAAGATCGTTAGGAAGAAACGTGAGAATACAGATTTTATGTTATTTTTTTCAAGCAAACGATTAATTTTCAATTCCGTTTTCGTAGATGCTTTCAACAATTTCGTGTTCCATTTTTAGTCTCATCCATAGTTTTATTGACCACTACACTATAATGTAAACTCACTTATTAGTGATTCGGATAATAATTGGAATTATTTTTTATCATCAAAAGATTTAATTTATTGTTATTATTACAATGTTAATGTGATCATTCAATCAAATGACGAATCGATTTTATTGCAACTGTTGTCTAGTTTCATGTTTCGGACGAAAAAGTCAATCGTTTTGACCATTACACTATAATGTAAACTCACTTATTAGTGATTCGGACAATAATTGGAACTTTTTTTATCATCAAAAGATTTAATTTATTGTTATTATTACAATGTTAATGTGATCATTCAATCAAATGACGAATCGATTCACTAAAATGAGTGATATGAACTTATAACATTCTCTGAATCAATGATCAGTCTTATGAACAATCAGACACGGACACTATTGGCATCCACATTGAGAGGCTACAATATCATCGATTTGCTGCAATATTACCGTTCCGTCGGTGGCAAAATAAAGGATATCGAGTGACTCTAATTCAGTTGGTACACAAGAAACTGGATTAACACCAAATGATTGTTGATCAAACTACGGAATCGAGTTTCTTACTTGGTGCTTTGAGAGTCGATCATCCAACGGGAAGAAAAATTGTTCAGAAATTGAATTCGCTTGGAATTCGTTAAAATTCAAAGACATTCAGACATTTTAATAAAAACCATTCATTTTCTTGTTGACATTTCTAAAACTTTAAATAATTTGATAAACCATTCAAATCGCTTAAAGATCGTTTCATTGATCATACGATTATTACAATTCGCGATTTTTGATTCGAACATTTGAGAAGAACCAGAGAGGCTACAGAAATATCATCGAAAGTGGCCCTTAATAGTGAATTAATAACTGAATTCGAAATAAAAAAATGATTGGAAATTAATTCATCTTCAGACTTCCCGCCAAGGCGTAAGTGCGTAAGTGTAACAATTAGTTACTACACTGTACTGGGTTATTGAGCCTGGATCCTTCGGACTTTAAACTTTAATAGCTTTTTTATATCTTAGAATTTTTTTTTTGAATTTTGTATCATTTGAAAGCTCAAAGTCTAAAATAATTAATTAGATAAAGGTATAGTGGTAAAGTTTGTCGGTAATCGAGATTCTATAATTTGAATGAGATCATTTAACCAACTTTTCAAAGGTTTGGTCAATAGACCTCGAATATAAGTGACACAAATAATAAATTGAGGCCAATTCCACTAGTGAACCATCCAATCGTTGGCTAATCGTGAAATATTTTAAATTTGGAGCCATCGTTTCGCTTTTAATTGGAATGAGCCATTAATTAAATTTTCATTTGCGAACTGGATTAGAATACAATGATTTCAAAACTATCTAAATTTCAATCTATCATCCAATTGATAAAAACTTAATTCTGAATCTGCGACTAAGAAAAATCGTTATGAGAGCTGGACTTGGAATCCATTATGAACCATTTTGAAAAATGATTAATTTTCAATTAACTTTGTTTAGTACCAAAATGATGCCGTTAAATTTCCGTTAGAATGAACCTAATTTCAGACCACAGGTCAAATCTTCTTTGCAATTTTGATTTGAAAAATTTACTGCCAAACATTACCACTCACATACCTTATAATTAAAATTTTTCAGATTTGTTGCAGATGAAATGATTAAACAAATAATTTTCAATGGATAAATCTTTATCAAAGACTTAAACAACTTTACCTAAATGTTGATCGTTCACTGATCATAAGATTATCACAATTTCTTTTGATGCAAGAGCATTTACAGATCCAATTCTATTTCAATGCATAAAAATGTTCCTAATTCTCAGTTAACTCTCAATAGATGGTCAGTTTTCTATTCTGACGCCACCTAGTGCGAATACGCTGTGATTCAACTCACAACTTTACGTTAAACGAGTTATGCAATAAGCGAGAATTTACTGTATAACTCTTTGCATTTAGATCTCGTTAGGCCTCAGATAGTATTTTTCTTTCAATCGGTTCAATTAGTTTTTTTTCACTTATTTTGTTTGATTTAAAGAAAATCAATGTGACCTTTCAACGAGTGATTTTGATTGTTTTAATTCATTTTCTTAATTCAATTTAACTTCTTGTGCAAGAAATTTAATCATGAGTTGTTCAAAGCCGGTTGATTCACCGATAGATAAGATTACGATTATTGATAAAAAATAATCAATCTTTTAAGTACAAAGGATATTGCTTGTTCTAAAAGCAATTATTCAAGAAATGTTGAGAATACTAAATCTGATGATTTGGAATACAATAGATATCGATGCAGTTGCTTTTCAGTTGTGATGGATTATTTGGTTAGAGATCGAGTCAATCGACTTTCATTCCGTTTTGCCAACAACGGTAGCTGCTGATTATCTGCAGATGATGATCTTTTGAACAAGTGTCGTGATTTTTTTGAAAATTTCACAATCAATCAGTTACCCATTGTTATTGATTCTCTTCATGTTACAGTGCCTTTGATTTTTATAAACAAAAAGAAAGTTGATTGTTTCATCGAAAGACACTTTCTTAAAATTGCAAATACGCCATCTTTTCTCCTCTTTCCACTCAAAACTATTGAATATATTTTGGAACTGGATGTTATTGTCGATTCCGAATTTCGCATATTCGAAGCAATTATACGATGGATTGAACACGATAATAATCGAAAATCGCATTTATCAGATTTGTCCAAGTTTATTCGCTGGTCACATTTGAGTGAATTGGAGAGGAACATGGTGAAAACTAACTCTTTGGTTATGGAAATGTCCGTACAGTTCGAAGTATTAATAAATGCGGTATTGGAGAAAGAAAGTGATAATAGAGTTAATTCAAAGTCACTTGTCGAAATTTATGAGATGAATGACACAATTAAAGTTTTTATCTACCCAAATGAGAATAAAGGCCCTTTGGCTGAATTTGCTCTATGCAATGAGATCTCTGACAATGTTTTCACCAATGAGTATACTATCGATATTATTTACGATTCGGGAAGAAAAGGAATTCGATTGGATTGTGAAAATAAAAAATATAAGTATCTTAATATTTGGTGATATAGATTCTTATTATGGTCAAATAGCGAACTACACAATGGACTATCCTACTAACGAAAAGGTATGATAACCATTAAATACTAAATGCAAGCTTTTTCACTAAAATTTCTTTTAAACTTAATAATTTAATTTATTTAATTTATATTTTATTAAGCGTACTGACAGCGATGTTAATAACTATCAACCAATCGAAAAGTGGAAAATTGGAATTTCACGAAACCAGTTTTGTTTCAACTCAATGTATCATTGATCTTGGAAGTCATTTCGCTGCTGTTACTTTGTACAATTTGTTCAACTTCGAAAATGATGGTTTTTGTAGCAGTGTTGCTTACGAAATCGTAAAAAATAAAAAAGTATTCAATGATCAAGTCAATCCTTCAGAATACCATGCTTGTGTAATCCAGGATGTAGTTTATCTACTCGAAGAGTCGTTCACTCTGTTTCAATTCAATCTGAATGATAAAAGCTGGAAAGAAATCAAATTTATTGACGAAGAAGGTTTGGACTTCAAACGCTTGGAACTTCTCAATTACAATGATAAACTCTGGGTTTGTGATAAATCCTCGAAGAAAGTTTATGAATATCGAACTTTCGGTGACAATTGGTGTTGTGTAAGACAGATTGGGTTGGAAGATGGAAGTAATTTAATAGCAATTGTATCAGTTGCTCTACCAAAATTCTTCTCTTGAATTATAAATGTTCATGTCTTGAAGAAAGTTTCAATGAATCATAAATAATATTTGCCGCTAAATCAACGATGTTATTTTAACTTCTTGCAACAATTTCGTGTTCCATGTTTAGTCTCATTCATAGTTTTATTGACCACTACACTATAATGTAAACTCACTTATTAGTGATTCGGATAATAATTGGAATTATTTTTTATCATTAAAAGATTTTGTTTATTGTTATTATTACAATGTTAATGTGATCATTCAATCAAATGACGAATCGATTCAATAAAATGAGTGATATGAACTTATAACATTCTCTGAATCAATAATCAGCCTTATGAACAATCAGACACGGACACTATTGGCATCCACATTGAGAGGCTACAATATCATCGATTTGCTGCAATATTACCGTTCCGTCGGTGGCAAAATAAAGGATATCGAGTGACTCTAATTCAGTTGGTACACAAGAAACTGGATTAACACCAAATGATTGTTGTTGTTGATTAATATAACTTTGAATGGCGGCGTGTTTACTTAATTTAGTTGTCGTCAAACCAAGTTCAGTATAACCATTGATCGCGGAAGAAGAGATTGAATCAATGAGATGATCACAACCTCCCTCGCATCGATAGAGACCCAATGATTTGGGGTAGATGATAAATCGAGTCCAACCCAATTTGTCCAAATCGATTGTGTAACCAACTCGTGAACAAGACAAACGATTGAAAATCGGTAAATCTAAATTGATTAAATCACTTTCGTCGTTTAATGAATGATGTTGATGATGTTGCATATTCTGTTCTTCGTCGTCAGAATTTTCGGAAGATTCTGATTCACTGGGTTGACCATATTTTAAGAATAATTTTGAGAAAATTTTAGCTGAAAAATCTAAAAGAAAAGAGAAAAGTTCCATGATTAATATATCGTAGTTCTACTTTTTCCATCAATTTGTGTCCTCATTGTTTGTTCTCATGTTTTTGGGACATTATTCAAATTTCCATCATAATCATGGCACAGTTGAGTAATTACGATGAAAAGATTATCATAATTAATTGTTCACTCAGATTCGTTTTCGTGATTTTGTTGAACAGTTTGAGGGGAACATGAAAAGTTCATCCTGTTAATGCAAACACGAATCCTGATAATTACGATTATCTTTCCTAATCAAGATTTAACAGTGAATTTTGATTAATATTTCAAAAGAGTTTTACTCGAATTAATCTAAGATAATCTATTTTCCGATCAGTAACTTGACACAGAACAAATAAAGTAATTACTTGATCTGTTCCTTCCAGATGATCTGCAATAACAAGAAGCTCATGAACTGTTTGGAATTGATTATCATTATCATTACCATGATAACATTTTACTCGATAATGAAAATATTATCACTCTGTTTATTATTTGAACATAAGAAATCCATAAAATACTCGATAGATTTCAATTTCTTCCAAGAGTAATATTGAAAGATGATGATGATGATCGAGTAACAAGAACTGGAAAGGTTCTTCGAGTTGATACCACGAAATGTGAAATCGATTCATGTGATTTATTCTGAAAATGAGGCTCTGAGGTCTAATTTTGTGCTTTCTCTTCATTTTGTCATCAAAATGATAATAATAATTTAGTGCGAATGGTTGAGTGATAAAAATGACGCCAGAAAACAGCAAATTGATTAGATGGCTGAATAGTATTTAATTTAATTCAGTTTACCTTGATTAGTGTTATTTTTTGGTACAACACTTTTATGTCCTTTCTCAGATGTGTAAACAACAAGAATTGGCCTTTTATTGATTTGATGATGATGTCCGTTGAACCAACGAATCAAATGGTCATTCATATCTTCCCCTGAGAGCGATTTAACTGTGATCAATAATCCTGATGGGAATGAGCAAGAGAAGAGATGAAAGAGATGATGAAAAGATAATAGAAATAATGAAATGAGAATTTCATGTGATTTTTGTCTCTTTTTCATCTGAATCAATTTCATGAGACTTTCCATTAATCATTTTACATGATGGTCATTCTTGTCTTTCCACTGGTCTGACCAATCGATGAAGAGCAAGAACATTTGTGTTATCAGATTTAATCATCATTATCCTGGAGAAATCATGATCATCATTCTGATAATGAATCGAGAATAAATGGATGTTAACAATTAACTTTCTCTTTGTATCATTTATTCTGTGGCTTCAACAATTAAATTTCCTTCTTTTTCCACTTTATACAATTAACTCGTTCATAAATCTTAACACAATGAACATTTTCTCTCAACTACTTTTCAATCAAGTTAATCTGGTTTTCTGACTCAAATGAATTAAAGATTATCAAAAAATCAAATAAAAGATAAAGATAATTATCAATCCTCAGCTTAATCTTCATTTCTATTTTAATCTCTTATTTATTTATTAATTGTCATGAAGATTAATCATAAGGATTGTTATTGAATTGGCATTGGAGTATTTCAACAGTCACAATACAATGAACACTAATCAACATGATAATCATGATAATTACTTTCAGTTTATTAATGAATTATAATCAACAGCGATTAAGCAAATAGCTCATTACAGGATTGATTATTTAACTTGATTTACAGTTGAGATATTAGATAGAATTAACTAATTTAGTTATACTTTTAAAGCTTATTATTAGTTCTGATAATAAACTGGCATTTATTAGCAAAAAATTAAATCCTATCAGTTGAAACTAAAATAATGGGACGTGTAGTTAATTAATAATTAGTTGATTTCTTTGCTTTAAACTAATTAGTTAATGTTAATAACATTAAAGCAAATAGCTTGTAATTTAATAATCCTTGTTAATTGTGCTGTTAGCTCATAAAACAATCTAATCTTCATCATTGTTCTTGACTATGTTTAGTTTATTGGATTAGATGAAAGTGAAAATTAGGATGAGAAAAGGCAAGAACTTAATCTAATGATAATCAATATTCATATACAACTTAACATCAATTCAACCTACTAATCAATATATTGAGTTACAATTAACGATTAAAAGTGTAATTATTAGATATATAAAGTATTCGTAAGTTTTTATGATTATATATGAAAAGTTTCCCTGATTCGATCCACAATCAAGGGAGAATGAGGATTAATCATTAATCAAGAAAATGTTACTAATCCATAAGAGCGTGAGAGACACTGACTGCTGGTTAATGATTGAAGATGAGGATTTACGATTAGTTTAATGAAACGACATCTACAGTCGATTATCAATCTTAATTATTGAGATGGTTCTCTAATCACAATGCTGAGAAAAGCAAAGAGATTGGAGGTAGAAGTTAATATCATCTGAAAAAAGTTTCATCAAAAAGGAATTATGATCATGAAAAAAAGGATGAGAAGAAGATGAAGAGAAGAATAACAATAAAGGCAATGAAAAAAGAGAGAAAGGAAATGGAAAGGATGAGGATGGAGAGAGAATCTAAAAAAGAGCCTGGGATAAGGTGAAGATTAGATTATTGGATTGATACTTTTAACCTTCGAACGGATCATTTTTGTTTTCATGATAAAACAAAACTTCATCTATTTTATCAATAACAATTCACTAATAATGTTGTTTATTATTTGGATTAGGACTCAATAGACTACTGGTAATAGATTTTGATTCACTTGAAAAGAAACAATTTAATTTCCTTCATCAAACCATTGCAATGATTATAGTAGAAAATTAATAGCTAATAGCTTCATGAATGCTACGAGGATGTGAACGAATGAAATTTTTAATAAATGTGAATAAATCTCACTCAATTCAGTGTGAATCTAATTTTCTGATTGGTGATAATGTTAATTTGTGCTTTCAATTACTTTAGCCTATTGATTAATTATTACAGAATAAAGTGAATCTGTTAAATTGTTATGAAAATGATGAATCACTATCAGTCTACTATTAATAGAAAGATAATTGTTTCATCAGGTTTTCATTACTGAAAAGAGAAAAGTTTCATTAAAATGTGAGATAAAATTCTGAATGAAATTGAATCTTATTGTTGAATAATAACCAAAAGGATGAAATTGAAAATATCAGGGAATGTGAAACTATAGCAACAGTAACAAAGATGCTGATATTTGGAAGCGAGATAAATATCGATTGATATTAAACAGTTGAAAGTTAGTTAATTGTGATTATATTTTTTCCATCTCATACAGAATCAGTTTACTCACCGAAATTTGTTGAATTATCCTTAATCCAGTTGATCAGAGCTTTTTTAACATAAAACATTTCCCATCCAATTGAATTGAGACTCATTCGTCTAGAATCCAATAGCAGTTTGTCACCATTTATATTTGAACTTAATAATTGATATATTCCAACCTGAACGAAAAGGATAATCAACACCAATTAATAAATCATCAGCTAAAATATTAATAAGAACAATTTTTCATTCTCATTCCTATTTTATTAATTGCCTCCGGGAATTTCATGTCAATATTTTAAAAAATCGAACTGAATTGGTCTGATTAATGTTCCGAGTCCATTGTCAACTCTAACTCGCTTTTCTATTTTTCATTAAATTGTAAATCTGATTGATTAGTATAATTATTCAAATAATCAACTGACATTTCATCACATTTGAAGGCATATAGATTGTAATTAGTTTCCCTAATAATAAGTACATGTATTTAATTGAGCCAGAAATGAAATTGGTGGTGAATTGAAAATGTGAGTAAATGATTACAATGAATTTTGTGTCAAGACAATTAATGAATGAAGAGTAAAAAATGTTATATTAAATTCCGGAGGGCGTTTAACTATCAAGTTAACGAGTTAATTATAATTTGGTTGTGAAGATAATAAAAGGTTTTGTAAATCATTGATTCGTATTTCATGATGAACACAATATAATGAGGATTATAATGAAAGGTTGAAAGATACAAATGATTGTGAGGTTGATTTACTTTAACAAAGACAATATTTCATTGTCATTATTGGTTCAGCAATTTGATTATCATCATCAGATTAATGTTCCAGTGGTTCATTGATTGCTTATCATTATCATTAGAGAACCAACTTGATTCAGATAATAAAAGGCAATTTCTTTTCACAAGGTAAATCGATTACCTTTTTTATTTCACTAATCTCTTCCTTCATTCCAGTTAATTAAATCAAATATAACAATCAACATTCCATTGATGATTGTTGGGTGGATTGAAAATGTCTTTAACAAACTAATTCAACTAATTTACTGAGTTTTCACTGATTAGGATAATCAATCTGTAAAAGCTATTGGATTAATCTCCATTTTATTAGTGCACCTAAAGATTGGTCCTGATTGAGTCATTTTTGTGGATATTGAGATGTAACAATGAATAAATATTGATACAATTTGATTATCAACTAAATCAGATCAACACAAATCGATGTAATCATGAACTTCTGATGAAACGCCTTCCATCATTTCAACGATATTCCTCATATTATGAGTTTTTCTCATCAAATTCATTCTTCATCTTTTTTTCTGATGATCCATTTTTTGTGAAGTTTTGAGATTTCAGATCTAAGCCTTTTTGGTGAAAACAAGTTAATGTGATTGGGAACTTCCCATGAGAGACTATAACATGTATTCACTGAACAAACGTTGAACAAAATTCAGTAATCACATTGCATGATTGAAAAGATGGGTGGAGATGATGAAAGGAAGGAGAACCTCATCAAGTCCAAGAGAAGCAAAAAATGAAATCACTTCGAAAGATGCTGATCGATTTTCATCTTGATTAACTTAAATATACAGAGAAAATCACCAAATAATAGCAACAAACATTATCGATGCTCGAGAAAATTTGATAAACCTAACTTCTTAATTAGACTTCTCAGTTCGAGTTGAAAGACGAGAGAATCGTAATGTCTTAACTAATATGATTTTGAATATAAACATTGGAATTGTGCATTGAACTCTGTTTCTTAATGTCACCAGGGTGGAAAAGAAAAAATTGAAAATTGTAATTGATATTTTACTTTAGTATTTCAAGTTTATCTGTTTTACTCAGTTGGGAGTTTTTCCTCATCTTTTCTCATTCCAAGTGAACTATTTTATTATCCTATGAAATTGAATTACTGTTGAAAGATATTAGATTTCTGGTCAACAATAAGGTTAAGATGAGAATGAAGAAGATTAGAAAGATGAGGATAAAATTGGTTTGGGAATTTCTATTTTATTCTTTTCTATATTTTCTACCTTAGATGAAAGTATTTTTAATACTCCGAATTCTCAGAGTTTGAATTACAGGGAAACCCGAAACTGCAGAAAAAGGAGATCCTTGTAACAGAAATCATCATCTCCGTCAGATTGATGATAAATCCCTCACCCTCGTCGTTTTCAGAATCATTATCATCTCTCATGTCACAGAATAATCTGTTTCCTTTTACCCTGGGTGAAAATGTCAGGGTTTTATTTTTTAGTCATTGATCCAAAATGATTTATTTGTGACCATTTCCAAGTAAAAGGAGCAACAAAGATAAACGAAAATGCTAAAAGGGCCAAAAGGTATTAGTATCTATTTCCTGGCGATGCTTCACTTGAACAGGAAACTTAAATCTCTCAATTGGATTCCTGGATTTTACTCCAATTGCTTTCGATTTATCAACAATCTTTCAACATTTTCACTTACATGTTACGAGAAGAGTTTAAAAGAATCAAAAGAATAATAATTGTGAACATGGCATCTTCATCTTTTTATCATCTTCCCTCATCATCTTTCAATTCCATCTTCATCTTTGTTACCCCAATGAACAAACATCTATTCATCCATAAAACTCTTATCTCTTATTTCTCATGTTATTTCAATTGTTGTTACATTTTCTATTCTTAACATTCTTCTTTTCGAATATTTTTGTTTTCTTTTTTTCTAAAATCCAATAACCTCTTCTCTGGGAATTTTTCTCCTTCTGTTGGCTAATAATCAAAAATCAACAAGAATCTGATTTTTTAATAGTTAAGATCAACAAATTACTCTTCGAGTAAACAATCGATACCTCACAAAGAACTGAACAGATAAGAGGCGATGGGAACATGAGAAAAATGAACTTGACAGTTTCTCATTTATTCTTCATGATAATAATGCTTTTGACAGATTTTCTTCTTCGATTCTGATTCAAAATTCTTCTCACAATATCCCCTGTAAATATCACATTCAGTTTGATGTTCCGTTGAAAACTGATATTAATAAGAAATGAGATTATCTTTTCACTATTTTAAATAATATTTGTTAAATCGTATTAATGATATTGGAAGTTTTGGATTAAGTATGATATTAATTCAAATCATCAATAGATTAAAAACATTTCTCAATCATATTAATTTCCAATTGCATAAAACTTAATTCACATTTCGAGCGAATCGAGATTATATTAATCGGGTTAACACAAAAATCAAAGGTCTTACTGAGAATCAATCTACGAGAAATCTTCAAGTTAAGGATGAATTTATCTGAACAAACTGAATGAATTTGATGTGATGATTGAAAAAGTGATTGGATTAAAAAAATTCTCAAATTAATTTTTCACGAAAGGTTATCAATCTTCGTACTTCGAATTGAGTAAAAATAATTGAAACGAAAGAAAATATAACATGTTACATGAGAGCAATCAGATTTTTCAGGAACAAACAGAACTTTTATCTTTATGACAAATGATGCTGGAGATGAAGATGAAGATTGTGCTATTATTATTATTATCATTATCGTTGATTACTGAATCATACTCATTTCTATTGTTCAATCATTAATTGTATGAAAAAATCGGAAATAAACTAATTCTGTCAACAATAATTGACCTTTTTTTTGTTACCAGGTTCGTATTATTATTAAATATCGTTTTGAGATAATTAGATACTTCCTTGGAAATAATTCCCTCTGATTAACCATTGTGACCATCAGAGATACTGTAATGAGTTGCAATGAAAACATGTCGAGTGATAATTATCATGTTCATCTGATTAACGGATCACGAAAAGAACTTATGTTTTCCCATAGATTAGCATAAAATCATTACAATATTCATGAGAGAAAAGATTATCATCATTTAACCAGAATCACTATTGTTTCATGAATTGTGTTAGCTTTGGGTGTGAACTTCAATCTTAATCAATGGAATTGATTAGATTAAGGAATAAAAATTTTCGATTGCACTTTTTTACTCTTACTCAGTAATCTAATCAGTTACTCAGAAAACATCGTCTTTTTTTTTGTTTAATGATTAAACAAGTTATATTAACACGTTCATCGTGATTAATTGTTGATTAATCTTCAAGTATTAACTGCTTTAATTGTCGAGACTTTGTTTAGCTCAATAACAAAGTCTAAATGAAGGCAAACAGATAATCAAAACCAACGCCTTTATCATTAATATTCAAGAGACAACAATAATATCATCATTTGATTAACTTTCATTAATTCACTTCCATCAAAAGTTAGCAATCAGTCTCGTTGGGATCGGGATAATTGTCAAACATAACGAACTCAGGTCAATGAGTAATAAGAGAGGAAAAGTCCCTAAAAGTGGACCTTCGTTACTTTCGACTATTAATCAACAAGACAAATGATTTGGTTTTATTGTTATTAATAAATGAGATTAGCGAGTTTGTCGAAATGTTCTGATTTAATGGTTCAAAAATTAATCCTCTAACAGTTTTAATCTCTATTATCGATCATGTTATTTTAGTGAGAATGTTTTAATTAATCAGTTGAACATCCCAGTCATTATCGTAACATGACTAGTTAATCAGTAGATGACTGAAATGGTTACAACAAAGAGATAAGTGAATTTACCTGTAATCGGACAAGATTCAGGTAGGAGGATATTCAACAACATGATTGAAACAGTCGAGTAATTAATTTAATCGTAAATCAATAGACTAATGAAAAGAGAGTTATCAGAAAAGGTATGAAAATTTAATTCTATTAATGTTAATGATGATGAACATTTCGCTGTATTTTCATGATAACTTTCTGGTGATATTTTTAATCCTGATCAAGAAAAAAACCATTAGTATAACTTCAATTATTCATTTGAAATCGATATGAAACTTTTCTCTCTGAATCTCTCAAGTAAATTGAACTTTTACCTTGAGGCTTTTAAATATGTTTACTTGGAAACTTTTCTAGTTCATTTTTTCATCTTTTTCATATTGTATTCAGAATTCTGTTTACTCTGATAATATTTTTCTTTGTGATTATTTGTAAATGTTTTTGTTTAGGTCAGTTCAATTTCCATCATTATTTTACCATTTTTCATGAGGCTGCATTTAAATTGTAAATGATATCGACTATTATTTTTCCTGAATATTCAGTATAACGAACGAAAGTTCATTGATGAATTTAGTTGAATTCTATTAGTTTTTTTCCATAGCATCGAAAATTTTAATAATAATGTTCATCATTATGGTAATGTTACTTTTCCGATCTAATTCATTCAATAATATTTTTATTTTTCTCTTTCTCTTTGTATCTTAATGATCATTTGCAATTGAATTTTATAATTTGAGAATTCAAATAAATATTTCAAAACATGAAATTTGATTACTGGATTCAATTAATAGTTTGAAGAATGAGAAAAGTTGAGTTTGTAAATATGATTGCAATTTATTAGCAAAAACTTACCTCAAGAAGTTGAGTTTTGAATTTTTTTGACACCAATTTGTTAGTTAGTTTGTGTCGAGGTTTCAATTTAAATAAATGAAATTCAGCTTCCAGAATTTGTTTACCAATCAACTTATCAGTTGTTACATTGAAATGAAAATGAAGATGATTTTGGTGAAGATCTGATGAGATAAAGAAATGGAAAATGATATTTCATGAATGAATGAAATCGACTGAATTTGATTGATCTTGATATGATTCTGAAGAGTAAAAGATGAACAGAATTCAGCACTGAATTTTCTCAGAATCTTTTCTATGATTTGTTGATGAGATGTAATATCAAAACAAGTAAATTCATCTCTTATTATCATTCCAAATGATTCTCATTTGCTTTACTCTACTTTGCTTCTAAATATTCAACTAGCGTTTCAAGATGAATTGCATGATAACTATCATGGAGAGAGCATTTGATGATAACGATAATGCTCAGCTGATTTCGGTTACAAATTTTTGTGTTCTCAACAAAATATATCAAATCATATTTTGGGTGAATACATTTTCATATGACAACAAATTATATCATTTGAATATTGAACTAAACTCCAGAAATGAAAACTCTGGTTTCCATTTCAATGAATTGCAATTGCAATCATTTTCTTTATGCTCTTACTTTTATTATTACATTATAATTGTATTAGAATCAAAGGAAATATTAATATTTGTGCTTAGTTATGCTCAATCTCTGATAAAATAATATTGATTCTTATTGTTGTTTATGATATTGGCCAAAATTATATTACTATTTCTGTCAATTCTTAAATCATTTATACTTGAAATCTTACTATTAATAGTACAACACCATTAAGCAACATCTATTATCTAATCATATTCTTAATCACATTTCATCCATGAATATAAATGATCATTTAATGTTATCATGAACAACAGTTATTAGGTTAAACTGGTAACTGTTGATCCATGAATACATGGGGTAATTTCATGAATCTTTCGTTGTATTGGGATGACACCTTGTCAACTTTTCGTTTCTTTATTTACATAAATTAATCATTAGTGACCATCAATTGTAATTATATCTATTTTTTAGTTCAGAGTTTCATTGGGTTATAACCATTTTAATAACTAAATATTAATAGAAACTGAGAGTTCGTGTTCAAATTAAATGCGAAAATTATAACAGATTTAATTACCTGAATGCTGGAAAGCCCAAACAGTTGATGCTTGATAAGGTTTTGATCGTCTTATTGATCCGGTCAACGGATCAGCTAAAGTTTTATATAAATCAATCATGAATTGTGGTGCTGATAAATGGCGAGTGCGCCTTTCGACATGATCGCCGATTCCAATTATCTTGAGTAGTTTATTTGTATTATCGTGATTGGCACTGGTCCCATTAAGAGGCTTCAAATTATTGTTTTCGTTTTCAATTGAGGAAGTTGATTGTGTCTCATAGGTTGTTATTGGTGTTGATGGTTGCGAGTTTGTTGCTTGTTGATTGGGGAGATTAATGTAACATTGGTATAAATTTAACTGATTGATTAACAACAATGATAATAATGAACCATAAAAATGACAGGATATCAACTTATTAATAGATGATAACATTTTCCACTGAAAATGTATTGGGATTTTCACGCTATGAGATTGTTGATTGTTTCATTTATCCTTTTTGCTTCGGGCGATTCTTAACCAGATCACATTCACATTATGATTACCAACTATTTCTTCTGATTATCTTAATCAATAATCTAGAACCATGATGATCAATAATCACAAATGATGAGAGTGTTGAAATTAAGGGATGCAAATGATTCTGATGTTGATGTCTAGTGACTGAGTTACTTTGTTCATGTTATCAGAATACAAGGTCTCATGTACCTTTTACTTGTCTCTCTTTCTACTTTTCGAGCTCTCTTTCGCTAATCATCATCTTCTCTGTCTGTTTTCACTCCTCCTCAGTTACTGTTGAAATAAAACCAATAACAAACACTTTGATCCAAGAACAACATTGAGTTTGCCTCGACTATTTCTTTTCTTCTGTATTCGAAATTCGATCTCATTTTTTGTTTGTTTTTCCATCCAAATATATTAATTGACGTTCAATTTAAATCGAGTTAAAACTCAAAAGGCTAAATCTTCATTCGCATTGATAGTTAAGCGATAATCAAGTGTCGATCAATAGGATTAGTAACTTTTCACCTTAGACTTTGGTAGACACAAATGTAAATGATTTATTAATAGCAAATAAGTTGATTAGAAAAACTTTAATTTTATTTGTTGATTGTGTGAACTTGAAAACATTTAACTCAGAATCGGTGAGCATCAATCAATGTACATCATTTGATTAACGAAAATTGAGAATTGCTGATTATTTATAGAAATCGTTCATCTAATATCTGCTTGAAATTATGTTAAATCGTTTTTTGGATAGTAATTTGATCTTATTCATCTTATAGTTACATTATAATCTAAATAAATATTATAATTTATCAATTTTAAATCAAATTCGACAGCAAGATTTGTAGTTTGACAGTTTTTCGAATATATATTAATGAAGTGTAAAAATTGACTTAATTAAAATTAGTCATGAGGTTTGATTAAACCTCAAGACAATTAAAAAAGTTTCCTTCTGGTTTATCAATGGCTTATGCATTTGCTCACATTACGAGGACTTTGATTTGACTTTTCTATGTATCGAAATTTGATGATTAATTATTGTAACGAATTATAACTTAAAATAAAATTTTATGAGAGAATCAAAATAGTTAGAAAAGGAGATTATTGCATCGAGTTGTTTCTAACAGTCTCATCATTTGTGATTATTGATCATCGTGGTTCTAGATTATTGATTAAGATAATCAGAAGAAATAGTTGGTAATCATAATGTGAATGTGATCTGGTTAAGAATCGCCCGAAGCAAAAAGGATAAATGAAACAATCAACAATCTCATAGTGTGAAAATCCCAATACATTTTCAGTGGAAAATGTTATCATCTATTAATAAGTTGATATCCGGTCATTTTTATGGTTCATTATTATCATTGTTGTTAATCAATCAGTTAAATTTATACCAATGTTACATTAATCTCCCCAACCAATTAATCCAATTATCCTTTTAATTGCGACTGTAGATGTTGTAAAAATTCATAATAACTAAAAGATGATTCGTTTCTATCGTCGTACATATACTGCAAGAACGAGTACCTTAAACGACTATCCTCTCTGTGGAAACAAACAAAAAAGACACAAATTAATTGTTGATTTAGAAAAATGATTAATATGAGTTACCTCAACAAAAAGAAATGAGGCATCAATGGTCGACTGGATATTAGATAATTTATAAAAGCATTAAGTCTCATCGAGGTTGCATTTTCGAATCTGGGAAGAGGGGAAATTGATGTTGGTGTTGCAGGGAGTTTCATTGAATCGATTTGTTGAGAATTCGTTTGATATCTTGTTGTTTTACTCATTTTTTGATCTCCACCATCATAGTAATAATCTCCATCATCAGGTATTTTCGCCCATTGTGTAACACCAAATACATCAGATAGCCACTGGTGACTGACGGATTTACAGATGTAAAGATAAATACACTCGTAAGTGTCCAATAAATAGACTCCGTTTCTGTCAACGTTCGCGAATGATAGTTGAACTGGTTTAGGAAATTCGCCCGCAAATGAATTAAACTCCATATGAACTGGATACAGATCTGGATAAATATATGTGGTTATGTGGCATAGAGGTAAAGATTTTAATCTTTCCATGGCATAAACTCTTTCATCGATTTTGGTTGATATACCAACTCTGAAGGCCGTCTAAGAGATAAAAGTCGAGGATTCTATTAGAGATGCGATACATTCAAGGGAAATAATATTTACGTGTTTAAGAAGAGCTGAAATGTAAAGAGGTAACAATCGTGTAGAATAAGAAGTTGTAAGGCCATAAGATGCTTCGTACGGAGCAACATTACGATATGTAGATAGAAGATCAAGAATTGCATTAATCATCGCTTCTCTGGCATCAGAAAGACTTGAACTCAAACTTCGATCAACAGCTGAGAAAAATAAAAAAGACAATCAAGAGATTAGTTGAACATTTATGATTATTAATAATCTGATATTGGATAAAACACCATTTCAATAGATGGCGCCAAGAAAACAGATTATAAGTTTTATAGCAATTTAGATGAAAAAAGACACGTCTAGTATTTAATTAGAATTGGAAACAATTGCAGGTGAAGCAATTGAAGATAATCTATCTTAGGTAATCAGTGACATTGGAAAGCTATTCTTTGATTAGCTTGAGTATGATTGATCGATAATTAAGTCAATTTTGAGCTAATTAAGGTCCAATTTTAATTTTGATTAATTATTTGCTTATGGTCAGTTGATTACTTACCCATTTTACAAAGCATGGCAGCGATTGCTTCTTGATCCGCAGAATTAATAACATCACTTAAATTTGCAACAATAGGTAAGTTGAGAGTATGAACTCGGATTCGTCTTTCACCCACTGGATTAGTGTAAAGAACAGCGGCTTGAAAACAAACCGAATTGAAGTCTTTAAAATCTTCATCTATCGATATTTGCATGGCGTAACCATTATCTGGATTACAATTAGGCAATGAAATTAAATCAGTAGAACGAACAAAGAAATTGCCATGAAATGTATGGATACTCAATCCTTTTGTACAACGTAATCTCATAACTGCTTCAAAACCAATATTCCTGCACAGATAATGAACCAAATCGGCTGAGAATCTGGCCAATACCCGACCAGGATTCGTCGCCATATTAGCTCCACTTGCACCGTAGTAAAAAACTGAACCGCCGCTAACCTTAGCTACTTGACCAACTGTTGCAAGATCAGAGAAGGTCGCACTTAAATCAAACAAGTCAACAGCTACATGATGTTCAGAACAATCTAAAGCTAATTTCTTATAAAAATCGGTGGCAGGATTTAACAACGGAGTAAGTTGAGCTGTATTGCTATTGTTAGATGCCCGGTTATTTGGATCTTCGCGGTTGGTCAAGACAGACCCATCCGGTCCTAAATTGGGAAGAGTTGCTTGAATTACTGTTATCCGGCCACCGATTGAGGAAATGACTTCATAAGCTGCAGTCAAGGCTGAGCCCATGGCTGAACCGGAATCAATCACAAGAGGATGAGAGACACCATCACTTGAAAAAAGTTCTTTCAATGTCTTATAAAGGAAATGTTCAATGACTGGACGTTTTGATTGAAGATTGACTAAAAGACTTTCTGGAGAAGGTATGAAAACATCTAAAATCAAGAAATAACAAATTAGAATTGTCATGTAACCAAATCTCATCAATTCCAATGATTACCTTTAATATCCGGCATAATCATATGTTGAGGCTTTTTGTCCCCCAGGTTGAAGAAGTGAATTCGAGAATCAAAACCAATGAAACCAATCATGGTTCGTGAGTCTCCCGGAATTGAATTTATGCAAGATAAAAGGGCATCGGCCATGACAGGAAGATATCCAAGGTGGAATGCATGAGCTGAACAATCAAAAACAAACAAATAAGCAGCAGGTTGAGGTGGTCTAACCATGTATTCAACAGATGCGACAAATTCAACAGTAGCATGAGACAATTCAGGCTGGTCGAGGGGATAATTGATTAATTTATGAGTAACAGGATCAATTAAGAAATCATCCGGCACTAAAATTAAATAAAGAAATTCAATATTAACACTATTTCGTAGATGAATGGAAATTGACAAAAAGCTGACTCACAATCATTGACACGGTGACAGACGTTACATTGCCATCTCCTTTGATCCAGCAAACGAACAAATGGATTCAAGTAGGTTCGACAATTTCTACAGCGAACAATCGTCCGATCTTGAATTATCGGGATATTCTAAAAAAGTAAAAGAAAATCTGTTATTAGAATTGATAACCAGTGAAAAGAGATGACCCGGCAATAGAGATAGAGAGAGAGAGAGAGAGAGAGAGAGAGATCCCATTGAAATGTGGAGATTTTTCTTCCAACGTACCTCATAGTCACAAAAAGGGTGAATAAGAAGACCAAACGGTAGCCTCGATTTCTGCAACAGGGATGCGGTTTCAGGTACTTTCTGAAGTGTTGATCTCATAACATTTCTATTACAATCACGAGTATCCTGTCCAGGGACAATGTCAACAGTTTTGGTTTTGATATTTCGATCAGCCAGTAGATTAACACCTTCCTGGCCCCAGAGAGAAGACCAATTGTTCTGGACCGACATGTTCCCGAATTGTTGAGCCATTTGTTGAACCATTTTTGATCAGATTACAAAGTAAAAAACAAAACCAATCTAATCAATCAAATGTCTACATTACTACAACTCCTTAGAATTGAACAACTGTACAATTGATTTACGATATCGATTAAACCGATGGTTCGATAGTGACATCGATCAATCGAAACTCAATTGAACTTTTGGGTTTTCATGTGATGCGCAAGTGCGAAGTTCCTTCATTTTGAATTCTTTTTTCTGGTTTAATTGATCACAAGTGGACACACCTTGATTCGTTTACCTTTTACCTTTGTACTATTCTCTTGATTGATTAACTGTTGATTGAAAATGATGTCTACTCCCAATGAGAATCGCGGTCCGCGCGGCAAAAGCGGAGGGATCCACAAAAGTGGCCAAAATAATGTTCATGCTCCAGTGTCTGGTGTTCAGTTGAATGGAGCCCCAACCTATGAGATTGATGTTCAGAAGAAGAGCAAAGAGCCAAAGAAATTCACCGGCCGATGTCGTGTATTTGTTGCCAACCTTCCTGGAAACATCACTGAAGAGACTTTGAAAAAGCTATTCGAGAAATATGGTCAAGTCGCTGAAGTATTTCTTGGCAAAGGTAACAGTTTTGCTTTTGTCAAAATGGATACTCGGGCGAATGCTGAAGCTGCGCGAGATGCTCTTGATCTAAAAGATTATGAAGGAAGACAATTGAGGGTCAGACTTGCTGCTCACGCTGCTGCTGTTCGTGTCAAGAATCTTTCACCTATGGTAACAAATGAACTTTTAGAATTCGCATTCTCCTATTTCGGTGAGGTCGAAAGAGCTGTTGTCATAAGTGATGATCGTGGTAGAAGCACTGGAGATGGAATAGTTGAATTTGCTCGTAAATCTTCAGCACAAAATGCATTGAAAAAATGCTCTCAAGAATGTTTCCTTTTGACTGCTATTCCTACACCAGTTGACGTTGAACCATTTGACCAGAAAGACGAAGAAGATGGTTTTCAGGAGAGGCATGTAAACCGAAACGCTCCTGATTTCCAGACCGAGCGTGAGGTTGGACCAAGGTTTGCGCAACCAGGTACTTTCGAGTATGAATTTGCTATGAGATGGAAACATCTATTTGATATAGAAAAACAGAAGCGAGAAAGATTGGAAGCAGAGATTCGTGAAGATCGTCAATTATTACAAGAGCAAATGGAGTATTCTCGTGTGGAACATCAAACTAATATGTTGCGTGAACAACTTAGAGCCATGGAGGATCGAGCTAATCAATTCTCACAATCCAGGACCAATCGAATAGAAGACGATCGTCGTCGTGAAGAGGAAAGACATCATAAAGAAATGATGATGAGACAACAAACAGATGATCTTTTACAACATCATAGAAAGCAGGACTTTCATCATTTGAGGCATCAAGAAAATGAATTACGATCGAAGGCCAATCAATTGCAAGATTTACTTGATAGGCAAGAACAATCTTTAAGATCTGTACAAGGGTTAGGTAATGGCCCTGAGCCCGGACCACCTCCACCTTTGTTTCCTAACCGACTTAATGAACGTGGACCTGCAATGGGCAACCAAGGACATCCACCAATGGGACATCCAGCACCATTCCAAAACAATCTCGGGGTAAGTCACCTTTTAAACTGTCATTTAATTGTTACAATTTGATTTCTTTGCTGTGAAGGTTTTCGTTTGTAAAACATCACTTTTTATCTTTGCTTCTTACTTGCCGGTTTGTGACTTTTGTTTACTTTATCAATCTCTTTTGTGTCTCTCTTTTGTTTTGTGTGAATGAATTTAAACAAAAAAACAATTGATAATCAACATCAAATTATAGTTTGACCCAGAAATGACTGGACCAGGAGGTTTAGGAGGTCCTCTAGGTCCCCATGGCCCTATGGGTCCCATGGGAGGGGATCCTGGCCCGTACGGAGTTCCCGGACGATTTGATAGAAACAAACCCAATCAAGGCCCCAATAATAAGCGTAGACGATTTTAAAGTTTTCATCATCATAATGAATAATTATGATGCACTTTGATTTCAGTGCGATCATGTGATTGACTCTTTACAAATCGATTGCTCTTAATATCAATCTGGATCTTTTCTCTTCTCTTGAACTTGACTTATAATCTAATATTCGTTCAAAAGACAACTTTCAATTTCTTCTTAAGATAATCCTCTTTCTTTAGACAAACCTTTCGAGTTTAAAGACCTTCCTTTTATTATTTAAATATCTTAATTACCAAGAGTTTCGTTTTTTGTTCAATCAACTTCTTTGACTTTATGCTTTAATTTATAAACCCCAAATTCATTCATCTCACTTATGTCAATCTATCTTTATGTCCCTTTAAGCTTATACATTTTGCATGATTAACTTATATTTGATCGACTCATCATACGTCTATGAAACTATCTCATAGAATATTACCTGGAATTAAATATCTATTCCGGAGTGAAAACTCTTGGCTGTTTCTTTTTTTCTATTAATCACTTACATAGTCTAGTGAGAAAGTGCGAGAAAATGATCTTCAATCTTATAGAGCTAAGTCGAGGAAATATTTCATATTTTATTCATATTTGACCTCAATTCCATTTTCCAATAGCATTTATTCATTTTAGTATTGATCACAAAACAAGAATTTCTTAAATATCAATCATAGTTAAATTCTGATTCTGATTCTGATCTTAACAATTTATTTTGATTAGATTTAATTAGTTTGGATGAATGGTGTATGTTTGTCTCTATTCTCGGGATAAGGAACCAATTCTGTATCGTTAAGTATTAGGGCTCTGCAAGATTGAATTGTTTTGTCAGAATATATTTTCATTGACAAAATATCTATTCTATTAAAATGATATCATTGTGTATGTTTTGTTTTGTTGAATTGACTTCAATCTCTCTTATCAATTATTGATATTTGATTGTTACTTTTCAACTTTCTAATCTTCATTTGTGTATTGAATTAATCTCTCAACTCATTTGCATCTCTATCTCTGTAATATGATTGCAACAACTATTAATATACTCTTTCCATCGAGTCTTAAAATTTTCTTGTGTCAACTCACTACAATTAAACTAATTGTTATTTCATTTATTGCTGATACTCCTGCAGAGCCCTTTGATCTTGACATTTATTTATATTGGTTCCTTTTTAATATCGCGTTAAATGATAATTATATCAGAATCAGATCAGCTTAGTTCCGATTTATCTGTTCAGATAATTTATTTTCTCATTTTCAGCTTGGAAAAAATTAAATAAAACTTGTCATCATTTTGCATACTCATGCATTTAAAATCCCGTTTGATTGATAAAACCATTAAACCGAGTTTCCTCTCATCTAGTTTTTGGACTCAATCAACAGCTATGTTATTAAATAATGACAATAAAATGTTAACACTCAATACCCAATTTGTTTGGGCATCAGTGCATAGCTTGTTTTGTATCGCATTGGATTTTTGAAGATGCGATGCAAACACCTAAAGTTTAATTTTTAATTTTGATGTAACCCAGACATTGGATTAGATCTAAGAAAATGTTATTCGGATGGATTGGAATTAACGGAATCAGACAAGCCTGACAATCAAAGAAAAATTTAAAGAAAGTGCTTAAATTGGAATTAAGATGATCCATTAAACATAAATTTATGGTATGGCTCAAGTCGCTCATCCGAACTCTTTTCCCTTTAACCATCTCTTCCCATCTTCTTCCTACATTCATTACAATCCTCTAACCTTAACCTTCTATCTCTTCTTACCTCCCTCCTCCTTCTCTCTCTCTCTCTCTCTCTCTCTCTCTTCCTTTTCTCTCCCCTGGTTACCTGTGATTCTACCTCAATCATTCACTTGACTCGGTTCCAAGTTGAAAGTTTTGTTTGGAGCCAAATCATTTTGCTGAAACTGTGATTTGAGTCTAGAAGACACAAGATTTACAACAATTTATTTTCATTCAACTTTCTTTTAATCTTCTTTTCTTACACCAAACCTTTTACTCTTTTCCAGTGATCATCATCATAATTTTTAATTCTTTTATTACAACTAATCAAACGGATACTTAATTGTCTAAACCTCAATATTACAACTTACCTAATTCTGTTCTCTCCTCGCTTATATTATGATTTAACCTTTTCTTCCTGTTTCTATAGTTGATTTAAGTGTTTTTCATCAGTTCACCGAGAAACACTTGTAATGATTTACTCTCTGAATTGATTAATCAATTAATTTCTTTGCGAACGTGTTAATCTTTTGTAAATTACATAAATTTTATGTGATTATTTGTTTCCTGTTATCTATTGGATTTTATGCGTAAAAGTTACATCTTTTAATTATCATCATTGAATCAACTTTTAAACTAATTGTAACTTACCATCATGAACCATTTATCAATCTTAATTGTGTTTATTTGCACATTTTACTTAGCTGGATTAACTCTAGCAGCTCGTCGATCAGGTAAGCATTCATGGTATCACCCAGATGATATTCAATAATTACTAATCTAATACATTTATTTTGATTGCTCATTCTTTCTACTTGATTACAATTCTCAATCAAATGTTAACAATTTAAAATTTTCCATTGTTACATTTGTTGAAATAATTTTGATACTAAAAATTGATTTACAATTGCTATTGCAATTCTAAAGCGAATACATTTTAATCGCCTTAATATCTGGTAATTTTAAAGTTAATTCTACTAATAAAAGCTAATGCAATCATAATTAAATCTAAAATTGATTGTAATCAAGTTTCAAGGGATAAACTGGTCTGATTCATGATGATTCGACCGTTTTTCATTAGCAAATGCGTTTAATTTACCCATGTGATTATGTAATTTTCTTATGAGTGTTGGTCAATCTACTATTTCTGTAGCTTACCAGTTGTTAACAAGTTGAAAGGCTCATGAAATCTTAAGCATTCAAGGTGAATTCTTTGTTGTGGAAATGCTCAATCTCCTGAAAAGAAAGAAAAATGTGAGAAAATTGATGCTATTTGTGATGAAAAAATTAATGGAATTGCCGTTGATTATCTCCCACGCTATTCGATCAACAATCAAAACCAACAATCAACCGACTGATGCGTGTGCATGTTTACTTGTGTTTATCATCATGATTTGTCTCTTTCTCATTGGCATCTTCCCATTTTACTTCTTCCGCTGAATATCCTCTTCTCAAATCATATGATTATTTCTGATAACTAACAATAGGCTAATTGATGACAATCATCTCAATGGTCAATATATAATAAAGTTATCCTTCATTTCTAATAATTCACGTAACCCGGAAAACGTAATCATTTCATCGATTTTTTTTTCTATTCCTGATTTTCCATTTTGTCCTGTTGTTTTTTTCACTTAAATTATATGCTGAGTAGCCCAATGATCATGTTTACCATCATTTTTATCCTCATCATCATTGCCTTATCGATGTATGACGGTTCTCCTTGGAAGGAGCCAGAAGTAGATGGAGAAGAAGAAGATGAAAATGAAAATGAAGATGAGAAAGAAAGAGAGTGAGAGAGAGAAGGGGCGACAAGAAACGGAAGTTGGAATGAATTTTGATGAAAAGATATTCATTTTGTGATTATATTGATGATGTTGATTAGTTGGAATTCTGGTGATTATTTAATTTTTTTTTATTCGGTTCTCTGTTAATCATCAGGAAGGTTTAATTGACTCAAATTGCGATAAACCCAAGGACTTAAAAGGTGCACTGATCTTCAATTGACTCACAAATCGGTCATTGACGTTTGACAAAAGGGAGACTCTCTCTTTCTACTTGTTTCTCATCCTCATCACTCTTATCTTTCTGTTTTTCTTTCCTCTCATCATCTCTCATGGTCCATGCAGAGCTTGAATTGACTACATGTTTAGCTTAAAGCTATTAACATGTAACAGCATAAATTTTGATTTTTGGTGAGCAAAAGAAAATCATATTAATGATTTTCATTGTTGATATCGCATCTAATCTGATTGAAAAGTTTACTTTCTTTTTCATCGATTTCTGGTTTGTTTAATCACCAATGGTTAATTAATTATTTAGCATTTTGTTGGTCTCACTTGATAATTAAAACAGTTAAACAGGAATCATTTTGGCTTCTTGCAAAGTCAATTGCTTTCTGTTAATTTCAATTATCTAATTCATATTACTTGAGATAAGACCAGTTATTAATTATCAAAGCTAAATTGAATCATTTTAAATTCTGTTATTTTGAATGAACTTAATCTCTAAGTGAATTTTTTTCATGAATTTTTTCTAATTCTTTTTATTCATTTCATTAACTTTCCAATTAGCGAGTAACGTTGCCTGTAGTCGCACCAATTTAATGACAACAATTACGTTTCAACAACCATTTTATGGTTTGGTTTATGCGAAAGGATTTAGTCAAGAATGTCAAATGGACGGAAATGGGACCAAGATTATCCAGTTTTCTAGTCCAGTCCATAAATGCGGCATCAAAATATCAGAGAACAAGGGGTTGTACCAGTTCGAATTGCATCTTTATGTCCAGTACGATAAAAATATTCAGCAATCGCAAGATGATCGGATTCTTGTTCGTTGTGCTCCCCAAGAGATACTATTATCTGGTGGAATGGGTCGAAGGTCTGATGAGGCCATTTCTAAATCGCCCAATCTCAAGTCTCTCCATGGAGATTCGAGAATCCAAATCAAACCAATGGACAATCATCATTTCGCCGAATCAACTGTTGCTTCTGTTGAATGTTTCATGGATATATTCAGAGGACGAATACCTCATTTGAAGACGATTGATTCTCATGTGAATATCGGCGAAGACATAACTGTCTTGGTGAAAATTAAGAAAATGCGTATGTGTCACTTTGATTAATTTATCAATAACTTTTGAAACAATGATGAGGAAGAGAAATCTCTTAATCTTATTTCATAATTATTACGGATCACTGATCAAAAATCACTGATCAAAACTGCACTTGACTCCAGTAATTAACCATATGTGACCTGAAGCTGATTTTCAGTTACTTTTGCAAAATCATCTTTATTCATGTAAACAGACAAACATTTGATTCCTTTGATCAGTGAAACAGCAAAAGTTTGCTAACAATTAACATTTTGACAGTTTTTTCGACCATGATTATGTTCGGTGATCATCTTACACAATATTCTTGATACTTTTTCCTACAAACTTTCCCTTGAGATTATGAATTCAAAATGTTAGACTTTATTGTTTATGGAAAAGTCTGTGAATTTTATTAACTATTGTTTTCATCTTGATTTGTTTCTGATTCAGTGAATCAGATAAAACAGGTTAGCTTGTGTTTCTAAACGTTACATTTTTGGCTCTTTATTTGTTGTTTTTCCCGTAAATTCAAGTAGCCTCACAATTCATCTTGTTCTTGTTTCAAACCTCAGTGGTTTTCCAATCATTTTCACACATAAAAAGAACGAAATAATCAACTGAACATCAGGAAAATTCTGAATCTCATGAAATTTTACTCACAGTTTTCTCCTCATGTTTTGTTTATCAGTAAAAGAGTGAGAATTAGCTGAACCTTAACGAATTTTTTCATTAAGGTTATTTGATCTTTGATTTTCTTTCCTATTTTGATAATTTACTGATTGCCAATTTTCTCATTCTCAATTCATCGCATTCAATATCATTCTAAAAGTTTTTCTCGTTTTTTTTTTCATTGACTTTAGTTGGAATTGATACCCGATTATCTCGATGTTTTGCCCATGATAGAAGTATGACAACCAAATTCGATTTAACAGATGAAGATGGGTAAGTTTAATTGCTAACAATCAACTTATCGAAGGTTAATCATAATGTTCAATTTCATCTTTAGATGCACCCTGGATTCTGTTATAATGCCTAATTTCAAGGAGTTCGTTCATGATGGTGGAAATACAAAAGCACTTTATTCAACTTTCCCAGCCTTCAAATTTCCCGATCGATCAAATCTTCACATTCAATGTACTGTAGTTGTTTGTAATACTACTTGTCCAAAGGTAAAATTAAGAGCTCTACACGTAATAAGTAAACATATTAACTGATCAGATTTCAATTTCTTTTCTCAATTTTGATTAGTTTGATTGTCTCGAAAAACCAACTACTGAATCAACAACCACCATGGCACCAATCAAGCATCTCGCGAAGAGATCAGCCAAAGTGATTAGTAAAAAGTATACAACTCAACCCAATATCGTTCGACGAAAATCTCACAATGGTAACTGGACATTAACTGACCGACGGGACGTGAGAAATATTACTCGGGATAAACTACTCTCTCAAATTGGCATTTCAACCGCTGTTGATGTCGTTGAAAATAACGGTAATTCGATAAATAGTAAAGAAGCCATTTACTACAAAGAATCGGGAGTTTTCGATGAGTTTTTCGGTGATGAAGCCGTTTCTTGTTTCACTTCCCCTTCCGTTATGCTCAGTTTGATATTATTGTCGAGTTCGTTCCTTGCTGGACTTTGTTTCGCCATTTTCATGGGGCTTAAAGTTCAATCACTCAAAAAGCAGCTTTTTATTTACGAAAATTTCCCTTCGACTGCCAACCAACACCAACACCAACACCAACATTCACTTCGAACTTGTTTCCATCCATATTATCGCAATGATATTCATAATTTTTCGTACGGACGAATGGTTGATCTCACAATGGCCAAATAGTGACCTTTTCACTGATTTATGGATCAGATTAATACTCTTATTTATAACTATTTATTTTATCACTACAGCAATCACGATTTTTACTTTTCTCAAGCTGTCAAATATTTAACTTATTAATTACAACTTACTTTGGATAATCAATTTATTTAATTACAATAAACTTTCCTAATTACACCAAAAATGAATTTAAATCACTAAATTATGTGGATCGGTGTCATAATTTTATTGAGTTAGTTCCAGTACTAGTTTACAAGGGCTGATCAAGATGATAAATTATTCAGGAAATCAAATAATCAATTTTCAACTTAATTGTGCTGTTAATTGCTCATCATCACCTTAAGATGAATCGTTCATTGAATATTCATCTTGACCAGAAAGGCATAATAATAATTAAGCAAAAATAACATAAATTGTGAATCGGATAAAGCAAAGGCAATATTACAAAGCTGATCACGATCTTCATTTATTCATGATCATGATTCATCTTGGTAATTATGATTTGATCATGATCGTTTCTTTGATTTAGTTAACTGTTATTTCTTTAATATTATCATTCCTATTCTTGGGAGTGAGAAGTGGAGTGAACATGCGTTAATGTTGTTCTCTTGTTGATATAAGTGAACCTTCAAAAAATAGGCTTAGAATTGTTTCTTAGTTGATAGAGGAAAGTTGAGTTCCAATGATGACCGAATCCTCAACCACAATCAACTAACTGAATTATGTTAGATCAACTTGAATATCAAGCAAGTCAACAACTAGTAACCGAATTGACAAATTTCTGTTTATTTGAGACCACAAATAAAACGCATTTCAATATATTGAACTGTTTTAATCAACGGTGAACGTCAATTCCTTCATTAAAACAAAGTGTTAATCCTAATCAACTTTTAGTTAGAAGACAACAATTAATCAATTCGCAGAATGCCCTTCTTTTACCTCCATTCACCAAGAGAACAACTTTGTCTTCAAAAAAGGTAATTAACTGATTTACATTAATAAATTCATCTTAATGATTCACTCTGATGATTGAGAATAACTTTAATGCGACTTGTCATCAGAATTTAGCTCGATGAACATTTTGATTAATTGTAAGCAGATCGATTTTCATTAACTTAGGTAAATGTTTACTTTTCTCTCATATTCAAATAGACACCAAGTTCTATGTCATTGAATGGTAATAATATAATTGGTAATTCGTCAAAGATCAGTCGAGAAAAATTAGACTCATTTGCGAATTAACTGAATCAACAGATTATATGAATAAAGATTCAACAATCAGTGAATAAACTACTACGCTAATGTAAGAAATTAATGTTTCCTCAATTTAGATTACTTCCTGAATTTGAATGTCATCGAATCACAAAGATACCGACAAGAATAATGAATAACATTAACTCTAATTTAATTGTTAAATAGAATCTCTGATTATTCTGATAACTCGAAGATATTTCCCAAGAATCTTGGATTTCATTATCAAGTAAAATTCTGCATTAATTCAGATTGATTTATCTCTTGATAAACGGTAGTTTTTTATTATTATTAAAGCTCTCAGCGTGTAGTTATTAATATTTCATGATGTTGCTCATAATCAATCATAATTGTTGACAATTAATAATTTATTTAAGTTTCCATTTGAGTTTCTCATCTCTTATCATAAATATCATAGTTTATACATTTGTATTTATTGTAGTAATATAAATATTGGAAACAGTTGCTAAATATACTCATTTAGTATTAATGATAACTAAGCTTCTAATTAGTGATCTAAATTAATTAGCTTTTATTATTCCCTGATTTTCATTTACGTGACATTTAATGATCCTGAATGGTAATTGTTCATTAGTGCAAATATTAATAAATCCAAATTCAGAGTTACGATTTAATGATTGATCTTCCCTTTGGTCAAAATTTTACTTATTAATAATTAAATTAGAATTTTGATTTTAGACGAATGAGATTAAATAAGAGTTTTAAATCAATTCTATCGATGAAATTTATTCGAGATTCAATCGCCTCATCAATGAGAAGTTCAATTGATTTAATAATCTGTACTTCAATTTTATCGGTAACTTGATCTCACTTTCAGAGTAAAGAATGTCCAAAATTGTGAATTTCATAGAATTCGATCATTGCGTCACCAATGAGTCGACCTTTGGTACTATCTGGTTACGATGTCGAATTCGTTAGTCTCAAATTACATCCTCGGCTCTCGAACGTCCCAATTAGACTTTTTCTTTCGAATGCAATTTGTCTCCAGCCCTAAGGGGCTTCGAGTTTGCAGGTTATGCTTAAGTTTTGCTTGAAAATTGAATTTAATTCACTTGGTGTTCGGATTATTGGATTTATTTTATAACAGATTTTAGATTCCGAGCACAAAAACTGTTTTTCGAATTTATTTCAGTTGAGAGTTTCCACTTTCAGAATGAAATAATACATTGTAATAACAATGAATTTCGAGTGAACATTAGCATGAAATAAACACCATGATAGCCTTCAATGTATGATATAGATAATGATAGAGATGAGAACACGAATTCAGATAAACGAAAACATTTTTCACTTTAGAAAATTATTGTTCTGTTGATATTAAATTAAACTTTCTCGTTCCTCTCATCAAATACTGAGTTTCGTTAATTTGATGAAAGAGGATCCGAATCAACCTGAAAATTTAAGCAATTAAAATGAATCGTGATTACATTTATATTTACAAGTGAATTGTTTTTTAGGGGCAATCAATATAACGATCGTTTCAATCACTATTATTGTTACAATGACAACAAATACAAATTGAAACGTTTAGCAGATTAGATTAATATTGGGTTTGGTTACACATTAATAATAAACTTTTCCCTATGAAAATATATTATTTCATTAAATTGATTCCAACATGAAACAATTTGAATGGTTCTGACTATTGAATTTGATTGAATTTGCAGATGAATGAAATTGTCATTTGAAAAATGAATTTGTCCTAATGTCCATTTCGAAACCACTTTACTTTTTTCTTAACAGTTTCACCCATGATGTTAGCGATATAATGACAATCATTTGCATGGTTCTTTGATTTTGATAGTAACAACAGCAAATATCATCTTATTTTTTTCATCATGTTATCGATTATCTGTTTATGAAAATATCATTCTAGTTGGAAAAATATGGAACTTACAGAATAAAAGACAGAAATTCCGAATTTTTCATCGCTTTCACCATGGTCATTATTTCATTCTTTTCACTCATTCCATACTTTGATTTTCTCTCTCATCTTCATCGCCTTGAATTGTAATTTGTTTGTTTTTATAACATTGAAACAGAACAATTTGTAAATAAGATGAATCGTTTTACATGGATAAGTATTGACATTGTCGCTAATTAATGATTGAAAAGAAAAGGAGCTGATCAAAGTTAATCGTCCTCTGGGCATATGATTGTTGTTCGTGTTTAAGTCACGATTTGTATTGTACTAATCTGATTTCTGTCAATATTTCAAATCTCAATATAAAAATCGAATTAACTTTCTTAACTCATCAATTTAATTTGGTTTAATTGATTTCTCTGGACAATCAATTCTCAACTGAGTTTATCCAGCAATTGAATAAGTGTCAGCAAACCTTTTACTTGTTATCTAATTAAAGATAATTGTCACGACCTAATCGCCTCTTATGGTTGGAGATTGTGACTTGAAACCGATTGATTCACAATCGATTAACCTTTTTCTGTAATAAAAGATAAATTTACTCTAGAAAATCATTGCCTGAGGCCATTTCTATCAGTGCAATCATTTCAATGTTTGCCTTTGAAATTTTTTAACTTCTTCATTATCCTAATACTCTTCTTGATTTAATTTCAGTTAGATAATGAAAAACATTCCCAAAATATAAATTAAATCAAATCCCTTACTTTTCAGTTCTTATTATGATTCTAATACCTTGACGATACCATTTCAGTTTCATGAAATTCACGAGGGAATCTGATGAATTATTTTCATTGCACAATTTCAAGTTTTCTTGATTTAGTGGAAACAAAACAACAATAAAACGAATAGAATGATAATTATCCTCTATTATGAAATATATCATCGAGCTCATTACTTATTGAACATTATAAGAAAATTAGATCAGAAAATAGAGATGACGGTTTATCTTTTAAAGACATAAATTCACCTGTAATGATGATAATAATCTCTCCCTTGCTCATCGTTTGAGTGAAACATTAGAGCTTCTCCATTGATTTTTCTATCGTTACCTGAGTTAATTAGAAGATTGGATTATTGTTATGCTTCTCTCTCTCTTTCTCTCTTTTCCTAGAATTCCAGCTCGTATTTGTTTCTCATTGAATCACATTCGCCAACACACTGACCCAGAAACACTTAAAGTCGAAAGGTCCGAAGCTATAATCTATTCCTTGGTAAGATTGTCTCATTTCCACTTTAAATTATGCGAATGTTTTTCAGTTTGATGATTATTTTCGTCGATACTAAGACATTAATCTTATTCCTTAGGTAATTGTTGTTTTTTATGCAGCGATTATTTTAATCGTTGTTGGAACCAACATGCATCGATGTCGTAAACGTCGTCAACGGTTAAATCGACAACAAACATTAAACTCTAATCATAAACAATTAACCAAATCACCCTCATTGATTGTCTCAATAAACAGTGAACCAGATAACTTTAGTTTACTGACCAATCATGTGAATAATAATCAACCAGCATTAACTTTAACAAGTAATCATAACCAAGAGCTGATAACTAAATTAACCAAGGGATCACCTGTTTGACATTAAATTTAATTTAATTTACTAATTATAATTGATAAAACACTAATCAAGTGTACTTTCATCAGCCAGGGAGAAATTAATTAATCTAAAATGACCAGAATTTAACAAGAACCAAAGCACCAAAATCCCAAGGAATCAAAACAATCGTGATACCAAAACAACAACCTCACTGTCGAAACAATTATATTGATTAACCAAATCAACTGATTGACTATTGTACAACAAAGGACTTAATTGTATTTTTAACTAATTCCCAATTTATACAAACAAATCAAAAGCCTTTGAAACCCATTATACTTGTTGATTGAACTTAAATTTTTCTGTAAATATTACAAACACGAATTAAAGTATTAATAAAATCTATCAAAATTAATTGACTTCTAATCATTTCAATGAGAAAATGATATTCTGTTCATCTAATGAATACCCTTGAGTTCAATCGTCATGATGGAATTCATAAAAAACACTGATTGTCGTTTGCATGCTTTCGTTTAAATTAAGTGACAGTTTTCTGATAATCAAATGGAAATTCAGTCAAAAATAAAACGATTCATTTGTTTAATATTAGAAATTAGATCGATGTAACGAAAAACATGAAAGATCATCAGTAGGAAGGTTCTGTAAACTTCATCATGAAAACGATGAATTATCATTAATATAATCACATTAATTTGAAACTTCAATCAAATTATCAAATTGATTGGATTTCGTTTGTAGGATTTGAATTTCGACAATTACTGAGTTGATGCGATTAAATAACTGATAATCATTTTCATATGAGAGTGATTAGTTTAACCATTTGAATATTTAATTATATTCCTGATGGACTGGAATTGCTAATTGTTTCATCAATTGTATCATTTCATTATTTCAGTTGAATTATTTATTAGTCTATAATTAATATTATCAGTTGCTAATTAATTAACAATAAAGACTTGTATTGTTTGAGGCTTGATTATGATTAACAAATGTTGAAAGGTATCTACTATTAGATAACTTTAATTCATCGTGACAATCAATTAATCACTTTCAACTTACATTAACTGTTACTTGTGACAAATTTTGATAAGATAATTATGATTAAAACATAATCTATTAATAGTTGTGCAATAATTAACTTAAATTAATAAACTAATTAAAGCAAGAATACAGTCTGTAGTTAGAGAGTAAGAAAGGGATTATAAATTAGATAATTAAGACTTTATCTAATCACAATTAACATAATCTTTATAATGAATATAATCCCATGGGTCTTTTATCAATTGGATTAAACCTAAGGCATAAACATGGCCGATTTGATTATATTAATAATAATCAATTCAGTCAACACTAGGAAAGTAAATTAAAAGCTCATTCAGTCTAATTATGATGAGATTATCAATTGTAAATGTTGAAGTTAAACGATACAAGAACAATTGATTAACTGATGATTGAAAAAGCGAAATCATAAAATTGTTGCTTCATTGAGATTAATCCATTGACCCGATTGATTTTTAGTGTCCACATACAATGTAAGTCCAATTGGTAACAATTAATACTCAAAAAGTAAATTAATCGAACAACTAAACTTTACGATTGTTAAACTTTTCATGGAAATTGGATGAAGATGAGAAGTTTTAATTCTTTTGTTTCCATAACCATGAAGGAGGTTAATTCATATGAATAGAACATTTTTCCAAAAAGAAACACATGAATCTGAGATTCTTTTTGGGAAAATCTTAGGCTTTTCTTCTCGATTTTCAACAAGAAACTTTCAATCTCAATTATCTTCTCAGTGTTAATCTCCTTCATCATTTGATCCAATAAGAAAGGCGAAAATCAAATAACCAGAATCAGAAAAAGTCAATATCTTAGTAAGACTTTACCTGTACATGGAAAGTGCTTAACTTTTAATTTTATGCTCCATGGGATTATTATCATTTTGTATTTTTACCAATCAATGATTTAATCAAATTGTGAATTGATTGTACCCATGATACTGATGATTATGAGCAAAAATTCAGGGGAACAATTTGTTCCAGTAAATTGTTCGTGAATTAACAATTACATTTAAATATCATTTTGACGAATCCACTTAAAATTAAACATTTTGGTTGAGGTTTTTTGTATAAATTATTATTTTTCTTGATTCGATCTTAATTGTTGCAAGTTAATTACTATTTTAATTGTTGGTTTTAATTTCTTTTGAAGGCTGGAATTAAAATAAACTATTCAATCTTCTCGTTTATACTGTTCTTATTTAAGACAAGGTTATTTACTATTTGCAGAGAATTATGATTAATTGTTGTGACCAATTGCTAATTAATCATTAGTTTTATCAAGAAAAGTATTTATAATTAAAGAAGCATTTAAAATGGATGATTATTGATCATTTGAAAGTAAATTAACTTGAGAGAATTAATTATCTTAAATTCACCCGTAATTGGATTAATTTGTGTGGACGAGATATAATACTAATCAGGATAATATTGCTTCATTATGAGTTAGTATAACCATTAATTAGTAATTAATGATTAACGTTGACACTTTGAAACTAAAATATTAACAACTTTATTCAGGATCGATAAAAAAAGTACAAGTGATAATAGGAAAAAGTTGATGATAAAATGGATCGAAATGATTAAAGCATCAAGATCTTTTTTATATTCGAGGACGAGGATGATAAGGATAAGATGATGGTCCAAAGAACCAAGGATCCCAAGGAAGGTAATCGTTTGGTTTGGATTCTGATGCTGATGTTGTTAGATCATCAGATGAAGATGAAGATGAGGATGGAGATGGAGATGGAGATGGAGATGGTGGTGATAATTTACTTTCATCTTGTGTTTTCGAATCAGATGTTGAAGAGGAAGATGATGAGGAAGGTGAAGGTCGATGGGGAAAATATTCTTCAGCCCAACCCCTTCTTGGATAATTCCAACCAGAATTCCATGAATAAGTAGGTGGATAAAAATGATGATATTGATTAGCATGATGATCATATGTCGTTCGTGTGATTGGATAAACATTTGAATAAACTGGATTTTGATACGATGCTGATGTTGGTTGATTGTTACTTGATCTTTGGTAAGAGGAAGTAGGATGATGAGTGGGAGGAGGATGAAAAGGATGCCGATGATAATTAGGTGTCATTGGAAGAAAATAATATTGATAAGGCGAACTGATTGTTCCAATTGATGATGAAATGGTATTTTCCGCCGAGGAATCACAATCTTCCAATGGAGGCTCTTCCAAAACGATTTTATCTCCATCATCAATTATTATGGCTCCTTTTCGGTGTTGATCAGGTTCACGAACAATAACATTATCACCATGACAATAATCAGATATTCTCATGATTACAATTAATCCAATCAATTGATAAGAAAAAGAAAAAACTCTGTGTAAAGGTAACATAGTTTACATTTGTTCTGTTATTGGTTAACAACACAAGAAGATAAATTCAAGTTTAATTTTGATTGTTGATGTTATACTTTTGATGATCATTCAACAAACTAAACAATTTAACTAAATAAACTTGATATTTAAATGGACACAATATAATTACCATTATAATCTCAATTATCATCAGAACAGTTGAGAACATGTTATACTTTGGTTAACATGATTCGAGTCATTTTAATAGACATTTAAGTCCAACTTAAAAATGGGCTTCGTTAATCGACATGCATCGGCTAATTGTTACTTTTAATTGTTTTTATTACAATTTGATTAACTTTTTATCAATTTGATTGTCATTTTGTCTAATCAGTTTCCATTTTTATCCTTAATTTGATATTTTCGCAGTTTGGCTATTGATGAAATGTTTGTATCTTTTACTATTTAGACTGATTAACGATTAACTATTTGGTTAATTCATCGAGCTTAATTTATCTGTGTGATTATCAAACGCTGAGGGAGGTCAGAGATTAGCAGATAAATTTGATTTAATTGTTAACAATCAGCATCTTTTTTTATTCAACATTAATTGTTAGTTATCAAAAAATCATCTTGTTGTTGCTTCTTTAATTCAATTAGCTGAATTCAAGTTTTTGATAGTTTCGGTCTGGTTATGATTGATGAGAAATATTTAATTGCAATAACAATTAAAATGAAAAACACAATTTGATTAACAAATTGTCACTTAAAAATTAGAAAATTCATCAATAACCTTAGATTATCTAGTTAATAAGACAATCAGAATTGTTATTTTTGAATGATAAAAAAATCGCGTGATCAAAATGAATAGGATTCTGATTGTGATCGATTTATGTTGATTACTTATAATCCAAACAAACCAAATCAAATAATATTTATTAATAATAATAATAATTTTTGAATGAAAGTTAAAAAAGATTCAGTATAATGAATATTTGTCTCAATCTCTCAGTTGAACTCTCGGTGATAAATAATCGCAATCAGGAATCATTATTAAAGTAGAAAATTAAAAGGAAGAGTTAATTGTTGAACTTACTTTCGATTTGCTCGGTTGATCAACAATATACTTTTATTTGAAACATTAACAAAATTAATTGTCAATTATAACATTAACCATAACTTGAGCATCGCTTTTTCATTCAAATTACTATTCGGTTGTTCAACTTTAATTTAGTTACTTTTCAATTGGATTCAACTTCTGAATTTTCAATGAAAACTTTTGAATTTAATCATCACTTTCCCGATGAAATCAACTCTCATTACTATTACGCAGGAATATCACTCATGTATATTTAACATTAAAGGTACAATTCAATTGTCACTATTGGACTTACAATTACTCTGTTTGTTTAACAGGAACAAATAAGATTATTAAATTAATTACTTCAGACTAAAGTTAATTGTTGTTGATCAATTTTCGAGCAATTTAACAATCGTTTTTCCAAAAGTTTCCAATCATATCTGCAAATTGTGTAGTTTAGTAACAATTCAATCACCAATTTATTTTCAATCCTTCATGTTGATGTTTAATAACATGGAAGGACAATTTCAATACGAATTATGTTTGAAATTATGTATTTATTATGATTGTTTAGTTAATTATGATTAGATAAATAAGCTTAGGGTTAATTGAGTGTTGATTTAGTTACAAATTAATTTTCAAGGTTTTAATTGTTTCTTTTGATTATTTCCATCATGTTAGGTAAATAATGTCAATAAAATTCATTGATTAAACTCACGAGAATTGATTAGCCTCTGTTTTAATTATACTACTTGACTCGTTTTATTTATTTTCCAATAATTTAATCGTAATCAACTTCTCTTCTACTTTTCATCAAATCAATACAATCAATCGATTGTGATGTGATTAATTTAATTATTAAAAATTGTTTAATTTTATGACAATTCCCTACAATAGATTCACTTTGTATCAAAATGTTGAGTAATGATTATAATTTGAACGATTCTCAATTATTCACCGTTAGATAATTGATTATCACGTTTATTGATTGCAATTTAATGACAAACTGTTACTATTAATGATAAAGTCTTTGGTGATAGTCAGCTAAATTGGTACAATTAATAAATGTAAATGAAAAATCCTTGAATTTTGACATTAATTTGCTCAGTTAATAAAATTTGATTGATTTCGACAATCAAACTAATAATGATGAAGATTTAATCGAGTTAACAGTTAATTTAAACTAACTGTTTGATTACAGTATTTTAAGGCGCTTTATAATCAACATGACAATAAGATTAATCAAGTTAATTGAAGGTCCAAATCAAACTAATCAACGATTAAAAACCCAAAGGTAGTTTAATCTCAAGAGTAATCATTAGCTGAGAGATAAAATTGATCATCGGATGATTAAATTGCTAATCTAAATCGTTACTTGAAAAGGTAACTATTCAATTGGTTAATCCAAAGTGAACCAGACAAAACAAATTGTAGTTTCATTGATTGTGACTGAAATGCTGAAACTCATTACGATTAAACCTAATGGTTAATGTTGTTGTCTAAGTAACTCGAAAGTAGAAAGATGGAAAGAAAGAGGATTCGAAACAAGAAAGATGAAAGTTCAATAACATTTTGATGAATGAAATATTCATGGGTTAGAATGATGATGGTGAAGGTTAAGGTTACCATAGTAACTTTGCATCGTTTAGAAAGAGAAAAGAAAGAGAGTCAATGATAAACACAGAAGAAGACAGGAAGTATTTTCTTTTTTATTCTTGTTCGATTCAAAGGTTATTTATTCCTTTTCTTTTCATAGAGAGATTGTTATTGTTTATTAACATCGTTCTCGAAAATTAGTCTTACCTTTTTCTATGTTTTAATCCACCAACAATCGCCTCGGGCTTTATTTCATCATAATCGTCATTCTCTCGGATTCATCTCAACATGGTATCAATGCTTTAGAAAAGAATACAAGTGAAAGGCTATTTCATGTTCTTTTTTTCCTGAGCAATGATTTTCTCAATTCCTTGAGTTGAGAACCATTGAAGCTCAATTATTGTTATTTCATTGCAACTATTAACTCTCCTTTCTTTTTTCTCTCTCATTCTCTCGTTTTCACTCTAACTCACTCTCTCTCTCTCTTTTTCTCTCTGTGTTTCATTAACCATTAAATTCTATTCTCTCTTTTCCCTTTCGTTTAAATTCTCACTCATTTTTTTATATTTAGTTACCATAATTTACTTATCACTATTCGAATGTCCCAAGATAATTCAGTGAATTTAACTTGATTAGTTTAATTCGAATCTTTTTAACGACAAATTTTCGAAACCTTTTACAATTCTACACTTTGTATATTTAATCATCTGCTTAATGTTCATCTAATTTACTACTCATATAATTACTGATTCTATTGCATCTCAATCGATTCGAAGGAAACATAATCATGGTAACGGACATTAAGAGTTTTTTCAATCATCTCGCGGTTTGTTGGCGAGGCTATTTCTCGATTGCTGTTATTCTGCTTCTCTCACCTTTTCTCATTTTCGGCTACGACGATCCGGTAAGTTGGTTCAAATTTAATTCTTTCTGCTCTATACATTAGTTAATCTTCGTTAATTAGATTCAATTGTCAATAATTTAATATGAAATGCTAAAAATAGACAATTGATGTGACACAAGAACCAGTTGACATTGATTTTTGTCTCTGATTCTGTTTCCAATGGTCACTATCATCACATTTACCTGAATGTTTTGTACATTAGCAACAATTGGGTTAATTTGTTTTCAGAATTCAATCAGATTCAGTTTATGTTTGACATTAACTCACATTCGTAATCAACTTGTTAAAAGATTCACAGTCTTGAGACTCAAGGTAATTACAGAATTAGTTGAATTTCTCTCAGTATTTTCAATATTTAATTTACTAATCAAATAGAGAAACTATTTGTTCAGAATGTTCATCATGGTAAACACACAAAGAGTAACCATTAACCTTGACAATTAACTGATAGATTGATTTGTGACTTTTAATTTAATTGGTTAAATTGTTACTCCTTTGTAGTTACAACATAACAAAAGAAACTTCAAGGTAACTGATTAACCAGACATTTTATTGGTTCTTAGCATCACCATCATCATCATCATCTTGTTCTCTCTCTCTCTCGGGAATCATCATCATTAATTTAGACCAATAAAGTAACAAGATTTCAAGTTGACCAATCTGATTATTGTGATGAAGATTTGGTGACATTGTTTTGTTTTAATGTCAAATATTTGTGGTAATCAGACTTGCAACTTAAATGATTAATTGTTGTTGTTATGTAAATAAACTTACAAGTTCAAGAGTAAACAACAAATTAATTGTGATTGAAACATGTGATTGTAATATGATCGGAGATGCAATCATTTTCTTAAGGATTTTAATTGACTTGAAATCATGATAATGATGATTGATTGTTCAGTGAAAATTCAACATTATCTTGATCAGTTAGTTACTAATAGATGAATACATGTATATTTTCATTAACCAAAACCAACTCTAAATTAAATTATTTACTTAAAGCGACCATTTAATGTCCACAACTATTTCACTATGAACTGACCATTAGAATAAAAGTTAATTACCCTGAAGCTAAATGATGTTACTTGATGTGACTAATTGTTTAATTGTATGACCCTTTTTTAGGGTAAGAAACTTGATTGTAATTATCGTTTCATGGAAACAATTTGATATAATCATCAAAGTCACTGAAGCTTCTTGATAGTCTTTTCTTGATAATGTATCACTTGGTTAACTAATTTCACTAGTTTACTCAACTAAATCAAAACTTTGACCAACTAATTCAAGTAACTGACCATCGGTTTAAAATGGTTGTGTAAACAATTTCACCCTGATAATCTGAATAATCCTAATGACCATCATGAAATTTATTTCCATTTCTTGATTTGAAGTTAATTGTATCAAAATTGTATTTTCGTCTTTCGGTTCTGATCACTTACAAGACTATTTGAATCAAGATTAATTCAATTCCAATGAACAATTGAAAGCTAATGGAAATTTTATTAATAGTTATTCAAGTTCAAAGTGAGAACCTCAAAACCTTTTTATCAGTAATTCAAATTTCTAAACTATTAATAAATTAAAAATATAATCAATCAAAGTGTCATTTTGACTCCAACTTAATCAGCTGATTATTTTATTTCGATAAAAGTTGTGCTTAAAATTAAGTATAAAAAAACTAGAGAAAAGGAGGACAAGATAATCTTTAATTGATTATCTCCATAAACTCAATCAAAAGAAGATTAAGATTCACAATTAATCTTTTCAGTTTTCAATGTTTTCTTATTGAAACCACAATGAACATTATGCTTCATGGAACAGATTAATTAGCTTCTACTTTGTAGCTTAATCAAATTCCAAATAAAATTCTGTAGAAACTAATTGATTCACAATCAACGAATTATTCTTATATTCTTCATGTTTACCATTTTCTTTTTCACCTACTATCTATTTCCTTTCATTGATAAATGTTGTCTCCTTTTCTTTATATTCAATCATCACTCTGATCATCTTTTCTTTGTCGTTCAACCTCAGGATAAAAGATGTTGATACATCATCATGTTGTCATGGAAAGGTGATTCTTTTTTTCCTTTTCTTGTTCATGTGAAAGTGATTTTTCATTGAATTAACTTGAAAAATTCTTAACTCAATCGATCCTTTCCAATCTGTGTTTATTACATGAGAATGAATAATCTCGGTGAACTCTCGTCATTATTTCCATCAAGTTTTTCCATATTAAATTATTAGATTTCTCTTTGTGGCTCGTTGAATAACTTTCAGAATAGAAATAATCTTGAGTTATCTCAACAACATAACGATTATTTCCTGTTCGCTAATTATTAACTGATTAGCTCTTAATTGAACTGATCAATATTAACTTTTAACTTTCAATGAAAAAAATTAATTTCCTAAAAAAGTTGAATAAGTAACGAACAATTTAAAACCTCATATTAATACAAACAATTTAGCTGAAAAATCATCGTATTGAATCGCATGTGTAAACATAATCATAGTTTTCATTAATTAATCTTCTTTGTTAACATCTCTCTGATTATTAATATTAATCTCAATTCTTTCAAGTGATCTTACTAATTGTTTGGAATGAAATTATCTTTTCCATTCAAATCTACAAATCTATCTAAATGTCGAAACTTGTACGACTTTTACTCAAAATTCGTGATAGAAAACCATTTATTTGATTTGGAACTTGTTCTTATTAAATTGACAGAACAATTAGATCAGATGAGCAGATGAACTTGATGTCTTTATAAATTTTAGATATTTCGACAACCTTTGGTGTTCGAGGATCAGTTAATTTTGATAATTACTTTCATAATTGGCATCCAACTAATTGTGGTACAAACAGTTAACCCTTGAGGCTTTTACATGATGATTTCGCTGATAGCTTAATTCTAATCAATTCTAACTAATCAATCACTTTATGTTAATCTTTTAATTTCACAACCGAAAAGACATTTCAGTTTTCTATTATTCTGATACATTGATTGTTATCAATGATGAATTTCCGAGTAATTAAAAATAATGATTATTTTCACCATGAAAATTGGTGAACATTTTTGTGTCAATATGGTGCAAGATTGGTGAGTCTCTAGAGAGTGAGATTTACTAGTTGAATAGTATCATCGTTATCATCGTGTTGAAGTTAATTACTTCAACTTGTTGGTATTTGTTTCGGTTTATTGACAATTAATTTGACAATGTCAATGAATGAGTTTGTTGCATGTATGTTACTTTAATTGTATCGAGTATCATGTTTACACATAATATTATTATCTTATAAATAATACTTTATATCTGTTTAATTGTGAACAGAAAATGATACTAATCGATTGGCGTTTGGTGCAAACTTATCCAATGATAAATCACAAACGAAACTTGATCTCAGTCTAAAAAAAGAAAAAGTAAAACTAATTAATTTTATGTAAGAGCAATTAGTTAATTACCAAGACAATTACCTGGATTGGATTGATCATTTAAATTGAATTAGGTTAAGAATAAGTGAAATACCAGTTACAATAGTTTGATAATTTCCACAGGTTAGCATTATATTCATCATGCTTTTCATGAACTGAACTCCAACCATTAGGTTCCTTTCATTATGATAAACTTGATGATGAAAATAATGACGATGATCAAAGTTTGATGTTATTAGATAATCAGTCTGAGGGATAATAGACTTTACTTAATGATAACCGTTGAATTGTGAATGAGTTTCTTTGTCAGAATTTGGTGTTATCTCCCATGAATACCTATCATGGGAGAAGGTAAAGAATTTTCTGCATTAGTGTTCACCATTATTCCAACTGCATTCAGGGAGATTCAATATTAAACATAGTTGACTGTCTTCTCATATATTCCTATGCAATACTTTGTGAATTACTTTTTGATAATGTTGACTGATATTTTCCTCCAGCATGATTCAACCTTTGGTGATGATACCAATGAAATATAATATAAATAAAATGGCGGTTAATGTCCAGCGATCCCAATACAATATACAGATGATTATTGGTTTCTATTGAGAATTGGTCACTCAGCTAGTAAATCAAATGTAAATGATATTAATCTTAAACAAAAAATATTCACTTTTTTCATCTCATTGATATTTGAAATTCTAAAGTTAAACGATAACCATGATGATTGATGAGTTCTACATTCAGTTTATGGCTATTAGATCAGATTAGAATGTTTCAGCTTCCGTTATATCTGAATCGGGAGAAAAGTATATTCCAATAAGATCTTGAGAATAAGTGTTTTTCATTAATTCCAAAATATTTAGAAGCAGTCGGATGATTACCATTAGAGAATTAATTCTTACATTGAATCTGATATTACAACAAAAAAGAATAATTTTTGACATTTTGAGTTATTTTTATCATTAATTATCATCAACTTTCTATTTAGTAATTGTCATTGATTAAACTTTATAAGATAAATATTCTCATGGCTTCTTTATCATGGAAAGATAAAAAATTGAAATTGAACTAAAAATTGTATTGAGTAAATAAAAGTAAAAGAGAAGCAAATAAATGAATTCATTATGAACAAATTTCTTGATTTTTTGCGCTTCCATTCATAAAGAAAATGAGAAAAAAACTGAAAACTAACCTTTAAAAAGAAGTCCTAATAATCCTGATTTAACGTTTTCTATTTGATTCCACTACATGATAATCCAAATGATACACCAGAAATGCCGTTGTGCCTTTGTAGTCCTATTGATGACCATTTACTGGGCCATTCAGCCCATTCCAATGGGGGTCACCTCTTTGTTTCCAGTGTTTCTCCTTCCCATTCTAGAACTAGCGACCTCCGAAGAGGCTTGTCGACCTTATCTCCAAGAGGCCAACATGGTATTCGTTGGAAGTCTCATCTTTGCTGCAGCCATAGAGAGTTCCAATCTCCATCGTAGGATTGCCTTGTTTGTCTTGAAAAGCATTGGGTCTCGTCTTGAGATGATTATGCTTGGATTTATGGGGATAACCATGTTTATTGCTTGGTGGATTACCAATACAGCTACAACGGCTCTTATGTTACCGATAATGGATGCTGTTATACAAGAGATTCAACCTAAAGAGATTGACCATTGGTCCGATCCCATGAAAAAACTGGAAAATAAAAAGACAGAAAACATTAATAATAACGACAATAACAATAATAGCAATAGAAATAATCATAATGACAAAAATAATAACTTTAACAACGATACAAATAATAATAATCAACATCATCATAATGACAGTGATCATCATCAAAGCTCTCGAAATGGACATTGCTTGGTTACAGTTAATTCTAATAAAAGGGAATCAATTGAATTAACAATTCGACGTGATGAAAAAGGTAAATTGTTAATTAATATCTATGATAATCTAATTGTGTAAATTAGCCCAAATTCCCTTCAGAATCAATATTTCTCCAGTTCCAATGTTGAAAACTTAATCGGGTTGAACTTAAATTAAAGTTGTAGTTTTGAGCAACAGTTTAAGTTGCGATTGGATTGACAGATAAATTGATCAATAACAAAATTGAAAAGAAATCAATTCTTATCAATCACCTTAATCGTTAATAATCTTGAAAGGAAAGTGATGATTCTTATGTCATGATAATCAAGTTTCTTCACAGTTCGATAAGTGATTAGAAAAAAAACTACAATTTATCAATTTTTGAGAAGTAAATTGTTGTTATTTGATAGAAACTCTCTCTTTCTCTCTGTGATCATGTTCTGTCCTCAAGAAAAGTGATTGAACACTGATTATTTTAGTGTCTTTGGCACATCCAATACTTTACACCCAATCATCAGAAATCAATATAAAGCCAATCAATCTATAAGACTGATGACCATCATATGGACAAAGGGAGAGCGAGTTAGTTAACGTAAAGTGGGTTAAATTATTAGTAGGAGTGATCCGATGATGAAGAAGATAAAGGAAGATGAAGAAGAGAAGAAAAAAGTAAGATGATGTGTTGAATGTTGGGTCTTGTTTTTTGGTATAAATTGTCACCATAAATAGATTCTGTTTCCTATTGTTGCCCATCAATTTCATTCTGTCTCTTCTCTTTAATGGCTACTTTGCTTGGTCATCATCTTTTTCAGTTAAATGAAGGTAATTGTTCAGAGGAAACTCATTCTCTTGATCCTTGGATACTTGTTACCTTTTTTATGTACAGTGTGTTGTCATTAAATCGATGCATTCAGAGAATAAGAAGCAAAACACCTCGAATACGAAACAAACTGAATCAAGTACTTATCTACTTATCGAAACCCACAGATACGGTTAATCCATTTCTCCATCTCAAGTCACTTTGATTCCCTCTAGATTCCTAAAACCCTTTATTATAATTCAGAGGAAATCAGAGTTGAATTCATGTGTAGATGCTACAGTTACTTGAACTAAAAGAAGCCTGAAAAGCTGTTGAGATTTAAAGGCCATAATAATATCGATGTCCAGATAACTTGGACATGACGTTGACACATTTACACAGTTTCTATCGATTACATGGTAAACAAAAGAGATGAAAGATGATAATCACAATGAAGATTGAAAGAGAAGAGAGAAAATAAATGCTGAAACATTGAATAGAGAAAATATAACATCTTGATTCCATTAAAAGAAAATATGAAAAATTGAATAGAACGAAAAAAAGGAAAAGAGAAACTGAAACTGAAACTGACGTGATGAGATGAACCTTCTTAAGATAACAGCAGATTGACAGTAAACGAGGTCCATTTCTTGGTGACCATTAAATCCGTATGTTGTTCACCTTATCTTGATCCTCTTTTATTTTCTTTTAATGTTCATGGTTTTCCTCATCTTTTCAAAAGAAACAAAAGTCATTGAATCTTCATTCAGCTCAGTTGGAATCAGAATCTTATTTCAACTGATGGAAGCTACATGACTATTGTCATTCGAATCTTCAAAAAAAGATGAATACTATCGATAAAACGATGAACCTATTGATTAAGATGAAGAAAACAAATAAAACCCTGAGCTATGAACCATAACAATATTAACCATGAAACAAACAAAACTTTAGTATCCTTTCAAATGATGGAATAATTAATGATTGACTATCGACCCTTGAACTTGATGATTGAGAATCCGTGTTTTCAGGAATGGCATTGAGATTTGATTAATTGAGAATTGATGTAGTTCATTCAGTGTTCATCGATTCATAACAATAATCTTTTATATCCATGACCATCATGGAAATTTATCTCTGAAAGTTTTATTTAAATTAACAATTCGACGCGTGAACAACTCAAACCATTTAAACTCAACTGAAATTCTTAAATATTGCTATCTTATTCTGGAATAAATTTGTTTCTGATTATCTCTTTCTATTCACCAGATCAACAGTTATCATCCAAATGCTCAAGGAATGACAGTCATGTTCATGCAAACGCTTCAAATGGAGCCAACAAATACTCGGATTCGCCAAATTCCCTCCAAAGTGATGTTAATTTTTCACAACTTCGTAAAATTTTGTACATCTCAATTTCGTCGTCAGCAAATGTCGGAACAACTTCAACACTAACAAGTGCTGGTCCTAATCTTGTGCTGTCTTATGTGTTGGAAGAGTAAGTGAGATTGTCATGATCGAAATCAAATAATTGATCAATTCCACAAAAATGAATAATAACTTATCGTAGCCCATAAATTGAAAAAAACTTTAACTCTATTATATAGTCGATTCATCATTTAAACTATCATGTGAAATTCATACTAATCTGAGAAATAGAAACAAGTGAATATCGTATGTTCCACCATGATTCATTTTCTTTTTGTTTACTTGAGCTGTTTTCCTCATAAAGATTATCATGTAAGGATAACTATGAATTGTGATGATAAAGAGAACCAAAATAATGGAGAAAGTCAGTTAACTATTGTTTTCAATGTTATATTCAAGATGACAAAATATCTCGACAGAAAAGCTTCATGATGATTCTAATGATGATGATGATCAACTCGGTGATGATCATTGCAGGAAAATAATCTTTACCTGAGGAACTTCTTACCCACTTGACTCTTATTCCATTTCCTCTTATGTTCTTAACGTTTTCTGGAACAATTATTTTCTTTTATTCTGGACTTTTAGGTTAATTCTCTTCTTTTATTTTGGTTAATTCGAAATTCGTTGTTATCTTATTTGTCTCCATTCAGGTAGATATAAAAAAAGGATTCTCATGAATTTGTTGAAACTCCAACTTGATCCATCTTGCCAATCATCTCATCACTTTATCATTAGCATCTTCATCTTAGTCTCCATGATTCTTTTGATGATTACAAGGAAATGAAATAAATGGAATCCGCTGATTAATAAGAAGACTAAAAGCTCATCTGAGTTTCACTTTGTTTCCTTATCATTCATTGATCAACATTCGGTTTCAATGATAATCCAAAGTTACAATCAATTGATATAATATATTTATATACATTTTCGTTTCATCCTTTTCAGGGTGTGTTTAATTCTCATCCTTTGAGAGCATCATTATCTTCCATAACTGTAAATACACGAACAGAGTAAATTAGATGCTGTTTGTATACCAAAAAATGCTCATAGAATCTCAGATTATTTAGTTACCATGAAATTGAATGGGAATCGATTTCTAACCTTGAACCAACCTTACAATGACCTGGAGACTGACATGAAACTTGATATTATTTGTCAACAAAGTTCATCAATGTGAAAGAAAAAAGTTACTATTCTAAAGAAGACAGAAACACTTATATTAATACAGAACAGTAATGAAAGAAAATAAAATAATCCATTGGCTGAGTTATCTCAATGTTAATTGATCCGAGAAACTTGTTTGTCAGAATCATCATTAAATTATCATTGTAATTATCTTATAATCCTCATTATCCATTATCATGACCATCTCGAGGATTTTATTGACCTTTGTCCGCATTAAAACGTTATAAAAGATTATAAAATGTATTATATTGTATCTTTTTCTTTATTTGCTTTTTAGATGGTATCATGAAAGAACCTCAGTTGATTATCTCAATTGGCTCATGTTTGCTGCTCCAGGATCATTGCTGACCATCATTTTAAACTGGACAATATTCAAATATCTTTACCTAAGGTAAGAGATTCACTTGATAAAAAATAACAATCAATTGAAGTAAAGATCATACATGAGGAGTGTGATTGTTGACGTTTCCAAGAAACTGATTTTCTTTCTTTCAAATGAATTACTGTGAGAGAGATTGATGGGTAGAATATTTGGCTTGACGAATATTATTTCATCTTAACAATCTATCAACATGAAACATCAACCCTGAATCAAGATTGATCTTTCTTTTCTCTCTGTGTTTATCTATGTAACCAATGTTATCATTATTTTCATTGTTATCCAAGAATTGGAACAGAAAAGGTATATCGATTTAGAGACTGTTGATACATGAAAATCAATGTATCTTATATACAATATTGGAACAAATATTTTATTCTTTTTTCTTTCATCTTCATCATCTCATGCAACAAGATCAAATGATGATGATGTTCACCTAAACTTTATTTTTCTTTTTTCTTCTAGAAAACATAAAATATCAAAAACTAACAAGAAAGCGAATAATATTCTGCAAGAGAAGTACAAACAACTCGGATCTTTGAGGTATTTCGATGAAATTCTATCATAATGTGATTTATATTGAATTGGAAATAATCGCATTAAAATTTCTTCTTTTGTCTCATCTCTTTTCTTCAGATTTCATGAATTTGCTGTTGTTGTTTTATTCGTAACCTTGGTACTTTTGTGGATGTTCCGTGATCCTCAATATCTTCGAGGATGGTCAACCATCTTTCCTGAAAAGTAATTCATTTCGATTTATTAACAATCAGTTTGATTCTGATACATTTTCTATCACAAAATCAACAGATATCGACCTCGAGATGCTGCAGTCGTGATTTTCATGGTTGCAGTGTTATTTTTCACTCCATCAAGACCTCTGGGTCCTTATCCTTCACCGGGTCTACTTGAATGGCCTAAAGTCCAAAACAAATTAGTATGGAGTGTAATTCTCCTTCGAGGTGGAGGTTATGCAGTTGCCAAAGCCACTCAGGTAAGTTTAGAATTTCAGACAAAGTTTTCGAAAATCAGAATTTTCACACGCTAATGGTCAATAAAATTCTGAGCTCTGAAAATAATCACCGACATTAATTATTTAGGAAACTTATTGTATCTAAATGGTTTTAAAATCTCAGGTTTCAACTTTGAGCAAGTAAATTACCTGAGAGAATAAAAAATGATGAAATGTAGAAATATGAATGATAATATTTCTCATGGAGAGAGAATTGATAAACTTCTCAATCGATTGAAATCATCAGAATTTCTATGCTCATGGTAAAAGGATAATAATAAGCATCATGTTAGAGTAAAGATTCATATTAAATTCTGTGATAATAATCTCACTATGACTCAGATTGTTCAAGTATTATCGTTTATTTGCTTCTCTTATCATCTATTTATCATCAAGAAGGTTATGAAAGGTCACATCACATAATAATAACCATAATGGATAAATGTAGTTAGTGACAGTAGAAATATGAATATATATTAAAATATAAAACATGGTGATTATTTCATGATTAAAATGAATTTAAAGTTGAATAAGTAGTTTTTATGGTTCCAATTCTCAATGAAATGAAGGTAAAAATGAAAGAAACTCAATTCAGACTAAAAGTTTTTCTTTGTTTTCTCTGCTAATATGGTAATTGAAATGAATTTCATCCATAATGATAATCTATTAGTCTAATTATTGAACATTGGTTTTTATTCAATTTGCTTAAATTGTTAATAATTTTGAAAGATAAGGCGAAGATTAATAGAAAATTCAGCTGAATTAGTTGCACTCTAGAAAACTACTATCAGCATATTAGAATTTTATTTAGTTGGAATCAACAGATTATCAGATTCCCATTATCATTTATTTAGATTTTATTATCTTTCGTTGTTTCCAATTTGATTTAATTTATGTTCTCACTCTGATTATGGCCCATTATTGGCTCTTGTTAAACCATAAATTGTCTTTATTTGGTTGATTATGTTACAAGATTGTTGATTCTCGATTCTTGTTGCTATTTTATCTTCGAGGGATTCTATCGATTCCCATACCTTGAATATAATACAAAAGTTCTAGACGATTTCTCAGGCATTTTCTTATTCTTTTTTCACATGGAGAAAAGTCAAGTATAGAAAAGATTCATATGAAAAAAGAAAAAATTGAAAAGATATTAAATTTACAATTATATGGAATCGTCTGAATATCTCATTGAATTTGCTGAAGACAAACATGTTTTTATTAGAACTAAAAAATTTGAGAATCTGAAAAAGGTCAGAATTTCTTATTATTCTTATTATGTGATAATATTATTTAGAGAAATGAAGAGAACAAAATTTCATCCAGTTACTTGATGATATACTTTGTACTATTTATTTTACAGTTACTTTCATTTATATTGAACTTATTCAACTATTCGAGATTGTAATTACAAAATTATTATTAATATTTTCTCATTTATTTTATATCCACAGAATTGAAAGATCATTATTAACATTATCTTATCTCATTATTATCATGAGCCATTATTGTTTATCGCCTTAGGGAATTAGGGAAATGACTTGCAGCTTTTTTCGTTTAAAGTTCACTTGAATTTCTATCATTCATTTACTTGATAATGTTCCCATAAATTGTTTATTGAAATGATAATTCATATGAATATGAGATAAGATTTATGAATATTAATCATTATCGTTGAATTTCATCAATTTAATAATTGGTTTTTTTATCCAATTTCTTTTCATGTCTTTCTATTCTGTATCAATTTCTATATTCATGATACTTGACATTTTATCCTAATCCTCATGGTTATCCAATCTCACTTCCATGTCTCGATTAGATTATTATCTTTAATTTCCTAACAGGCAATTCGATATCATTTCAAATGGATCAAAGTTATTATCGATTCCTTTTTGTTGACTTATTTAATTTCATTTGACCAACTAACTGGACATTTTCAATATGATTCTGTGACTCGTTTATCCATATCTCTGATTAACATTCATGGTTGTATTTTATCAAATTGAATTGAAAGAATTTGTTTGGTAGATCAGAAATCGAATTTCAACCCTGAAGATTCTCTACATGGAAAATATAATTGAATTGAAAAAGTTCGAAAAATGTTCATATTTTCTCTCATCATCGTTCTCATTTTCTTTCTATCTTCTTCCATCTTCATCTTCTCCACCTTTCAAATTATTTGCTATTCAATTCCAGCCTTAGGTTATTAGCCTCGTTGATTCATATTATGTTTATAAAGTGCATGTGAATTTGTAGCCAAGAAAAGCACTGAAACAGAATCGATTACAGGAAATTTGAGTTATCTGTCATGAAATGAATGGTTTGTAACTTCCGGAGACATTTCAACTACTCTCTTTCATTTGCTTCTCTTTCTTTACCTTCCTCTCGAAACTTGATGCTAACTCTTGATTGTATTCAGTTGATGAGAAACAAAGAGTAAATATCAACTCGAATCCCATTAACAAGTTAACGAGATGTTCTAACAATTTGATAATTCGTGGCAAATGGTCAACCTATAAGTTCATGTTTACGATCATTCAAGGTTTTCTTTTTCTTCCCTATTGATTTTTAGTCTCATCTTCGTCTTCATTTTTCTTCTACACATCATCACCTTTTCTCTTTTCTCTTTTTTAATTTTCTTTTTTGTTTCTATGATCATTTTTTTTCTTTCCCTTCCATAGACTTCAGGACTCTCTGAATACCTTGGGAACATGTTCACTAAGATAAACGATCTCCCAGTTGTCATGCTTGTCATCATCTTCGCCGCTATTGCTGCGATTCTTACAGAATTTGCAAGTAATTCGACCACCGCTACAATAGTTTTACCAGTTGTTGCTCAAGTTGTAAGTTCGTTTCCACTCAATTTGATTTCATTTTCAATTCATCGTATTAAGACTGAACGTTAACAATTTCATTGATTTAGTTCAACAACTCATTCGAACTGAATTAACTCAATCATCTCCTGTGAAGTGTTTCAATTAATGACAATTGAATAATCAGTCAATTTCTTCTAAAATAATCTCATCAGTTGATTTAAGTTTCTCGATCGTAGAAAATATCGTTTCAGCAGAACTAATTGTTTGCATTTATCTTAACTGATTTAGGCCTCGTCAATTGGAATCAATCCATTAGTCTTCTTAATCCCAGTAACTATGGCTTGTTCAATGTGCTTCATTTTACCAGCAGGAACCCCAGCCAATGCTCTGGTCTACGAACATGCTGGCTTAAAGCCCTCTGATATGGTAATCATATTAACCTAATTTCGCTCTTTTAATTGATTATATTTGTTTATCATTCTAACTCATTATATAAATTGTTTATCTTTAATAATTTTACCTTTAATCTTTTTCTTTAGGTTATTCCTGGTTTATTGATGAAGATCACGAGCTTAGCTGTCATAGTAGCTAATCTTAATCTCCTTGGTTATCCAATATTTGGATTATCAACGACACCTAAATGGGCTTCACTTTCAGCCAACAGCACATTGATTTCTTGATGATTTAAATACAGTTATAAACTCATCTAATGAAATTCATTGCATATGATCATTACTGTTACTATTTAACTTTGTTTGTTTAATTTTTTTGCAAAACAAACTATTTTTTGACCTTGAATAAGTCTCTCTCTCTCTCTCTCTCTCTCTCTCTCTCTCTCTTAACTGATTTTTATTAATCTCGTAACGAATAAAAACAAATTCAAACACAAGAACGTCCATCAGAAATACTTTACTTGGCAACTGATGAGATTATAATATTGTTATATTTGTGACGTCCGACGAAAACCAGAAGCTTAAAAAATACTAATCTTTAAACTTCTTGCGACTCAACAAAAACTGAAACTTTTATCAGTCTGACGAAAATCTGTTAGTACGTTAATCCACCAAGAGATGGCGAATCTGATTCAGCCATTCTAATACATGAGTTGTTCTTAACGAATGAAATAACAGCAAACTTTGGCACTCTGAGTGTTAATCAGCTCTACTCGTCCAAAGAAAAGTACGAAACCCATTCTAATAGATAAACATGTAGGTTCAATTTGAATCGAATGTAAATTTTGTAAGAAATTCTAATTTTCTATTTGATTGTTTTTAATAATAAGAAGACGAAAAGATTATCGAATAAAATAAATGAAAATAAATAAAAACGAAATAATATTAAGATGGAAATTAATGAGGATAGAGAATAAGAAATTCGAAATATTGAATCGCCTTAATTTCTGACAAATAGTAAAGTAAGCGGACAAATGACCTCGTAATGGACTGACAGTAATTCTAGAAACAAGTACAATCTCTTGGTAAGTAAAACCTGATTCCTCGTTCACATGCACTTGTAAGAAGAACCAGAAAACCGGATTCATCCGTTTAAGAGAATCTTCGTAATCCACTGCTTATCCTTTTTTCTTTTTCTTTTTCTTTTTTTCGTTTTTTTGCTTAATCTCAAACGGTTTTAATTGAGAAAAGAAAAGAAAAGAAAAGAGAAGGAGAAGGAAAAAAGAAAAGTATTAATTGAATTGAGATCATAAGGATCGATTAATTTATGCACTAGACGTGAGACAATTGGAAAGCTCCAATTGTCGACAATTAGAGTCGCTGGAGTAAAGTAAATGCAACTGGTGAACTTGTCAATTGGTTTGATTGGGTTGAAAGTCACAAGATTAGAAATGAAAGTCAAGTAAATCGAGTGGACAATCAATGGAAAGATTGACCATTTGAAAAGAGTTAATTGGATCATCTCAGTTTATTGGTCTAATCATCAATTTATCTTTGGTTAACTTTAAGTAAAGTTTCAGGTTCCACAGGTAAACAGGTAAGAAGGTAAAGCAAAACCTGTTTTTCTTTCGTCTTTGGATTAACAAGTCAAGAGATTGAGAGACATTTTCTTTCTGTTTCTTGTCGTAAATGTTTCATTTTCATTTTTATTCAGTTTTGTCTTTGGTCAGTCAATCAGCTAATTAGTGATGGTCAAGGATATCGAACGGAAACTATTGAGGTCAGAGAGTGGATCTGAATATGGTTCATTTAATCGCTCAATCAGTTATAGTGGGTGAGTGGAAATTGTCATTTGCTTGTTCCCTTTTATTATTATTATTCTAACAATTGATCTTTAATTGTCTTTAATTTCTTTAATTTTCTTCCATCGTCTTGCATCTCCTTTAATTCAGTCTTAAAACAGGAAAATCTTCGATCGATGTCGACAAAGTCTCCAAACCCGCCGCTGCTCCTAGTGTGTCCATTTTGAGCTTAGTAAGATCAATTAATTTCTTACCACGTTGTTTTCTTCATCGACTGACCAATTTTACTTTTCCCTTTTCCTTTTCTCTCTTGTGTATTAACAGTTTAGATTTGGTACTTGTTATGATTGGGTTCTTATTGTGATCGGAACTTTGGCCGCGAGTTTCAATGGAATAGCGAGACCTATGATGGCCATTGTGTTCGGCCGAATGACTGATGCTTTTCTTACAGTTGATTCAGGCAATGAAAGTGCTCCCAGTGCGAATATTGTGAATGACACTCTTTCCAGTTTCTTTTATCATCATAATGATAATCAAAGGAATTTCGGTTCAAGTTTTCACCATTCGCAAGAATCGGTTAGTGCGAGTACTGATTCCACTTCCTTCCAATCAGGATATGGAAGCATAATGTATGGATACGCTTTGTATTATGTCTACTTTGGGTTCGCAGTTTTTTTTGCTTCTGTTTTACAGGTAAGTTAACGATTTCATCAATACATTATTCGAATGTTTCATGTTCATCTGAATTTCTCTAAAGGTAATTTGCTTCCAATGGACATGCGAAAGACAGATTCATACGATTCGTCGGCTTTTTTTCACTCAAGTATTGAGACAAGATATCAGTTGGTTCGATTCTCATAATTCAGGAGAATTTACATCTAAATTAAATGAGTGAGTAATTGAATCAATTTCATTTGGAATTTAATTTATAACAAATGGGAGTTGTTCTGATTGGTACTAAAGTGACATCGAAAGGATTCGAGATGGAATCGGCAATAAACTTGGATTATTCATTCAATCACTGGCGACATTTCTTGGTGGTTTTTTAATCGGTTTTATTGAGGCTTGGCAATTGACTTTAGTTATTGTTTTTCTTGCTCCTTTTTTAATCATCACAACTTCATGCAAAGGGGTGGTAAGTGTTTTCTAATAGCGTTTGAATTTCGAGATCTAATTTCTTTTCTTTTGGTAGTATATGACCCGGGCCACAATTCGAGAGCAAGAAAACTATGCCAAAGTTTCTGCGGTCGCCGAAGAAGTATTTGCGAGTCTTAGAACTGTTTTTGCTCTTTGTGGTCAAAACTATGAAATTAAACGATACCAAACTATGCTCGAAGAAGCAAAGAAAATGATTCGTAAAAAGTATCTAGTCTTCGGTTTCGTTATTGGTCTCGATTTTCTTATTTTATATTCTTCTTATGGAATAGCTTATTGGTGAGTTTTAATCATGATAGATGAAGAAAATGATAATTTTTTTAATATGATTGACTTTTCGATCCACAGGTATGGTGCGAATCTAGTTCTTGAACAGATAATCTCTCCTGGTTCAATCTTTATTATATTTTTGGCCGTAATTCTTGGCTCATTATCATTAGGAAATGCGATGCCTTCATTAACCGATATCGCTGCAGCTAAAGGATCGGCTGCCAATATTTATCAAATTATCGATCGAACTCCAGAAATCGACTGTTATGCAACAAATGGTCGCATTTTAGAAGGACCGATCGAAGAAATTAAATTCGAAAATATTAACTTCTTTTATCCAACTCGTGCTTCAGTTCAGGTTCTTCACAATTTCAACCTTGAGATGAAATCTGGTGAAAGTGTCGCTCTTTGTGGTGGAAGTGGCTCTGGAAAATCAACAATTGTGGCCTTGCTTCAAAGATTCTATGACCCCACGAGTGGAAGGGTAACTATTTCTCGCTGATTATTACTTGACTTTGACTCTCTTTATACTTTACTTAATTTACTTATTAATTTGTTGTCAATTTCTAATTTAATAGATTACTGTTAATGGAGTTGATATTCGTGAATTAAATTTAAATTGGTGGAGATCCCAAATTGGTATCGTTAGTCAAGAAGCTGTTTTGTTCAGTGGAACCATTCGAGAGAATATCGCTCTTGGTACTACAAATGCCGCTTTCGATGAGATTGTCCGAGCCGCTAAAAAGGCAAACGCTCATGCGTTCATCAAGGCTCTTCCCGCTGGATATGATACACTGGTGGGGGAAAGAGGAGCTCAATTGTCTGGTGGTCAGAAGCAAAGGATCGCCATTGCTCGATCGATAATTGGAAATCCAAAGCTACTTTTACTGGACGAAGCTACATCGGCATTGGACACGGTCAATGAGCAAGTTGTTCAAAAGGCATTGGATAAGGCACGAAAAGGAAGGATAACTTTGATTGTCGCTCATCGATTGTCGACCATTAAAGATGCAGATTTAATTTGTGCAATGGAATCTGGTCGAATGGTAGAAAAGGGTAAACATGATCAACTGGTGGAAACTAAAGGATTATATCATAAACTAATCACTAATCAAACGTTCGAAAATGAGCAGAAAGAAAGTGAACACCCACACGAATTGTCTCAATCCAAAGCTCACTCATTATCTGATTTTTCAACATCCACAATGACGATTGCTGCTAAAGCAAAAGTCGCTGATTTCAACGGAGAAGACGTGATTCTGCCTTCGACTTGGAAAATACTTAAATGGTGTCGACATGATTCTTGTCTTGTGTCTTCCCTTGTCATTTCATCTTCTCTGTTAGGAATCGTGATGCCTTTGTTTGCGGTCTTTTTCGCGAGTGTCTATGAATCATTCTCACTGCCACCGGCGCAAATGTTAGATTCTGCTTTTTTCTGGAGTATGATGTTCATTACTCTCGCTGTCTTGACTTTCATTTGTCATTTTACTAGAGTAAGTTATTAGAAACTCGAAGAAAAATAACAAAACATTTATTAATGACTCTTTTTGTTTAGGCTTTAACTTCAGGAGTCGCTGGTGAAAATATGACTCGACGCCTTCGAATCGCTTGCTTTACGTCTATTCTTCGCCAAGATATGTCCTGGCACGATGAAGATATTCACGCCCCTGCCCGTTTATCTACTAAATTAGCTCGAGATGCTCCAATGATCAGAGCTGCTGCTGGTTCGAGAATTGGAATTGTCATTTCTGCAGTCGTCACAATGGTCACTGGAATGGCCATTGCTTATTACTTCGGGTGGGTCTTGGCATTGGCCTTAACCGCTATGGTTCCACTGCTTCTTTTAGCTGGTAAATTGGAAATGAGTATTAGTAAAGGTGATCAGGCTCAAGAAGCAGAAGAGATCGAACTTGCTGGTCGAATTGCAACAGAAGCTGTTGAAAATGTTCGCACTGTCCAATCTCTTACTCAAGAACAAACATTCTATCAACGATATTCTGACCGTCTTGCTCTTCCTTCAAAGTAACTATGATTTTCTTGTGTTTTCTTTGTTCTTCGTACAGGCCTTCTAAGGCTTTGAGTTTGAAGCCACTTTTTAAACCATTGAACCACCCGTTGAATATAACCAATGAGAGATAAAGTTGACCCAGAGAATATATTCTCTCATTTGAATGATGTAGTCTCAAAATGGTCAACTGATTAGATATCAAAATTCACATTTACTTGATTATCGCTAACTGCGTGAGTGATTGTAAAAGTGGCTGCAAACTCAGAGTCTTCGGCTGTTTATCTGTTCATATTATTAATTAATCATCTCTTTGGTTTCAGAAAAAACAAGAAACAAGCAATTGCTTACAGTTTCTCTTATGCATTCACTCAAAGTTTGATATTCTTTGTCTACGGAGCGGGTTTTTGTTTTGGTGCTTATCTAGTCAACATCGATGAAATGACCCCGACAAATGTTTACAGGTATAATTGAATATTGAATGATTTCATTAGAATGTTTATCACTAATTAAATTTTCTTAGAGTATTTTTCTCAATCACAATGTCGGCCATAATGGTTGGTCAATTAACCTCAATTCTACCGGATTACGCTCAAGCAAAACTTTCTGCTGGCCTCGTGTTCAAGATAATCGAAAGTCGATCAGCGATCGACAATTTATCACAAGATGGTCTGAGACCCGTAAGTTGAAACATGAAACATTTACAATTTCCGAATAGAATTACTTATTTTGTGTATCTCATTTCCAGAAAATCAAAGGCAAAATTTCAATTGACGACGTTTATTTCAATTATCCAACAAGAAAAACATCTTCGGTCTTGAATGGCCTGAAAATTGAAATCGGAGCTGGTAAAACATTAGCATTAGTTGGTTCAAGTGGTTGTGGTAAAAGTACCGTTATATCTTTGATTATGCGCTATTACAATCCCGAGTCAGGGTCGATTAAAATTGATGATTATGATATTCGAGATATTAATATAATTCATTTACGAAGTCACATTGGTTTTGTTGGACAAGAACCTGTACTTTTCAGTGGTACCATCGCTTACAATATAACCTATGGTCTAGAATATCATGTCTCTCAAAGTGAGATCGAAGATGCTGCCAAACAGGCAAAGATTCATGATTTCATTCGTGATCTACCCCAAAAGTACGAGACTGTTGTCGGAGAAAGGGGAATGCTCTTGAGCGGAGGTCAAAAGCAAAGAATTGCAATCGCTCGAGCCTTGATTCGTAAGCCAAACATTTTACTTTTAGATGAAGCGACTTCCGCATTGGACTCGGTGAACGAGAAGCTTGTCCAAGAAGCGTTGGACGAAGCCAAGGAAGGACGAACTTGTATTGTTGTGGCTCATCGATTGTCAACAATTCGTAACGCTGATCAAATCGCTGTGGTTGAAAATGGTAAAATCGCCGAGATAGGAACACATGATGAATTGATAAAGAAGAAAGGATTTTATCTGCGACTAATTGAAAGACAACAATTTGTTTCTGAATAATCGCAATTAATTAATCAACATCATTAATTATTCCCTTTAATGTAACATTTTTTTTTGTTTTTGATCTCAAATTATTATTAAATCAATTGTTGTAAATCTTTTAATTCAATTTGCATTTTATCAAAAACTATCGAGTTTAATTGATCATTAGAATCAATCATAAAACCGAGTAAATAATTAGCATTTTAATCTTCATTTTTTAAGTTTTTTAATTAAACTAATCAATTTTTGATTATCTTGATAGTTGCAAACAAACAATTGATTAAAATGTTTTATAATTAATTTTTCGTTCTGGTTTTTAATTTAATTAAGTATCAAATGTTGACAACATGATGTCAATTCTGTTCGGTGTGTTATGGAAAGATGATAAAATTGATGAATTAATTAATTGTAGAGTTTGATTAGTAACGATGAATGGCGATGATTTAAAATTAAGTTTTAATTATTTATTTTCAGAATGCGAAGTAATCACCAGTTGGATCTTCAACCCAAGGATAATTCTGTGGGCATTCAGTGCAAGTGTGTAGACGAATCGTTTCTCCAGGCAATTCCCTCGAGGTCAAAGCGCATTGATTTGGTAAACTACAATAAGGTTGACCTTTGACTTCGCACTTTTCCTTCCAAGGAGCGAAATCGTTGATTTTGGTAAGTTCAGTTGGCGATTGCATCCATTGTAGAACTTGAGTCATTGTAACGAAGAAAACGTCTTTTTTCTCTAGCATTTCGTCGATCCATTGAATGAAAGCATCGAGATATTCGGGTGTTGTTTTGAGCCACGAGGCGTGGAAGTAAAGTCCTAATGGAGCTCGATTAGTTTTGTAATGACGATCGAAGTTGTGATTCAGGAAATTGTAAAATTGTTCTCCTGAAATGATGTTGGTACAAGAATCAACCATAGCACATCCTGATAGTTCTTCGTCAAATTTGGGATCATCTCGACGATCGAGTTCGTTCATGACCATTTCCCAAACTGCGTGGGATCGGGTTGGACAATTTTGACCATTTCCGTGGCATTTGTGGGGCATACGGAAGTATAAAGTGTAAGGCCAAAGAGGAGGGTTCGAAAGTGGTGCAGTGATTGATGAGTCATACAAAAAGGCTTGTTCTTCCATCATGAAGAATTGATTATTGCCACCAACTCTTAAATATGGAGCACGAACACCAACAATTGAATTGTCGGTTATGTTGGCAAACTTTTCGATGATCAAACGAACACCAGCCATTTCTTTGGCCCAAGTTTCGACCGATGCTTCAGACCAATACTTCTCATCGTTTTTATGAGTAATCGAATGAGCTGAGATTTCATGTCCTCGTCTGTGAACTTCCTGAACTGCGGAATAGTTTGTGTACTTGTGGGACACAAAGAAAGTCGATTTTATCGAACAACCATTTGGATTGTTTCTTCCTTCTTTGAAAAGCTTCTCGTAAACATCGATATTGTTGTTGTTTATCGCTCCATCAAAAGTGATCATAACCATTTGAGGTGTGTTGGCTGGTTCAAGTCGAGCAGGTATTTGGGTGCCATCAGCTGAACAGAAACAATCAGGGAGGACACATTGACTCTGATCACAGGGTGGGGCTCGATTTGGATCTTTATCCACAGCTGATTAGTAGGAATGGGTGGATAATGAAAGATAAAAGAAGATAAATTGTGAGAGAAACCGGTAATCGTACTCAACTTAAAGTGACCTGATTTCGAGTGATGAAGTTAAACTATACCCGGTGTATCATGAGTAAGTAATTGAAAGTAAAATTGACCTGATCTCGATTTTTATACAAAAGAGGATGAAGATGATACTAATGACGAGGAATCAAGATTAATTGCTTTCCACTTTAGATCAAACCTTAGTCTCAAAAGAAATCAATTAATCTAAATTAATTCCAAAATGGTAATTTATGAATTTCTTTCTTCTCGTTTCTACCCTGTATCTTCATCTTCATCTTTCTGAATTTGTGTGTGTGTGTCAATACGTGCCAATTGTTTGGGTTTTGCAAATTAAACGATGAAGAGAAAGAGACACACCTTGATGATGATGTGATTCAATCATCACATCATCAGTTGATTTAATTACATTTTAGATTTAGAAAGATGATTAATATTCATTGTGTTTACTTACTACAAGCGTTTTCATCAGACCCATCAGGACAATCGGGTGTCCCGTCACAGAACTTTTCCTTCTCGATACAGTCCTTATTACCACAGGCTAACTTTCCTTCGTCACAAATTGGTGAGTCTGTCGCGAGAAGAGGTGTCGCTAATCGAGGTTCTGTAATTAAAAATTAGATTCTAATTAGAGTCGTGAAATCTCATCGTTGAGCATTTGGGTTGATCAATTGATTCAAAGTCGAATGACTTTAAACAGATACATGTATCACTAATGTCCAATAGTCGAGTAAACAAATAACGGTAACTGCTGATTCTAAATTTAGTTTTTCCATTCATCATGGATCAGTTTCAATAACCAACGATTACTGCAAACAAATGACTTTAAATTTAGAAGCGAAATAAATTATATGATTAATGATCGCATCACTATTCATTTAATCATAATTGCTCTTTTTCATTTGATCTGTTTTGTCGTCAGTCCAAAAGTTTTTTCTCATCTTAATCTCAAGTTGAATGCACTCAAAGTGCTGATGAAAGCGGAAGGATTAGTTGAATTGATCGAAAAAAAGATGACTTGTTATTTCAGGAAACGGACATTTAACTTACTCTCTAATTGCCCACAGTTTTTCACATTTGTTTTCCAATCACAGGTCTGTCTTTCGATATCAAAAGCAAGTCCCGATGGACATCGTAAGGCCAATAATCCTTGCACGGAGCATCGAACGACATCTCGACAATCGTCGTCGGTAGTTAGACGAAAGTATTCCGACGGTGGGCGACCTTTACATAGTTCGGCCTCGTTTTCGTTTTCAATTTGACGCTTTTTGATCGATTTGATTGAAATACTCGAACCTGAATGACGATTAGAACAAAATTGTATGAAAACATCGAATAAAATTTAAAATTAAACACAAACACTTACATAAATTTACAACAATTAATAGAATTAAGCCTAAAGACAATATTTTGTCCATCATGAAGGAAACGTAAGCAAAGAAACAAATGAAATCACAATGAAATAAATTTGATGGTGTAAAGAATCATAAACTGCGTTGATCATCCGGATCGGATGATGATCAAGAAATGAGCAATTTAGGGAGCGAACGTGCGAGTGAGTACACGAGAGAGATGAGTTTGATGATAAAAATTAGAACAGCAACACAAAAAAGTGCGATAAGAAAGAGATCAGAACGGTTTGTGTTGGTGTTTATTTTGAGAACGTGGGAACTTAACCTCATTTTCGGGTAAAAGCTCAGCCAAAGTTGAATTTGTTATGCCAAAAGAAACGCAATTTAGCTTTACACCTCTACTCATCAGAGGGAAACCCGAATACGATAGATAAACATGTAGGTTCAATTTGAATCGAATGTAAATTTTGTAAGAAATTCTAATTTTCTATTTGATTGTTTTTAATAATAAGAAGACGAAAAGATTATCGAATAAAATAAATGAAAATAAATAAAAACGAAATAATATTAAGATGGAAATTAATGAGGATAGAGAATAAGAAATTCGAAATATTGAATCGCCTTAATTTCTGACAAATAGTAAAGTAAGCGGACAAATGACCTCGTAATGGACTGACAGTAATTCTAGAAACAAGTACAATCTCTTGGTAAGTAAAACCTGATTCCTCGTTCACATGCACTTGTAAGAAGAACCAGAAAACCGGATTCATCCGTTTAAGAGAATCTTCGTAATCCACTGCTTATCCTTTTTTCTTTTTCTTTTTCTTTTTTTCGTTTTTTTGCTTAATCTCAAACGGTTTTAATTGAGAAAAGAAAAAGAAAAAGAAAAAGAGAAGGAGAAGGAAAAAAGAAAAGTATTAATTGAATTGAGATCATAAGGATCGATTAATTTATGCACTAGACGTGAGACAATTGGAAAGCTCCAATTGTCGACAATTAGAGTCGCTGGAGTAAAGTAAATGCAACTGGTGAACTTGTCAATTGGTTTGATTGGGTTGAAAGTCACAAGATTAGAAATGAAAGTCAAGTAAATCGAGTGGACAATCAATGGAAAGATTGACCATTTGAAAAGAGTTAATTGGATCATCTCAGTTTATTGGTCTAATCATCAATTTATCTTTGGTTAACTTTAAGTAAAGTTTCAGGTTCCACAGGTAAACAGGTAAGAAGGTAAAGCAAAACCTGTTTTCTTTCGTCTTTGGATTAACAAGTCAAGAGATTGAGACATTTTCTTTCTGTTTCTTGTCGTAAATGTTTCATTTTCATTTTATTCAGTTTTGTCTTTGGTCAGTCAATCAGCTAATTAGTGATGGTCAAGGATATCGAACGGAAACTATTGAGGTCAGAGTGGATCTGAATATGGTTCATTTAATCGCTCAATCAGTTATAGTGGGTGAGTGGAAATTGTCATTGCTTGTTCCTTTTATTATTATTATTCTAACAATTGATCTTTAATTGTCTTTAATTTCTTTAATTTTCTTCCATCGTCTTGCATCTCCTTTAATTCAGTCTTAAAACAGGAAAATCTTCGATCGATGTCGACAAAGTCTCCAAACCCGCCGCTGCTCCTAGTGTGTCCATTTTGAGCTTAGTAAGATCAATTAATTTCTTACCACGTTGTTTTCTTCATCGACTGACCAATTTTACTTTTCCCTTTTCCTTTTCTCTCTTGTGTATTAACAGTTTAGATTTGGTACTTGTTATGATTGGGTTCTTATTGTGATCGGAACTTTGGCCGCGAGTTTCAATGGAATAGCGAGACCTATGATGGCCATTGTGTTCGGCCGAATGACTGATGCTTTTCTTACAGTTGATTCAGGCAATGAAAGTGCTCCCAGTGCGAATATTGTGAATGACACTCTTTCCAGTTTCTTTTATCATCATAATGATAATCAAAGGAATTTCGGTTCAAGTTTTCACCATTCGCAAGAATCGGTTAGTGCGAGTACTGATTCCACTTCCTTCCAATCAGGATATGGAAGCATAATGTATGGATACGCTTTGTATTATGTCTACTTTGGGTTCGCAGTTTTTTTTGCTTCTGTTTTACAGGTAAGTTAACGATTTCATCACATCTTCGAGTTTTTGTCATCTTCTATTCTATAATTCCGGGTGGTTGATGATACTTTCACCTTTTCACAAACTGTTAGTACGCGGCTTGGCAGTATACCTGTGAGAGACAAATCCATAGGATTAAGAAGCTCTTCTTGAGACAAGTTCTTCGTCAAGACATCGGCTGGTTCGACGCTCATAAATCGGGTGAATTCACGTCTCAATTGAATGAGTAAGTTTACAATTCTTTCCGCTATCGAAAAATTATTACAATTCTTCCCTTCTTAGTGACATTGAGCGAATTCGTGATGGCATCGGAAGTAAATTAAGTTTATTTCTCGTTTCAATTACTGGATTTCTTGGTGGATATATAATTGGATTTGTTGAAAGTTTACAATTAACTTTAGCTCTCATTTTCATCGCTCCTTTTTTACTTTATTCCACTTACTACAAATGGACTGTGAGTTTTTCATTATTGGGAACATTTAGAGAATCTTAATTGTAACAATTTCTTTAATCTCCCAGTATTATGCTAAGTCGACATCCAAGGAACAAGAAGAATATGCTTCGATTTCTGCAATAGCAGAGGAGATATTTTCCAGCATCAAAACTGTTTGGTCGCTTTGTGGTCAGAAATACGAGATTGAAAGGTACAGACAAATGTTGGAAGAATCTAGTAAAATGTTGAGTCGCAAATACTTTATCACTGGAATTACCTTTGGATTCGATAACATTATTTTGTATCTTTCATATGCTTTTGCTTATTGGTAAGTTTTGAAAATTTCAAGAAATAAAAGGTTATTAACAGGTCGTGTTTTTCAGGTATGGAGCTAATCTTGTCTTGAGCGGAGTGATAACTCCTGGTTCGATCTTCATCATTTTCTTGTCCGTCATCATGGGCTCAATGTTACTTGGCAATGCGATGCCAAATTTGAATGATGTGGCGACGGCCAAAGGATCGGCTGGAACAATTTTCAATATAATTGAAAGAGTAAGTGATTCTCATCGGGTTTGTTTTCTCAATAATAAAGCTTATTTCCGTATCAGGAACCAGCGATTGATTCATATTCTGGAACTGGAAAAGTAATAGAGGAGCCGATAACTGAAATTAAATTCGAACAAGTGAATTTCTTCTATCCAACAAGACCAAATGTTCAAGTTTTGTTTAATTTCAACCTTGAGATGAAATCTGGTGAAAGTGTCGCTCTTTGTGGTGGAAGTGGCTCTGGAAAATCAACAATTGTGGCCTTGCTTCAAAGATTCTATGACCCCACGAGTGGAAGGGTAACTATTTCTCGCTGAGTATTACTTGACTTTGACTCTCTTTATACTTTACTTAATTTACTTATTATTAATAATTTGTTGTCGATTTCCAATTTAATAGATTACTGTTAATGGAGTTGATATTCGTGAATTAAATTTAAATTGGTGGAGATCCCAAATTGGTATCGTTAGTCAAGAAGCTGTTTTGTTCAGTGGAACCATTCGAGAGAATATCGCTCTTGGTACTACAAATGCCGCTTTCGATGAGATTGTCCGAGCCGCTAAAAAGGCAAACGCTCATGCGTTCATCAAGGCTCTTCCCGCTGGATATGATACACTGGTGGGGGAAAGAGGAGCTCAATTGTCTGGTGGTCAGAAGCAAAGGATCGCCATTGCTCGATCGATAATTGGAAATCCAAAGCTACTTTTACTGGACGAAGCTACATCGGCATTGGACACGGTCAATGAGCAAGTTGTTCAAAAGGCATTGGATAAGGCACGAAAAGGAAGGATAACTTTGATTGTCGCTCATCGATTGTCGACCATTAAAGATGCAGATTTAATTTGTGCAATGGAATCTGGTCGAATGGTGGAAAAGGGTAAACATGATCAACTGGTGGAAACTAAAGGATTATATCATAAACTAATCACTAATCAAACGTTTGCTGATGAACGAGTGGTCAGCGATCAACAAGCATCTCAAGAAGCAGATTTTTCCATTTCATCGCCGAAGTCTTTAGCATCTCGAATGTCATTCTCTCAACACTCGATGTCTACAATATTCTCGCATGGAAAAACACAAGTTGTCGAAGCCGAAGGAGAAGTTTTCGAGCTTCCATCGAACAGCAAAATCATGCGATGGTGTTGGTACAAATGGGACAAATTCCTGTTACTGGGTTACATTTTTTCTGCTTCTTGTCTTGGATTAGTTATGCCCTTTTTCGCTGTGATTTTCGCCAGTGTTGCTCAGGTAAAATCTCACGAAAACGAACGTTTAATATTCTTACTAATTTGATTATGTTTTTCAGTCTTTCGATCAAGATGCTTCAGGAATTTTAGAATCCGCAAAGTTTTGGGCTTGGATGTTTGTCATTCTCGCAGTGCTTAATTTCACGAGTCACTTTTTCAGGGTAAGTCTGTTTGTCTTGAATTTTCATTCATTTTTTACCTGAATTTATTTTTCTTTCAGATAATTTGCTCTGATAATTTAGCTGAACATGTCGTTAGACGACTCAGAGTAGCCGCTTATACAAATGTGCTTCGTCAAGATCAAAGTTGGCACGACCAAGAGATTCATTCTCCCGCTCGAATATCGTCGAAACTCGCTCGTGATGCACCAATGATTCGAGCTGCTGCTGGTCAACGTTCTGGCCTCTTACTATGTTGTATCGTCGCTCTGGTGGCTGGTCTTGGAATAGCCTTTTACTATGGATGGATATTAGCATCGGCCTTATCACTTATTCTTCCTGTTCTTCTACTTGCAAGTCGATTGGAGTTTCGTATTAACCATGGACGTAATTTGAAACAAGCCGATGAAATGGCTGATGCTGGACGAATCGCTACCGAAGTGATTGCCAATGTTAGAACTGTGCAATCACTTAGTAAAGAGAAATACTTTTGCGACAAATTTAATCAAATTCTTGAAACTAGTGTAAAGTAAGTCTTGACTCGACTTTCCAAGTCCAAAGATCTGATTCTTTTTTATATTAATCCAAATCTTAGGAAAAACAAGAAAACTGCGATCGTGAGTAGTTTCGCTTATGGTTTCACTCAAAGTTTGTTATTCTTTGTTTATGCTGCTGGATTTTACCTCGGTGCTTATCTAGTGACCTTGGGACTAACTTCGGCCCCTGACGTTTACAAGTGAGTTTGGTTTTCACGCTTTATTAAGCTGCTTTGTTTCCAAAGGAATATTAATTGTTGATTTAATTTCAGAGTTTTCTTTGCCATGACAATGACTGCTGGATATGTCGGTGTGCTCACCACAGTTTATCCTGATTACACTCAAGCTAAATTATCGGCAGGATTAGTCTTCCAGTTGATTGAAACTCGTTCAAATATTGACAATCTTTCAGAAGAGGGACTCAAGCCTGTAAGTTTTTATCATCATCTTTATAGATTAACATGTTAATATGAATTCATATGCAATTTTTCAGGCGATTCTTGGAAACATTTCAGTGACTGATGTTTACTTCAGTTATCCAACACGTAGAGCAGTACCTGTTTTATCTGGATTGAATGTCAGCGTTAAAGCAGGACAAACTCTCGCACTCGTTGGAGAGAGTGGTTGTGGTAAAAGTACCTTGATACAAATTTTGATGCGTTTTTATGACCCCGATTCTGGATTAATTGTAAGAAATATCAAGAATTTATAGATATTGATCGTTATCAATTAATCATACTTATAATATTAATTGTGTGCATTTTTGATACAGAAATTTGATGGAACCGATATTCGAGATATTAATATAATTCATTTACGAAGTCACATTGGTTTTGTTGGACAAGAACCTGTACTTTTCAGTGGTACCATCGCTTACAATATAACCTATGGTCTAGAATATCATGTCTCTCAAAGTGAGATCGAAGATGCTGCCAAACAGGCAAAGATTCATGATTTCATTCGTGATCTACCCCAAAAGTACGAGACTGTTGTCGGAGAAAGGGGAATGCTCTTGAGCGGAGGTCAAAAGCAAAGAATTGCAATCGCTCGAGCCTTGATTCGTAAGCCAAACATTTTACTTTTAGATGAAGCGACTTCCGCATTGGACTCGGTGAACGAGAAGCTTGTCCAAGAAGCGTTGGACGAAGCCAAGGAAGGACGAACTTGTATTGTTGTGGCTCATCGATTGTCAACAATTCGTAACGCTGATCAAATCGCTGTGGTTGAAAATGGTAAAATCGCCGAGATAGGAACACATGATGAATTGATAAAGAAGAAAGGATTTTATCTGCGACTAATTGAAAGACAACAATTTGTTTCTGAATAATCGCAATTAATTAATCAACATTCCCTCTAAAATACTATTACCACTTTTCTCGCTGATCTCGAATGATAGTCCTAATTAGAGAAATGACATAAGATTATTAACTTAAAGTTCAATTGTTTCAATGAACAATCAAATGATCTACAACATGCAAAGACGCAAAAGGCCTAAGGCGATGTGATATGATGATTCAACTTGAAGTATTCCCTCAAGTTAAAGTCGATTATTGACAAAAATCTTTGTAACCAACTTTTCTATTCTAACAATTGTTCCATAATTATTTTCCAATAATTTAAATTTTGCATATCAATAATTACCTCCTGAATTGGGAAATTCTCTAAATTTATACAATAATAATTAAATTAAATTTTTAATCAAATTAACTCTCAAGTATTGAATTGATTTCTACATAATCTCAATGTGAGACTTTCGTTCACTTTCAAAATTTAGAAAATTGTCAAAAGGACTTGAGACTAAAGAACATTTCTCAAGTTAATTAAACTAATCATTGGATATTTTCTCTATTAATTTCAATGATTCGTGAAAATATTCATAGTAAATATCTTTGCAACTCAGTTGGTGACTTTAATTAGCTGTCAACAGATCGAATCTACTTTTGACTAAGATCAATGGTATGAGAATATTCAATTAACTAATCCTAAATTGCCATCATGAGTATCGGAAAGTTAAAGGTACAGTTTGTTATCCATTGGTCAGTTTGCCTTCTGTTCCAATAATATGCATGAATAAAATAGACGATTAATATTATTATTTAATCTCGGACTTTTCTGGAAGCCGGTTAATCAAGTTTTACCTGTTTGGTTACATTCATTTACTTTGTGTCATTTTAAATCTTCTCATCTAACTTTTTGTTATATTCATGATAATAATACCACAGAATCTGTGGTAATAATAAACTCTAATCAAGATTAATTTTCTCAACAAAAGCAAATTAAAGTTGTGATTAAATTAACCAGAGTCACGAAAATGATTGGTAAAAGGAATCAAAATTAAAATGAAAGTTCATTTGTTGAGTAAATCCTGTTCGTACAGAATTCCGAGTCTCTGGATGAAATTATTTCCAACTTATTATTAAAATCAATTCAGAAGAATTGAAATTTTGAATAAAAATCGTAAATAATAAAACTATAATCATCTAATTGCGTAGGAATGAAGGTGACATTAGATAAAAGGATTTGAATCTGATTTTCTCACAGAGAATAAATTAAATTAACAGGGAAGGGCAGCGAATTGGCCTTCTTCATGAGATCATCTCTTGATTTGCTTTTCATCATCATCTTCTCAGGTACTCAATGATGTTCAACATGCTAATCATACTGATAATTAGTTGTGAGTAAACAAAATTCTTGGCTAATATTATCATGTAATATGCACCTTGAAAAGATGATTATCTTTTGTGTCCTCCGCTAATTGCAATTGATCTGATTGTATGTGAGATCATTTCTAATTGTATTAGTCTAATTAAATCATATCATCATCATTCTGTCGAAACAAAATTTGTCTGATATTAAATCACCATCAGTGGGAACCATTTCACTGGAAAAACAAAACAATTTACACACAACTCACTCGTTTATAATTAACCAAATTTCACTTGATTGTTTGATGAAATGTCAACACGAAAAGTTTAATTGTTATGTTGTAACGGGAAAAGTACACTTGATTGTAATCTTGAAACTCCAGGCTCACAATTAAATCAACTTATTTTATAATAAATTTTATATCGAAAGATTTATTAATAAATGGCTACAACGGTAAACTTAAAGTTTATCATCTATCAATTGGTTTAAATGAAAGATAATCAATATCTGATTAGTTGATTACTAATATTTAATGTTAATCTAAACAAATTGTTTGCGTTTACCTTGAGATGGTCAGATTTATGTGATTGAGGACAATAAACTAACCACTTTAATGAATGAAAGTTATTGAATTAACTTGATGGTCATTTATGTTATGATGATAGTTAAACATAAACAAATTTAGTGTTTCATTGTTTCATCTCATTTGTAATGCAATGGATAATTTAATTGGTATAAGGTTAATTAAATTAAATTGTATTATTGAATAGTACTAAACAGGATTATATGATATCATCATTATAATCAACAATTATCAAGTCAAAGTAACAACCAAAAATAGTAAATTAACCTTAATAATTTAAAAAGTGAACTCATTGCCGCCATTTCATTTCTCCTCATCCTTTTAATTTGTCTTTACTGTTCAATTAATATCACATTTCCGTTTCTTTTTAATTGTGAGTATTACCTTGAATTATCCTCTTTGGTGGGATGGGTTGATTAGCAATTACGATTATCTTTATATCAGTTTGATTAGTGAATCTTGTTAGAGAGAATATTAACTTTTAATTGTTTCGTTGATTATTAACATCAATTAGAAGAAAATTTGTTGATTAAACAACAATTTCGCTCGAGGCTGATCATCATTAAGAGTAATTCACATTAATTGTTTACTTTGTTAACAATTATCATGAAATTGATCGCAAAATGTTTTCATTTACTGAATTCACTTCTCTTTTTTTCTATTCTCAAACTCTAATCGCTTCTCCGATTGTATTTTTTACTTTTTTAGCACTACATTAATCATCTCCTGAAAACAATATAAGATATTGGCCTTGAGAGGTTTACCTGGTCTTTTTATAATTCACTCTTTCAATTTATTGTATTGATTGAATATACTGGTGTTGACGCTTCGGGAAGGCTCAAAGGGAAGGTCAGTTCATTTTGTTGATATTTTGACAGGTCAGCATTTTAATTGTTACCCTCATGGCTCAGGAATGATGAGTCTACAGTCGATGTCTTAACATGTCAGCATGATTACGTTAATTACAATCTAATATTCAACAATTAACAGCAACAACTCACCGCACCCACAAGAAACATCATCATTTTCGTCATTCTTGATTATTGATGTTCATTATTGGAAATTTTCTCCTTTATCCAAACTTTTTCTTTTGAAACCCATGAAGTGATCGATTGTCCATTAGAAGTCTTCATTTACTTCGATTATCAAACTAAAATATGAAGATTCAAGGCCATTCTCATCAAGTTATTCACTTTTCATGGAGACCAAAACAATTAATATGATTAGCAGATCGATTTGATTATTTTAATTTAGTGATCATTACAACGCAATGATTTCATTCGGATAGATTTCGTATCAGTATCGATGATTCTTGAGCTTCGAAGTTTCTTCTGAATCGATAAATTAACTTAACCTTGTAAACAAATTAATTTATTCAAAAATTAAGCTGAATTACATTTAATTATGAACATGATGTATTTGCTCACCTTTTGTTTTTCTTGATTTAATCATTAGGCCTCGTCACTGGTAATTATCACGATGACACAATAACCATTACCTTGGTGCAAACTATTGTCGAGGCGTTTTAACAGAAACAAAGTTGATCTAATGTTTGAAACTGGGAGTGAAAGTTTCCTACGGAAAAATTTGACACTTTGATCGAGAATTTTGTTTTCATCAAGCTCAACATTATCTCAATTAAAACAATTTGAAAGAGCTCATTAAGATGATGATGATAAGAAAACAATAATTAACTTAATCACCTTAGTACCTGTTTCAAGTTAGATGATTTCATTTCCATGGGGATTCGCCTTGGAAATGTATTGCACCGAAAGATGTTCAATTATTAGGTTTTTAAATTAATCGTTATTAACTTTAGACAGATGAGACAAATTGGTGAGATTAGAAATAATATTGAGCAGGATATGGAAATGATTAATATCCCGTTTCAAGGAGCCGCATATTAGTTATGCAAATTGTTGCAAAATTATTACGGAATCAGTAGGAACCACGAAAGAAGATTTCAATTGATTATGTTTGGAGAGTGAAAACCTTGGAATATGATTTATTGGGTTAATTGTTATCATCACTTGATTCTCTTCTAGTTCATCAGGGTTAAAAGGGAAGACAATAAGTATCAACAATTAACGGTAATTAAACGAGTAACAATATGATCAGAGATTGATTTTCGTTTCTTAATCCAATGTTCCAGCCTCGATTCCCGGAGGGCAAAGTGTTGATTTTGATACTCAGACAAACAGATAATTTGTCCACCCACACCAATTGTAATCTACTAGAACCAATAAAGTAAAGGTAAATTACTATTAATATTATCATTTCTCAGGGTGTTTCATTCAGAAATAGTGATTATCTTCATCTCACTCACTTTCCATCTTCTTGAAACAACTTTCACTTTCAAGGCTCCCTTTCAGATCTCCTTCTATCCTCTTTCAAAAGTTGACAAGCCACTTTTATCCAACCTTTTCTTTCTCATCTGATTTCCCCCTTCTTCTCACTCGGCCTCACGCAAAAGTAGGTCTTAGGGTCACTTTAGTGGTTGAATTTTTCCCCTCTCTCTCACTCTCACTTTCATCATCTTCAGCATCTCGGCTCATCTTAAGAATCATGGTTCCAATCTGAACATAATCATTCAAACACCTCCAACAAACAGAAACATTCACATTTAAGTTTTCTTTCTATTATCGTTTCGTGCTTCAAGATAAACAAACTTTTCGTGGACAAAAAACTTTTTTCTTTCGAACTTTAAAGTTCTAAAAAAGTTTCTCTTTCGGACCATTTTTCTATTGTGATACCAACTCTTCCGATTTACTTAATACTCATGATTTATTTAATCTTATAAAAAAAACTTTATATAAGAAAAAATCGATTAATTCAAAAAACAATCAATCAGCTTGAAAGAGAAAATGAGTTTTAATCAAATTAATCCGATTTGTTTGTCAATTGTGATTCTAACCATTTGGAGTAATGTTACTTCAGCTGATCAGATACAAACAACAACTCGTCAATCAGTTCCCGGTAAGTTAATAATTAAATTTTCTCTTTTCAAATTAATTATCTGTTCAATGTCATGAAAAATTTTCTTGATCTATTTCCAACTTGAGGAAGAAAAGTTCATAACAATAACAAACCGTTGAAATTAATTAGCTTTCGGGATGATAATTGTAATTACAAAACATATTGTGAGACAATATTAAGTGACCATCATCTTAATCATCGTCATCTCGATTATTTGACCTTAAAGTTTTTTTAATTGTTTTTCCCGTCAAATGATGTTTTTAATCATCACTTAGATTATTAGAGTTTCTTTTTGTTTCTACTGTCCACATCCTTCGGTCATCTCAACTTCTCACCTTCTCTACAAAACTCACTAAATTAACCATGAATTGTGCAGTTTGTCGTAATGATAGAACTCGTAATTAAGAATCAAATTAAGACAATGACTTATCATTGCGAAAATGACAAAAAAACAACAGCTTTCATCGTTTAAATTCATTCTCACCCAACCCGAAATCAAATAATTGGAGGTCAGTTTATGCTGGACAATCATTGATACAAAGAATAGAATAAATTTAACAGCAACATGTTGATAATAATAAACAAATAAATAAACAATCAATCAATAGTCTGTTGATTTTATTACTATGACTTTCTTACCAGTTGATTAGTTTAATGAAATTCAGGAAAATTTATATTATTTCAAACTGTCCAATTATCTGATATTCACTGGTTAATGTCCATTGACTTGTATTGTAACTTAACTTTTATTGGAGTTTAACAGTAAACGAATGACGGGAATGTCCCTATCGACAATTAAGAGATGAAGTCTGATTATAATGAACAATCAGTAGTGACCAATGTTTACCGATTTCTATTGTTTGTCCAGTTTTCTTTCCATTCTCAGATTTTTGTTTATTCATTAAAAGTCTCATCAAGGACCAATGGACCAGGTTTTATCTTCCTCTTTTCATGATAATCATCATGATAATGACGATGATGATTCTTAGGAATCAACATGAACTATCGATTAAAATTATTCTCATGGACATTTAATATCAACAGAAGGTTCTTTCAAATTCAATAAGGTTCATTATGTATGTTAATCTATTAATATGAACAACTTGTAGTCTCTTAATATTTCAAGATGATTGATTGTTTTGGCGATTAAAATTAATAGTGAAATGAAGTTCAACTGATACGAGGAAATCTTTATCATCACCAATACTTCAACTGTGTTGTATTAATTGTTAATTAATTTTAACTAGATAACTGAAACTAAAGGATAACAATTAAGATGAAAGTTCACTGTCATTTTGATCAACTTGATTAGGACAAAACTATCAACATTTCCAAGGGTAGACAATTAATCTTACATTTAAGATTTAGATAATTATTATCAAGCTTTATTAAGAATGAATAATTTTCAGATAATTGCAATCAAACAGTAATTACAGTTATGATATTGGTCAATCTAGTTTGCAATTGTTTCATGAAGGTTAATTGTGACAGGTAATTGATTCATTAATTGTGATCAGTTTTTCATTTACATTGTAAGATTTAATTTTCTACGTTATAATTACTCAAAATTGTTTTAATTTCGTTGATTTTTTTAGTGAATTGGGTTTGGCTGATTTATAAATCATTTGAGTGAACAATTTAAACAATCAAACTGAGATTAATAAGGCTATTAAGACGTTGGCTTTTCCTTTAACTTCGAGACTAAATAAGTTGACAACAGATTCGATTGTTGTTGTTGTCTTAAACACACCTCATCATTAAGATGCTTATCGTTATCATTTGCTGATTGTGTTTATGTATATCACATTTTGTCCATTATAATACAATTAAAGATAATCTGATTAAGTTGATGATGTTGGTTTTGTAGCAATGACAATATATTAATGACAATTAAAATATCACTTTTATAGTTTTTATTAACTTTGTCATCTAAACTGTCACCAATTTTTGCTTGATGTCCACTGATATCCAACCAATTGCGGAAACGTTTCACTCATTACTTTTAATTGAATCTTAATTATAACAATGAATTTAATTCTCCACCCAATTATTACAGATCGAAGTACAGTTGAACTAATTGGCGATAAGTACGATCGAATGGCTAAATATCTTTCGTTGGCTGACCTGGAAAAGGATGTTTCTAGTGAGTAATCATCTTCATTCCTGTAGGAGTTTTCATCACAATCGAGTCACCATCTATCCCAACTGATACATTCACAATCAACTAATTGGGTTAGATCATTGAACAGTTTGGGTAACATAATCTTAATTGTGTTGGTGCTTTTTATGTGGTTGTATTAGTTTATCTTTTTTTCTGATTATCATCATGATTAGGACCATGATGATGAAGAGTCACTATTATTCACCTTGACTTGGATTAACATCTCAATACAGAATCAGTTGGTGATCAATTGATTGCGATTATCAATTTCTGATGATTCTTTATTTCAAAGCGTCTAACTTACATTTATCTTCATGTTCTCACCACAATCATGAGCTATTTGTTTCAAAACAAACGCTTCTTATTGTTATTAATTGTTGATTCTAAATGAATTCAATGAATCAGAATTTAGTTAATCAAAACATTTGTTTCTGTGTTACATTAGCGAGTATTAAGTTTCTTTGGTTTACATTGAATTAACAATTAAACAACAAACAGATACAATTAGAGTTAATAGTCAATTGTTATTTTATTAGTGCACAATTTAAATTACAAATAAGATTTACTCTTTGTTTGATTGCGACGGAACAATTTAATTTTTAATTCTTATGAGATAATTTCCATTCGGATCATTTTGATTGAAGACAATAAACGCTATTTGTTACAATGATACTCATCTCGATCACCATTAACTTATTACAATTAAAGTTGATATACAATTATAATTGTTTGCTCTTAGCAACGTAAAGTAATCAAAAAGCTAACACGCATCAAAATGATTTGAATTTTAATTATTAATACTTCACAATACTTGTAATAACTTTTGCAATCATCACTGAAACTAATGAAAATATTGACCAATTTTTTATTTTGGCAACAATTAGCTCATGATCATAACATTTATCAGTTTGAATGTCTAAAAATATTGACCCTAATGGTGATTTGATTGGAATTAAAACTTTTTCTGCCCTTTCATCATGTTAACATATAATGTTCTTATCGTGTTTATGTGTTTGTGTTAATTGTTTTTAACTGAATTTCTGCCAAAACAATCAACAGGTAACGAGTTGACCTTTTTTGTTCCCACTGATGAAGCCTTTAGGGATGTCCCTTGGTCGATTGCTCAAGAAATGCTTGTTAATTCAACTTTCCTCAGATGTAAGTTTAATTGTTAATATCTTCATGCTGTTAACCAGCAATCAATTAGTGATTTACTCTCTCACAAATTCAATAATAAACACCACCGATCTCACTAACTAATCAATGAAATTACCTTGATTTGTTTTTCTATTAAAACTTGTTATTTTCATGTTCTATTCCTTAACAATTATCTTCCTGTGAATAAATTATAACCATCTGTCTTATTGTTTGCTATTCAACAATTTAATTAATGAATTTTGTAACTTTGTTCATTGTTGATCAGTGGTCATCGAGAATCACATAATTCCAGGAACCTTTTCATCCAATAAACTCCCTGGTAATTCAATATATTCAGTGGGCGGTGAATCTCTTAATTTTACCAAAAAAACAGGTAATTGTGACTCTTTAATTTCCATAAAAAAAACTTGATTCATGATAACATATAATTTTCATCTAATTGTGATAATTATCAATCTTGTAGAATGAACAATTTGCTTTGCACCACAATAAGTGTCGAGAGAATCAATAATCAAATTTAATGATGATGATTAAAGTTTATCATGAAAAAAGAAATAAATTATTCTACCTACTCTGTATTCAATTGTAAAGATTCAATCAATTTTCTTCTGATTTAGTGTTGATAAGTTGCTATTATGACCGAACTTCCAAAAGATTAATTATCATTGGGATAATCATAAAGTCCTTTAACTTTCTTATTATTAAATAGCTGAAAAGATATTGAAAATGAATTAGATTTAGGAAGTTGAATTCAATTGATTTTAATTGTTTCCTCTACAATAATTTTTTTCAGTTAAAGATTGTGATCTTGTATTGGTGAACTCAATTCCAATTCTCGAACCTGATCAATCAACTACCAATGGAATTGTCCATGGAATCACTAAATTAATTTTACCTCAAAAATTGATTGATGATTGTAAATGTGGTCAGCCAAAGGTCAACGACGTTGAATCAACACTCAAGTTATCGTCAACGACACCTAATAGCTTGACAAGTAACTTACCTGAACGCATAATCGCTGGACATTCAGATCAGCCTAATTATGTGACCATTGCACCAGAAAACTATTTCCAACCAAGTTCAGATAAATTTTTACGCAGATCTCAGGCCGCTAATCCAGAGATAATTAGCTCTCCCGACTCGAATGGGTCGTCATCAACTACTCCATTTCCTTATTATAATGTTTGGGATGATTTGGTTGCTAATCACAATTTAACGACAGGTAATCAGGGAGATAATAGAACGCGAGAAGTCGAAGAGGAACGACCAAGGTTCTTTAGAACTCGAACACCTGGTCGAGTATCAACTGAATCATCATTATCTCCGTCATCCACATCATCACCGAACGAAACAAATTCAGGGACAAGTAACAATATCGGAGGAACTCAAGGATCATCAACATATAATGACAACACTGCTTCGCCCACACCACCTCCAAGATTCGGTCTTCGTCGACGAGTTGTAGTTCGACCTCAGCCTACAGGTCGACCTTATCAAAACAATTCTAATAATAATTTCGATGTTATTCCTAATGATCCAATCAGACCGATATCAAGGCCTAACGACAACAATAATGATCATTTAGTTCCTTCGGTTTATTATGTTGAAGACTCGGAAGGTGTCGAAAATGTTACACCATCGCGAGATAATTCACCAACCTACAGTCCACCTCTTGTTTATCGACCGACCACAACAACGCCAAGTCCTTTCATAAGAGTAACAAGTCCACCTTTAGATACTCGCCGAAGATCACAAGATGGACGATTAATAAATCTCGATTCACCGATTTCTGATGAACCAAACCAACCAGAACTTTCACCAAATGCCAATGCCAACAATAACTATCAAACAACACGAAGGCCATATTTCCGACGACCTGTACCTTCAGCATCTAATAACCCAGGAACTAATAGAAATGTTTCAAATACTATTAATTGTCACCCACAAGATGTTAATTGTTTGATTTCTGCGAGTGCATCGAATCCTAATAACCCATCGAACAATGATTCGCCTTCACCAGCTCGATATGATCCACGATTCAAGCCTGAACTTGGCCCGATTAGAAATAATCCAACATCTCCAGAAGAAAATTTACCAAGAGCTCCAAGCGACAATGGGTTCCGTCGTCCAGCAACCGAATATTATTTGAATGATCAAACTACTCCTTCCACCACTTTCTTTGATTCAACTCGTCGGCCCACTTCACGTAGCCCTCAAGATGTTTGGCGATCAACAGCTTCTTCATCAGTTACTCCTCGATACGAAGATGACTCAGCTAATTATGTCCGTCGCATTGGTTCAGAAAGACCAAGAGGAGGCAATTCTAATGCACGAGGCCGTCAAATTGTAAGATCAACGACTACTACAACCGAGCCCCCAACTTATTACAACAATGTCCCAGTTCGTGCAGTTGACAGTCGTGCTTATCAGAGTGATCCTCAGTATCGACCATCCAGACCAAACAATAATGAGCCAATTTATCCTCGAGAACCAAAAGTTGATAATAAACCAGAAGTAGACTCAAATACAATTGCCGATATTCTCGAAGACCCTGGACTATTTCTTGAGAAAAAGCCGATATCTTTTTCAATGTTCAAAGATCTAATAAGAAGAGCTGGTTTACATAACTTGGCCTCTTCGAAAAAACCAATTACTGTTTTCCTACCGACTGACGATGCTTTCGAACAGTTGGAAAATAATGGTTTCGATAAAATTTATCGTAACCCAGCTGATTTACAGAATTTCTTACTTCGTCATATAGTTAATTATCCAGTCAAACCAAATGAGATGAGTGATGGATTAGTAATTAGATCCATTTCAAACAGTCCGATAACAATAAAAGCTTTCGATGATGGGATGGTAAGAATTGAAAATTCTTGAAAACTCGAGTTGTTTCATTTCGATAATCTTTTGATTGTAATTGTTTTCCATTCATTTTCAGAAAGTTTATGCCAATGGATCACCGATTTTAGCGGCAACTGAAGCGACTAATGGTTATGTTTATGTTTTAGGAAAAGTGATTAGTGATTCTGATCATCAAGTTAAAAAGGATATTGTTCAACAAATTGAACAATTGGAAAACACTTCAATCTTTGCAAGTCTTTTAAGACGAAGTAATTTGATTCCGCAATTGAAAGGTTTGTTTATTCTTGTTTTCCATTGATTTTGTTTAATTGTTTTCATTTATTGATTGATTAAGAATCTGGAGGGCCTTGGACTATCCTTGTTCCCGATAACGAGGCATTTGCAGAGATTCAACCACAAACTCGAGACAAAATATTGAGCGATCCATCATTGATTCTCTCATTGGTTGGTAATCATATCATTAATGGTTCGTACAGTTCCGAGAAATTATCAAGGTCAAGAAACATTCTTCCAATGGTTGGACAAAAACCTTTGAAGCTTCGAGCTTTTCCAGGTCAGTTGGTGCAACTTAAGATCTTATATTGTACTATTAGAATCTGAAGATTTACTTATTAATAAATTCATTGAACTTCAGGAGCCGTGATCATCAATAATCAGGCTTCGATTAAGCAACCAGATTTAGGAGCAAAGAATGGAGTTATTCATATTATCAATCGAGTTCTTTTGCCTGAAGATTTAAAAGCAAACCTCACGACTAATAGTCGTGGCCGAGGACGAGCATATGAGGGATCAACTGACCCTTCGAACCAGTTTCATCCAAGAAGAGGTAAGAATTCAAGATATCAAGTTTACGTTAACTTATTCATAATACATTTTTGTCTAAAGGGCTTTATTCCGATCCTAATGAGAGAAATCGAGAAGAGAGTCAAGAACTTGGACCAAAAATGAAAGCTCGCAAATTCGTGTCATGGTTAGAGAAATCGGGTGTATTGGACCAATTAAAGCAAAACAACACACCTTATACGATAATTGTTCCGACTGATGAAGCTGTTAGTAAATTACCGTCTCAAATATTGAATCAACTGGACAGTGATCCTAAAAATTTGAAATCGCTTCTTGCCTATCATGTGGTTCCTGGTGAAATTAATTTATCTGCACTGGAAGATGGAGAAACCCTGAAATCATCAGATGATAAACCGATTCAATTTACAAGATTAGAAGCAAATAGATCCTTGCTTTCCGGGGCTCCGGTTGTTGATGAATATAAACAGGGGGAAATGAAGTTTTTAGCTGTTGACAGAGTCCTTTATCCACCTCATGGAACCATTTTCGATATTATCTCAGGATCGCCGATATTGACCAACATCTCACAGATCATAAAAACTGCCAATTTAGTTTCAGAATTCTCAGACTCTCCTGGTCCTTATACTCTTTTTGCTCCCACTGACCAAGCATTTGCTTCTTTGGGTCAAGATGAACTGCTTAAAGTTACAAGAGACATCAAAAGTAGTCGAGGTACAATCGATACAATTTAATCATCACAATCGTTTTATTAATTTTCATTTTATTTCCAAAAACAGATTTCCTGGTAAAGCATAGCTTGAAAAGAGTTCTTTTTACTAGTGCCATTCCAATGAACGATCGTAAAGGAATCAATGTTGAAAATATCAATAAAACGTCGATAAATCTTCAAAGAAAACCAAGTAATTTAACGATTGAATGAAATTCGTAAACAATTTAACTAATTGGTTTCTCTATTCTATTTTCACAGATTATGTGACTGCAAACGGAGTTCCATTGGCCTATGCCGATATAACTGCGACCAATGGAGTTATTCATGTTCTTAGTAAACCTCTTTAAGAACAATTCTCAACTTTTTCAAGGATCACAATTAATCAGCAACTGATTCCAAGTAAAATGATTAAAGTGAATTTTTAACAGACAAACAATAAAAATAAAAAGTTAATTGTAATTTTTATGATTGTAATCAATTCATCCCTTTTATTGAATTCCAATGATTCCAACTCAATTGGAATTGATTGTTAGTTTCAATGTCATGATGATGATTGGGTGAATCGTTTTTGTAATATGATAATGATCATGGAGAGAGTCAAGGTAACTCGACTATTACATTGTATTTGAAATAATGATGAAAATGAAACCGCGTAAGTGTAAACAATGAAACAAAATAAAACAATTTGATTCACAATTAATGTGATCAATAACATTATTAAAATAAATTCAATTGTTAGAAATTTCAATGAGAAAGATTAACGAGGAGAAATCTCTTCATTTGTGTGTGAACTTTGACTAGACCTTAGTCGACTTAAAAGACGCAAGTTACAGGTCAATTGTTGGACGATTATTGGTACACCAATTCGTCGCGTTGGCTATATTAATGGAAAATCAATTGATTAGTTTGTTTGAATAAACAATTTAAACGAGCGATGATTGACTTTGGAAACCTGATGAATGGAAACTTCGAGTTGGATGTTGATGATGCAGTTGATAGTATTGGTCCAAATGGTCTTGATTGCTTCCGATCGAATCTGTAGACGACGATCTACTTTGAGATTCGTTCCGTTGATTGATTAGATGTTGTGTTGTCACCGGGAAGAGTTTGATCCCATTGATCCAAGATTTTCTTAATTCGTCTGGAGATTTGACAAGATCCTTACGAAAACTTCTAAATGCCATATCATCTTTAATGAGGTGAGGATAATAAGGCTTCACTCTGTAGTAGAAAAAGTTTTTGTCTTTTTCACTCAAAGTCGCATGGACATAATTGTTGATTGTAGTTAAATCAGTGGGCCCGATCGGTATTCCAAAAGGCGGATGAGGTGGACTCACAGCAGCAGCATCTGATTGAATGAAACGCCGATAGGAAAGGTCATCCTTTTCGATGTCAGGCTTTGGTTCTGTTGAAAGATAATTTTCAGGTGAAATCATTTCAGTGCTTATATCGGTCCTGGTTGTTGGACTGTAGATTGGCGAAAGAAGTAAATAACTTTGAATCTTTTTACTTCCGCTCGATTTCTCGTTTCGATTTCTGACCATTTTACGGGCAGCGAGATCATCGTTGATTGGATCCGGTATAGCAGATCGACGTCGAGCAGGAGCCTTGCACCGATGTGGAGGATCGGCTGATGATAAAAGAGATTCAACAGAGCCAAGGTTTCGATGACGACTTTGGAAAAACTCGTCGCAATAAGGGTGAGACCAACCGGTTTCCAAGGGATAGATTGAGTTCTTCGTAGATGCTGAGGGGAACTGAGGTGATTCCATTCGCCTCCCAGGTACAGTTTCACCAACTTCAAGATCAGAATCTGAAATCACTGAATTTTCACGCATCAATTGGAACTTAGAGGGCATATCGCGTCTCTCAGCTCTGTCGAAAAGATCTTCATCGTCGAGGTTTAGACTTGCATAAATTTCCTCAAGCTCGCAAATAGCTTCATCCAATTTACGAATTTTTTCATTTTTTGATGTAACTTTACGGCTCTTGGTTCCAATCGTCATTTTTGTTGCTCCAGAGACTCGATACTCTTGAGATTTAACACCACTACCAATAGAGTAGCGTTCGGAGATGAGTTCATCATCTTCTGGCCTAAATTCAGCCATAGATCTGGTGTTTTAGCGACTACAAAACACAACGGATTTTAGATAAAGCGACTAAGTGGAATCACTTTAAAAACTCAAGTCGAAGAACAAAAACAAAAGAACTGATGGATTTGAGTGGAAACAATTTAGTAGATTCTTACTAATGATTAACTTCCAATCAATTGGAATGAAGGTTCACTTACCAGCTGGAGAATAAACTTAATCTTTAGAAATTCGTCCCTCACTTTTCTCTCTCCCTCGATCCATCGAACTCTAATCGATTTTAATCAAGGCCGACGGACATTTCGATCCATCGATTATTCGAACAACGGGTTAAGTTGTGAAACTCTTTCGAGTTTCAAAGATTAGATGTTTACGATTTTTCTTCGATCATAAACAATCGCCGAAATAATAATTGAGAATAAAGTAACTGCGACCACAATATTAATCATCTTTATTTCGATTTTCCAAAGGTTTGATCTGTTGAATTGAGCGCGTTGAGTATATCGATTAACTCGATCGATCCTTTTCGATCCTGGAACATTATCCATGATGGAAGGAAAAATGCACGAAATCTAATCCAAGAGATTGAGTTTCGTTAATCCAGGTGATTCAAAAGAAGACGAGATGAAGGAAAATTATTCAGATGTTAAATCACGTGGATTGTTAATCATATTCGATTAATGGTTTTAATTGAAATCAGACATTCACTTGTTTAAAAGAATCATTGATGATCGAATGGAACAAGAATTTGAATATTCCAAGTCAATAAGGTTTAGTTGGCTCAACCAAAATATTCAATTTTCTGTAAATCGAATTACTCCTTTAACGGGACTTTAATCGGAATTTGTGGATAATATATTATAATAAAGGTGTTTTAATGTTTAATAAATGATTTAATTTGTACAATCACAGAAAAAAGTTATCAATTTAAGCCATAAAGCAACCAAGTATTTTAAGGCATAAGCTCGTATTAATTTCATTTGATTTCTTGTTCATTGATAACTTTCCAGTTAACTGTTTCAATGGGTGTTGATGGTGTCGATAAATATTGCAATTAATTGGATCATGACCAAGATTCACCATGTTCACAGATGAGGAACATAGTCTAGGGCAAATTGTACCTTCATAAAAAAATAGAAACGAGAAAAGGAAATGGAAATGGAAATGGAAATGGTTAAGGTTTAAAAAGTGGAAACAATCAAATGAAAGAAGAGATAATAAGTTATACAAGGAATACAAGGAATACACATTTTGTGTTCACATTTCGTTAAGTTATTGGAAATAATTGGATTTGGTGGGAATGCAATTGCCATTGGTTTCGAGTCATCATAATTTTGCTTGATTGTGGAAACATCCGAAAGATGAAGCAACTTGGCTCAATCTTGTCAGAGCTAATTCCAGTCTACTCTCAGTGTAGCTCAGCACTAAGCTCGCTCAGTCTACATTACATTGTATCTAGAAAATTGTGAAATATTTAACAAAGATTCAACTACTTTCACCTCGAATTACAAGTGATAACATTGATGAGATGATCAGGAAAAATTGAAACTTGGGGAATTCAATCAAACAGGAAGACCGGGTAATAATACTAATAAAATGCTCTGGTAGCAATCAACAGGTAAGAGCAATCAATGAAATGCTCATCAATCGAGGAGGTTTGTCAAGTCAGGTGATTGACCAAAAGAATGTTCGCAGTCAGATAATCTCGTTCTTTTGCTTCCGGGCAAACACTTACAACAAGTTATTAACTGAAAATCTATTTGCATTAAGCCCTAGAACATTATTGTGATTCATGTCGATATTATTGTTGTTCTTGTCCATCTCATTGACTTTTTCGGTTTTCATGGGTTCGGACATTGCAGGTGGTGGAGTTGTTGTTTTGGATGCTTTTCTTGGTGAAGATGCTGATGACATTGACATTGTCGATGTCGATGTCGATGTCGATGCAGTTGGTCCATCTTTTATCGAGACGGATAAAGTTGCTTCGAGTGGTGAAGATGATAAACACGATCCATTTTTGGATTCTTTTGGACTTGCTGATAGTCCTCGTTTGTCATTATTTCCATGGCTTTCGCTGTTGTTATTGTTGTTGTCGTGGAACTTGAATATGTGATCTTCAAGTAATGTCGCTGTGGAAAATCCCAATGAACATATTGAACAAATGTTCCCACTTCTTGATTTGTGTGATTGAGTTTTCCGATGACGATTCAGATCAGATTGGGTTACTCCATTATAGTTGCAGGTATGACATAGATATTGTTTGATTCCTGTGAAAGATTAAACAACAAAAATATAGACATAATTAGTTAATCGTCAAGGTAACAAAATTAAGAAAGTGTCCAACAATTGAGCTTAATAACAAAATCGATCAACAGATGAACAAGTTTTACTCACTGATCCATGTAACTAATGTTTACAATGTAATCAGATAATTCAATTCAATCAACTCAATATATTACAATCAAAAACAATCAAGTTTTTTGTTCAGTAAAAAAGATAATACTTCGCATGGATGTTTATTTCTCATTACTATTGTTCCCATGAAAGATGCGCCCAATAATATTGTTCTGAATGAATTTTGTGAATTGTTCTCTTTGCTTCATCACCAATTTAAAATCTTTTCTTATATTGAGATGAAGTATCAATAGTAATTCCGCCAATCACACAGAATTTATTCACTTGATTAATGAACTTATGGTCAATTCTTCTCTTAATAAAAAGAAAACTAGTTAAAAGTCATTAAAATCTCATGGCGATAATTGTGTTGGGATTATTATCAATTGATCGATGAAATGATGACCCTTGGCTATGAAATCATGTATATTTAGGAACGACATCAAGATTAATTGGTTTGTTCATGTGTGTGAATAAGAAAACATAATAAATGTTTGTTTAGTTTCTTAAACTGAGAATTTGTTTCACGATTTGTTAATGTGTAGAGAGTCAGTAAGGGAAAAGTGATGAAGGTTTGTCATTCTCTTGGACATGAAATCATTTCGTTGATGTTTATTAGTAGAATAAAAAATTGCTGGAGATTAAGCGAACCATGTTTTCAGATTCTGATGAAAGTTCTCTTTCTCATCCATCCATAGGGATCTAATAATAACACTCAATGCTCTTTGCACCCTGGAGACAAGTTAAAAGCCACCACCAAGAAGGAGATCTAATTGAAGTCCAAAGTTATTAAGCTTCTTTCTCAAGTAAGTGCAAAAAGGGGTTGGGATATATGATCAAGAATGATGATCATGAAAATCATCATTGTGGTTGCTGGTGTTAGCAATGGGAAAGAGATACCTGTGAGCTATCACAGAGAAGAGCTGAACCATATCGAGTGATGAATTGCAGTCCATTGTGAGAAGAGCAAAAAATGAAATAACTAATATCATGCTCAATAGTTTGTCTTCTTATCTTTCATGACCCAATGAATTACCAGTATTTTCTTAATTGAAGCCGATCAATGTTGTATTTTAGCAACAATTAGTTGCATTATAAACAAGAGTAGTTAACCGCTGCAACTACGCTGGTGTAATATCAACATGAAAGTGAAAAGTTTGCAGTAGAAAGGCTCATGTATCAATATATCAATAATATCGATAATATTCAAGGTGAGCTTGGGTTTCATGGTTAATACATGATGTTCTCATCTCTGAATTTGCACAGGGAAATTTAATGTTTGGGTAATTAAAAGCGCTTTTATATTAATCAATTATTGTCACTCGGTTTGCAACAATAATGAAATGCAATAGATTTCAAACATTAGTCTTGATGATAATCATGAACAGTTATTCCCGACTGTTGATTGTCTGCATTACAATTTAATATGAGCAAGTGTAATGACAAGTAACTTGGGCTTCTCGATCTTTGCTCAGTCTCTTAAGAACCTCAATGTCTCTCATTCTACTTTGTGGTCTTATCTTCTTGCATTCTGCTCACCCCTCTTCATCTCTTATTCTCTTTTCATTTTCACAGCAAATTCTATGACATGATATTTCATAAATGAATGTGATCTCAGAGTGAGCATAGGAATCATCAAAATGAATTGGCCATGCCTGATGATAATTATCATTAGAAGCAACTTCCATTGAAATAGATAGATTCTCTCATTTTCTTCAACTTTCTCTCCTTCGTCTTTTCTTCATTTCCCCAGGCTCGTGACAAAGCTTATTATCCTCAGGAGGATATCATAAGTTATCAAACACAAGTTTACATGAAAGACATAATCAAAATCATGTGAAAACGCGTTTCACAATAAACCTTTTGAAATGAAAGTTTTCAAGTGGTTGGGTGATTGTTGAAGGCGATGCAAAGAGAGAGAGAGAGAGAGAGAGAGAGAGAGAGAGAGAGAGAGAGAGAGAGAGAGATAATATCACGTTGATAAAATAAACTTGGACAAAATGATAAAGGTCGAGAAGGTAAAGACGATTTGATTAGCTTACATCAACAAGAATGTTCAATGTGTAACTGAGGATAAAGAAGATCACGTTTTTAATCATTCTATTATCCTCGTCATCCTCGTTCTAGATCTAACAAAAAAGTCTACGGTTGATTTGCAACCACAATTTAGTTATTGTCTTCATGCAATCCAATCAGTTGATGAAACTACCGAATAAAATTTAGGCCCTTATTCACGTTAAACGAATAGCCAAATTATGCCAAAGATCAATTTCAGTTACGAGTGAAAGTAGTTTTTGAAAGTCATATCAGCATCCTCACCTATTCATCATATTATCACTATCATCATCTTCATTTCTTCTTCATCAGTCGTCATGCATGCCTGAGAACGTGATTTTTTTCTTTATTTTGTAAAAGTGATAGTGACAAGTAGAACCTTATAAGTAGTAATGAAGAAATGGAAACTCTTCTTGATAACAAGGAACCAGTAAAATTGGCATGAAATGATTCTTGGGTAAATATCTGATTCTTTTGAGAATAAAATTGCTAAGGACTGTCATAGATCCTATAATAATTGTAAGTCAGATCAAGAGAAAGAAGATGAGAATGATGATGAAAATGAACAAGATTTTGATATGATTGTTAGTCAGATGATGATGATAGATTTGGGCGTGGTGAAGATGAAGGTGCTAGTAGAGAGAAAGTAGAGTCATGGATGAATTGAAACCGGACGAGAACAAAAGAAAGAAAGGAAATGACATCGCTATGCTTCAACTTCAATAGAAAAAGAAAGAATAATGAAATAAGAAAATTCAGTGATTATATGTATTCTGATTTTAGAAAGAATGGAGAATATCAAACATGGAGAAAAGAAGAGAGTACGATGCGCCTACTGGATACCTGAAATGGCGAAATATTGTCCAAACTGAATGAGAACTGAATCTGAATGAAAGTGTAAAATTAGAAAACATTTTGCAATATTACTCACCAGCATGTCTCATAACATGAACTTTAAGTTGACTGTTTGTGCGACTTTGGTAATCACAGAATTCACATTTAAATGGACGAATATCTAATGAGTAAATAAAGAAATAAGATATTGAACAAAAAAATTATCAAAAACGAAATGAAGATTGTATGTATAAAAGTAATTCATCAAGATTACCCTTACTCTCATGGAATCCAATGTGTCGATTGAGATCAGAGGATGAACAAAATGTCTTTGGCAGTGATCACATGGATATAAATATCTACCATCGGGTCCAATCATTGGTTTACTTTGTTTACTCCGTTTTAATACTTTGTCAACCAGTGCAAGTCTTAAGAAATCAAACAGATCAAAATTAAAACGATGGACATCGGCCAACACACAATCATAATTACCTTGGACTGTAATTAAAGCTCCATGTGATCTCAATTTACCTTCTTTGGAACATTTATTTCCATCTAAAGAACCATTGAGATCATTGTTATTACAGTTACTGTTGGTCTCATCAGCACAATCCTTGACTCTCTCATCTTCCGTCCCGTTGTCCCTCTCCTTTTCCGTACAGACACGACCATCGGTGTCCCTGTTCATTGGAATCATCACCCTGACCACAATAATCAGCAACCATCGCATTATCTCGGCTCTTCCTCTTCTTCTTCTCTTCGTCCCTCTTCGTCGTCTATTCCATACGAGTCTTTATTCCCTCCTGCCCCATACTCATTTCCATCTTCCTCTTCATTTCATATTTTATCTGCATCTTCTCATCATTTTCGTCTTTTCTCACAAATTGACTTGCAATTTTTCAGATAATCCTGACCATCACTTCTCTCAGTCGATTCTATATTAGTTATTTTTACTTGGTTTGCTTTTTCTACGACGAGAAGATGAGGACGATGAAGAAGATGAAAAAACTGCACACATTTTGTCACCATCTTCGACATAAGGTTCTCCATTTGCATCTGATCCAATCTCGTTATAATCAGAGTTATTGCAACTCTCTCTGTTTCTTGTTTTTGCACTTGTACTCTCGTCTGACTGAGACCGAGGCCGAGGCCTTTCATCAGATTGCTTCCCTCTGGTCTCGCCATTTCGTGGCGACCCTCGTTATCACGAGCACTATTGTTTTATCACTTTGCTTCTTGTCAATTTCCTCTTCCGATTGCACTTGCTTCTAAACTTGAGTTGCTGAGAAGACGAACAGCAGCTTTCTTTAGAAATGATGCTGCCGATATCGACTTTTCTTTGCGAACTCTTTTCAAAGTTCTCGCCACTTCCATCGCTATGGAATCGAATGATATGATGTCGAAGATTTCTTTTCTCACTGAAACCTCGACCAAACCCTACATATGCACGGTTTATACCCTGTGTGAACTCTTTCATGGCGATGAACTGAAAATATACGATCAAATGTTTTCTCACAATAACGACACTTGAACTGACCAGGGGCTGTTTCTTCAATATCCCCGATAGGTTCTCGAATTTTTCCTCCACCTCCTCCTACTACTTCACCAACATTTAAAAAACCACTTCCATTTCCATTGATACTGCCTGAAGAAGATGACGACGAAACAGAGCCGGAACCTGTCCCAAGTCCTGATGTCGATGCAGGTCCTGAAGTGGTCGTCGTTGTCATGGTGGATATTCCTGACACCATTGATGCAATACTTTGAAAATGTTGATGTAACTGTTTGTTTTTCTCACTCTGAGATTGATGTTGAGATGAGATGCCCGCAGCAAATGCTGCGGCTGCCGCTGCTGCTGATGTTAATTGTGATGCGGTTGGCGGTGGAAATGATAGTCCAACCGATGGCGGCATTAGAGACAATGTAAAAAGCTTAGTGGGTTCATCGGTAATATTATTGATATTATTATTTGAATCAGCAAACAATGACTCAACTTTTAAATCAATTGGCTCATCCATCACCATTGAGGAGACTCTCTCGCGACTATTGGTATTGTTACTATGATTATTATTATCATGAGCATTACAATTATTTATGTTATTTTCATTATCAAAGTTTATGCAATTATGCTTGATAATGTTATCATTATTATTATTGTCGTGGTTAAGGTTGTTGTTGTTGTTGTTGTTGTTAGCATCACAAATTTCTGACTTGTGTTTACGTTTCAGACACAAATTCAACCCTTGACCAACATCTTCTCGTCCATTGATTTCTTCCTCTGATTCTATTTTTATTTTAGCTCTTTTCGTTTCGTCACCTCCTTTGGATATTAATTGTTGATCCCCACTCAAGTAGGGATTCATGAAAACTAAATTAGGTTGTAGAAATGAAGGCATAACCAATGCACGTGATTGTTGTTGTTGTTGCTGTTTTTGTTGTTTTTGTTGGTGGTAATGTTGATGTTGATGTTGGGGGTGTTGGTGTTGGTGTTGGTGTTGCAAGAGTTGCTCTCTTTGATGCTGTTGATTACTGTGAGAATGATGAGAATCTTGTGGTAATTGTAGATGAGATTTGCACTTGTTTGAACTTGGATTTATACTATTGATAGACTGATCCATCACTTTATGCAATTGTTCGTGTAACTGTAATTCACTTTTCCATTTAAATGTTGCGCCACATTTATCACAAGTTAAATTTAAATTGTTTGAATGCATTGACTGAATATGAATACTGACAGGTTCGAGGCTGGGAAAAGCGAAACCACATAAACAACATTTATACAATGAATACAATTGCTCATTCGTTGGATGAACACCTTCGAGAATGGATATCAATACCTTTTCTGATTTAATTTGTAAATTTCGGAGATAGGATATCGCCTTGTAAACCGAAATCAATCAAAGACATTTGAGATGAATTCATTAGTTTCTCTTTGTTGGTCGAAGATATTGGTGTTGAAGATGTGGATGATGAAGATGATGATGATGATAGTGCCAGTGATGATACAAGAGGTGAGGGTGAAGGTGGTGTTGTAGTTGTTAATAGTGATGATGTTAATGTGGATGATGCAAGTGATGATGACACTGTGGATGAAGGTAGTATTGGTGGTGGTACAATTGGTACAGTGTTGTTGTTTGACTTGGATGATGATTGAGATGAATTTGATGATGCAGATGGATAGGAACTCAAAGCGATAGGAAATTTCAGTCCATTCAAGATACTTGGTTCAAGAAGACCAAGGCCAACAGGACCAGAGGATAAGTTCAAACCTGTCAATTGTAGTGGATTAGTAGATAAATGATGACGCAGATCACTGGAAATCTCATTGACAACTAGACGATCATCACAACTATTAGCCTTTCCACTCGTGGAAGAGGTTGTATTGTTGTTAGAGGGAACATTGTTATGGTTATTAACGATCAAATCGTGCGGTGATGATAAACCACCTTGCAGTTGCGAAACTAGTCTTCGGCCATCAACGTTACTTGTACCAAATAAACTTGCCTTATCATCGGGCACTTCTCGTTTAATCTTACAGCTTTTCGATTCAAAGATTTCAAGTTAAATTGTTCATTTTACCAGATCCAATATTGTTGTTACCACTGCCGCCAGCACCTCCACTGAGGCTCCATTCTCTGCACCATGTTGACTTTTATATGAAAGTCCAAAGTGTGATCATATTTGAAACCTTTACCACAAGCAAAACAAACATATGGATGTTGGGTGATATGTCTCATTAGATGTGCTTTAAGATCTACTTGTTGGAATGTTTTATGACAATCAGGACAAGGAAAGCGCTTACCGTTGCGCCACATTTATCACAATTCAAAAACAAGATTGTTGCATTGGTTGAGCAACTGAACATAGGAAGGTGGTCCGATTGTCAAATATAATAACTATAAACACTATTCACAGTCGATGGACTGTCAGGTATTGATCACCAAATAAGAGAAAATTCATCAGTTTGTGACTCTTGGAAAGAGAGAGCTCAATTGCTGATGTTAGAAACATCAACAGTAAATAAGATTAGAGTAATAGGAAATTCATTGCAGATAACAAACACATTGAGAGAGTCGGGGCGGAACCAATGGTTTATTTTAATGTTTAAAACATTCAACAAAACAAAGTCACAAGTGTATCAATGATTCCAACATATTTAATGATGATGATAATGATGATGTTATCCGTTGATAAATTGAAAACAGTTATATACACAAAATGATCTCAGAAGAAACAAAACTCAATAAGTGAACAAATAAATTACAATGAAAATGAAAACAAGTGAAATCAAATGAAAGAGAAAACAAGAAACTAAATCCAAAATCCACAAGGTGCATGAGCACAGAATTTTTTTTCTTTTCTAAATTCACAATAGATGTCACTTTTTTTTCTTTTTCTTTTTCTTTTCCACTTTCGTTCTGTTTTTTTCTTCTCTCAATATTGTTCTTCGTCTCTGGTTCATTAACGAAAATCTAAAATTAAAATGAGGAAAAAACGTTTAGTTTTTACTATTTAACCAAAGTGGAAAAGAGAACGAAAAATTAATTCTATTCAGAAATCGTAAATGTTTCCTTTCACCTGATTAGTCTCAGACCATCTTGTGATAAATTGTTGATCGCTGATCGACTTTCGATTATCTTGAACACGAGGCCAGCAGAAAGTTTTGCTTGAGCGTAAAGCATTTGGGTTAATTTCTTAATTCATTTACGAAGTCACATTGGTTTTGTTGGACAAGAACCTGTACTTTTCAGTGGTACCATCGCTTACAATATAACCTACTTTCTAGAATATCATATCTCTCAAAGTGAGATCGAAGATGCTGCCAAACAGGCAAAGATTCATGATTTCATTCGTGATCTACCCCAAAAGTACGAGACTGTTGTCGGAGAAAGGGGAATGCTCTTGAGCGGAGGTCAAAAGCAAAGAATTGCAATCGCTCGAGCCTTGATTCGTAAGCCAAACATTTTACTTTTAGATGGAGCGACTTCCGCATTGATTCCGTGACCACATTAGTTAATTGCGATTATTCACAAACAAATTGTTGTCTTTCAATTAGTCACAGATGAAATCCTTTCTTCTTTATCAATATCGAGAGAAACATATCTTGGCTATACTTCCGAATACGGTGCATTCATAAAGCTAACATATGAAGTCTAGATGTATCCAAGAAGATTGGATTTTTCAAAAAAGCGTTTTTTTATCGAATCTCTTATGCACAAGTTTGCATGAAACTAGCTATTGTTAATGGCACACGTATCCAAAAATGCTTTGAGAGAGCACCTAGAAGAAAGCACTCGCAGGAGCACTTACATTAAAGAAGCGTCTTGAAAACAATCCTTGAGTGAGCTCTTTATGGTAACGTTCCGAAAC